ACTTTGCCCATTTTAAACTTGATAGCGATTTGAAGGCACTGATAAGATCTTTGTTAATTGCGCTATTTTACTGAACAAGTGTTGGAAACGACTCAACAGAAATTCGATTGCTGTTGACCAGCGAACGGTCTCTCGAGTCGAGTGGGGATTAGCCCTGTCTCTTCTGGCTCAAATCGAGCTAGCTTGTGCCAAAACGAGCCTCGGATTGCAGCAAAATCCAAAAGTCTACCAGGGTTTGTGACACTTGTGTATCCGAGTTGTGCAAGCAGCCTATGTCCAAGGTCTGTCACGATGCTCTGTATAAGATATGCTATCTGCAGAACGCACGGCACAGCACAGGACTCAGCTGCAGTGCATGTTTCGACACAGTCAAGCGGTTGGAATGCAAGGTAATTTTCAGCAGCCAGCGTGTCGTGATCAGACATGTGAAAGTGATTTTCCGTTGCCCAAAGCCGTACAACAGAAAGTCCGTATCGAATTGGTGTCAACGCCTTCTGAGAGCAGGCTGCTACCTTTCGAGACTGACTCAAGCCACGCGATGATTTTGCCGAGCAGTTGCTGTTCTCCAGCATGCTACTGAGTTCGTGAATAATGTGTGAAACGCTGGGCTCGGCAACCCGTCACTGCCGCAGGCGAGCATCTTCTGTGTCGACATGGCATTGGAGAGAAAAGAGATCGGCGCTAGCGATGGACCATACAGACCAGAAGGAGACTAGCTAGATCAAAGCCAGAGCTAATTTGCGGCTAGGCACAAGCTATTACAATCCGGGCCAGAAAGCATGGGCTCTGCAGAGTGATCCTTGCATCACTGAATTGTTGACACTTTCTCGCATCCGATGCTGCCCACATGTACTGTCATTCAAGCATTTTCAATGAAATTCAGTGAGCTATCTTCTCCACATTCAATGAGCACATGGTCGACAGAGTACGGAGACGATTGCCTGCAGCTTGACGCAGCACAGACGTACCTAGGTATGCACTTCATCGCTGGTAGTGAAAAGTTTTACATGACGACTGAGTCAGCGGTTGCGGCATCACTTTGCAAAGTCCGATGCTGTGATTGTAGTAGTGCCACAGTAAGATTACAGCTTCTTCAATGGCCTTTTCTTGCAGCGTGGTCCGTATGACTGACAAACATACATTCATCGTGTTGTCGGCTGATGCAGATGTGACAGCTGGCAGTGCCGTAGGCAGAGGATCTCGCGGGTGCACATTGACCTTGCGGATAGCGCTTGCATTGAATCTGGGGTTATTAAGGCGTGACACCGCGCATCGCGTGTGAAGCAGCTCGCTCGAACAGAAACCCGGCCGCTCGCCACAGGAGACCGTGTTGGTCGTTCCATACTTCCTGAGCGAAGACAACTGCAAACGCTTCCTGATATCTTGAGCAGGGAGAAGGCAACATATTTTGATTCCATATCCTCATTCATATGTCGTAGTGTGCTACAAGTCCAACCTCTGCAAAGCTCCGCTGGACACCTGCGGAGCCATGCGCTAGACAACTTACCGGTGAGTTCTGTTAATCGACAGGAGCTCACAGCCGCTTACGGGGGCTGGCTGCCTTGTATCTCGGGGCAGCATACGTTCAGTAGCAAAGCATACTTTGTCAGGTATGTCATTTCATAGATATACAGCAGAATCTCGCCAGTGCTCGTCCTCAAGCAAATCCTCTAGAGGTGATTAGTGATTAGGAGATCCAAGTTAAACCACTAATCCTCCGAGAGTAGTACAATCTACACCCAGGGACATCACTTTTAAAGCTACACTTCTTAAAGCAACAGGTTAAAGACACAGCCCTTAATCTCTAAGATTGTGTGTTCTATATCTGATCTATAGATTTCCCCTCTCTCTAGAAGGCTTGAGTACTAGAAGCTGTTAAGGATATATATCAGTTGTGAAGGGGGGGCTGACAAGGAATGACAAAACGCAAGGGACACAGTCTCATTTCAAGGAGCTGCAATCTAAGGGTGTCTAATCTGGCGAATCAGAGCAGTGGAAACATATGCTTTGCTGCTGGACGTATGCTGCCTCGAGACACAAGGCGGGAGCTGGAACACATCTGGTGCTCAAGCCAGCCTTCAGACAGCTTCCACTCGCGGATATCTTGTCGGTGCTCTACAAGAAGCCTCTGGGCACCACGCGTCACAGATTCAAAGTGTGTCAAGCTTCTACAGTAGCGATGCTCTCAATGATAGAGAAATTCCTCGACGAAGATGGAGCATTCTTAGGAAATAATACAGACTATTCAAGAGAGATATGTTTCTAGAAGAGCAGCGAGGGAGTTCGAAAGGAAAGAGAGTATAAGTATAGTATAGTCCAGGAGAAGAGAGAGAGAGTATACTTTGAAAAAGAACAGAGAGAGCTTCAAAATAGAGGAGAAAATATGTCAGCAGAAAAGAGAGAGTTGAAGGAAGAGAAAAAGAAAAGAAGAAAAGAGTAATTTGAAAGAGAAGTAAGAGTACTTTGAAAAAAAGAGGACTTCTCAAGAGACAAAAGAGCACTTAAAAAATTGAAAGAGAGTGGTTTACAGTAGAATAATTTTGAAGAGAATGTAGCTTATAGGACGAGAGGTCATGACAGAAAAGAGAGACTGTTTTGAGAGGAATAAAGAAAGTTTGAAAGGAGACAAGAGAGTGCTTTAAAGGAAGAGCAAGGGTGTGTGTACTTGAGGAGAAAAAACAGAGCTCTAGAAAAAAGAACGAGAGAGCATCAGGAGAAGCAAGAGTACCGGTGATCGTCATCACGACTACACCCTGATGTCCGTCTAATTCACTCAGAATGATCGTGTGGCCGGCGATAGATCTTTCTATTCTATTGAATAGCAAAGGATGCTGTCGCCGCCTGACGGTCTTATCGTCCGTAAAGTTGATGATCATGCATTTCCTGCCACCTATTTGACCGAGCCTCTGCTCATAACGCAAGCGTCATTGTGGAAATGCTATTGCGGTAGATAGTAGTGATACGGACCTCTTCAGTGTCCATCCACGAACGATTATATGTAACAGCACTATCGATAGTTAGCACTGCTGCTTGTAGAGCCAAAGACGCGCCGTGGCCTACTCGAACGTATGGGCCCTCTGATCCATCAGGCGGATCACAGCTCCCGTTGTTGCCCTGAGAAGAAGTCAGGTATCAAGGATGTTAGGTGCACTCAAGGCACGAACCTCGCAGTCTCCAATGAGGCACACACCACAGCTGGAGGTGCAGCATTCCCAGTGTCGATGTTCGCCGCATGATGCCTGTGGATCGCGTACACAGGTATCTACCGTCCGACCAGTGAGTCCACGGACCACGTGCGAAGAGACTCGGTCCAGTAAAAGGCTGGTGGCACAGAATAACAGCACGTTTTGGCAGAGCATCGTGAGAACAGTGTAGCCAATGTCAGAGTCAGAATGATGGCTTTTTAAGGAGGAGCAGAGCACGACTTATATACCGCCCTCCGGCCCCCTATCAAGCATTGGTCTGTGGCGAATTTACCAGTCCTCATCAATAGACATACCAGCATTCGACCGGCAGTACTAGCGAAGCTCCCCGTATGCCATCCCTTGTCATTACCTCTGGCAAGAGGACGACCGGTACAACAGCGTTGGCGGATCGAAACACTGTGGAACACCACAGCGATAGGCTCTGCACTCATCGACACACTCGCAGTCGAGCAAGATCAGCTAATCATGCGAGTTGACTACGGTACATGCAGTCAGTGTGCGGAAGTCAGAAGTATTGGGCCTGTCAGCTCGTATATCTCTCGAGCACGGGCTCAGAAGCACCGTTTTCTTGCTGATACATAATCTCTTCTCCACGAAAGCCGTTCCGCAATGTAGCCGGCTGGGGTAGTGGGGCAGCGGGGATACACCCACGTAAGCTCGTCTGGCCATCTAGACACATTCTCGTTCACAGCAGGAAGAATGACGCGAATGTCTGAGGCGAAAGAGCACAACGAAACAGGGCGATGGCATATACAGGATGACCGGTGCCGTATAGCTTCAACAAAATGCTTGTTCTCCATGCCGGGCACTGATAGAATGTGTTCTTTTGATCTATCTGATGTAGCAGTCTACCACCGCTGAGATAGCACACTTCGATCACCAACCACCGTTGAGCCTAGCATGTGTCTTTCACGCTATTGTGTGTCTCGAGTCCTTGCGTAAATTACAAAAGACAGCACTATCGGCAGTCAGCAAGTCATGGGTCGACAAACGAAGAGAGAGCGAAAGAAAAGTGCGACGTACTCGAACATATGGACCTCCTGATCCATCAGGTGGATCACAGCTCGCGCTGCTCTGAGATAGAAGTCAGATCTCGCATTTTAGCCGACCACAAGATACCAAGTACGAACCTCGCAATGTCCAGAGACGCACACGCCACAGCTGGATACACAACATTGCCATATGCCTTCAGGACCACAATTCCCTTGTGGATCGCGTTTGCAGTCGATCTGCGCCTCGCGAGCAGTGATTCCATGTACCACGTGCGCAAGTGCCTGGCCAAGCAACAAGCTGGATGCGCAATAGAGTACAATGCTTTGGAAATGCATGGTGGTATTCTGTGACTCCACGAGGAGAACAACGAGCTTTCGAGTATTGCAAGACCACTGCAGCATATTTATATGCGATGTCAAGCGGTCATTTGCCGTTCTTTGCGATTGCATATCTTTCCCTACACGTACCCGACTGCAAGGCCAAGGTCGGCTGTATAGCGCCATGAATGACTATGAGAAACTGGCACGGCATTGAATCTCCCATCAGGCCCAGCGTGTTCGACCAAGACGCCAAATCAAAGACGATGCTACCACGGCTAGACATGGCGCATGTATAGCGGTGTATATGCTCGCACTGCATGCTGAGACTCGTTATTATCATGACTATCGCACTAAATGAGTGGCTCATAGACTTTGTGGGGTTTTGGCGGAGTTCTTGGTAGTCTCCACGACTAATCTAGTTTGCCGTTTCTCAAATGAAGCACTACCGTATCCTGGACGTTCTGCATCAAGCATTGTCCAATCAGCTCGTCGGTGACATCCACAAGACTTTCTCTGCTGATAGCGCCAGTGGATATTGTGGTAGCACCTTTGCCAGTTCGTCTTCCCACCCAGGCACCTCCTCCCACATGGAGAAGACGCTTTTGGTATGTTCCCAATACTCTGGCCACCAGCCGGAGAACTCCCAGTCAATCAAGACCGGCTGCAGGGAGTCCATCACGATGATGATATTCCGTGGACAGAGATCAGCATGGGAGAAGACCGATCTGTAGTCTCTCCGGTGGCTTTCGTAGACGTCGTCACCGAAAGTCTCTTGGCATTGTTCAAGGGGCACGCCTCCACGTAGCTGGAGGTGGAACTGTTCCACAGTTGGACATGGTGCATTAGTTCGCGAAGCGATGCGGCCGTCCTTGAAAGAGCCTCCCCTGACAGAGCCCACACATACGGCAGTATGGTTCCGAACGTTTCTGATGGCGCTGATCATCTCGCCAAGCTCCTGCATGACGGCTTTTCTCTCGTTGACCCCGAGCTTGGGCCACGCTTGATCCAGTCTTTGGCCATGTATGAAATCTATCTCGATGAAAAGTCCATCATGTCGTCTATAAGTGCGGTGGACCTTAGGGGCCTGGATCGACGGTCGATCCATAATGAACAGCAATGCTTCCAGTTCTTGCTCCGTGCACGGTCCTTTGATGAGGAGAGTGGTCGATATTTGTACGATCTTTCTGTTACTGTCGTACATGATCTTCCGACCGAAGTACATCAGCACAGGAAAGATCAAGTTACGTAGGAAACCAGCCTTGGGCTCAATTGTGTCCAGCATAACGACCTGTCGAGAGAAGATGTTGTATCAAATTTCGAGTCTCAAATACTATCGGTCAGCATTTACTGTATGGGCTACTCTGATAACTGGACTTGGCACGTATAGCTAGTGGCAGCCGGACCAGCCTCTAAGAAGGCTATCCTTTCAGGGGTTGGCACGCTTACTGTGGCAGGGATGATCTATCCATGTTTACGGATGGCATTGCGAAACGATGTTAGCATTGCGAGAAAGTCTGTCACTGCCAGATATCTTACACTGAGAGCGTGGTCAGATCTGCTTGAAGCATTTGCTAGCACACCTAATACCGCTCACGATGTTCTCCGTGATCTTGGTGTCCGCTCTGATATTGTCGAACGTCGTAGCCACGGCTACGGCATTAGACCAACTCAGATCGTACGATGACAGACAATTCTCATCTATCGCATCATCGCAGGAGGGCACGTCCGTCGTGGAACTGCAACAAGAAACGCTAGCCAATGCCATATCTGATCGCTCGCAGGACATCCTGCTGTACGCATACTCGCCCACATGCGGACCTTGCAAACGGTCAGTACGTCCTCCACTGAGCAGCTCGTTCTGACTCTTGCACAGATTCTCTCCAATCTACCAGCAGTTGGCTTCTTTCTATACCTCTGAAGAACAATCGAACAAGATTTTGATATCTCAGATCGACGGTACACAGAACGACCTACCGTTCAAAGTCGTGGGCTATCCGCAGATAATGTTGTATTCGGCCAAGGCAGACAGCTCGCCACTAGAGTACGTGGTTCAGAAGCTTGATATCTCGGCTGCTCTGGGAATTGCAAAGTTTGTAGAGACCGAAAGCGTCTCTCATCTGCCAGTGCCCAATAGCCTCGTCCTGGCCCATGCGGTGAGCAGAGCAGCATCAGCTTCACAGCCAGCGGCAGGTGTATCGGAGCGGCACGAAGAGCTGTGAACTCATGCACAGGCCAGAGATAGGACCGAAGAAAGCGTGGACGGATACCGAATGTTTATGCCTTGGGAGCTGGAAGATATGGTTCTAGAAAGGGGTGTGAGGTTCAGTGGAAGTAAATCTCGCGAATGATCCATAGCCCCAGAAAGCTACCAGAGAAGGGTTCCTTCCCATCAGTCCCACGTCGTTGTTCTAACAAAGCCCGGCAATGTCCTGGCTCAAGTCGAGATCGGAGCGTTGATAAAAGCGGTGCAACGCTCGCACTTCGGCCGTATCTAGAAATGTCGCTGCAGTGGAAATCATTGAGAATCTCTCAAGCTACCGTATTCCCAACAGCGCCACAGAGAGTTTGCCCCGCGCCCCATCTGGAAGCCTTTTCGCAGAGTGGATTGCGGAGTAACCCCAGACCTCGACAGACCCAAGCCAATGAGGCAGAGTCAGTCAGACAATTCAGGCGGCCAACAGCCCCTCTGTTTGAACATCAGTCTCACCGTCCTTCTAGCACAGCCGGAGCGAAAAGATGGCCGAGCAGCCTTTTCAATATTATGTCAATCAACCACTGTCTACACGCACCACTAATCACGTCTGCTTCGCGTGCCGAAAGCATCGCTCGACTCTTACGACCAATGAGCATGCAACGCAGCCCAGTGTCACACCCAGCTGCCCCTCCTGCAATGCGTCAATGTCACATATCGGTGTCAGGCTTCGAGTTCCGCGCGCTGATGATATCAAAGCCTGGGACAAGCTACAACGAATGTGGCGCAGTCCAGCTCAGGGCAGGTACTCAAAGTGTGATGAGCCGGAGACGATCGCGGAGAACAACCACTGGCAGAACTGTAAATTGAGGAGACTTGACTCACCGACAGCAGACAGTCCGACGGGATGTCAAAGATGTGACGTGGTCTGGGCAAGGCTTCCCTAGCCGAGGGCTCCCGCCCGCACGAATGCGTTGCATTTGTGAGCACTGGCCCAGTGATCGGAGTCCTTTACCATCTAACGCTGTCATAACTTTTGATGGGCACATGTGCTAAGATGGAGCGGGACCACACGACTCAGAAAACGACTTGTCACCGTCCACTCGAATCCTGGAGGCCTTTGCCCGGTAACCTGCCAGCCTGCCGTGCCAAATTTCGTCGTTTCGGTTGCCTTTGGCAGCAATTGCGTCAGGTTGTCCTGCGATTTCGATGATGGCAGCCATGCGTATTTGCCTAGGTGGTACTTTTGCAGTCCTGCATGGGTCTTTTGTGAGTCTCTGAAGAGTCATTGCAGAGTCTCTGCCATAGCCATCAGGACGAACGCACGTCAGCGAATGACCTGGAAGAGGGAGCATTCCGTCTTCGCAGTCCTGCGTGAGTTGGGAGCTTTGGAGCGAAGGCCACATGCGGCTCTTGCGTGGACATTGGACGGTACTGTGGACGTTCAGGCGTTCAATTGTTACGAGGCTCTCTTGGCAAGCGCCCTATACCTTTGGCACGCTGGGTAGCAATGGAGTGGCGGAAGATGCTGAGAGACCGGGTCTGGAGGCGCTCGCTGTCGAACTGCCACAGCTGGCGATCACAATTGACGAGCAGGCTGTCCGAAGGACGAGAACCTCTCTTCAGTCTACCCGATGGCATTCTCTAGCCGCAAGGTAAGAAACCCGAATTCAACACTTCTTAAGTACCACGAACCGTCAATACGATGCTGCATGCATTCCACAAGTGTTCTGCAAGTGATGGAGTACTGACCATGCCCAGCAACGCAGGGTAGTCAATGGGCCAGTCACCCCAGCATGGCATCAGTACACGACAACTCATATCATAGACCGATACGTCTCGGGACTGCTCCCGGAGCACAACATGATCATCCTGCGAGACTGTTGCCAGATGAATATGTGGGTGCAGCCGGATGAAACGAACAGAACCGTCGCTGAAGAGTTGAGCTGAGTCAAGGCGCTGGGACTGTCTGTAGGAACGATCCAATCCTGGAGTTATAGAAATACCTTCGTGTTTGCAAACAGACCAAGCGCGCTACTTGCTCTCGTAGTAAATCAACCCTTCAATGGTCCCAGCGTGTAGACCACCTGTTATTGGGATGTCTGCTGCTGTTGTGAACCTCGCCGCGTCACTCAGAAGGTACACGATGGCGCCAGTCAAGTCATTCGCGTTAGATAGTCGCTTTAGTGGAGGAGAGTTCTCCATTTGTGCTGCTTCCGCAGGTACTTTGGCTGCTCTCACGCGTTGAAGCATGTCGGAATCCACGTAGCCTGGCGAGATGCTGTTGACTCTGATGTTATGTGGTGCGAGTTCAACAGCAAGAGCTTTCATCAACATCAGGATGCCGCCCTTGGAGTAGTTGTATGCCGCCATACGATGACCCGGTATGGCGATATGCGAGGTTTGAGAAGCTAGAAGTTGACCGTCATTTAGCGGACTTGCATGGAAGGCACCATCGAACGACCGCACAAGCAGACTTACCCAGTAGCACCATACTGCCACCAAAACCTTGCTTGATCATCTGCCTCGCTGCGAGTTGACAGCTAAAGAATACTCCGCGGCCATTGATCTCTTGTATCCGGCTGAACTCGTCCCAGGTCTGATCGATGAACGGCTTGTCGATGGCGATGCCAGCAGCTGGGACGAGTCCGTCGAGTCGACCAAGCTGCTTGATTGCTTGCGCAAAACCGGCTTCCAGGCTCTCTTGGCTCGTGACATCGGTTTGTATGAAGAACGTCTTGACCCCGAAGTCGGTCGAAAGGGACTTGAACTCGGCCACTGGCTCCTGTATATCCAGCACTGCTACATTGCCACCGAGCTCGCAGACTGAACGCGTCGAAGCAAAGCCGATGCCCTGTGCACCGCCTGTCACGACATAGCATCGGCCTCGGAGCTCAAACATGGGCCGGACATGTTCCAACGGAGGTGCCATGGTCAACTTTTGAGCAACTACCTGCAGTGGTGAGGATACTGGCACGCGCTTGTTGTCTTGCAGGATCTAGAGTCTAGCGACCAGTATACTGAGTATCGCTGGGGCATCTACGGACCAGCTGCATCATATGAATGCCGCGAAGAGATGACACTGATTTCCACGGCCAAATCTGCCGGGTAGTGAGCGCCAAGAAAAGTTTGGCTGCAACGGCTGTGTTCCGGTTCACGAGCCGAGCACCTATTTTAATTGAAGGTGACGCCAATCGACTCAAATGAAGGTCTGGAACCTTCACGGCACGGAGGTTATATCGGGAGAAGGCAACGATGCTATCACTAGACCCTTCCCGAGGTGGATCCTCGATTGAACGGACTTGATCTATCAAGTTCGTCGTCAACAGAACCTTTTCTACCTTGAAGACAGGTACACTCAAACACCCTGCGCTGGACAACAGCAGACCTGTACGTTGCGACCGATCTTCACTGGACACATATTCACTATGGGCATGTTCAACGACATCACAAAGCCTGCCCCGCCTCTGCCAAGAACAACGGCGAAGGAGATCCAGCCAGATATCAAACTGTTACACCCGTTGACAAGGCGTGGGTCTGGTCCAGGTCTCATCGTACTGCTGCCTTCCAAGGACGACTTCTTATCCATCACCGACGGTGTTCCCTCCATACCAGTCAAATGGGCAGAGGAAGGCTACACCGTCGTTGGAGTCTCAGATCTCGGCGATGACGTAAAGGCGACATTGAAAACCGCCTTGGATGCGCTCGAAGCATGCCATGAATGTAGTCCGAAGGAGAAGGTCGGCTTAGTCTGTGGGTTACGCTCAAGTCTGTGTCGTTAATGGCGAAGCTGATCAATAACAGCGTACAACCCGTCACTTTGGGAGAAGGCAGCGCCAGTGCTCGAGGCATTCCCATCTATTGCTGGCGCCGTGGTCTACAACGACCTTGCCGATAAGGAGAAGGTCGCATCTTCGCCGGTCCCAACACTCACCCATCTTGCAGGCGAGGGCGAAGGCTCTCCGATCCCCCAACGACATGGGAAGAACATCACTTACACCTATACCAACAAGGTTTCATCCCACAGATTCGCCGTTCCATTCCAGCAGCAATTCCATTACGGCACGGAGCAGTCTCACATACACGCAACCTGCAGTTCCTGAAACCACTGATGTACGGTCCATATTTCGACTTGGAGATAATATGGGAAGAGCATACTTACTACGAGTTTGCAGACAGAAGTGTGGAGCATACGATGAGCACGATGGTTCAGGAGCCCTATGTCAATCATGTCCCTACTGTGAGGAGTCCCCAGCCGTATTCTTCTTCTCCATCTTCCGAAACCTCGCTGACTGTGACCTAGCTGACTGGCGGTATTGGACGTTCCGAACTTTCAAAGTTCTATGCGCACAACTTCATCTTCAACAATTCCGAGGACACATCATTGGATCTTCTTAGTCGAACACTGGGAATTGACCGAATCGTTGACGAATTTATCTTCAGCTTCACCCACGACAAGGAACTGGATTGGCTGTGAGTGCACACTTGCTGCCCGAGATCACCAGCTGACTGGCGTATAGACTACCAGGAGTGCCGCCAACCCATCGAAAGGTCTCTGTCCCTTTTACAGCTATCGTCAATGTTCGCGGTGACAGACTGTACCATGAGCACATAACTTGGATCAAGGCACAGTCCTCGCTCAGCTTGGACTTCTGCCGGAGTATCTGCCATTCCCATATCCTTTGCCGGATGCGAAAGACGCAGAGCCCCGCAAGAAGGTCGAATATCGTGTTCCTGTTGAGGGCATTAACTCGGCCAAGAAGATGCAGGACAGAAATTCCGTCCAGAGCAACATGATGTTCCAGTACAAGATCAGAGAGCTGGATTAGGCAATAAAGCAGAGCCCATGTCGAAAACAGATCGAGTCTCGTTGCCGTGCTGGCGATCATTCATCTGTGTAATGCTCCTGGTGCACGAGAGCTCCGGGACAGCGGTAGTTTCAGCTCTTGCCCACGCCGATCCGCGGCGACGCAGACTCACCGTATCTTATTCATGTAGCCTGGCTTGTCCTGGTCCTAATGCCTCTGCAACTCGAGATGACCTTCGGATTTCCTTGCCGAAGACAGCAGACGGAGGTTCGTAGCCCACATATAGCCACCTCGATAGCCTTTAACTCCTTCGCGAAGGTGTGCAGCGGCATGTTGGAAACGAAAGATTCCCCACTTCAGTGCCTCAATTCCTCCTCTCGCAATGGCCACGATCGAGGATCCGATGTATGTGTCGACATCTGCCTTGCGTTCAGGGCCGAATCCACCTGCACAACCGCTGCATGCTCCCGGAGCGCCCTCGGCGGGGCACTTTTCTCGCAGGTATTTCCGTCAGAAGTCGTCGCAGGTGATTGTGTCACAATCGCCTGCTTACCGCTTCGAATATTGAGGCGCCAAACGCCTACGTGGCGTCCTCATATGGCTCAATCTCCAAGTGGATGATTCACTCGCTCCATTGAAGTGCTTCAGGTCGGCGTTGAACTAGTGCGATTCTCTCAACGCCGGCACGGACCTGCATATCAGTAGCACTGGCCGCAAAGCAGCCTTCGGAGGCAAGAATCGACATCGATACTTGTGTAAAGTACTTACAGACACAACATTTGCGAGGCTGCTTCGCATCGGGCAGATCATGATACCAGGAGGCGCTTTCCTAGTTACGGGCATTCTGGGACCGAAAGAACAATCTACAACAAGACACCTTCCCACAACGCCCCTGCTAGTCTGCGGCAGGCTCACCTGAACGAAGAAGGTGCGGTGAGCCCCGGTCTCGATAAAGTCGCGTTCCGGACAGTTTAGAGTGAGGAAGCTCTGCTTCTTCTTACTTTCGGAAGATCTTACCCTGGATTGCCCGGAACGCGACTTCTCGAGATCGGGGCTCACCGCATGCCTGATGCAGCGTTGAGCAAGTGTGCTCTCATGTCGAGTCCCTCCTTCTGTTGCTGTAGTCTGGCATCGTTGGGTGAGGCGCTGGGCGGAGCACGACAAGATCCACAACTTGGACAGTCATGCGGACTTGCAGATAGAAGTAATGAGAGGTTACACAGCGAAGATCTCCAAACATGTCTCTTGCGCAATGTACTCCTAATGATAATTGAACGAGTCTGACGATCACTTGGTCAGAAGTTGGTGCCCGAGCTGGAGAACCTCACAGCCTCGCAGCATCCCGTCGTCGAGCCAGCCTCGTCATATCCGAAGTTTCTCCGTCCTCTCACAGAAATTATCCGTCGATCGCGTTCACAACTTGCGACTACATGACCACACTTCCTCGCGCAGCGCATGCATGCAGGCCATCTGTCATCTTTCGCGAAGATGGCACCAACAATTTTGCCGGTCTCCTAGTTTCCTCAGCCACCGGCAATGCCTGCAACGATGGCAAATTCGCGGCTTCGCTCGTCGAGCAGACCCCGACATCAATTACTACGAGCAAGAGCCCGGAAAGCCGGAGACTCTGAGGCCGGAGGGAGGGCCTTTCGACGATGACTTGGCAGTAGCCCGCGAGCGCATCAAGCAGATGGAGAGAGAACTAGCTGTGATGCGCAAAGGACCATTTGCTCGCGAGGGCGAATTCATGCAAAGTCTCCCTGAGGACAAGAGAGAAGAATTGCTCAAGGCAATGGAAGAGCAAGGCTTCGAGGAAGACGACATCCGAGATCTCAGTTTCGACGAGCTGCTGGCCGAGGACGAAAAGCCATCTCCGAAGCAACAACTCGCAGTCAGCCTCCGCATTCCTGAGAAGAGTCGAGCCTATGTCCGCAAGTTCAACGCTGCCCTCCAGACGTCAGATGCCAAATCCAAGCAGAAATTGTGGCTATGGTACCTGCGATGCCGTCAAAGAGTGCCTGGCTTTACGAGCCACATCCAGGAAGATGTATGGGACCATCTCTGGCAGACACAGCTCGAGACACACCCTCGAAGTCCTCGCATCGTCAGCCTCGGCGAAGATATGCTCGGTGCAGGTAGAGACCTTGGAGACCGTCTTCCGGAGTATTTGGAGGCTTTGCACCTCGCAGGCGAGACCCGTGCAGCCCTTGAGATGTGGGAAAAGGCACCCAAGTCATCCGCTAGACTCGAGAGAATTGGAGTTCAGCTTTACGCGGCAATCGCCGAATCCGAGACACAAGGAAGTCTCGCAAAGGCCGCAAAGATGGCTCTCGCCGATCCTGTCAAGGATACGATCCTGCCCGTCATACAGGCTTACGCGAAACGTACAAGTGCTAAGGCAGCAGTGGACCTTTGGGAGTTCTATCTGAAGATCACACCCACAATAGAACTCCTGGGGCACATCAGCTCCGTACTGTTGGAAGCCGGGCGCAAAGAAATGGCCCTCGCCGTCTTCCAAGACATGATGGGCAAAGGAGAACGCCCCAAGATAGTCAGCATAACAGAATTCAGCCTCATGAGTCTACTGGCGCTTCCGAAGAGGTTCAAGAACAAGTTCTTCTTTGGAGCCTGGATTAGATGGCTCTTGGCCGAAGGCAAAGTCGAGGATGCTACATTGGTGGTCGAACTCATGCAAGAAATGGGCATCAAACCGGACGCCAAACATATCAACGGCGTGATCGCGGCCTGGCTTCGTCAGGGATCAGCCAATAGCGACAAGCAAGCGGTGGAAATCGCGTGGGGCATGGTCCGGTCACGAATAGAATACGTGCAGACGACCCGCGGCCGCAATATAGCACACAGCGAACAAGCACTCCTGCAAGAGCAAGAACTGCAAACACCCAAGCTGCCATGGAGTCTGCGAAGGCACATACCCCCAGCCACAGTTGAGACCTTCTCCATCCTTGTGGCACACTACGCCCAAAAGAAAAACATCCAAATGGCTGAGCTCGCCACCAATATCATGACTGGTCCAGCACAGATCAAATCAAATACGTTCATTCTGAACACGTGGATTGCCGTATCTTCCGTCGAAAACATGTGGATGCGTTACTCAGAGGCAAAGGCCGACATCAGACCAGACCTGGGTACATTCGCCGGCCTCTGGGACGGTCGTCGACGTGCTACCAACCAGACAAGCCGTACGTACCAGCCCAACTTCCCTACTCCAAGACGGTTGTTCAGAGAAATGGCGACCTGGCTGGACTCATTGACCGTGGCCGAACGTGCCGAAGTCGGCAAAGAGATGACCCCAGCAATCTACGGACAGATCATTCGATGCCTCTGCCTCGTTGGCGATCTTCCTGGCGTCCTCATCGCCATCCGCTATCTCCAGGCAAACCTTGACTTACTACCCCACAATGATGTCGTCGGCATGGTCGTCATGCAACTCGCTCGAATGAACCCAGATGATGGCAGCCCTCCAGTCAAGCTGTCCGGTGTGCGCGCGCGCCAGGCCGCGCGCCAGGCGGAGATGAGGTGGCGCGCTGCGCTCAACAACTATGTTGTGTTGATGGATGAGATCCTCGTTGGCTACGTGACAAAATCTGAGCTAGCGGGTATTGATATCGATATCGAGGGTGATGAGGAGGGTCGTGAGACTCAGGCATTGCGGTTTGAGGCGATTCAGACGTTCTTGTGCTTGGTCATGAATAAGCACAAACAGCATGCTGATGTTGTGGCTAACGAGATTGTCCTGGCGGGTCAGGCGATGGGGCTGGATGTGACGCAGGAAGAGGCGAGGAAATGGTTGATGAGGCTGTTGAGATGGCAGAGGGGTAGTAGGAGAGTGGCGCAGGCAGGACGAGATTTTTTCGGATGAAGGAAGTTGTAACATCAGCGATTGTTGCCATCACTATGTAAACTAGCTAAGCGAGCGAGCGCAATGCCATACATGATCCACTTCATCTGCCTCACGACCACACTCTTCAGCGCTTTGTGAAATTGACAGTTGAGAAGATGCTGCCCTTGGTCTGCGTCCTTGTGCGGCACCGTCGTAATAAAGACATCGCTCATTGCCTGGACTTTCTCGACGTCGGGAACATCACATATCGCTCGCCGTCCGAATAAAAGGTGCGCAGAGGCCGGGTCTGCGAACGGCTATGCGGCACGACGGAGACAAAGTCTATGCCGCGCATGACTCTGAACGCGTAGATGATGAGAATCGCAATGAGAAACACGCCGAGGACGGCGGTAGAACAGCACAGTCGAGGCCGTTGTGAACCCCTTGCCTTACCCCTCTTCTCATATTTACGCTGCTGCTTCGCCAGTTCTCGTCGCTTTCTCCTGTTGTTCATCCCATGTTGCCGGTTGGACGTGCTTGATGAACGCCCAAAGTTTCTCCTGAAGTTGTTCCAGTCACTGATGCCAGCGTCTGCCCACGAGGGAAGGCGCTAACTGTTCCCTGAAGTCTGCCGAGGATTCAGACATTCCTGCTGGATCCTCGAATACTCCTGCTGAAGCTGTTGCGAACGAGCCTGTATCTGTTGGAGTCTACCAAAGCCATTTTCAAGTGGCGTTGTTGGGTTCAATGTCGCTGTGCCGGTTGGCAACCGGGTCGTAGCGCTGCGAATGCTGGACGGTATCGCTAGGATCGATGGTGCTGAGATGTTACGGGACGATATCGCGGCACTTCGAGACGTAGACAGAGTTGCTGGGTTTGGTGGTGCTGAGACAACGCGGGACGACGTCGCGGCACCTCGAGAGCTAGAAGGTATTGTGGGCTCCGATGCCTATTTCTTGCCCTTTTTCTTCTTCTTGCCTCCGCCTCCGCCTGATGTGGATATCGTTGCTTCTGCCGCGGCGTCGCCTGGCGTATCAACGAGTACGCCATCTTCATCGCTGCTTGCTGTCTTCGGAGGTGGCGGCGAAGCACTCTTCTCATCAGCCTGTCTCGCGTCGGGTGGCGGCGTCGGGTAAGCATCCCTTCCGGTAGCCTCGGTCTTCTTCACTTCCTCGACAGTCGAAGATTCGCCCATGAGCTCCTTCCTAGTCGCCTCCTTCGTATTGAGCCACTGCTGTCTCTCCTGCTCGATGCCATCCCTATGCTTTGCTAGTTTCTCCTTGAGAATCTCGTTCTGTACCATCTCACTCGCTGATTGGAATATGACAGTCTCCCAGCCAGGTGCCAACCTTTAGCCTCCGCAATGACGTCCTGCACCTCCGCCTCCATTTCTTGTTCGGCTCGCAGCAAGCGCTGGTAGATCTCATCGCCCACAACACCCCGTTGCAGGAGCGTGCTAAGCGCAGGTTTACGCGTTCGTAGATGCAGAATGCGCTGCACATCGGTGACGGCGCGATTCAAGAGTGCGGCTTTGAGGACAGAATCTGGGACCTTGACTGGCTTGTCGCTGCCATGCACGGTGTCGGGAAGGTGGAGTAGAGAGAGGTAGGCGTCGCGTGCAGTGTGGCTTGGGAAGTACGGTGCGAGGCGCTGCTTGGCCAAGCGTTGTCGGCGACGGTAGATGTGAGAGAAAGTATACATCGCGCCGACCAGTAGGCCGAGATACGTGATGGGAATGTAGAGCGAGGTCAGAGATGCCATCGTTGGGAGAGTGAAGGAGACCATTTTGGCGATGGTGGATTGGGCTTGGTTGTGGGCGCGTTAGCCCTTGTGGTGGTGTGGTTGACCACTGAAAGATAGGTATGTAGTAGAAATCAGTCCGAGAGGCAAGATACTTTACGAGATGGAGAATGAAAGATGGCTGTTGATGGGGAGATGAATAGTTAGTGGAAGGACACTTGATATTTCTAAAAAGGACACCATGTTCAAATAAGCGCCCTTGGCTATCGATAGGGGCGCCTTACTGATCTGTGCCAAGAACATGTCCCCTTCACCTCGCATCTGACCTCGACCTTCCCGAGTACGTGATCTTTGGAACACTACCTGTGTACACCGTGACATCGCCACTTTCCTAGTTTGTCCATGTTCGAAGCCATCACCAGTATGTGGACGTGCATCGCTACTTGACAGCTGCGTTGCAAGTCTACACTATGTAGCAGTTTATCGGCCAAACGACTACATCATCACACATGGCTGCAAGCAGATGTGTCTAAGCCGTCTCGAAGGTGGACCCTGACTTTCTGAATTGTCAATTTTTGTGGGCGCAATGCTGTCTGAGTTATGGCAAAGACCCGTTCCCGAGCACCCAATCATTGAAAGACGTCAAGGAGCTGTTGAACGGGTTGAATGTGACGAAGAAATCGTCCAAACCTTCAGCGCCCGTGCCAAGTGTCCCATGCGGGTCGGTAAGATCGAAGTCAGGCACAGCGTGTCCATCTATACCATCATGCAACTCGACCTGTCGCGGTTGCTCTGGCTGCGTTGACGCCGACTTTGGTTCCCTGTCTTTGGAAGGCGCGACACACTGCTTCGGATTCTCCATCGCCTTGAGCGCTTCTGTGAAGAGCTTATGCTGCATATCAGCAGCCCAATACGTCTTGCGAAGGTGCTCGGTCACCATCAGGTGAAGTTTAAGGTTGTGTAAGGCATGCTGACGTGACAAACCTTCAAGAGTGAAATGCTCATAAAAGTGGATTTGCATAGTCGACATCATCGAGATAGACAGCATGGTCGGACAGACATCGATGAGGTCGGCTGAGACCAGCTCATTCAGGCTGTACGTCGAGTTTGAGGCTGATGTACGACAGCGGTCCGCGGCAAGTACTCTCAGCCGTTCTTGATCGTGCTTTGGCATTTCTTCTGGTTGACTGACGACATAAGGCCGGAAAAGAGCGATCACAATCGAGTTATAGTATGTCTTGAGCAGATGCGTGTTCAAGATCTGAAGCCTTGTCGGCTGTTGGTGGCCTTGGACCTCGTGGACCTGTTGATATACTGCTAGCAGTCAGTGCCAGCAAGCCATCATGGTACGAGTGCTTACACTGCCAGATCTCGGTGTCGAGCTGCTCGAGGACCGAAAGACTTACAGGCGCACGCCTGATCCGATAATTGGTGTTGATGACGAGCTCCACTTTCTCGGTCAACTGGAGGAAGGTCATCCACAGAGCTACCAATGTCGGCATTTCCGATGGCACATAAGAATGCCTCAAATCAGGCGTCATCTTCTCCAGCTCATCCAGAACGTCCGCCATGGTCGGCATCGGGGTGTCCATATCCTCGGCGTGTATCCTTGCATCGAGTCAGCTGCGGCTTGATGCAGGATGTGTGACCAGCTTACCTCATTGGTCGTCCAAGACCAAGCGCAAGCCATGCTTCTCTGCAGTAACAGCACCACCAAATCCTTCTCCAGACTGCATATTGGCTTGCTGAAAAGGGCGATCGTGGAAGTCGCTGCCAGCCAGCGTCCCTGTGCAGTCCGATGCCATGGCATAGGCTAATGGCAACACCAAGCCAGTGCCAGGAACCGTCCAGGTCTTCCAGGTCGATATAGTAGTAACCGAGAAGCAACACCGACTGGATTATCGTCGTTTTATCGGTCTCGACCTGCACATCGTATAATGCCTGGTACGTGTTAGAATTGTCATGCATGAGCAGGCCAGGCTCACCTTCGCATGCGCATAGAAATGCTCTCTGAGCGCCTTGCGACCGGAGAATCCAGTCTCCTGAAGTGTTGCGGGATTGACAAACTGCACTGTTAGTCAATCTCGAGTGTGGTAGGGGTCGACATACGCTAGCCGCAGCGAAAAAGACGCTCCATATCAGCAAGGCCGAGACACCCTTAACACCATTGTTGAAGGAGTGCAGGAAATCCGAAGCATTCAGAACCGGCAAGACGGGATGCACATAGTCGAAGTACAGCCGGACTAGCTCCTGACAAACAGCGGGTGACGGCAGCGCCCTCGATTCGAGCCGATTCGCGACTTCTGGATCGGCGAAGTTGGCACGTTGTCGATTGATGATATAGATTGTCCCTTTGAAAGGACGGTTCTACCAGCAATCAGGCACTGGCATCATCGATGACGGCTAGCACCTACGGGATGGCAAACGTCAAACAGGAAATCGAGACCTTCGGATTCTCCGGCGTGATACGGTACTAAGGGCGGATCGGAGGCATTTGGACTTGCTTGTCGATGCTCGGCTTCATGCGTGACAGACGCTGCATGTGGCGTGGGCTCTGCTCTCGTCACTGCTCCATTCGACGGTGTGCGCCCAGCTTGATCATTTTGCAGCCCGGCCGCGATACTGGACACAACCGTTGACGGCGTGGGTGGGTACAGACCGTCGTCGGTCGTGTTCAGTCTGGGTCTGATGGCCCGTTCTGGCCCACTAGTTCGTCGATTCAGTCTCCGCTAATCGACCGAGGTAGAGGTACCTAGACTCACAACGAAGGTCGCCTGCCATATACGCGGCAGATCGTCCCATCCTGAGAACAGCTATCAACGGGTCAGGTTGATCTTACCAAGCACAGGCGATAAAAAGCGTGGTGCAGAGTCTCGCCTCTCCCTGGCTTCGACCCAGGCACTGGCTCCGGAGTTGTGGCAGTGATGGCAACTCACTTGCTGCACGGTGGTCCGGTGACGGCAACATTACACCTCACCTTGCGATCGTGACAGATCGTACTTTGCTCCGTCAGCGACAACAGCGCGTAGGTGATGGACACAGGTACACACCAAGCAATTGCACTTCTTTTGCGCTTCGTGCTTGACGACTCACTCATCCTGAAGACGCCCCATGAAGGCTTGTGTGGCCTCGTTGCCCTGCCGAGGTTTGCATCGATTGGCAGCAGGGAGCAGGATAAGTACGACCAGCAACAAGCTCGGCTCAATCACCAATCCCCGCTTCACGCTGGACCTTGGGCCGAGTGTGACCTGGAGCCGCTGGAGCTGCGGGGAAGTTGACCCCCACAAAGGCCACGAGATTGCGGGAACCCAGGCCAAAATCAAGCTTAGTGGAAGCCACATGCTTGGAAGGGCTAAGCTCCCCTAAGCGATAAATCTGCAAGATTGGCTACTCTGCCGAAACAAGGGGATTGACTTCCCCAGCTAAAACCCTCCTCCATCCTCGACCCAATTCTACCTGTTTTCCTATTTTTTTGACTCGGCCAGACGTGACTCTGTTCGCACACCACGCGGCGGTCTCGACCAGAATATGGAGTCTCCCCCGCGTGTCAAAGGACTAGCACGCGCCAGCTATGCGGAATCATGACCATAGCATTTCAGTGTTTCTGATGACCTGACCGTACCCTGCGCGATAAGGTACACTCATCACAATACGACATGTCGGGGTGTAAATGGTGTGGTCATGCCGTTCAAACGGCATTCTCGCAACTCTCTGCGACTTCCGGCGATCTTAAGGGTCAGTCTAGTTGCAAAAGAAGGAAGAATGGCCGGAAAACGAGATGCAGTCCTGAAAGGCCGCTCCTCGTGGAGGTCGATCTAAAGTTACTCCACGGAGTCTGGCCACCAATCTATCCTCCCGTCTCTCGCCACCTAAGCCGTCATTGGGGCGGCTGCGATTAGACTTTACAGTGTGCATTGCAGCTTTCGTCTTCTGATGGGTTTCCTCACCGAGGATAACTACCGCGACACCGAGGTCTGGTACCCACCGATACCTTCATTAACCAGCTCGATACCCCAGATCTTGCTCTGAGTTCTATCGGTCATTTTTGTAAGTCTGTGGAAAGCGAAGAGCTTGCCCAACATGTCGGACGTCACACCTTCAAGCGCAAGTGACATTGAGAAGAATGGTGTTCGGGAAACACGCACAGAGCATGTTGAGGATGAGGAGAAGCACGTCAATAGTGCTCTTCGCATCGATGGCGACGATGAGGACCACATGCACGAGCCACCGGTATGTATGCCCCATCTGATCAACACACATGAGCTGACCTAGCTACAGATGACATTCAAGCGCTTTATGAGTTTGCTTGCTATGGCATTCCTCTGGACTGGCAGCCAGATTCCAGTATACATCTTCGGTTCAATTCCACCATATATCTACGGCGATATTGGTGGCGTCGACAGGTGGATTTGGTTCGTCCTCGGCAACCTTCTGGCCCTTGCAGGTGTCTGCCCGTTCGTGGGCTCGCTTTCAGATCTTGTTGGTCGTCGATATGCCGCTCTGCTCGGAGGATGCTTTCTTTGCATCGGGACTGTCGTTGCGACTTGTGCAAAGGACATGAACATGTTCATCGGTATGCACCTCTCCTTCCTCTACAACGTCCACTTTCCTAACTGTAGAAGCCGGAACAACCATTGCTGGTGCAGGCGCCGGCATTTGTGAGTTGACAGCACTGGCTGTGACATCTGAGCTTGCCCCAACTGCCAAGCGCGGCAAATACGTCGCCATCCTCATCTTCACGATCATTCCATTCGTCCCATCTGGACTTTATGGTCAGTTGATCGCGGCATACGCTGGCTGGCGCTATTGCGGCATCATCATCTGCACGTGGTGCGGCATCGGCACAATCTTCACTGCGCTCTTCTACTTCCCACCACCGCGTCCAAACTCCAAGGGCAAGTCAACGAACGAGATCCTGCGCGAAATCGACTTCGTGGGTGGTCTCCTCAGCATCTCCGGCATGGTTGTCTTCATGGCTGGAATGCAGTGGGGCGGCTACCAGTACGCCTGGGACTCTGCGCACGTTCTTGCGCCACTGATCATCGGAGCTGGCCTCCTCATCGCATTCGGCTTCTGGGAGGTATATGGTGCCAAATTCCCCATGTTCCCATCCCGCCTCAAGCAGGATCCTCGAATCTTGGGCCTGACTCTGGTCATCACCTTCATCTCCGGCGCCAACTTCTTCGGCTACCTCATGTTCTGGCCCACTCAGGCATTCAACGTCTACGGCCACGATCCCGTGCAGGTCGGTCTGCGCGTCCTCCCTGGTGGCATGGCCATCCTTACAGGTGCTTGCGTCGTGTTGTGGCTTCTCAGCGTTTTCCGTGGCCGCAACAAGGAGCTCATGATCATTTCCTGCATCCTGATGACGGCTGGAACCGCTTCCTTGGCCTGCGCTACTCCTGACAACATGGACAAGCTCTGGGGTCTTTTGATCCTCGGCGGTTTCGGAATTGGTGGCATCGTCGTTCCAGCATCCATCATTACAACCATCATCTGTCCCGATGATCTGATCGCCACAGTGTCTGCACTGACCCTGTCCATCCGCGTCATTGGTGGCAGCGTCGGCTACTGCATCTACTACAACGTCTTCGTCGCCAAATTCAAGGTCTACGCACCTGAGTTGATCGGAGGTACTATGTACAAGCTCGGAATTACCAACGTCACCTACATCACCAATGCCATCATTCTGACCGGCGCTAGCTTGTTAGAGGAGATGAAGGCGATTCCCGGCCTGGAAAACGAGACGGCATACAACATGGTTGTCCGTGCTGGTCAGGAAGCGTACTCGATGAGCTATCAGTACGTCTACTTGGCATCTATTGCCGCTGGAGTCATTAGCATTGTCTGTGCGTGCTTCTTGGGAGATATCAACAAGTATATGGATGATCATGTTGCTGGTAAGTTACACTGTCCTACGTCTAGTTGGATGAATGCTAACAAAGTCCAGTCGTGCTTCATTAAGTGCTGCAGAACACAACGATACGGTGGATCTCTTGCATCGCAAGCCATGCGGTCGAGCAATGTTGATAGCATACTGGGATATGTACAACGTGACTGCAGTAGGCTTGCAGTCCAGGTCAAATGACTACGAATATGAACATGAAATTACAGTTCTGTACGCCGTGGCGACGTGTATCAGCGTAGTTCGAGTCAGCCCGTCTCTCGATCATACAGTCTGACTCACTCATCCAGCCGTAGAGAATCCGATTTGTGCCATTAGTGACGCCGCGATCAGCGGTGCAGTGTCGCAGCACGCACAGCCTCGCGGTTTGGCTCCATGTGGGTTCGACAGTGGAATGCTGCAGGTCGTTCTCGACGCTCTTCACTGACGCCTTCTCTGTACAATCAGCAAGCATCAACGATGTTGGTATCGCGGCGGAGAGAAGGGGGAAGCACGACCAGAGCCGGGGTTGGGTGCGGTGTCGAGAACGGTCCTGCTCTTTAGACGGGCAACACTTGGTCCTTTTGGTGTCAAGGAGTACCGCATGCTGGGACCATTGCTGAACGGACGAAAGTGGGGTTATTGTAGTGGTAGTAGCCACACGTCGGCATGGAAAGAGCACCTGACAGGTTGCGCAGGCAGGTACTTAATTCTATGCCACCTGGGCAGGCTCGGCAGGTAATGGTGAAATGGAAAGTTAAGGTTCATGGCGTGAAAAAATTGCGGGGAACCGCTCATGGTCGAGACTCGAGCACACCTGTAGCGACTCAGTATCAAGCGGGTGCGATCCTCAAGGATTCCGCGTGCGTCTCAGCGTCTCATCAGAAGCTTTTGGTCCGTCTAGAGCGTGCCTGACTGAGAGGTGGGGAAGAAGTACTGCGGTGCTATAATATGTTGTCCTTTCCGCTTGTTTTAGATCTTGTCTTTCTAGCAGCGGTGGAACCAATACGGCACAGTACTTCTCTCAACAATCTCGACGACACCGGCCATCATGGCGCGAGAAGATATTTCCTTCCAGACGGCAGACAATGTCACACTTCGAGGCTGGTTCTACAAGCCCAAAGATAGCTCGGGGCGTCTGCCCTGCCTCGTCATGGCGCACGGCTTTTCGGCGTTGAAGGAGATGGACCTCGACACATTCGCTGACTACTTCACCAGCAGACTCCCGCTAACATGCTTGGTCTACGACAACCGAGGATTCGGTGCCAGCGACACGAAAGAAGGGCAACCCCGCCAGGAAATCTTACCTGTCCAGCAGACGAGTGACTACTCTGACGCTATTACCTATGCCCAGACCCGAGAAGAAGTCGACAGTAAAAAGATCGGAATCTGGGGTAGCTCGTACAGTGGAGGTCATGTACTTTGGGTCGGTGCTGTGGACAAAAGGGTCAAGGCGGTTCTCTGCCAGGTCCCATGTGTTGACGGCTACTCCAACTTCCAGCGGCTGATTCGACCTGACTTTGTGGGCGGTCTTAATGAGATGTTTGAGCAAGGTTCGTCATGCCAGTAGCCCAGACCGCCGTGACCATGGTATAATTGCTGACGACAACACGTGTGCAGATCGTCACGCGCGTGCCGCCGGGAAGCCAGCAGGAACCCTCCCGGTGGTGGACGAAAACCCAGCGGCACCTTCTGCGTTACCGACGCCGGACTCGTACACCTTCTTCACAGCGTGGGGCAAGAAAAGTCCATGGAAGAATGAAGTGACTGTAAAGTCGTGAGCGCCGCCACCCGATCCAGACTTACGTGCTTCCCAACTGTGAGCCCAAGCTGATCTAAGCAGGATCGAGGCGTTCCGTGAATATAATCCATCGGCACATATCCATCACATCTCTCCGACGCCCCTCTTGATGACGGTGGCAGAGAACGACGTCTTGACGCCTACAGACCTTGCGATAGAAGCATACTCGCGGGCGAGGGAGCCGAAACAGCTGAATCTTCTTCCGGGTGGTCATTTTGATGGGTACTCCGGGCCGAACTTCGAGAGGAATGCCGGCACGCAGGTGGAGTTTCTGAGGAAATGGCTATGTTCGTAGAACTTGCTGCTGGTAGTTGACCGTCCTATCTGTAGCGTCGCGTGTTCTGCGAGGGACATGACCAAAACGCATGCATAGGAGTAATTGCGAACAAATTGAAACTCCGACTTCAAATTCAGAGGCAGAGGCAGTGATCGAGCGGAGTCGAAATCTTGGCATAGAATTCATGGATGTGAACTTTTTTGGAGTTCAATGTCGTGGTGATTTTGGGACTGAAGACTTGCGCCGTTCTGACACAGTATCCGCTGCTGCAGTCGATTCCCATGGCGCCGTCGCAGCTGAAGCAGCTGAAGGCTTCGCTGCGGGATAGCGGTGTCCTGGGTCCCCAAAAGTCGAAGAAGCAACAAAAAGCATCGGCTAAAGATGCACAGAAACGTTTGCAGCGGAGCGCCGCGCTCGAGGGCATTCGCGACAAGTTCAACCCGTTCGAAGTCAAGGCGCCAGCCCGACGGCCAAAGCATGAGTTCGTCAGCAGCAAGGAACAGAAGACCAGTATTGGTCGACCGGGAGTCACGCGTGGCCTGGGAGAAGAGCGCAGGCGAGAGACTCTGCTTCGCGAGATTCAAAGCAGGAACAAGGTCGGAGGGCTCTTGGATAGGCGCTTCGGCGAGAATGATCCTACGTTGACACCAGAACAACGCGCTGCGGAACGATTTGCCCGTCAAAATGAGCGAAAGTCTCGGAAGACGGCCATGTTCAACCTCGAAGATGACAGCGAGGAAGAGATGGCACTGACGCATGCTGGACGGTCGCTTGAGTTTGGAGAAAATGTGGTCGAGGACTATGAGAAAGACGATATGGACAGATCTAGCGACGATGACGAGCAGGAGCGACCGAGGAAGCGGATGCGGGTTGACGAGGAAGGTGCCTCTGAGGAAGAGCAAGTGATGCCGGAGCGCAAGAAGACCAAGAACGAAGTCATGCAGGAAGTCATTGCGAAATCGAAAATGCACAAGGCCGAGCGACAGGCTGCGAAAGCTGACGACGAAGACCTACGCATGGAGCTGGACAAAGGAATGGACGACCTGTACGAAGCAATGAGAGGACACAAACCACCACCGAGGCATCTGCCTACCCCTCCGAGCGACTCTGAGCCGCAGATGGACCCGAGTAGAGCCGCTATGCTCGCCGGAAAGAGCCGTGAGGAGGCAGAGAAAGAGTATGAGGCAAACATCCGGCAGATGAAGATGGATGCAAGATCGAAGCCATCAGTGAGAACAAAGACCGATGAAGAGAAGGCCGCAGAAGAGGCAGACCGACTACGAGAACTGGAGCGCCAACGGCAGAGGCGGATGCAGGGTGAAGCTGAGAGCTCAGAAGACGAGGACAACGAAGGTGAGCCAGCAGCGGATGCAGACGAGATTCCTGACGATGCCGAGGCGTTCGGTTTGTCTGCACCTGAGCCAGTCTATCGGCCAGACATTGATGTCGAAGACGAGGACGAGTTCGTGCTTGATGATCTAGTTGCGAGTGGCTCAGATCTCGACATGGCATCTGACCACGATGACGATGACAGCGATGATTCCCAGGCGGAAGACGCTGATGTAGCGGACGATGGAGACGATGACTTCATCAATGGCCTCGTCCTGCCGAAGCAGCCTCAGAAGTCGGAGAGCGGCAAATCAGCAGCGTCACGAAACGACCTCGCATTTACTTACCCTTGTCCGCAGTCACACGAAGAGTTCCTGGCGGTAATCGAGGGGAAGGATCTGGGTGATATCCCGACGATTGTGCAACGGACTCGTGCTCTGTATCACAAAAGACTTGCTGAGGGCAACGAGGAAAAGCTGGGAAAGTTCGTCCACGTGCTCGTCGATCATATCGCGTATATGGGCGAACACGAAGAAGTATTTCAGCAAGACGTGTCAGAAGCACTAATCCGACATCTCCATTCGATGGCAAAGAGCCAACCTCAAGAAGCCGCACGAGCATTCCGCATTCGTCTACAGACCATTTCCCAGCTGCGACCATTGAATCTGACGGCTGGAGATCTCTTAGTCTTCACGGCTGCCATGACCATATTTCCCACATCAGATCAGTTCCACACGGTGATCACACCTTCGTTGCTCGCTATGGGGCGCTATCTTGGCCAAGGATCGATCCAAAGCTTGAACGGCATCAGCAAGGGGCTGTATTGCTGTACGTTGTGTCTCCAGTACCAGCGACTTGCGAACAGATACGTGCCAGAAGCCGTCAACTACTTGGTCAACGTCTTGGCTATCCTATCGCCAGTCGTCATGCCTGAAAAGACTGCACAAGGGCAGCCACTGGGCGTTCTTGTCCGGCTTCCTGGTCAGTCACTGAGAATCACGTTGGACGTTCTGAAGGCGAAAGCGATGCCGACGGCAGGCTTCCAGACCCTTGTTTTGAAAGACGGCTTGCAACCTTCTGCAAGTATTCAACTCCTTCATCTTGCCATCAGGCTCGCCTATGAATTGTCAGAGCTCTGGTCTCAGAAGACCGCCTGGTCGGAGATTGTCGAGCCAATTCTACATGCCCTGTCCCATCTGCAGACCAGCAAATTGCCCCGGGACACTCAGACCCTGATCAAGACCACTCTCTCATCCCTCCAAACCAGCCAGATAGACGCCATCGCAAACCGCAAACCTCTCCTCCTACACAATCATCGCCCACTCGCAATAAAGCAGTCCATACCTCAGTTCACCGATAACTACATCCCGACGAAACACTACGATCCCGACGCCGAACGAGCACAGCTTTCGAAACTCAAAGCCGAGCACAAGAAAGAGCGCAAGGGCGCGATGCGTGAACTGCGCAAGGATGCCAACTTCATTGCGCGTGAGCAGCTGCGGGAGAAGAAGGAGAAGGACGAGGCTTATGACAAGAAGTTCAAGCGATTGGTGGCAGAGATCCAGGGTGAGGAGGGGAGGGAGGCGAAGGAGTATGAGAGGGAGAAGCGGAAGCGGAAGGGGAAGTGAGGATGAGACAGTAGTATCGCATCGTGATCGCCTCCAGAAGAATGCATCCTGCGGAAGCAGTAGCAATTGCCCGTGTCAAAATTTCCTCTTGAATGTTGGGACTCTCCCTGGCAGGTTACGGGTTGGACAATACAGCCTACTGGTCCAGGCATTCCTGCATCGTTCCTGCCTAGTCCGAGTGGTTTCCTTCTGCTTCTGTCTTTGTGTCTTCCCTCTAGGTAGATACATCGCTACTCCTACTCGCTGCAGCGCTTGCATGCCTGCCCTGCTAGGACCTGCGTCTTCGACTGAACATCTTGTCATCGAAACCATTGTGCGTGCCTCAGTGTAGCGTTCCACTCGAGAGCCTGTCCATAGCTCTACTACCTTCGCCCTCACCTGTCGCTGTCTCACGAGTCGGGACCCATCCCAGGGCATCCGCAAAAAAGCAAAAAAGGAAGGCCATAAGCACCGAGTATGATCAGTGCCGGGTTCGAACCGGCGACCTTGTCCGTGTTAAGGACACGTGATAACCAACTACACCAACCGACCGTGGGTTTATTTTTGTGAGGAAGTGTGCGTCACTTTAGCGCCAAACCTTGGTCACAAATTTATATAAAGCTTTATAGTCTCCGTGCCAGCTATCGCTTTTTCTGGTCTCACCTAGGTGCCAATCACGCCCGCTGTGCGTGCCCATGGGCAAGTCGGCGCAGCAGCGACAGCAAGCCACTACTTTGAGATGGTACGAGACACGGAAAGGATCTTGGCACTCTTCTGGACCGTTGCCATCACTGATACCGCCTGAGACTCAGCAGTTGTGACCTCGATGACGACGAGTGTGCGAATTGCAACACATCACCAGCAAGACGCACCGTGGAGCTGTGGTATAGCTTTGTTCGAGATCAGAATTCGCGTAGGATACGCATCACGACCGTCTGAGCACTGGTTTGTCTGTTACAAGGAAGCCGGACGCAGCCGTCACCGCCTTGCTTTCGGCTTTGCCCATCTACCTGGCGGGAAATTCATCAGCCTCTGCTTTCCTACCCGAAACATACTCGGCACCTCCGTCTCCTCAATCCTGACCTTGTCGTCTCTCACCATGCTCGCTAGCCCTCTCGCCGACAGCAGAATATGCAACATTCCGGCCCCGTTGAAGCCGGCGCAGATGTACCTGCCCTCTCCCTCGAGCGGACCTACATATGGGTAATTATCTGGCGTGCTACCCATAATCCCCGTCCACAGATGATCAATCCTAACCCCAGACTCCGCCCAGTCCCTATACTTCACCTTCAACAAATTCTCAAAATATTCACGGACCTCTTTCTCATACACCAGCGTCCCATCATCCACAGTCGCCACACAGCACGACGTATCCAAGCGAAACACCTCGTACGCGCCGCCGAACACGACTGAGTCATCCGGGCGCATGTTGAGGTAGTTGACTTCCCCGCTGGGTTCGTGGATGTTGTATGTCACGGTGCGGGTCTGCGTCGGACTGCTGCTGTGCTCGCGCAAGGCGTGGCAAGCGGTGCCCTTGCAGGGCATGATGACGTCCTCGTAGCTCGGCAGTATGCCAGCGGTATACGCGTTGGTCGCGAAGACGACTTTCCGGGCTCTGACCACGCCCCGATTCGTCTCGAGGGTGAAGTATCCATCGGAGCCACGAGTCTCGCTGACCTTCTGAACCAGAGTATTGGTCTGCAAGTCCACGCCTTGCTCGAGAAGTCGCTCAGTCAGCCCGCAAACAAATTTATACGGCCACAAGGACGCAGCAGGCACGCCGAACGCTCCTCCGTCAACGCCCTTGACACCCGTGATGCGTTCGATACCGTCCATACTCCACTCCTTCACACTCAACACTTGGATCTGATTCAGCACCCACAAACCCGTCTCCCTCTCCCTCCCAGCGTGCCATCCCTCAACATCCGCCCTCAGCGCCTCCACGCCCGCACCTTCACTTCCCAGACCGCACTATCCAGAATCACATCCCAGCTCCTCGTAACCAAAAACTGTGCCTCAGCACCCAAACCCTCCATATCACTCAGCGCCTTCATCGCGTCCAGCTGCGCCAACTGGTAAGCACCCAGCTCGATGGCCGCAGCAGCGGAGACGGTGGCGTGCAGGTGCAGGAGATGCGAGAAGGCGAGTTTGAGATGTCCGCCGTTGCGGCCGGTGGCGCCAGAGCAGAGGGTGCGTGCTTCGAGGAGGAGGATGCTCGGGTTTGGTTTGGGGTCTGGGATGCTTGGGAATGCGCTGTCGGCTTTGGGCGATGCGGAAGATGTGCCATTCATAATCGGAGGGATAGGTAGCGGATCCGGGTTCAGAATGCTATAAGCGACCGAGACGCCGGTCATGCCGGCGCCGATGATGAGGACATCGGTGTGGGATGGCAAGTCGGGAGTTGAGCGGTGGCTTTCAAGGGCGTGTGGTTTGCGCGCCAGTATGATGTTGTGCTTGTCTTGGAGGGAAAGGTGAGGTTGGAGGGGATGTGTGGTTCCTTTGTTGCTTTCATGTTTGCGGAAGCGGGTGTGGTCAGTAGGGTCTGTTGCGCGTGTGGCAGGTTGCGAAGCCCGATATGGTGAGTGACAATGTGTGCTATCTTATATCAACCTGCTCAAGGCACTCTCGACAAACCATCGCTCTCTGGTCAGCAGGACTTTGATCACCAAACGAGATACTTGCAGATACCCGCAGGCATAGGAATGCCGTCGCAGACAATTGAAACTGCACTGAAGTCGTAAAAGCAACATATATTGAGTATTTAAAGAGACTATCAGCGCGTAACGACTTACCTGTATACGCCATACGCTAGGCTCCAATTTGGACGAAGCTGATGATTGGAGATCGCGCACAACGCGCAAAGCAGACTGTCGATCATCTATGTGTTGTCGGGGTATTGGAAGCGTACAATGACGATGGAGATGAAGCAAAAGGACAATTGGAGAAAGTGGACGATATTGCAAATTGAATGCCACTGATCTGTGGAGCGAGTAAGGCAGGCAAGAATGACTCAGTGCTGCTATCGACCACGACCCTAGACATGATCAGATTCCTGGATACAGCTCTGTTGCGCCGCCCCGCCCTTCCATGAATCGGCGTCGCTGAACAGCGATAGCGATGTATCTGTAAGCGATCGCCAAAACGCAAGATAACTGTATGGTGACACAGCTAATAGTCGAGTGTTGCCTCACCGGATCCGCCCATAGGCCTTCCAGCGCCGTTCGATTGACCAGAGGGTTGAGCGTCGAGATCCTCGTAGCTCTTGATCGTTCTTCCCTGGATGGCTTCGCGAGGGCCGATGGCATTAACACCGTTGCCCATGCCGTCACCCCATTTGCCGCCACCGCCGCCACCACCCTGAGCAAAGAAGCCCGAGCCACCAGGAGGCCCATGCCTCGCACCAAGCCACCCATGTTGTTGTATCCGCGACCTTGATTGCGCGGAGCGCGGTCGTAAGGACCGGAGCGGTTGCCGAAACGTCCACCACCACGCCGAACAGGACCACCGGAGTGACCATTTGCCTCGAAGCCAGTCATATTCTGCATGAACTGATTCGCCATGTTCGACATGTTGGCCATAGCATTAGAGTTGAACATGTTCATGTTCTGCAGGCTGAAACCTCTCGGTGTGCCGCTGTTCAGATGATGGTTGGCCGGCAGAGGGAAGTGACCATTTGAGTTGGCATCAGATCGTGAAGGCGCAATGTGTGAGGGATCCAGGACGTATGTGTTGACGAGGTCCAGCTGTTTTGTGTTAGTAAAGCATTGTCAGTAGCTTAGCGAACTTACATCATTCTTGAGTGCCTTGTACCAGTCCTCATGCCTCTTCTCAACATGCTTCTTCCAGAAATGTTCTGCTTTGAACAGCTTCTGACATTCGGGCACTTTGCAACGATACTTGGCCTCGTCCTCCTGCTTGACGTATTTTGAAAGCTCTTCATCAACAGCCTCGTCGACGGGTTTGCCACCAATCTTCTTCAGATCGGTATATTCGGGTTCAAGTAGCTGCAAGACCTTTTCTTCGTAGGTCTTGACCCAATTGAATGCACGAAGCAGTTGCTGCTCACTCCGGTTGAATTTCTGTCGCTTCTCCTGTACAGGCGAATCCGAGCCATCGTCATTGCCGTTCTGTCGAGACTCTTTCTTGCCTGGGAAGGGATCACCGGCAGCACTTGCGCGAGCAGCGGCCTTTGCAGCGGATGTCAAGCCTGCTCTTGGGCGACGCAGATGACCACCTGGACATTTCCGGATGAGCTCGTGTACCGAGTCCGATTCGAATACGCAGTAGAGGCAGAAGTTGTGAACCCGACGAAGATACTCGATGAGCATATCGAGCTTCTTCTTGACCACCAGTAACTCCTCGTCGTCGTCATCTTCCACCTCTTCGCCTTCCTCACCTTCTTCTTCGAATTTGATCTCATCGTCGTTGTCCTCGAAATTGGACTTCTTGGCTTTTGGTGGAGGAACAATGAGACCTTGGCTGCGCATCTGCTCCACACGAGCGTCAATCTTGGCCAAGCCGCCAGTCATGTCATCTTTGCCCGACTCCGTGTCGAACTTGAAGACCAGTCGTCGGGCCAGCTCGTAATCGCGCTCTACACGCTCAGGAGCAGAAAACAGGTCCCAAAGAGCCTTCTTGCGAGGTACTGGAACGGTGCTGTGCACTCCCACATGGCAGACGAAGTCGCCGCGTATGGGATCTGTGATGGTCTTTGAGTCCACAAGCTCCATGGCGCGCTGTGTTGGGGCAGCCTTTGCCAATTCTGGCTTCTTCTCCTCTTCCTCACCTTCTTCACCTCTCCCATCGCCGCGGTCATTAACCTCCATGGCATCGGGATCTTCCTCGCCTCCTGGATGAAGCATGATCCAACCGATGCGATGGAATTTCTTGGATGGGTTGGGATCGCTGAGCGAAAGCCACTTGTAGCCGCCAGCATCCTGGCCCAGTTGCTCCTTGCAGAAAGCTTCGATGCTCTCGCGGCTAACGTTCGGCGCAAGAGTCTTGATGAGAAGAGCAGGCTGTTGTGCAGCTTCATCGCGAAGGTCTCCGCCTTTGGCAGGAACAAGGTCGAGCACACCAAGTACTTCGTTGCCACCGACCGCTTCGCCCTCTTCTTTCTCGACCATACCGCCAGCACCATCACTGTCGTTCTTGTAGATGCCTTCCAAAGTGAACTCGTCGAAGACACCGGCTTCGATATCCTTCTGCCATTGCTCGAAGGCTTCAGTGCGGAAGTCCATCAAACGTTTGCGGAAAGCATCTCTGACTTCTGGGATGTACCGCTCCTTGAACCACTCCTCGCCTTTATGCTGGTTGACGAACGCACGTGCCATCTTAACCTGGAAGTCTTGCTTGTACTGGTCATATGCTTCTTGGATTTTGGCGTGCTCCTTGTCTCGATCCTCTTTGGCCTCCCGTTCGCCTTTGACACGATCTGGACGACCGCCGGTCCTCTGACGCTCTTTGTCTTGCTTGATCTCCTGCTCCGTTCTCCACCAATCGCGGAAGAAGCTGAAGCCGACCTGCGTATCCATAGCGAGAGGATTTGTGAGCATATTGGCACGGATCTGTGGCTTGTCTGGTTCCTGGCCCGGCACATATCGATCAATGTTCGCAGCTGTTGGTGAGGGAGCTCGTCGACGATCGTCTCTCTCGCGTGGTGCCTGTCGTCGGTCATCGTTGGGCTCGCGCTCGCGGACTTGTCGGTCACGACCTGGCTGATACCGATCTATGCCTGCAGGTGATCTGGATCGTTCTCGGCCCCGTCTCCGATCCGGAGCTGCTTGCACGTTAGTACGTGCTGGATTGCTACGGAACAGACTTACGAGGAGAGCGCCGTCTGTATGTGTCGCCACGATCACCGCGATCACCACGGTCAGCATCGTCACGATGTCGGGGTGCTGGTCGCTCAGCAGTGGGAGAGCCATAAGCTTCGTAAGGATTCATCCTGGGAACTCAAGTATCGTGCCAGGTGTCGTGATCCGCAGGAGACGACCACAGGCTCCTGAGTCCTGACTCTCGGGCTATGTGACGACCTGATCAGTCATAGATCGACTGGAAAGTAAAGAGCTAGAATGGAGGAGTCGATCTGTTAGACATGGATCAGACATAAAGAGCAACGAAGCAGCCATGTTTGCTGCGAGAAGAAGATAATCATGATCAAAGAAGATCAAGCTCGATGGTGGGTACGATAGCAATCGCGATCACAGGTGAGTTTGATGTTAGGAGGCATGGGAGTTTGTTGTAATGATACAAGGTTGGCGGCGGTGCAAATAATGGCGCCGAAGAGGCATGGTGGTCGAGACGTGCAAGGACAACGTACAGATAGATGAATCGATGCGACCAGGTCAACTCTGGCGCGGTGGGTGAGAGATCGATTGATGGTAAGACGAAGCAGTTGCTTGCATCGCAGGTCAACAGCGCGTGTCGAATGTGGAGAAATGCGTCACGTGTCCGCGACCGAGCACCTACCCCTTCACACTTCACTTATCGAAGGCAGTTGCAGATGAGGTTGTTTGCTCCTGCCACAACCGACAAGATGTGACGCATCTTCGCTGGGGAGATCTTTCATAAACGACCTCTCCACCATCTGAGTTCACCACGACGTAGGCCTCGAGAGCGCGACTTGACCACAATTCTAGTTCATCTCAGACAACTAGGTGGGCAGATGAACAGTTGTCAGCACTTACACAATGGCAATGACCGGGTACATTGATGTCGTTCGAGCTTCGACATTCAATACCGCAGATTGGGTTACGTCCGTTGGCGTCGTCAATCCAGACTGGATCTGGCTCGCCAACGCCAACGTACAGTGAGTATTAGCCCACAACCCAATAAAGTGTTTCCTGTCTCACGACGCTCATAGTGTCGCTGCGTCTCGTGGATGGTTCAAGACCTACACTGCGTTCAAGTCCAAAGTGAAGACCTCACCTCGCCGGAACTCGAGCAGTTTCAGGGACGTCGTCGGCATTGGGACCGTGGAGATTTCAGTCCAACGAGACCCAAAGCTTACTGGTAGAGGATCTCAGAGCGTTCTCGTGTTCGAAGATGTTCTGCACGTCCCAGGATTCGTATGCAATGTTCTCGGCAGTCCACTCGCACACCGAGACTCCGACTACGTCATCAGTATCAGCGCTCCCATTTCAAAGCCTAACCTCCGGATCATGGATCTCAATAACCAGAAGCTCGCTTACTTTGAGGAGAAGACGAATCTTGACGTCCTCAAGCTCGGGCATATTCCAAATGGTATACGTCTGAGTCCATCAAAGCTGAGGGATGATGTCGGGTATCACATCGAACTTGCTTGGGACGAATCCGAGAAACGTCGCTGGATGAGACTCAAGGTCAGCCAGCAGCGCAGCCAGCAATGCACAGCCATCGCAAGCATACTGGGCATCAAGGACAAGCCTGCATCCGGATCCGGGCCTACTCTTACTGGCAGAACGCTCCATACACCGCCGAAGAGAAAGCATACCTCAAGAAGGGTTGGCGTGACGAGTTCCACTTCCTACAATTGTATCAGCTTAGCATCTACGACGAGGACGATCGTGAGGAAGGTCGAGCCATCCTACGCGCTTTCAAGGAACAGGACGATTGGGACGCAGTGGCACAGGAAGAGGAAAAGTTGTTGACTAATACTGACGTCGGAGCCGATCACGACTTCACGCCTGGTGAGATCAACGCACTACGAATACTCCGAACACTTCATGACGATTTACTGTCCCAGATCGTACGACGCAGAAGATCTTAATGACGCAGAGCCTGCACTTGGGATCTCGTGGCATATCCAGGGAGGTGTGTGACGCATTAGACTCTGGCACCACCATACGAACCAATTTCGTTACGCCTTCCATAGATAGTCAAGCAGCACGGATGCCCGCCTTCCAGACATTTATCACGCCATCCCCCTCCCACAAGTTTTCGAGCCCATCCAGCACGTTTCCCTTCACCAGCAACAGATCCGCCCTCTTCCCAACTTCAACCGTTCCTCGATCATCAAATCCCAACCGCCTCGCACTAACCTCCGTCGCACTATGCAACGCCTCCTGAACCGAAAACCCGCACTTCTCAACGTACATCCATAATTCCTGCCACAAGCTCGGCCCGATCGCCGTCCCCTGCAGACCAGCAACCGAGTCCGTACCAGCGGCAATGTCAATACCCGCCGCTTTCAGCTGTCTGATAGATTCGTAGGCGTGCTCTATGCTGGCGCCTTCCGCGGGAGCTTTGAGCGAGGCGAGCATGTTCTCTTTTTGTGTTGAGTCGATCAGGCCTTTTGAGGAGGCAATGTCGGCGAATTTCTCGCGTAAGGTTTGTTCTTCGCCTGTCAGGGAGGTGAGGACTACGAGTGTCGGGACGACGAATGCGTTCTTTTCCCTGTATAGAGAAATGATCGCTTTGGTCGGGGCTTGGTCGATGAATGTGTGTGCCTACCGCCGGGTTAGTCGAGCACACGCTGATTGAGTCGCAGACACTACCAGGCCGTCCGCGCCAGACTTCAAGATGATCTCTGTGTTCTCAATCGCAGTCGCGTGCCCGAGCACCTTCAGTCCATGCTTGTGAGCAGCATCGACGACGGCGGTCTGTAGCTCGAGTGTCGCCACTGGTATCGAGTTGGTTGGGAATGCTAGCGAACAGCAGTTCTCCTGCATGAGCTTGATGTAGTCTGCTCCTCGCTTCTTGTGGTCTGCGACGAAGTCGGCGGCAGTCTCTGCAGTAAGTTTTGGCCATTTGCTGATTGCTACTTTCAGCTGTGGGAAGTCAGAGCTAGTATCATCTTTGGGTGGCGTGGTGCTTACTTCTTCCGTTGGGTGATTCGCCATAACGATTGGGACTGGCCAGCCTCCGTCTTGATGTACAGGTCAGTATCACGGATAATGTGAGAGGACAGCCGCGAGTCGCGATTGATGCGCGATACCAGGCATGGTAGTGAGGGGCCAATGGGATGGCCATCCATTCATACCTATAGTAGCGCCTAGATGTGCGCTCTTCAACGACGACATAGTCACTGTTCCTGTCTCGCCGGCTTTCCTCGCAGCATCGAGCTCAGTCTTCAAGCGTTTCTGATGATCCCAGACATTCTCTGAGTCCGAGTGCATGCTTCGTGTTGGTGAGCTTTCAATGTCCTGAGACGTGAGCGTGGACATGCACTCACCAGCATACCGTAGTAACACCACATTTCAAAGGCCCTTTAAGTACACCAGCTATATCGGACCCCGGAGGCAGATGAAGCCCATAGGAGTGAATGTGCGCGTCGATGAGACCTGGTAGTAAGGTATGACCTCTGCCATCGATCACTGTCGCCCCAGCAGGATACGATGACGGCGAGACAGATGTCGTTGATACACTTTCGATGAGCCCGGACTCACTGTTGAAGATCACTGTTGCGCCCTCGCGAGCTGTTCTGCCATCGAAGAGGAGGACATTGCGAATCACAGTTTGGACCATGCTGTTCGACAAGATGCGGCTCTGAGAAGAGTCAACCCTGCTGGCGAGTGCACGGTCACCATTTGGTTGGAAGGAGAGCAGCTCGAGCCCAAGATGTTAGCAGACTCAAGCCATGCACATCGATGCAGGGGCGGCGGGGAAGCAGCAGTAGCAGCTGGTCTAGGTTCCAACGGTCCCTCAAGGTTCGCCCAGGTGGCCTTCCGTGAGACGGTACCTGCATTATGCTCATCTATGAGCGGTCTAAGATCGCTAGGCTATGCGGTTCTCGCGCTCTCAGGAATTGTTCCACCTGTCTGTCCTTTCGATGAATTGACGATCGATGAATGAAACGATCGTGGGGATCTGACTTCGCGGGGGAATGAATAGGGCAGGGTAGGCGCCAAGAAGACATGAATCGGTGGCAGGGGGAATGAATTGAAAGGCCCCATTCAGGACGCTGCGGCAGGATTTCTATTCAGGGCTGGCCCGCTATGTGGTCCTTTCGCGAAATGGCATCACTCAGGCTTGGTTCTTAACACCTTCCTCTCCTCAGTACCTTCGCTACCATCTGTATAGCATTCCCTTGTGACTGGTTTCGCAACTGAACGCTGAATCGCGCTATAACCCAAGTCATCATGGCACTTTCCCCTTCTGCTGCGTCCCCGCTGGTCGGGTCTCAGCGCAATCCATATGGCAACCGATCACCATCACCTCAGCAACCACTTTCAAAGAAGGACAAGAAGCGCAACCAGTACATGGCTCTCAGCGAAGAGATGCGCGCCAACTTCACAAGAGACCGAGATGTGCAGTACCGCGAACAGCTCATTACTCTACAAAAAGATCTCAACCTCATCACACACGCCGATGTAAATCAGCCAGAACCGCTCGACGACGATCCAGAAGTGATCGCACAAAACGCAAAGAACAATCCATACGCATCCGAACTGTCTGCGCTCGCGGGTAGATGGTATCCTGCCTTCGTACAAGAGGTCAACATGACCAAGGAAGCGAAAGAGCTGAATATCATCAATATCAATGTCTGCATATCTTCCTTTTCGAGATGGTGCCCGCAACTGACGATGACCAGAACAATCATGACAAGAAGCTGAAAATGCTTGAAGACGAGCTTGCCTACAAGATGCAGCTCGCCGAAACCGAATACAATCACATGATCAACACCCTCCGAGAACGACTCACGCAGCAGCTGAACTCGAGGAGACAACGCTTAATTAAGGATAAAGAGCAGCTCGATATCGCTGACACGAATGCTTTACTGCTGCATCCCAGCCAGTTCACCATCACCAACCCGGCGAGTCCTGCCGGTCAGACAAGTCGCAAGACAAGAACAACCAGAAGAGGTGATCATGACCTGAACGGTCTGGGCGAGTCTTCGAACAAGAGAAAGAGGAAATTCGTCGAGGAAGATGTCGGCTCTCCGGTCAGAAATGGCACCAGTACTCCAGCTGGTCGAGGAGGTCGTCCTGGCGATACTCTGGCACAGCAGCAACATCCTGTGTACAGTATTGAATCTCTCTTCACAGAGAAAGAACTCAACTTCCAATCACACCAGGCACAAATAGCCACCCGCCATTTCTTCTCGACATCACAGAAAGAAATCGATGCCAGCAAGCAAGGGAAGCGGAGAAAGGGCGATGATGGCGACGCAATCCCAGCCGATACTGATAGCTCAGTCGAAAACGATGACGAGCCCGGTTCGACCGGCATGGAGCGAACAGCTAGCCAAAATGTGCATGTCACTCGGTCGACGCGCACAAACGGCGGCATGAGTGGGCTGGCAATCCTCAGTGAGATGGCTGACAAGACCGCCACACGACCTGCTCTTCCTTACGCAACTTTGCATTCTCATCAAGCAAAGAATGGCACGTTCTTACCCAATGCAAGCCGGCTCGGTGATCATGAGATCGAAGAAGACCTCCAGAAGCTCATCGACATTCAAAGTCGCGAAGGAGATGCTTTGGACGAGGAATTGGCGAGAGAAGCAACCGCTCCAACTACGGTGTCACGCAGTCTGATGGCGCCTGACTTTCCGGTCTGGCTTGATGTGCATTTACGAGAGGTTGATCCACGCACATAGGCCCAGGACAAAGGGAAGATTGTTTGAGGCTGCGAAATTCTGCAGAAGGTCAGAAGTTGCCACGGGAGAATTTCTTTGTGAGACGAGGAACGAGATATGTGCTCGGAGCTACGAAAGATGTCAGCAACCACAGGCTGCATACCACAATCGAGTGCTGTCATAGGCATAGACGATACTACACATAGTACTCCGAGCAGTCATGAGAGATGGTAATACCAATCGAGCACGGCACCGCGATTCCTCTTTCCTTGACCTTGTCCGATGCGATTCCACAACAGCGCGGCAGGACATACCTTCGTACATCGCACTCCGCTGGGGAATTACTCGTTCAATCTTAGTGCCAATACTCATCCCTGCCTCCCCGCACTCCACAAAATGACATCTTCTTTCAAGCTTTAGCGGCGCTTTTTGCTCTTCTATTGTAACATTGAGCCGGGATCGCCACTCTTACCGCTGCAAACGTCCGCTTTAGAAGCTGCCGTGAGAGGCCGTCGTGACCACCATCGCTTAGGGCGTGCACGAGATGCGTTGATTCCCCCGCCTGAGCAGGCGGACCGAGGTGTGGAAGCTCAGGCAAGCTCTCTGCAAGCTCGGATTTAGGTCCACAATTCAGGCACAGGTAGGTAGCATGTGAGCGACACACCAAAAAATTCACCGGCAGAGCTCGTGGGGATGATATACCGGCGCAAGGTGCTGCTCTGGTGTCTGCTCGCCTCTTCTGCAGCTTCTCTTGGATTTGCAGCCAGATCATTGTACGGAGAATCGCTCACTCAACGTCCCGTCATGTATTTCAAGTCGCTACTGGCTGTAGCCAGCTTGGCTTCTGCTGTTCTCGCACAGGATTCTCATCTCCAGGAGTACACCATTCAAGTGGAGGGCATTACGGCCAAGTTCATCCCGTACGGAGCTCGCCTCACGTCTTTGCTTGTTGCGGACCGAGATGGCAGCGAGCAGGATGTCGCGCTTGGGTATGACGACCCAGCTCAGTACATCATTGATACTGAGACTAATCATACTTACTTCGGTGAGCTTCATCAAGCCAACTGTGATGTGTGCGCTGACGAGTATGTACAGGTCCCGTCGTTGGACGCTACGCGAATCGCATTCGCAACGGCACATTTGACCTGAACGGGCAGACTTACAACATTCCCAAGAACGAAAACAACGGCACTGACACGCTACACGGCGGTGACGTGGGCTATGATCAGCGCAACTGGACTGTGGTAGCCAGCAACGACAGCTCTATCACATTCAGTCTCCTCGATACAGGCTTCGAGGGCTTCCCGGGGACCGTCTTGACCATCGTCTCGTACGCGGTCTCGGTATTCCCATCCGGACCTCAAGGCGAGTATCGGCCTCGCTTCACATCGACAATCACTGCACATGCATTGGACGAGCCTACACCGATCATGCTGTCCAACCACATATACTGGAACCTCAATGCCTTCAAAGCTCAAACAATCGAGAACGATACAACACTGTGGATGCCGTACGCAGACCGCTGGATCAAGACAGATGGCATCCTCATTCCTACTGGCGAAATCGGCACGACTGCTTCGACGCCAGGACTCGACTTCACCTCTCCCAAGACCATTGGCGAAGCCATCGCAGACGCAGAAGGCCTTTGCGGTACCAACTGCACTGGCGTTGACAACGCCTTCATCAACGACAGACCAGTCTACGTTGGAAGCGACACCAACTTGAAGGTGCTCTCCCTGTGGTCAAATACCACCGGGATTCTGATGGAGCTGAGCCACAATCAACAAGGCACGCAGATCTACACCTGCAACGGCCAAGGCGGTCCCCACCCAATACCTATCAAGAAGTCACAAGCCGACCGTAATGGCAACAGCACAGGCTCTACTGAGTACGTGCAGAAGTACGGCTGTATTGTCATTGAGCCGCAAGCGTGGATCGACGGGATCAATCATCCAGAGTGGGGTGTAGACAAGTACGAGATCTTCTCGCCTGAGACTGGGCCGCTGAACTTCTACTCGACTTATGACTTCTCGACCTTTTGATCGCGCAAACGGAGGGTTGGTGGAGTCAATGGCGGCATGAAGCGACGGTCAGTCTGTTTAGAAGCAACGGGATAAAAAGTACATAAATTAATCCATCTCACCTGAATCTTGTCATCGTTCTGAGAGCAGGCTCGGAGAACAATTCCGGATGAGCCTTCCACTTTGGGAACTCTGTTTACACGAGGCCTTGGCAAGGAACTTGAACTGCGCTCGGATCTCTAGCATTGTATCCATGTTATGACGGTGGTACGAAGACTCTACTCACAAGCATCTTTAACCTTGAACTGACTATAAGTCGCGTTAGGCTATGGAGCTCCTAGCATTACCCGAAATCGCGTAGGACGTTGGGCGCATCTCACCACAGATCACATAAACATCGTTGAATCATGGCGCCGCGGACACTGCAGACCCATGCGATGGAGATCGACTCCTCGCCTGATCCGCTGGGTCACTCAGTCAGCCCAGCACATCCTTTCGCTGGGCGAGGTCGGCGACTCACTTCACCGACCAGGACCGTCCTGCAAGAGCGCAGCACCAACAGCAACCTCCCCACCCCAACCCCACCGACACACGCCCTGCTACCCTCCAACTCCCCTATGAAAGCCATCACCGAACAGACCCTCAGTCCCTGGAAGATTCGCGTCACCGTCGAGGCGGAGCCCGAGAATGAGTTAGCCAGCCAAGGGCAAGGACAGGTCAGAACGCAAACATACACCATTCCCCTCAAGATGGACTCCTCACCGGCCGAGGCCGCTGCGGTACGCGGACGGGTAAAGAAAGCGCCAGCCCAGTCGTCACCGGCAAGGAAGAAGCGGAGTGGGACGCCGGTCAGGACGGGGAAGGGGCGAAGGAAGAGTGTAACTGATCTCGGTATCGTGGTGCTGGGGGATGAGTCGGAGGACAACGAGTGGTCGCCGAGGAAGAAGGCGCCAATCCCAGCGACACGAAAGCGAAGAGTGTCGCAAGGACCTTCGGCTGAGCCGCGAGCTCAAGAGGCAGGAACACAAGCACAGGAGGAAGACACCGACATGTACGGCGCTCCAGAAGATCAAGAATGTTCTCCGGAAGAGCTCCGCGAGATTGATCTGAATCGAGTCTCCGTACGAGCGCGATCAGGATCGATGAAACAGAAGGAGAAGCCTACACCAGGTACAGCCTCAAATTATCCGACTCCGTCACCAACACCCTCGATACTTGGCGAGGGTCACGATGAAGGCGATGGGATAATGCCAGACGGCGAAGGAGAGCAAGCATTCGACACAATCCTGGAAAGCGAAGGCATGACCATGATTGATCTGCATTCTCTACCCTCAGCAAACCGAGCATTGGCATTCAGCAGTCCGGAAGAAGCCATCGAGGCTATCGAGGCCGACCCCGAGGCGCCGCCAAATACAATGGCTGGAATGAAGCACATGCTGCGCGAACCAAGACAATCCACTTCTGCCAGAAGGGCAGCCCGGCTGAATCGTGTCATGCCCCGAACAGAAGCCACAGCTGACGAGACGGAGCTGTCATCGAATGTCGCGTCCTCACCACCCCCGATCACCGACTACCTGAAGCTGCCGCAACGCTCGCTCTTGTCCCGAAAGGTCACACCCGATGTCTATTCCTCGCCCAATCTACCGTCGCCGCCCAAACAGGCACGCAAAGAGACCTCACCACACGAAGACGTGGTCCCGACCAGAAGCGTAGTCAATGCCAACAAAGCACTTCACGGCGCCCTGTTAAGTCCAAATTCAGTGTCGGAAGACGAACTGGCCCAACCGACGCCGACCTCAACCAGACACGACTTTCTGGAGGGCTTCAGCTCTGGAACAAAGCGGGAGATGCGTGCTGGTCTGCGATTTGGCGAAGAGCTTGCAAAGAGACAAAGCTCGAGTGATGCTCGGTCTTCCTCATTTGATACCCAAGCGTCAAGCTCAGCCAGAGCCAATGCACGAGGGTCGACTCCGATTCCTCGCCAGCGCTCCTCACAGAGTACACCAGATGCGACAAACGGCAGTGCACGAACAAAGAACGCCAACGACGGGAACAGCGAACAACGACCGCGACGATCCCCTTTGTCTCAACCACCATCGCAAAAGCCTCAAACATGGACTGCGGAAGTCGCGACACCTGGGACGCAACGAAGCGAGTCGTCAGAGATCGAGTATCCGACCATTGATTCGAGGATAGTCGCACGCGAACATGAATGGCAGTTGGAGCGCGAGGCTGTGGCTCGGCAGATTGATGAGGCCAGTCCCAGCAAAGTCATTGTTATTGATGACTCGTCGCTCGATGATAGTGGGACCGAAGCAGAAAGCGGATCAGTGGAAGCTGGGCCGCCTCAAAAAGCAAGTTCAAGAGCTGCAGCGACAGACCATGATGCTGCTTCGGCGCGTAGAAGTGATGGAAGAGCGAGCTCAAGCCCAGGAGCGAAGGGAAAACTACCTTCGGAAGAAGTCCAGCAAGATCGAAATGAGACACGGCTGGATTCTCGAGCAGATGAGGCCCTTCTCGGACAACAACAGGCTTTAACTGGAGCCCGTGGAGATCATGCGGACGCTGGAGAAGAAGACGTGACCTCTGAAGAGGAGTTTCTCGCCTCGGCAGATGAGACTGATCTCTGGCTAGACCAAGCACAAAGAAGCTCCAGCTCTCCCTTCACGAGACCGACGAACGTCAAACAGTATTTCGAGACACAACAGCCCGCTGAGACCCAGCCAAGAAGAGGTCCGATCCCCAGCCCATGGAAGCGTGGTGAAAATGTCGAAGAGAGCACGATCGCAACGCATGGCGAAGCCAGCGGTATCTTCTGGCAGGAACAAGTGACGAATAAGTTTGGCGCTACGAGTCTTGCAATGCAGACCAGAAGAGTCAGTCAAGGCAATTTTGACGTCAATCGAATGCTGTCAAGTCCAGCCAAAGAGGCCACGGCGAAGCGCAACAACTTGAAGCTTCGTGCGCCGGAAGAGGAGTCCTCGATTGAAGCATCAGAAACGGACGAGAGCTCGGGTGTCATCACTGTTGAAGGCAACGAGTCATCTCTACGCAGCTCGCCGCCGCGGACCATCAAGATTCCGATGAATTTCGGCGACGACTCTGTCCTTGTTGATGAGGTCACGCCGCCATCCTCGAAATCGTCTCATGAGGACGAACCTGTAGCATCACTGAAGGCGGCCGGGTCAGGCATAGCAGCAAGGCGTGGCGCAGTTCCTCCATCGCCTATTGAGCCTCCGAGCCCATTTGATGTTGATGCTGAGCTGGCTTCGGGTCTGCTTACTCCTCCGACCACGAAATCTCCCAGTCCGAAGGATGCTCAGATCCACCCTCCTCATGCAGGTCAGCCATCAGTACGTGTCTATCCACCAAGTCAGTCTGTGAGTACTGCCTCGTCCTCTCGATCACCACCGAGCATCTGGGATAATGCAGGTCGTCGAAACTCAGTGACAACGGCTGTGACGAACGTATCGAGTGAGTCCATCAGATTGGCTCAGGAACTGAAACCGGACACGAATCCACCCCGTAGCCCATCAGATGACGGTCGTCCAATCGCTGAGACATCGCCTGCGATGAACAGATGGACCAAGTCCAAACGATTACTTCAGACAGAGAAGCCCGAGGCTATCCCACCACATCAGCCACCAGTTGACGGCCGTGGAGACGCGGAGCGATCGGCTGCAATGGAGCCACCGACCGAGAGACCTGCTCAAGCTCTCAAACCTCGAGGTTTTGTCCGCGTCGTCCCTCCACGCCATATATTAGGGCGCTCCGCACAGCTCGAAGCACTTCGATCGTCAATCAGTTCAACCCACAACCTCTCCCCGAACGACCACCCGTCTCAACCACAACATATCCAATTCGCACCCGAGCCATGGCGCAAAGTCGAAATTGGCGATCGCGTCTCTTCCAACTTCGGCCCTTACCGCGATCCGCGACCGCAAATCGAGTCACCACCGACATCAGCCGACACCGGTTCGACACGTACGCACTCTACCAAGACATCTTCTTCTCCAACCCTGTCTGCTGCCTCGCACACTCTGTCTTCCACCACCGAAGAAGGCGACGATGCTGCACCGCCGCCAACGCCACGATCTGCCATGAAAGGCGGGCGCATCAGCGCTGGAGTCGAGGAACCACCTGCCGGATCGCCAAAAAAGGGGGTTGTTCTGGACGATCGGGCGCGATACCTGAATGATGATGGCGACGAGAGCACCATGAGCGCTCACTTGGATAGTCCGCCGCCGCATGATCCTGTGCAGCGGAATGTAGTCGAAATCGCCCAAGCCCGGGAGTTGGAGGATGCTGAAGTGACGTCAAAAGCTGAGGTGAAGAAGGCTGGCACCTGGTCATCGTGGCTTTGGCGCGGAAAAGGGGACCAAAGCAGCAGTGAGATCTCTGCTGAAGAGGAACAATCGTCACCTGATCAAGTCCAGCCAGGAAAGCCGACCTCGAATCCGATCCGCGAAGCCAACGAGCAACAATGGGCACAAACACGCACCGCTCTTCCCACGCACACGTTCCAGCCTCCGAAGCACGCCACGAGAGCCATTCCACCAAAAGACTACATCAAAAGCAGCAGTTACACCTGCTTCAAAGCCAGCAGCACCATCTCCGCGCACTCCTCAGGCACCCTTTCATACCACGTCCGCCCACCACAGCCTCCCTCCTACCTTCTATCGCCCTCTTATCCCTCCTTACGGACCAGAGATACTTCCCCACCACTACCAACATCCGGGCCCTTCACCAACACACACTTCCGCACCCTACACATCCTCCACGCCAAATCGCTCCTCCCATCCTTCCATCCCCCGAAGTACATCCGGCCAGAGATCGATGCACTTTTGGATATAAAGTCGTGGTTGATGAATCAGAGGCTGGACTGGATGTGTTTGAGTGGTCTGTCGGAGTCAATGAATGTGAGGTGCTGGAGCGGTGGTGTCGGGAGGTGGAGTGGGGATGGGTTTGCAGCTGGATCAAGCAGTCCAGCGAAGGGGATGCGGATCCTGTGAAAGTGCTGCAGGAGCGCGCGATCCAGCGTGCGATGCGGAAAGTGGGAGGTGGGGCGAAGACACTGGCGAAGATGAGTATCAAGAAAGATGGGAAGGCGCAGATCAAGGAGTATTGGCACGGCTTGGAGGCGGAGGGAAGTGATGTGTGGACAGCCGAGATGGGAAAGGTTGGATGGGGGTGGACGATGGAGGAGGTGGCGCGGATGTTGGGGATGGTTGTTATTGGAGAGGTTGTGAGGCGGGAGGAGGCGGAGATGCTGGTCAAGGCGCAAGCAATGATGAAGACGGAGCAAGGTACCCAGGAAGGGCGATGCGTGAGTTGTCCTAGCTGGGCTCAGTCCCTTGAGATCATTGGGGTATTCGTAGTCTGGATGTGACGATTGGGGTGTGAAGCCTTCTTGTTCGTATAGAGATGATGCACTTGACTCCAGTCATTGAATGTATATGACCTGGCCATTTCTCATCTCACTTGCGACGCGAGTCCTGGATATCGATCGACGGCCTACGTATAGATGGAAACCTTCATTCCTGGTGATAGCTAGGCAACTCGAGTCGGAACGACTCGAAGCGTCTCGGCCCGCTGCATAGTGGGGTCCGCTGCCGAGCATCTTTCGTGCCTGCCACCATTGGGAGAGGTATCACTTGCCACTTGTCATCTGTGCAGGACAGATATTGGCAAGCGCAGCTGGAAACAGATCAGCTGCTGTGCAACGGTCAGCCTGTCGCGCACACAGGCGCGTTGTCGTGTGCATTGTGTTTTTTGCGGGGTGTCGACATAAGTCGCTCACACGTCTCATCTCGATAGCATCCGAACATCAAGCCGGCTTGCGTGCCTTCACATGGGAGTCTGGCCACAAAATCTCGTCGTCATCAAGGTATGACTCCATACGCGTGGCAATGGACTCTCAGCAGGGCAACGATCAGCTTCTGAAGCCGTGAGAACTTCCAGCTTCATTGCTGGCACCATGCGTCTGATAAACACTTCCACGTTACAGTTCGAAGAGTTCGAAGGTTCCGACGTCCCTTCCTACGTCATCACCTCACATCGATGGGTCAAGAGTGAGGTCTCATACAAGGACTTCTGTCAGAAACAGTTGCTGATAGCACGCAACTATGGCGAAGTCTCTGGACTGCCCCTCATACAGGCCGTCACAGAATCTCAAGCACAAGGTGAGCAGCAGGAGGGCCTGCGCAAAATCTTGTCAGCATGCAAGCAGGCCGTCAAAGACGAGATAGGATATCTGTGGCACGACTCTTGTTGCATCGACAAGACTTCCTCCGCAGAGCTGTCAGAAGCAATCAACTCGATGTTTGCTTGGTATGAACGCTCGAGTTGCTGCTACACGTACCTGAGTGAAGTTCCAAGCAGCATGAGTTCTCTAACATCCGATGACGAACTCGAAACAGTGGTCCGGGCATCTTCTGATGGTGTATTCACAAGGGGGTGGTGTCTACAAGAGCTCCTGGCGCCGAAGACCGTCAGCTTTTTTGGACAGGTATGGCAGTATCTCGGCAGTAAGACAACGCACCCGATTGTCATGCGGCGGGGCTTTCGGCGATCCTACAAATTAATGAATAGAAATGAGCTCCTCAGTCGAGTGACTGGTGTCCCGATGACGGCCATTGACCGCAGAAAATCGCTCTACAAGTTCAGTGTTGCACAGCGTATGTCCTGGGCAGCTGAAAGACGGACAACGCGGGTTGAGGATCTCGCATACAGTCTCTTGGGTCTCTTCCAGGTGAACATGGCCTTGCTGTACGGAGAGGGCCAGAAGTCCTTCACACGTCTGCAAGAGGAGATCGCTCGACAAAGTGCCGACCACTCACTCCTAGCCTGGCGTAAAATTGGCCCGTGGGACCCCTCTTGGGAGCAGCGCTCACTTGGAGGACCTTGGAGGGGACGCATGCTTGCTTCGTCCCCCGCCGAATTTCGTTATTCAGGACAGATCGTTAACACTGAGGGCCAAATGCGGCCTCAAATGGCAATCCTCCCCAATGGTCTTGAGCTCACGCTACCAGTAATGGATGACCCTTTCGACCCGTCGCCTGAAAGTCGAGCTCTGGCTGTTCTTAGCTGTCGATTCGAAAACGATATCTCTGAGGCTTTAGTCTTAGGTATGAGAAGAACGGAGGGTAACGGAAACGAAATGCGCTTGGATCCTTCAACATTGAGTCGTATTTTTGACGTTATCGACACGTTGACCATCAAGGAGACGCGATGGGAGAAGATTATTCTGGGCGAGTCTCGGCCACCTGAGGTAAGAGATGTACAAGCCGGATTGTGCTGGCTTTGTGTCGAGCGAAATAGCGACGAGTCTGTTCCAGAAATGATCGTCAAAAACTTTCGAACCCCAGAGGCTACAGCGGGTCCAGGACCAGCAATGTCGAGCAGGCGTGGCAGTTCCAGGCTAGACGGTCAGCCCGGCGAACAAACCGGATCAGCTAGTGTCTACGGATCGTCGGCTCGTTTCAGTCCTTCTGACCATTTCCTATTCAATGTTGAGTGGCCGACGCTTGGGATCGATGCAAAGATTGAGCTCATAGCGCAAATCTCACTCACTGGCGTGGCCAAAAGACACGAGTACGGAGCGAGCTACGCGATACACGTAAGGTCCGTTAAGTCTGATGCAACAGGTGGGCAGCTTGTATCCATGGGCAGCCTAGTTGGGTGGCCAACAGAGGGACAAAGAGACTATATCGTGGCGGCAGTCGCTAACGACTACCATTTGAAGTTCCGGCTTTACCAGGGCACTCCTGCCCACGAATGGGCGCGCATAATCTATGTCAGGACTATTCGGAAGGCGAAACCACAACAAGACCAACCATCGTCAGAAAACGGTCAAGGTAACAGCGCCGACCTGAAGACAGAGCGTGCATCGATGGAAACCGAACCTCGGACATGAGTCGTCGGCAGCTCAAATTGTTGGTACGTGTACACGCTGCCCTGGACCTCCGCTCTCCTGCAGCAGGGAACGCACAGATGGGGACATTTGCTTTAGATGCTGCCAGGTATACTCCTGCGCCGCCTCCTCGACACACGCTTTCACACTCCAACCGGCCTCTGACACTCGCGAGAAACTCATGTCTATACCATCGATACCGTAGGCATCCGGGACTCTCAAGTCTGCTGCTTCTGACCCCGAGAAGTACGCGGATAGGCTTGGTATGTTCTGCAGAAGCTTGTATATACCAAACAACCGCACATACTGCACCGAATCGTCGTTGACCGTGAGCGTCAAAGTCATGCTATCGGTCAATGCTCTCGACTCATGCGCTTTGGTTCCAGATGGTACAGGCACACCAAACTCCCACCGAGGAATGCTGGTTGCGATGTTAATCCGTCCTGTGCCGCAGGAGTCGGCGAGCTGGCTTGCAGAAAGGACCATGTCCGGTCCGAAATCGATTGGAGCAGAGATGTACGCGAAGTAGAAGTGCGTGGTATTTGTGACGAGCACTGCGAGCTCTGGGCGATGCGCTGGCTTGTCGCATTCTGGAAATGGCTTTGGACTGACGTGGTGCCTTGGAACAGCAACGAAGGCCTGCACGGCGCCAGAACCGGCCGACTTCCGTGGTATGGATACTAGCTGTGTGCCGCCCCGAAGAGTTGCTACCCCTGATCCCGCTTTTGCGGCGAGCTCAGGGACGGCCTGCTGCTCATACACAATGTTGCACATGCCCTCCTTCATATCACACTTCAAAATTGTCAACGGCGCATGACGCCATGCGAAGTGAATAACGCCACCGGGCTTCCGATCTCCAGTTGAGAGGAAGAAAGGCGACCAATTCTTCTCTCTCCGAGCACGCTCCGTGCCGCGGACGGTCAGCATCGTGGTCACATTCGTGAATGGACGGAAAATGTGCATGACGCGCTTCCAGCCCTTGGACTCTGGGACAGGCACGAGCATGCTGAACACAATCACAGGCTCGGCATCTGGCACATCTTCAATGACAATGCGCGGATCCTCCGGCCCATATGCGAGACCGCCTCGCTTCCACTGCATACCGACTTCGAAGATGGTCGGAAATAAAAGCTGCTTCGTACCAGACCACGACACAACATATGCAGGCTTGTGGACCCAGTTCTCGTCGAATATTCGCCCACGCAGAAAGCTGGCAAAAACCTTGTCAAGTGCATTGCAGGATGGAATATCAGGCGTGAGACGCACAGGTAGACCCTTTGTGTGGGAAGGAAAGCGCACGATCAGGCCAGCTCGTGCCATGACTGAGAGGTGAGTTCCTCAGGGCTCGTGTCCGGGGAGGACCTGAGGAGGGTCTGAGAATGATTCTTGACGATAGGATGGTTCTGGAGCTCTGTGGCAACCCCGGTGAAGTTGTCGGTCCGTGTGAATGGCTTCTGGACATGTATTTACCCTTTCACGAGAGCTTCCTGGCAGGAGGAATGTGATTTCTGTGCCAAGATATTGTCGAACCCGCCAACGACAATTGTAGAAGCGGCATTGTGGTCCGAGTCGAAGCGTCCAGCACTATGAGGGACCAGTGTCTACCAAGGTCAGGATAATTCCGCAAGCATGGTCCGCGAGACCCACTTACCTCTGACTGTGTCTGAGTCCAGTGACCATATTTGGCTACCAACACAAGGACACAAACCCATCCTATGATATTGACAACTCCGGCACGTTTGATCCGGGGCCAGATGTAGTTCGACAGACCCATGTCAGAGTCGGCATCCCTGACAGATCGTGTTATGTCATTTGGCTTACCAGATCGAAGCCAGTCATACACAATAAGAGACTGACAGCATCTGTAATGATCTTCGCGCATCGTGATGCATTGGCTGTCAAGAAGCAGCTCCTGCGCTCCAATCGTGTCAATATATCGAAGCACGTTCCCTTGTCTCGCTCAACATGTTCACGTCCGGCAGTCATGGTAAGGTTTAGGTCCTGACGTAGAAGGCGCCGCTCATCGACTTTTATGGACATGTGTTCGACTCCAACGAGCAAGTGTGACCCAAACATATCGAATCAATGCCACCTGCGCAGTCTCTCGACTCAGAGACGCGGATTGAATATACGATCGCTCAAGCTTTCGTCGAAGCTCATCAAGCAATCGAAAAATGCTTTAAACGACCGCAAGGAGGTCCTCGGCCGAAGTATAAGATGATGTAGATGGGAGCCCCGGGGGTAAGTCGCCAAATAGAACTGGTAGACACGTAGAAGTACTGTTCGCCACTATTTCATTGACCACTGCCAATACTGCATCTCGATACCCATCGCCCTAGCACCTTGGACTTGCTACAGTAAAGCGGAATCTACAACCAGCTCACGATGTCCGGCAGCGCACCTTTCAATACCGCTGTCACCAGCCACGACCATACGTCCACCTCCACCGCCGACCTACACGCCACCTCCAGCGCCCCGACCACCCATCAGGGCATCTCGGGCGCCAGCTCACGCACAGCCATACCGCCAACCAACAACACCTCACAAGCCAACGACGCCTCACCAGTCAACCCCTCCACTGAATCGGCACCCCTAAATGCCCACCACCGCCCATCCCTGGCCGAAGATGCCCCAACTAGCGATAATGCACAGCCTCTCCCAGGCGACACCACCATCCGTCGCACGACCTTGAGTCAGAACGCGCCCGGAAAGGCAGGAGAAATCGGAGAAAATGCCATTGGAGCACTGGGATTCGGTGGGGCGAGGGTTGAGCGGCCGAAGGAGGATCAGGGGTTGGGGGAGAAGATTGCGGCGTTCTTGGGGACGTAGGATGTTGAGGGCTCGGTATGTACCTAGTGGCTTGATGCGTGTCATTGACGGTCGGATGGGGTAAACTTGAAGGTACACGTTGGAACTTCCAGAACGTGGATGTTTCCTTCCTGATCAGTGCATTTGAGGGACTTGCCGTAGTGTAGAGTACCTAACCAGTAACGAAGCATAATGAAACGAGGCTGTATTGAAACAACCGATATGTGTTGCAAGCATATATTTGTGCGCTTCAGACACCTCTATTGCGTTCTTCGTATCGCAACGAGGATCAGAATGATGATCAGACATCTCATTCCCGCCGCCGTTGTATTGAGACGGTGACCTATGAAATGTTCGACCGTCACTGACTTCGCTTGGTCGCGGGAGAGTAGCAGGCGTTCATTCTCCCCACCGTACCGGCTGCTGCCTACAATAGGCATCGCGCGGTGTACCTGCCATAGCCTCGATGAAGGCCAGCCAGGTCCAGCTGCCAACGCAAAGCAATGCCGCAATCGTCGATGTTCCCAACTGTGTGCTATGTATCCCATGTCCTCCACAACGCCTGTAAATGCTCAAATTTGTGCTCATTGCGCCATCACAGATCCAAATGCTTGCTTGCTCGCTGCCAATATACACCAATCAAACGCCAGTATGCAATCATATCATGTGCGAAGCTGCACGCATCCCGTAGATTGCCGGCATCGATGTGTCAGCTTCAGGTCGGCACTTGACCTGCCATCGTGTCTTTGCCTGCTCGGTCCTTGGCAAAGTCATCCTCAAGTAGAACACCACACCTGGGAAATAGTCTGCGGCGGCCCAACAGTCTTGTAGCCCGCACCCGATGCACCAGAGACAGATGCAGACCATCCAGTACTGCCAATGAACGTGCAAGGACCGTAACCAGTAACTACACCAACGTTGTCGATGGTCACACTTCCACAGTTGACGATGTTGTAAGCTGGCACATCGAGACACATTATGTCGCCGACATCGTGCCATTCTCCATCCTGTGGTACCCACATGCCGTACGTTTCTGAGCCGCCGAGCATGATGACATTCGTAGGCCAGTCGTCCATGGCTGAGGCGGATATTGGTGATCGCTTGACCAGGGCAGACCATTCGGCTGGTGACATGGGTTGAGCGCTTGACAGTATCGGACTACAGCTGACCACGTTGAGACTGAGGATGCCGGCGAGCAGAGCCGAGAAACATGTGGTTGCACTGGATAGCGGCATCGTGCAGTGTGGACGGGTCGATCTGTGTGAACGAGAGGTCGATCTGCTTCGTTCCAATATCTATCAAGGAGTCTGATCAGTCCCAGTCGGTTTGGTGAACTAGTCGTGCAGCTTAGTGGTGTGGCGAGGATGGAAGCTCCTTGTTGCGATAGATATAGACTGTCAAATCGGACACAGTCGGCTAGATGAATGAGTGAATGGTGCGATCGTTCGTCTCGATAGCGTTGATAAGCGAGAGACGTGCTGCACGTGTGTGGTGTAGTGAAGGCAAGACGTGCAGACTTTGCGGGTGGCGTTCAATAAGTGTAGTGGTTGAGTTTCTTTTGCCTGATTTTCGTCCCAGTCAATTGTCTCGCGGCAGAAACTCGTGGACTCTAAGATCGTCGCTCTGGCCACCGCGGGGTAAAATGTTGGTGAGACCGCCGAACAGCCGAATGCATCTAACGGCAGGGATGTTGCCTGTAGAGATAACGCCGTTCAGAGTGTAGAAGCGGCCTAGGTTGTGAATTGACTGCAGTTATGCTGCATCGAATATGTCAATCGACGAACACTTGTTCTTCGAGAGTCGCTCCAAAGTGACGGACAGGTCGAGCAGCGCCTGTTATCAAGGGTTTTCGATAAAGCTCTTTAAGACGCTTTGTCAGGGTCTTAACTCAAGCAAGCCCTGCCGGGCCTCCGGTGAGGGTTTAGATTGGAACAGGTAGCCTGAGGCAGGGCGGATTGAGCCGATTCGCCTGGGCTGATATCAGAGGCGTTTATGGTGATGATTTAGCTTTTCGAATGCACGATGTTGAGCAGGGTGGACTCGAAGTCTTTCGTTGCTAACATACGTAGTGATTAAATGATTGACGAAGCTTCAGAAGCAAGCATAATGGACAAGATGGAGTAGAACGTGAGCGCGTTCGTGAGTCTCTGGTATACAACATCTTGCAAAGCTCGTGGGCGGCCCGTCAGCTGCCTTCAAATGATCGGGGCTGAATGCCATCGGAGCTGGCAAGTGCGGCCTGTGCAGCCAACCTATCTAGGTAATGACGACTGAGGCTGCTCGCTTGCGCCGGAGCATTGAAGTCCGATGTACTTACTGCATTGAACCTCATGGGTGCGATAAAGGTGAATGAACATTGCATTCTCTGCCATGGGAGCGAAGCATCGAACAGTTGCCAACTTGCCAGTTACCGAGTTACAGGAACAGGCAGGTGGGAACAGACTTGTGGTACTTGTGGACTCGACTTCTTGTGCCTGTGGGTCCAGGTACCGTTGGACACGCGGAACAGTGGTACCTCGCATCATCACAGGCTTGGCTGATCGGCGCATCGCCTTGACACATGCCGATCTCGATATATTAAAAGCAACTTGGTCTCAGCATCGCCGCATCACAGGTGACACGTCGCTGGCGACCCCGGTGCCGGCCACCCTCACAATCTATAGCAACGCACTATAATCTGTGGATATACTACCATGGCTACCTATCCGTCTGATTGACGGGAAGTGCAAATGTTGACGCTCGTGCTTGTCACAGATATTAAATTAATGTCGAGGTCTGGAGGCGAAGAAGCCCGGTATTCGAAGTGCAAATATCGACGCTCGTGCATTTCAAAGATATTAAATCAACGTCGAGGTCTGGAAGCGAAGAAGCCTGGAATTCGAAGACGTCCAAGCTGGAGTACTTTGCAATGTGCCAGTGTCACTGGCGCTGTATCCGTCCCTTGACTTATCAAGCATTGGATCCTGGTGCTGTGTTGTTGTGTTGTGGATCATGCAACGAATAGTGAAGGCCTCCTGCCCAAGCCAGTGAAGTAATCGATTCGGTTTACGCCGGGAAATTCGCTCTGTCGGAGAGGTATAAGTAGTCTTGCTGCCCTTGACTGCTTCTCGTTTCGCTCCTCAGCAGGGAACCCTTTCCTCCATGAGTGACTTGCCATGCCAGGACAGCGCACGCTGCTACTTGTCGGGGCGAGGGACTCTTTAAGGCTTTGAGACTATTATGGAGTCGTGCTGATCTCAGTGCCCTACCACGCAACAGTCAGGTCAGAACCAGTACCGAAGCCCCTCCTGTCTGACGAAAACTGAGTCAGCTTCACGATTCCCTGACGACCTTTGGCCGCTGCTCGCAGGAGGTTACCGATAGTTCCGTGGCGATACAACGCTTTGTTTAGTGTATCATCGAAGATCAGGTCGTCTGTAGACGTTCCAGAGTGTGGCTGGGATCTCGCACAGACGCCTTTCGCAACTTCCAATGCGTATGTCGCACTGTATTCAACGGCTAATTCTGCACGACTTGTATGTTGTGCTTCTTCTGTCGTAGGATAAGCGGAAGCCATGAAATACGCGTCAAAACATCACTTGCCTTCCACTTGTCCATCTCATCCTGCTTTCCCTTGTACTGCTTGACCAGCTCGTCGAGTACTTGCTTCAGGCCATCAGAGTTCGTGTTGAGCGCGGGTAGCACATCTGCGATTGTACGCTCGACGAGCACTCCGTTGATCAGTCTGAAGCATTTCCGATCCTTGGGTAGTGGCTGTAGTGTTTCGGTAACGAGCCTTGTAACATCAGCACATGTTTGCTGACACTCGTATGGCGTTCCTCACTTGTGTTCGTCGATCTCCTGTTCGATTTCACCTACTTTCTGCGCCAGACTTTGGAGTGTGTTCTTGTAGTTGGTGTATTGGGTTTGCAGATCTACGTCAAGGTATTAGATCAGATCTGTGGTTCAAGCACTTCTTCATCGTACCTTGCTGCTTTCGCATAGCGTCCGTACCAGACGCCATCTCGGTCAGTTTGAGACTGTTGAAGGCCCTCGTGCTTCGACGGCAAGATATCTGATTCGATCGAGACGCCTATGAAGAAAGTGAAGCCGTAGTTGCGTTGGAGGCCGCCGTACAAATGTCTGCTTTTAACTGCCTGAGATTCGATGTTGCGCTTTCTTTCAGTACGATATGTCTTTGAGTCGCCAGTCCTAAAGACGATGGACCGAGGACACAGCCCCAAGAGACGGCGGCTAGACGACAGTCGGCACTCAACGCCTCAGTCAGATGATCTCGGCCCTTCGCTGAAGCGGCCCAACTTTCAGAAGAGTAGAAGACCACTAGACCAAAGGTTCAACAATGGCTACTCACGGTCCTCCACGCCTCGAGGCGAACGAGGCGTCTCGACGCCGCATCAGTCTGAATTCGATGGTCCCGAGCCTTTCATCCAGGACGAAGAGGCACAAGCGTTAGACCGCGACTGGTACCTGGGAGATGACTTTGGCCACACCTTCGGCGATGAATCGCACAACCCGTTCGGCGGTGCGGAGACATCATGGGCGGACCGACTGCGAGAACAAGATCTGGCGAACAAGAAGATAGGCAAGCGCATGAACTTGAAGGCTGCGCAAAAGCAGCGGGAAGTCGACGCATGGGAAACGAATCGTATGCTTACCTCTGGCGTTGCGCAGCGGCGAGATGATTTCGACTTCGAGGACGATGAGCAAACTACGAGAGTACATCTACTTGTGCATGACCTCCGACCACCCTTCTTGGACGGCAAGACAATATTCACCAAGCAGATTGATCCAGTGCCAGCAGTGAAGGATCCTCAGAGCGATTTGGCAGTCTTTAGTCGCAAGGGCAGCCAGGTTGTCCGAAATAAGAGACAGCAGAAGGAGCGTCAGAAACAGGCACAAGAAGCCACCAATGTTGCCGGAACTGCCTTAGGCAATATCATGGGCGTCAAAGAGGACGAGGGCGATAGTGCAGCTGCTGCGCCTGGACAAGAGACCAAGTCGACCAGCAATAAATTCTCGGACCACTTCAAGAAGAACGAAGGAGGGACGAGTAACTTCAGCAGAACCAAGACGTTGAAGGAGCAGCGAGAATATCTGCCAGCATTTGCTGTGCGGGAAGAACTCATGCGGGTGATACGCGACAACCAGGTGATTATAGTGGTCGGCCAGACTGGATCAGGCAAGACGACGCAGTTGACGCAATTCCTCTACGAGGAAGGCTACGCTAGGCAGGGTCTCATTGGATGTACACAGCCTCGAAGAGTGGCTGCCATGAGTGTAGCTAAGCGTGTTAGTGAGGAGATGGAGGTCAAGCTTGGTGGTCTCGTCGGATATGCCATTCGGTTTGAGGATTGTACGAGCGACGAGACAATGATCAAGTGTAAGTGAGACCCTACAGCTAGCTGGCCAAATGCTGACGGACACAGATATGACGGATGGTGTGTTACTTAGAGAATCCTTGACACAACGAGATCTAGACAAATATTCATGCATCATAATGGATGAAGCCCACGAGCGCGCTCTCAACACTGATGTCCTCATGGGTCTGATCAAGAAGGTGCTTGCTCGCCGACGGGACCTGAAGCTGATCGTCACATCTGCCACAATGAATTCAAAGCGCTTCTCGGAGTTTTATGGCGGAGCGCCAGAGTTCATCATACCTGGTAGAACTTTTCCGGTCGATGTCCAATACTCTCGCTCGCCGTGCGACGACTATGTCGACAGTGCGGTCAAGCAAGTCCTGGCCATACACGTGTCTCAGGGCGCGGGTGATATCCTTGTCTTCATGACTGGCCAGGAGGACATCGAGGTCACATGCGAGCTGATTGAGGAAAGGCTGCAGCTACTTGTTGATCCTCCGAAGCTTCTCGTTCTGCCCATCTACTCACAAATGCCTGCCGATCTCCAAGCCAAGATCTTTGATCCAGCACCGCCTGGTGTGCGCAAGGTGATCGTGGCGACCAACATAGCTGAGACTTCTCTGACTGTCGACGGCATCATGTACGTCGTGGACTCGGGCTTCTCGAAACTCAAAGTCTACAATCCAAAGATGGGCATGGACACGCTGCAAATCACACCGGTATCACAAGCAAACTCAGGCCAGCGTGCAGGTCGTGCAGGCCGCACAGGTCCGGGAAAGGCTTTTCATCTGTATACCGAGCAAGCATACAAAAACGATCTCTATGTCCAAACGATCCCAGAAATACAACGGACCAATCTCGCCAACACCGTCCTCCTCCTCAAATCGCTCGGTGTCAAAGACCTCTTGGACTTCGACTTCATGGACCCACCACCTCAAGACACCATCACGACTTCCCTCTTCGACCTCTGGGCCCTAGGCGCAGTCGATCACGTTGGCGATCTCACCACCATTGGCCGACTAATGACCGCCTTTCCCATGGACCCGTCCCTTGCCAAGATGCTCATCACATCGACCACAGACTACGCCTGCAGCGAAGAAATGCTGACCATCGTCTCCATGCTCTCGGTACCCAGCGTCTTCTACCGACCGAAAGAGCGCCAAGAAGAGTCCGACGCTGCACGCGAGAAGTTCTTCGTGCCTGAATCCGATCATCTTACGCTGCTCCACGTCTACACGCAGTGGAAGTCGAACGGTCACTCAGACGGCTGGTGCGTACGTCACTTCCTGCATCCGAAAGCACTGCGTCGAGCCAAGGAGATCCGCGAGCAGCTGCACGACATTATGGTCAACTCCCAGAAGATGCAGCTCGTCAGCTGTGGCACCGATTGGGATGTCATTCGGAAGTGTATCTGCAGCGGCTACTACCACCAAGCGGCCAAGGTGAAGGGCATCGGCGAGTACATCAATTTACGTACCAGTGTCACGGTGCAACTGCACCCAACCTCAGCACTGTACGGACTTGGCTATCTTCCAGACTACGTCGTCTATCACGAGCTGATCCTCACGAGTAAGGAGTACATGTCTTGCGTTACAAGTGTAGACCCGCACTGGCTCGCTGACTTGGGAGGGGTGTTCTACAGTCTGAAGAGCAAGGAGTACAGTGGGAAGGAGAAGAGGGTGATCGAAGGCGAGTTCAATCGGAGGATGGAGATCGAGGCGAAGATGGCGGAGGATAAGGCCAAGGAAGAGAAGAGGCAGGAGGCAGAAGCAGAGCAGGAGGAGTTGTTGTTGAGGGGTAAGCAGAAGGTTTCAAATGGTGTAGCTGTGAGGAAGGCTGGAACCAACGGCGTTGTGAAGAAGCCGATCGTTGGGAGAAGGAGGATTGGAGGGTTCTAGAGGAAGGAACGTGGTCGAGCTCACTTGCCTTGCACCCAAAACTACGTGTTTCCCAACGCAGCTCCCTCATACCGGGTCCATTATCTTGAGGAAGGAGGACTTCTGAGGAAGCTGCGTTGTGCATCCGACACTCTTCTGCCGCTTGAGATGAGGCCAGAGTAAAATTCCAAGAGAAAGGGTGCAAGCACCCTACTCTGGACATCTCAAGCGGCAGAAGAGTGTCGGATGCACCACGCAAGTGACCGAATTGGTAGTGAAGCAGTCTTCGTAATTGTCTCCAAGTGACCTAAGCATAGACTAGAGGCTCGAAACACGCCGGCTGACGAGTCTGTTCGTGAAGCCGGATGACAGCGCCCTCGCATTGTCCGGAGAGGATAGCCGCTCGCAATGTCCTTCAGATCGAGAGCACACGAGCCCAGCACTCCACTGCTTTCAGCCCAGCTATGCCTCGCACAACCTCGTGAAAGCAGCGTCTCAGAGATGGCGCACCAATCTGCCACGTACGCCCCTTCAGACCCCCGAAAATCTTGACTGCAGCGGCCGGGCAGCCGATATGGCTGCAAAGAGGAGGAAAATTGAAGCCAACGGCGCTGCTACCACCAACGGAAACGCGCAGCTCAATGGCCACGCGACGCCGAAGAAGCAGTCCGACTTGCAGAAGTCGGCCTCGAAGGATGACAGCTCACGGACGACTGTCGACATCCTGCGCATCTTCCTTCCCACATTCACTTTCATCTTCGGCGGCTGCTGTTCCAATGTCTACGCCCTGGAGGCGCTGATCAAGACATCGCCGTCCGCCGGCACACTCATCACGGCTCTACAATTCCTTGTCACCTCCCTCATCACCCTTCCAGCCAATGTCGATGTACGATCACCAGGACAAGGCTTCCTCCGAGCTCGCAAGATCCCATTGAAGAAATGGATTATATACACAGCATACTTCCTAGCGATCAATATTCTCAACAATTGTGCCTTCGGCTACAGCATCTCGATACCTCTACACATCATTCTGCGTTCCGCTGGGCCGGTCACGACGATGCTGGTCTTTTACTTCTACCGTGGGCGGAGATATCCCCCGATGAAGGTCTTCGCTGTACTACTGCTTTTTGCCGGTGTCGTTGTTGCCGCGGCCGCGGACGCGTACTCCAAAACACCGGAGGCTTTCGAGTCGACACTGTCTACACAACCGACCGAGCCACCATCTAGCAGGCTGCCATGGAACTATCTGCCTACGGGCGGAGCATTGCGGGAGCAAGGCCCAGGCTTTCTGCTGCTGGCGGGCGCGCTGGTTCTGTCGGCGTTCATGGGACTGTACTCGGATGAGCTCTATGGGAAGTATGGTCGCGGTGCACAGATCACGTCGGAGGGCCTCTTCTACTCACACGCGTTGAGCTTGCCTTTCTTCGCAGCTCAAACAAGCACGATTTCGTCCTCATTCATGGACTTAAGTCAGAACTCAGTCCCGCTCTCTGCGACCTTCGCGTCTGGGACGTTCCCGAAATTGCCGACCGTGCTGGCGTCGATACCGACAGCTATACCCATGCTGATGCTTAATGCGGTCACGCAGTACATCTGCATCAAAGGCGTCAACCAGCTGTCGGCTAAGTCAAGCAGCCTGACGGTGAGTATTGTGCTCAATATACGCAAGCTCGTCAGTCTACTGCTGTCGATCTGGCTGTTTGGTAACCAGCTACCGGCCGGAGTCGTTGCGGGCGCCGTGCTGGTGTTCTTGGGTGGTGGTCTGTATGCGGTGCCCACGGGCGGGCCTGGGAAAGTTCAAGCGGATGCCTGCGTGGCCGGACGTGAGAAGAAAACGCGATAAGAGTTGATGAAAGAGCCGAGCACGAGTAGTATTTAGAATCGCCAAAGGTTAGAGACCATAGACCGCAACGACTTTCTAAGTTCATTTTGAGATCTGCAAGCGTAGCTGTAGATCGGAATCGGCAAGCTGACAGTCTTGCATGGTGCGAGCTATACAGTTGCTCCCCAGTCACGTCCTCGGCTGCCAGATCCGAGAATCAACTCGAGAAATGCAAAAGTGCATGTCGCTAAAAATCTATCCGTCTCCGGCGACTCTCCAACCGTAATTCATCCGCGCCGGCGCACTTTTGAGTTCGACGGCATGTTGAACGTGCCACCGGTGATTAGCCTTCCCATGGCACCCGAACGATAGCTAGGCTCGCTGGGTAGCTAACAGCTCATGCCACGAGAGTATATAGTGAAGCGAGTGCTGCACTGGTGCTGAGCCAAAAACGGACCATAATACCCATCTCAAACGTTCCCTGTTCGATCAACGTGACTCCGAGTTCTGCTAACGACAGCTCATACCTAGTCAGATTTTGGGAGCTCTCTTGGACCGTCTCCGCATTCACAACTCAGCACTCAGCCGAGCTCACAGCAACAGCTCTTCTTCTCGAGACTCATCCTCACCGTTCTCTCAGCCAGCAACCGCGATTTCAACACTACAACCCAAAATGCCGTTCTCCTTCTCAACCCTCCACCCAACCCTCTACCCCAACCTCACCCACCCAGGCACCACCCATTCCCTCCCATTACTCCTCCTCCGGCTCGAAGGCACCACCCTCTTCCTCTCCAGCATCTACCTCTACCATCGTTTGCAGCGGTGGCATCTCGCCTCTTCCGCTTACGCTTCCTCGCCATCACAACCAACAACCTTGACAAAGTCAACGACAGCCACCTCCCCGTCAACAGCCCCGAAGGTATCCGCAAGCAACCCCCTCTCCTGGACGCGCTTCGGCATTTTGCTTCTGGCGCCCGATCTCGGCATGGTCGGCTTCCTCCGCGACTCCCGCTGGGGCAGCTGGATCTACAACCTGGTGCATTGCGAGATCTTTCCCTTGGTCCTGGTCTCAACACTGTTGAGCGATGTGTTGGACTTGCGCTCGTTGACTGGTGGGGAGGCCAAGCGGGACGATGATATTGTTGCAGAAGGCAGCGGTGCGAGGGTACTGGGGTTGAGGAAGGGCACATGGGCGGCATGGATGGGCGTGGGAATCACGTGGCTGGCGCATATCGGAATGGATCGGATGATTGGAGCCGGGTTGAAGTATGAGACGGGGTTTGGGCATACGCATTTGGGGGTGATGTGATGTGATGTGATGGGAGTTGACGCTGTGACTTGTTGGACTTGCCGGCTTTGGATTGTACGCCAGGAGGAAATAATGTTGAATTGGTTGTCAGCACGCTCTCTGGGGTGTTGGGTAACCGGCTGCGGCGTCGAGATGACAACGTAAGGATCCATTGGCTTGAAATGCACAAGCGTGGCTCCATTTATATTCGGAAAGGTGTTTCTAGACGACTTTCCAAGATACCTGTGCCTACACGGCGGTCTGGCTGCGCGGTATAGTAGTAGGAGCAGAGTGAAGTCCACACAAGCCTTTCGCACTGATTGAATGCTCGTTCACCTCATCAGCGGCCATATCTACCGCATCGAGATGTTTGTCAACCGGCTTGAGCTAGGTCTTCACAGTACCATTAATGACACCCCGCACAGGACGCCGAACAAGCCCGTTGACAATACAGCTGTGTCCACATTCGAGAGCTACACGCACAAAGATGTCGGTCTTCCCCCAGCGTTCGATGGTTTCGATCAATGCTGGCTAGAAGAGCTCCGTGGATACCACGGAGAGTTCTCACGGCAAATGTTCGATCTGATGTCGTTCAAGTGAGCCAAGCTTCTTCCCGCGCTCCGCCAGAGGCCTGGCAAACCTTATGGGAGCATTGCTTGACCATGTCTTGTGGTGGCTGTGCTACCAAGAAACCAGGCTTGGTAGACAGCTCAGAACCTGACTCTTCCTTCTCGTCAAAACTCAGCAGCAGCAGCTTCTTCTCATACTATCACGCTGCGAGAGCAGGACGTCAAGTGCCGCAGAAGTTTCACTGTCCCATGAGACTGAGCTTCTGACAACAGCTAGACCTCAGCAAAATGGCCAACAATCAGAGTCCCGACGAGAGTCGCCCACTCCTGAGCAACGGTCATGGCACGGATGGACAAGAGCACGAAGATGCCGGATTTTTGACGATTCACCACGAAGGCGAGTCTCATCGCTCAGGATTTCACCCGCAGCATTTTCTACGGATCACCTGGCGCTCCTCATGCACGGCAAGCAAATACGTCAATGTGCTCTGGCCATTTGCCATCATAGCCATCGTCCTCAAAATTGCTGTCCCACATGCCGGTCTATGGATCTTCGCGATGTCCTATATCGCCATGGTCCCTGCGGCCAACCTCGTTGGCTTCGCTGGTCAGGAGCTCGCCCGCAAGCTGCCTAAGGTCGCTGGCATTCTTATCGAGACTGCCTTTGGCGGCATCGTGGAGATAGTGCTCTTCATCGTCCTCATCGCGAAGCACAAACCCAACCAGGAAGGCGAGAACGGTGACGAGGGCAACCTCGTCCCAGTCATCCAGGCCGCGATCCTGGGGAGCATCCTCACGAACCTGCTCCTCTGTCTTGGCCTCTGCTTCTGGATTGGCGGCCTACGCCAACAAACTCAAAGCTTCCACGCCGTCATCTCCGAAGTCGGGTCTGGCCTTCTCTTGGTCGCGGGTTTTGGTCTCCTGATTCCGAGCGCCTTCTACTCGGCCCTCAAATCCGAGACCATCTCCCTCCACATGCCCTCCACCGGCCTCCTATCTACGCCGCGAAATTCACCAAAGAGAAGCTCGACAATGATGTCCAGCGCATCAGCCAAGCGACATCCATAATCCTAATCATCGCATTCGTGGTCTACATCCTCTACAACGCGCGCAGCCAACACTCGATCTTTGATGAAGTCCTCGAAGCCGACGAACACAAGGACGCCGACCATGCAGAAGACCTCGCGAAAGCGAAGTACACATTCACCGAATGCAGCGTTGCGCTCATCTTCGCTGTCGCCCTCGTCACCATCCTCGCCTATTTCCTGGTCGAGGAAATCGAAGAAGTCGTCGCCGCTGGCGTGCCGGACCAGTTCCTCGGTCTCATCATGCTGCCGCTCGTCGAGAAAGCTGCCGAACATCTGACGGCGATCGACGAGGCTTGGGATCACCAGATGAACTTCGCGCTGTATCATTGTTTAGGCCCGAGCATTCAGACGGCGCTGTTCAATGCGCCGCTGGTTGTCCTTGTGGGATGGGCAATGGGGAAGCCGGATATGGATTTGAATTTTGAGATCTTCATGATTGCGTTGCTTGTGTTAGCGATTTTGGCCGTGGCGAATTTTCTGAGGGATGGGCAGAGTAATTATTTGGAAGGGTTCTTGTTGGTTATGATCTATGCGATTGTTGCGATTGCGAGCTGGTTCTATCCGAATCCAGATGTTGCTACGAGTAATGGCATTCAGGAGGCTTTGGGGAGCGGGTTTGTGGTTGTCAAATAGTGAGATCTTTGGGCGGTGAGTGATGGTTAGACGCAGGACCGGAACTGCTCTGACACCTTTCGATGCGAAGTCCATACATGGAAGCAGCCGTCGCTGTGTACGCGAACAGCTCACTGGCGGCCTCACAGGCACGCTCGAAGATCTCGATTGGTCTTGTCAACCGGCTTGACCTCTGTCACTACGGCGGTCAGCACAGACCTTCTATGCGGAGCGTACCTCAAGCCGATCGATTCTTTGGAAAAGTATTATCCTCATAAAGATGAAGATATCTTTTATCCTCTAACAGACCGATGAACTCCTGGTCAGCTGTGCCAATGGAACGAAATATATCTACTGCTGGTGAAGGTATGAGTACTTGGGTCACGAGCAGTTTGGCGCGTGAATATGGCCGCGCCAAATGAAGTGATTGTGGGGGCCGTCAACCTGAGACATCTAGGTTTGCTTCTAGGAGTGGCGATCAGGGGCATGAATACTGAGTATATACGGCTATCCTATCCTGCCACAGCTCACATGCACAGACATACCGCAACATTGAATTGAGCCGCCGTAGCACGACCAATCTGATGGAGATGAACTTCATATCTAGTCTCAAACAATGTGTGCGCTATACAGGACGTCTGCTATTCTACATCTTCCTGATCTCGCTGCCAGTGGCCGGACCTCCAATCGTCTGGGGCATCGCGACCGGCATCAAGTTCCACTTCTGGCAAGCCGACCAGATCCTCAAGAATACGAATGCCTTGACGTTTGAGATCGATCAGCATAGCCGGATGAGCTACTGGAACGTCCCTGGCGCCCAAACAATTCATCAATTCCAGGACAACCAAGCTCCGTTCTACCTACACAGCTGGGCGTGCTTGACTATGCTGAGAAACTCTCGTTGAGCAAACCTAGCTCTACCTTGGACGAGTATGCGAGTATCGATCGGATGGGCAGCCTGGACGATCTGGTCAGGTCCGGACCGGATAATTTGCCAACAGAGTATTGGATTTATGTCACCTTCATGCCCGAGTACGGTGGCAGTGAATGGGACAAGGCCTTCAGCGAGATCCTACAGCAATCGTATGCTCGACCGGCTCACCCAAAGACAGCGTTCTTCTACGTGAGCTGTCTGAAAACCCAGTTCCTCTGCGGTGTTTGGGGTGTGAAAGCTCCGTCCCTTGTCCACCTCACCGTCGAGAACTACACAGTCGCTGACTCGATGGAGATGGAGCCTGTCGACCATTCACAGCACCTGTCATATGACTATGGCTGCCCACCCGACAAGGTTCGTCCTGTCACTGCTCGGGTCATTGAGCTACCTCTTGAAGACGACCACGCGATCCACTTTCTACCTCGAAATGTGCTCCCAACGCCGTTTCTTCAGCTTCGCACCTTGATCTTCGATGCGCCGCGGTCGGCCATTGTGGACCAATTCGACCCGTGGAATCCCTTGATGCAGGATCTGGCCCGCTTCCATGACCGGTTACTAGATTTGTGCGATATACGTGGATCTGGTTGGTACTATTTTGACAAAGCGGATCAGTGGTACGAGAAATATGTCCTCAAGCCCGTCCTCGGCGGAGAGATCAATGACGTGGTGGTCGGCGTGGTTCAACCTCTTACCTTCTCGATATCGCTCGCCATTGCCTCAATAGTTCGTATGCCATTCAACTGGGGCTGGTCTCTATACTCGTTGTATTTCGGGCTTGGGTGGGATGGCGAACCGTTGGGGACGCATACGTGGCCTGGTGAAGAAGACTTAAATGAGGATGGCTATGCTGGCATGTGGGGAGATATGATATCCGGCTTCTGGGACTTTGCGGCGGAGAAGATGGCGGCGCAGGAGGTGGAAGCTGCTGCTTCGGCTGCGGTCACGAGCAGGGTTCCTTAAAGCTGTGTTTGATCGGCCTGACCAACTTTGTCCAGGACCGTGTGAGCCTACAAGAGCACAGCACCTCTGGGATGGTCAATCAGAAGACTGGGAGTTTCGCTCGTTCCCTCAGCAGCATGGCCAGGCCAAGCGTTACAGCAACGACCAGAGTAACCGCACACCCGTTGACCGCCTTCGCGTGGAGGACTCGCCTATACTAGATCGGCCGGTCTCACGTTCCTCCTTTCCGGGACTGCAGGTGCCTGAATTCAAGACAGCATTCAGCGTCAGTCCAGAGCAGCAGAATGCCAAAAAGCAAAAAAGCAAAAAAGAATAGCAGCACCCAGAATCGAACTAGGATCTTCTGTCCACGAGGGCCAACACTCTTCACGAGCATTGTTAGGGGGTTTTGCCTTGCGACGTGGCCCTTTTTGGCCGGTTAACCCTCGTGCGATGTGCTCGCCGTTGCACCATGCTGCTGGAAATATTCTGAGCTAATTGCTTGTCTGTCCGGATTGATGTGCGAAAATTCCGGGGAACGAATATATAAACTCTCAGACATAACTTCACAGCAACACTGAGTGATGTGAAGCAATCACGACTGGCAACCATGATCCCTGGATACCTTCACACGAGCAAGATAGCACTGAGGCGGCAGTCAGGTTGTTCACAAACAGCATATTGCGGAGCCAGGAGCAAGGGGACTCGCCGATCTTGGAATCCGTCCTCTCCTGCGCAAATCCTCATTTCCGCAAAAAGCAAAAAGACGTCGACGATCTGACAGCACCCCGACTCGAACAGGGATCTTCCTCGGTGTTAGAACAGCCTGGTCCTGTCGGATCAAATGACTAGGTATACTTCACCCTGTCTAAACTGACAGACCTGCGCCGAGATTCAGCACGAGGATGTGTTAGACCTGCTACACTATGCTGTCGAAAGTAGGTGAGGACGAATGTCTTCGACGATTGATGCGAGAAAATTCGAGAGCTACAATACATATAGGTAGATTCGAGGATACATAGTGCAGTGCCGGATGTGGAGATTATCGAGAGAACGTCGACCTCTGCGCATGGATGATTCAGATTCTAGCTAAGTCATCTATGAGCAAGCCAGAAGCGATGCGGCGCTCTGGTCGCTCAGGAATAGCAGGCATCGCACGTCACAAACGGGGAAGACCATGTAACGAAATCAAAGAAGAATGCTAAATGTCGACGTCGACGGCAGCGAGGCCGATTCTTGGTATTCAACCTCAATCGCCGGCCAGACCAGCAGCAATATCTGCCCAACACTTTCTCCTAGACGCACGCAACGTCCACCCGACTCACAGCCTGGCGTCTTCCACAGCAGCATCAATTACAACAAGCCCCTTCAGGCCCAGCTCCTCCACTACCTTCTTCTCGACGACGAAGACAGCCACGCACTCCGCCTCGTCGGTATCACTCGCATTCCGGGACAGTACATGATGGCACCCGGGCGGCTCGAACCAGCTTTCGCCAGGTGCGTACTGTAGTACACCACTGCCTTGTCCAGCAGGGTCTTCGGAAGGGCAGATAGTCTGGTTCAGGACGGAGCCGCGGATGACCGTGGCGTGGACGGCTGCGCCACCTGATGTGATAGTGGTCAGTTGGAATTCCATCAAGCATGCTTCGACGTGCTCATGGGTTGAGTGGAGGCTGTTCAGATCTCGTGTGGAGAATTTCGGATGACTGCATCGCTGTATACTTCGATTGGAGGTGAATCACTCACCATGGTAGTGTGGCGGAGTGGCGCCCGCTGGTGGAATTTTGACACTGAGAGTGATCATCAAATGTGTCGGAAGGAAAGGCAGGGTATGTCCTCCGAACAAGCTGGGCTGATCGAATCGGCCGTTGCCTGGGAGAACTATGGCTGGTGCATGCCTGTTGTAATCGTGTCAGTCCGATCTGCCAGGGTGGTGCTGGCTGCTTCTTAGGTGGAAGACCTAGATTAGATCCGAGAACGTGCGACACGGGCAGGGGAAGTGTTTGGGGTGAGCTCTCAGAATGGGCATATGCATAATCAGGTGACGAACCCTTCGACAACCCACATACCATCGTGCCTCTTGACGACCTTTTGCTCCTGCCAACGCCCTCGGGTCTCGACTTTGGTAGGCATGCTTGCTGTCTGTATGCGTGAGATGGTTCCAATGGTCGTACGATGGCAGATCTCGGTGGTGGCGATGGTGCCGTGGACGAGAACAGCTCGATGGACAGTGTAACATATTTATATACCTCTATAGGTCTTGGTCATGCCTGGTTTCGCATTGCACCCTACCAGCTCTTGCCCCAACCGAGCTGCTGCTATGTCGCGATCAGTGATTCGAACAGTCGTCTTCATCGATTGCATTGCAAGTACTTGCCAAAAGCACTCTCGCCTTAATTCTAGCAAGCCTGGAGCATTGCACCTTCCCGTCGGAACCTCACGTCCCACAAAAGCTTATCAGCTCCGCCTTCCTCATTCGGACACACGGTCTAGTGTCGCCAGCATCTGGTGTCGCCGGAATCTGCCAGAACCTCGCTCCATCTCCGACCGAACGACCACTCGACCTCGAGGCTGAAGGGAAATCGATGGCCAGGAAATCCCCACTGATCAATACGCACGAAGTCAATGTCCCATTCATGACCGTCAAGTTGATGCGTCATGTCTTCGCGCAACCAGAAGGTCGCTTTTCGTTGCTTGACGTCCCACTTCCAGCAAGTGATGAAATGATGTTTATCCTTCATACGCTCCGTGTACGATGGTGACATCATCAGCCGGCGAAGTAGACCTGGACCATTACCATAGTCAAAATGCGCGAAGCGGGTTTGGGGCTCCATCATGTCCCAGTCGGCAAGTAGCAAGATCCAGTCAGCGCGCTCTGCGTCTATGAGAGACAAGTCGGGGTAGAAAGGCCCTGTCCAAGTGACAGTACACTCCCTGATCTGATCGGGTGATTGCAGTATTCCATCTTCGGCGATGACTGCGAAAGGCAGGACTCCAAGGAATTGTGTCGTGAGGGTACTCAATTCGGCAGTCCATGGACTGCTGTCGAATTTTGCAGCGGAATTGCGTCGATCAATCTCTCCAAGCGTGATGGGACATTCAGAAGGTGGCCGGGCAGTCGATATTGTGTCGTTCGTGAGAAGACTAGTCAGAATCGCGCTGAGCCAGTGCTTAGGGTAGCCTACGTTACTCAAGTGGATGAAGAGGCGTAGGAATGCTGTTTGATTCAACGGCGATCGGACAATAGCTGACCTCTCGGGGCCCCAGTTGCCAGCATCCCGGGGAGCAGGCAGTACCAGAGCCACATAAACGCTATAAAGCCAATGCGTCAAGTTTTTGCGTGGCATCAAGCTCTCGAAGTCCAACGGTGTCGCAGCGACGGAACGCCAATCTGTATAATTCATCATTGGCATTGGCCCTTCTGGGAGCTCAGGTTCACTACCATCGAAGAATTTTGACCAACCGCTGTACCGAGCATTGAATACACTAGCCATGTCAGCTTCTCTGTACATACATAGACTCTCAGCGTTGTAATGATCGATAGTGCTCCATCTTGGAGGACAAGCGAGGCAATTACATATTGCTGGTGCACCAGTATGTTGCTTGAGTGCTGGAGTTGCGTGCATGAAAGTGAACAAATTCATTCCGGTATAGTCCGGGATGTTGCTGAAGTGCATCCGATCGAATCTTGTGTTTGGTGGCAAGCGGACATTGTCACTATACCCTCGTATACTTAGTTGCTCAAGCTCATCGACACAGTCGGCTATCGAAATATGAACTGTCAGAAGAGGCTGCAAATCAGCCAGCGCTTCAGCAATGAGAGACCAGAATACGGAGCAGTAGTCGAAGAAATGATGAGGATCCGGTGGCGGACTCATGTCCGGGAGCTGGCGCACCAATGCGAATGGCAGAGGGAATGCGGAGCAAATATCATTCCGTAGCGAGCTGGTTTCGATGTCCAGTAAGGTCGGATTAATCCTCCACAAGTGACCAACGTGCTCTCGCAGAGCTCTGACGTGTTGCTGACCACGTGAGCATGCTCTGTACAACCTCATTAGCTCCGGGTTCTGCTTCTGTGTTTCATCATCAGGAACGAGCATCAAGGTCTGTTCGTAGATAGAGGATTCATTGGCGTACTGCGACGCTGCAAAGCCCGGGCCAGTGAGGTTTGGTCGCTTGAAAATGGGTCTGGTGTGGCTTTCTTGGAATTGCGTAGCCGTGAAAGCGTTCGGGATCTCTTTCATCCATGTCTTCAACGTTCGACTCATTTGATCAGCCACTTTAACGCTGCAGCGCACCCAGGGGAGTATCGTGGTAGGATGGTCAAGCATGTCGATGCATACAGTGATCTCCTTCTGCAGCATTTCGTAGATACTTGGAGGCATGAGCGGGGCCGAGAAGGTGTAATAGAGTGTGCTGAGTAGTAACATGCGCATCGTACTTCCGCGTGGAGCTCGGGCAGCCTGTTGGAGCAGATGCCAAATGATGAAATTGCGCGCGAGCACGATAGGATTGACATCATTCGCTACAATGCAGATGGCAGGAACAGGCTTGGGTTGACTCGCCGCGAAGTCAGTACGCATCACCATGAGGGTAGCGTACAGGTGACGAGCATCTCCGATACCACCGAAATAGAATGACACAGTCTCGCCGCTTAAAGCGGGCGTCGGCCTGAGGCGACTGTCGTTGTCATGCAGTACTAAGCCGAGGACGTTGTAGTGCTCTGCCGTGGTAGTCTGCCACACCGACTTGAATTCATCGTGGCCGAAGACGCCATAGAGAGGCTTCTCGTGAAGTGTTGCTTTGTAGCGAGGCAGTCGTGCCCAGATCATCTCCCACATCTTTATCTCGGTCGCTAAGCCTGCGATGGAGGTCATACGGCGGCGAGTGTCCAGCACGGCGGTATAGCTAGGATTTTCCGACGACAAATAGACGCTAGCTTGCAGATCTCCAGACTGTAACAAGGCTTGAGCGCGTCTGGCCAACAACTTCGCGCTGAGGCCTGCGACGGGATCTGCTCGGCCGTCGTTGATCTCGAGCGCCCTCTGTGCCGCCATAGCAGCGGCTGGGTACTTGCCAAGCTCGTAAAGCACGGCTGACAGATTCGAATAGGGTAGGGCATCGTCGGCGTTTGCAACCCTGGTTGCTTCTCGATATTTGACTGCGGCAGCTCTAAAGTCGCCTTGCTTGTAGAGAGCATTGCCTTCTTGTCTCAAGGCTTCAGCCATCGCTTGCTGGGGAACGAGATATTGAATGATGACCAGCGCACTAGCTATCATGCGCAGAGTGGATAGTAACCGGAGCAAGTCGATAGGGATTCTGTCTGCGGCATGCACCTGACCTGATCACGTGACCGATTTTGACGAAACGGGAGTGGCAGAGCTTGATTTCAGGCAGACCACCACAACCGTGCGGGCGAGAGGCCTTCTTAGGCTCTGGGCTCCCCAGCTGCCCGATCCCAATCTGCCACCTCTACCGCTAAGGGGCAGATTAGACCCGGGCAGGCTGGGGAGCCCGGGGCCTAAGAAGGTCCCTCGCCCGTACGGTTGTGGTGGGGGGAGCGACCTCGGCCTAGGCCTTAAATTTGGGGTCGGCCTGCAGTCGAAGTGTCGAAGTGTCAAAGTGTCGAAGTGTCGAGGTGTCGAGGTCATGACCAATCCCAGCTATCTGAAGTATGACCTCAGGGCCGCGCATAGAGAGTGCGATGCGTTGTCAACGTACAATGCTGTTATCGCATATGAGGCTTTCATCGTCCCCAAAGCGGCCACGTACGGGTTGACTGGTTTTCGATTCATAGCGCTGGTCGTCCACCGCTTGTCCATATACTCAAGTCAGATCGCCCATAATTGACATTAGCTTTCAGTCCGACCGTAGGAGGTGTAATAATTCGTGGTTGAGTCCGCCGTGATTCGTGGTTGAGTCCGCCGTGATTCGTGGTTGAGTCCGCCGTGATTCGTGGTTGAGTCCGCCGTGATTCGTGGTTGAGTCCGCCATGATTCGTGTTCGAGCCCGCCATGATTCGTGTTCGAGCCCGCCATGTCTTGTGTTCGAGCCCGACATGGCATGTTTTCGAGCCCGCCGTGATGTGTGCTCAAGCCCGCCGTGGTTTGTGTTCAAGCCCGCCGTGGTGTGTGTTCGAGCCCGCCATGTATTCTCTGATACTTGTGGTGCCACATGTCTCTAAGTATCTCTTAGAGATCCTCGGAGACAAGCACGTAGGTATGGACGAATGCCTCATGTCTCATCCAGTCAAATGAAGATTGGATCTTTAGAAAGAACTCTCGCGATTAGCCAGACCAGACGATGCGAGCAGCATAACGTACTGTGCCTCTGTGGATTCTTGTTATTGGTTTGGTGACATTGACTCCTAATCGGGACGTGATGTTCTCGATTTTGCCAAGAAAACACTTGTTGGAGAAACAGATCACCTCTTCTGAGTATGTACATGGGTTAAAGTAATGTGGATCGTGGCGAGCGAAGGAGTGACCGGATGGATCCAGGGTGAGAACGAGTCACGAGCGCGGGATAGGGAAACGAGGCAGTGGCAGACGGGTCGCAGACATCCTACAGCGACATCTATCTAAGTACCTAGGCAGAGACCTTCTACAGACCCTGCAGCGTTGCATGATCCATGGGCACGATACGTATCGGAAACGCTGGCATAGTGGGAATCACCATTCACCAGAAGCCCGCGGCCGACTTGGGTCACTTTTAGGATGTGTTTTTGAAAGTATTGTATTGGGTCTACCTGACTGTGCCGTCAGTGCCTCTGGCAGGTGGGCAAGCTCTGGCCAAACGAGTAGGTGAAGGACTTCCTGTCAAGCTATGGATATGGTCCCGCGACGGCGACGGCGACATCACCGGCTTATTGGGTTTCCCCCACTGGCGTCGCCCAACAGTTTCTCTACCAATGATGACGGATGATAGCCATCGAGCGAGTGTGCGATATGCGTAGCCTGGCCCTAAGTCAGCTGTACTCAAATCGCAAGAGCTTTTGGCTGCTGGAGAAAACATCGCGCATGGCTCAGCACAAGGCGAAATGACAGTCGAACAAAGCCTCGTTCAAATGACAGTCCCTGCATGTCGTGGCGTGGCGGAGTGCGCTGAACCGTTGATTTTGTGTGGTCGGCGTCAATGATGACTGGATGAGCAGCCGTTCCAGTGACGAGACTCGAGCAGACGCCCCGAGAACCGTTGGCGCCCGAGAGAGCCAACGAAGGGACTCTCATAGAGCTGTAGCAGATCTATTTCTCACGTCACCCGCGCCCTCATCAACCATTGCCCTTCTGCGTCATGGCAAAACCAGTCGCCGGTATGTCGCATGACTACCTCTCGTTGCACGAGTAACGTGGTGAGATCTCCGCAAAAATTGCATGGCAGACTCTCCCACCCGATTGTGTACGCGGTCTTAATATGCACATCGGTCAACGCAGCCTTTCTGGCAGATGCGATTTCTGCCCCTATATCATACCAAACGTTGTGTCTGCAGTCGTCACAACATGGCACGTCCTTGACACTAGAAAGCTTTTCTGCCTAGGAGAACTTCCAGCGGTTACCGCAGTTGAGGCACTATTGCACAGGTCAATATCACGCCTGTACTGTGGAGAAGACTCGAACATACCTTGCAGAACGTCGTCATCGGCTCATCAGCACTTCTCGTTTGGGCCTGTCGATAGCTGACCTTCTTCTCGTGGCACTTCCCACACTCTAGACTGGTGGAGATACTTTCCTCTTCCTGCGCCACCATCGCATCTGCCAAGTTCTGCTTCTCGAGCTTACTGTCTTCTTCCTTCTGCTCCTGCGACTTCAGTTGTGTAGCATCGAGTTTGACGAGGGAGTCCACCTTGAACTTGCCTTCACCCTTGATGACATTGTGTCGTAATTCGGGATTAGCTTTGTTCTTGAAGTTCTGGTAAAGTGACCTGATCTTCTCCTTGTATGATGCCGAAGACGAGTCGGAGCTAGCGACTTTGGTGAGCACCGCAATCTCAATCGCTATCGCTTTGTCGAGCACGACTTGAGCCTCATAGGTTGTGTTCTGCACAAGACCGTCGTAGAGTAATCCTACGCAATTGTTGCGGGACTTGTCGTTGGGGTAGAGTTCCAAGTTGACTTTGTCGGTCACCTTGGTGCGCTTAGCCGGATCTACCCCTGTAGGTGAACTCGCCTTGGGGGTGGGCGTCGCTGGTTTCGAGGTGGGAGCAGTGCCGTTCGTTTTCGCGACATTTGTTGGCGTAGAAGTCCCTGAAGTATTCTTGGCAGCATTGACGACGTTCCTCCATCTGCCGATGATCTCGGAGGCGAGTTGTGCGACCTGCGGATCGAGACCCTGCACGCCTTTGACCTTGTTTACTATTCTACCGATATTGGTCTCGCGCAGAAGCTGCTCGGTGGGGCGGACATTCGCTTTGAGGTCGTTGAGGATGGCGAGAAGGTTCGACGTCGGTTCTTTGCCAGCGACTGCTTTCTGTAGAGCTTGGCCTTTCGATGCTATCTCTCTTTTGTCCATGGTGAATATTGCGCTTGCGCGCGCTACTCCTTCGTTACCAATGAAATCTGAACGTATCGCTTCTGTACAGTGATAGACGGGTGAGCTATCGATGCAGTCAGTCGCTGGTCGAGAAGTAATCTGTCCTTAAAAGAAGTGATCGGGCAGGTCGGGAAAACAAAGAGCGAGTGTCGCGTGCGAGCAGCAGATCACTGTCAGGCTGCTCTTGCCTGCATTTCCGTGCATGCAGTTGCCCCTACCGCCTGCGACCGCAGATCTCATAATGTGCGCCAACACTTGCCAACGCAAAGCAGCCAAACGCATGCCGAGTGAAGGAGGGGCACGAGCGACGGAGTGACCTACCGATGTCAATTATTCTGAGGCTGCGACCTTGCGCTCTTGACTATTAATACGTGCACTCGATTCGACACGATCGATAGGCGATGGCGATACTTGGACGGCGCAAGTGCAGTTCGGCTGGTCGCACCTCTTGTCTTGTTTCAAGTGCTGATGTCGAGGGCTGAGGGCCGCCGTGAACTCGAATATACTCTCTGGCCGCTCGCCTGCTCTGAAAACCCTAACCCTACGTTTGTCGCGATTCGCGCGTTCACGTGCCTTCCGAGCTCATGACCTCCACGAGCATGTCATTCATCTGTGGAATTGATGAATGTAGGGGAACGTAAAGCACGACATGCCGTACTGTGGATTTGAAGTGATCGATATTCAACTACACGATGCTAGTACACGAGTCCAGACTCATCCTCGTACCCAGTATAAGAAGCGCCTTTTCAGTCCACGAACTTTCGCTTAGTATTCCAGTGTGACTTCCTGGCCCTTCACGCGGCCAATGACGATATCAGCAGCATACTTAGGAATAACCTCGTCATCATGAAGCATTTCAAACTCCTCCGTAGCGTCCCGACCCATGTGTGAGAAGAGCGCCTGAGGACCACCTGGGTGTTCGTCTAGCCAGTTCGTGACATCCATCACTACGCCCTTGACCGCGATCCACTGCAGACTGTTAGCACTGTCGACACCATGCGAATCACGGAAAACTTACCAGATCATCCTTCTTGTTGTGCTTCGCAACCTCCTCGAGCGAATACTCCTTCTCGGGAACCTTGAAGTCCTTGACATCGTTGGTCTCCTTCTTTTTGCCGGGATCAGCCGATTTGTTGCCATCCATGACGGGCGCGGCGCTCTTCTGTGCTTGCTGATCTGTTACACCATTGCCAACTGATGCAGTCTGGCCCTGACTCTGGCTCTGACCTTGAGCCCACTCCACGGAGATCTTGCCTGGTGTGTTGGGATCGATGTGCAGTGAAATTTGTCCTAATCTCTGGTTCGCAGAGCCAGCACCGCCTGATGTGAGCTTCTGGAAGAGGTACTGTGATGCAGATGCACCAGCGACACGACCGTATACAACACAGCCAAGCAGTGATGAGCCACCAAGACGGTTGGCACCGTGAACACCACCAGCCAATTCACCGCAAGCGAAGAGCGATTCGAAGGGCTTCTTCTCCGAGTTGAGGACCTGGGCCTTGTCGTTGATCTCCATACCGCCCATGGTGAAGTGCAGGACTGGCTCCATAAGAGCGACGTGGAAGTCGTCGTCAACGTTGACTGGCATGTTGTGGAAGTACTTCTTGTTCCAGGGGTCCTTCTCCTTGCCTTCTGCGACTGCGTTGTATGTGGCAAAGCTCTTCCGGAGTGCATCCTCACCGCAACCGATCTCCTTGGCAAGTTCCTTACCAGTCATCTTCTTCATCAGACCACGGCCAGAGTAATGTCTTGTGTGAAAGTCGAGAGTATTTGAGGCTTTGGAGTTGAGCACCAGTCGGATTGGCCACTTGCCCTTCTCCTTCTCTTCCCACATCTTGTTGGAGACGTAGTCACGGTGGCCCAAATCGTCGCAAAAGCGCACTCCATCACTGTTGAGTAGAATACCACCTTCGCCACGAAGAGCCTCGGCAGCCAAGAACTTCCATTTTGAACCAGGATCTTTGGGGTCGACTAGACCTGTGGGGTGAACCTGAACTTTGTCCATGTCGATATCGTTGGCGCCAATCTTCATGAGCATTTTGTGGCCATCTCCCGTGGCGTGGGTGCCGTTGGTCGATGCTAGATCGAATGTATCTGGTCTGTGCTTCTTGAGAAGGGAGTCTTCGGTAAAGTCGGCAGCATATCCACCAGTTGCCAGAACGACCACACCATCAACTTGGTGTGTCTCGCCACCGAACTCGTACTTGAGACCAGTGATCTTGTTGCCATCCTTGATCAGCTCGGTGACTTTGGCCTTCTTGATGACCTGCACTCGATCTGGATCTGACTCGGTCAACTCTTCGAGACGCTGCATGAGAGCATATGTGATGGCCATGCCGGGGAACTTCGCATCGTGACCTCTGTGTGTTCTTGGGAATGAGTGGCCACCTAACCGGGAGACGAGGGTCAAATCGAGGTTGAAGACATCCTGCAGCCACTCGACCGCCGATGCAGATTGGTATGTGAGGACTTTGATGAGGTCTGGTCGAGCCTTGTCACGGGCAGACTTGAGTGTGTCTTCGTAGAATTGCTTGACGCTGTCGCCAATTTGGTGGTCGACTTGTGTGCGGGTAAGGGCACCGTTGATGCCGGATGTGGCCTTTGTGCTGTTGCCGCCAAAGAAGTCTAGTCAGAGCAGTCAGCGATAGATCAGTCAATGGTACGAAGAGCTTCTCACTGTTCTTGTCGAGCACGAGCACATTGCCACCGTTGAGGTAGACAGTGTGCGCAGCGCTGAGGCCGGAGAGGCCGCCACCAACAACGATGACACGAGGAGGCGTCATTGTGCTGTTCTGTATATGTCTATCTGCAATTTCGGGTGGTCACGTCTGATTGCGACAGGTATAAGGGAAGAATAGATGTGCTCGGAGAGATGGCTGAAGAGAGGAGCAGCAGCTTAAAAAGAGACTCTTAGTGAGAGTGTGAAGAAGCGAAGTCAAGTCGAGTCGAGATGCCTCGGCTGCCCCACAGTTGTGAAGGCCGCCCAGTCAAATGCCACCTAATTCAAGTCACGCGGTTACCAACAGCAACGACTCGAATGCCTAAAATGTTTCTACATCTCGTTATAGGGACACTGATGCACTGCTTCGCCGCGGTGTTCTTCGCTGGTACTGACTGTTAGCCGTTCGCGACACAAGCCGACCGACTGCCGCCGACGAGCAATTGAAGGCAATCATGCACTGAATCTTGGGGAAAGAAAGGACTTCCGTCCGGGGAGTGGCTTTGGCCTGGTCTGGGGCCCGCCGGGTCACCAAATACCGAAATCGGCTTTGCTCCGGCCCCAAGACGATCATGTGCTTCTTCACATGTCGAGCTTACCCAGCCAAAGATCGCGAGTGCGCATGTGAAAGCGAAGGTCAGCAACATTTGAATTCCATGCTTCAATACTCCTAGAACCTGTCGTGGAAATCCCAACCGTGTTATGCCAACGCGTCCATCGCCTGCGCCTATCCCAGGCAGCCCGTCCGCTGAACGCCAAATTGGGAGGCATCTACTGCGCTGCCCCATGCTTGCAATCGTACATTTGCTTCCACTATTGAAATTCCGCCGATCGCACGGAAGCACTCATCATGTCCTCCGCCCAGCAGATCATGACATGACCGGATCGCCAAGTCATGGTCCCGGGCAATGATTGAGCGCACTGCCTATCAGCCACCAGCTGACGCGTTGGTCGGAACTATCCGCGTGCCTTACATGGTCTTCCCATGCGAACATACAGCACCACGAAGCGGAAGAACAGCACCGTGTTACGTTCCATTCATAAGCCTAGTTTAGATGTCGTGGGCCATTCACTCATCGACGACGCTGAAGAAACTGGAATTTCGATGCGCAAAACTTCTCCTGGACCGTTTCATGACGACCGAACTGAACTTGCCGAACTTCTCAGTGATGGCGACCGCGACCCATTCATCCTTCTGGACAGTAACGACATACTGCTCGTTGGCGTCACAGCTGACAAGTTGATCTTCGTACCAGAAGTAGCGCTGGTCTGTTTCTGTGTGGACTGATCGTTCTTGTAGAACATGGTCAATTTGAGGGTTTGGTACCGCATTTTGACTATGGGCGTGGTCGAGCAGGTAAGTGATCGGCTTTCGATTCCTGCAGAAAGGACCCAATTCCTCGGTGATGTCTTGTGTGGTACGTTTCCCAGGTGACCTCTTCCGTACTTCGGAAATCCGATTCAGATGACGCGGTCACAAATGTTTAGCCGAGGTCGATTTGCGTACACGTTCTGGCAGCCAGCAGAACTTCGAGCGGCAGGTATGCGAGAATTACGACGGGTGTAAGATAGGGAGAGTACGACAACGAGCAAGAACGACCGGCACGCGACGTCCTTATTATGAATGGCAAACAGCCCCGCGATCTGGCCGACATCATCGTCGTTTCCCACTGTCAACGGAAGGCAGATCCGGTCTCTGATTGGTCGATTGACACGACCTCACGAAGTCTTTCGGGATCAATCGGGTCTCGACTCTTGGACTCGGAGTCGATCCTATCAACAGCGGGAGTATGTTACTGTGCATGTTGCCAAGTATGCGTGCCGGAACATCGTTCTGATTCCACGGGTGCTGAGGACGGCACGGGTAAGATATCTGCGTCTGGGTTGCTGTCCTCGTCGCCCAGAAGATGACTGCCAACAGCACCCCATTCATGACCACCACTTCACCCTTCACGCCCAAGCCTACCAAGGCACGACCTTCCCGTCATACTGCCGAAACACCGCCTTGCCTACATCTCCCTTACCCTTCCCCTCCGCCTCCTCCAGAATCACCTTCAACATTCCCCCAATACTCTCCTCCTGCTCCAACACCGCCCTCGGTCCACCCATATCCGTCTTAACATGCCCAGGATCCATGATCAACACCCTTATCTTCTTTTCCACCACCGCCTTCTCAACCGCCAAATGGACCGAAACCATGTTCAACATTGCCTTGCTGGCGCTGTATACCGTCGCGCCGCCAAAAAGCGCCCGTCCAAATGATCCGAGCCCGCTGGTCATGTTCAAGATCACAGCGCCAGGTGCGAGAAGCGGCATGAGCTTTTGTATAAGCAGCGCGGGTCCAAGCACGTTGACGTCCAGGTGATTATGCATCTCTGGGCCAGTCAAGGTGAGCGCAGTCTTCTGCGAGACTGCATTGATGGCGGCATTGTTGATGAGAAAATTGATCTGTGGATGGCTGGAGGAAGTCTTCAGCGACTCAGCGAAGGCTGTGATGGAGGCTTCGTCCGAGGTCTCGCATTCGTGGATGTGGACGTTATCGTTCTTGATGGCATTGAGGCCACTCAGGTCGGTCTTGCTGAGCGAGCGGACGAGCGCGAGGACGGTATTGTCTTCTTTGCTGGCGACGAGCTGTCGCACAAACTCCAAGCCTAGACCCCGGTTTGCCCCAGTTATGACCCACGTAGGCATGCTGTCGGGTAGGTTATGTTCTCGAGGGATCTAATCTCGTAGGTCCTATGTAGATAATTGACCAAATCTCGGCTTGTTTTGTGCACAGATTGACGGCGGAGAGGCTCTATTCGAATATCGCTGCGCAACCAGATTTTATACAACTCCTCTGTCCGACCGTGTAGGTCCTGATTTCTTCGCATTTGTACGTCGAACTCCCCACGATATCCCACAAACTCGGATTTCCAAGCCACCCCAGATATCTGCCGCCATCCCGCTCTAGTCATGACGAAAGGCCATCGAAATCATCCGGTTCGAGCAGTGACTGGATCGGAGGCGAGGGGCACCTGGCTGTGGTGCTCCGGCGGGCAGCATATGACGCTCGTCGGCCTTTTAGCCGGATTGGCCGATCCCATATATGGCAGGTGAGACTGTCACACGCTCGAGTACCATTGAGTTGCAATGGCTATAAAACCCATGGCAAGGCAACAAGGTGGTCAATGAAATCAGTGGGGACTAGTGTAATTAAGGGATATTGATTCTGGCGACGCGACCAAAAACATGTGATGTGGCCTGATTGTGAGAGAATGGCAACGATGATAGAGTCCACGGGTGATCATTCTCGGACCACATTCATCAGATGACTTCGCGAAGCACACGCGCCATCAGTACACATTGTGCTGTTTTCCGACCAGGTCAACTACGATTGCGGTGCGCCTTGCGATTGCATGTGGTCGGCCGCCCACGAGCACGTATCCATGGGCGCTTCCATCGGCCTGGGCCACCGGCGCAGCAGTGTTAAAACACTGAACAGGCGCCGTCACAGACCTTCGTCGTCGGAGTATATTGAAGTAGCTGGGATTGCAGTAAAAGCATGCAACGCTCGGGTAGGTGTGTCTAACAATGTGTCATTCGACTCTGCGAAATTCAGCAAGATGCTTTCTTCAGGCAACCGGGCCAATCGACCTAGCCTTGAGAGAAAGGATGAAGCCATCGGCCCACCCCATGCTGAGCAACCAAGTCCTTCTCATCTGCCCACGCCTTGCTCACAAATATCTCATTGACCTGATCTCCAGCATTTTGCAAGCTGACCCACTCGCCCATGCCCAGTCTTTTCGGCGCGACACGCTGACCACGTCCACCCTCACCGAGCATGATCAGGTTGCCGGGCCGATACTTCTTGTTCTTCTCCATGCGTTCGATGACGCTATTGTGGATTTTCGCATCGCGTGGAATGTCACGGACCTCGCCGCGAGGTAGCGGCCAATTGATGGCCTTCCAGGATCCATCAGGCTGCAGATCCATGCGGCGGAACGGGAGGCATTCAAGTATCTTCCAGCCAGCGACTGAAACACCTGAAAAGCCTTTGTGGTAGCGCAGACAATCGTGAACGAAGCCCGTGGTAGCAGAAGCGTGCAAGGCTGCACCAAAGCGTTCACGTTGCTTCTTGTCCGGCTTTCCGTTGGCATCTGACTTCTGCGGCGTACAATTGAGTGCAAGAAGCTTTTCCTCGTCGAATATCAGACCGGCCTTTTGTGCTTCTTGTACCATCCAAACAAGAGCCTGATGGGCGCAAGGCCACGTCTCTGTACGGTGCTTTCTGTAGCCTCCGCCAATGTCGCTGTGGTTGCCCGCAAACCTATGGCGCTTAGCATGGTCCAGCAGAAACGGTGCTCGTCAGGACGACAGGGTACTCACCACACCTCGAGCACATCCTGAGGGTCATGTAGATCTGAGAAGCGACGACGAAGGTCATGCCGCTTCAGGGGGACCTCAGACTTCTGCGTCCCGCCCTTTCCACTGAGGCTTTCATTGCTGGCAGATAAATTACTGTCAGGTGTGAACGCGGCGTTCCGCTTGGGGAACTTGTCGCGGTCGCCGGTGGCTGGTGGCTCGATAGCCGTGGTTCCGCCTTCCGCCGCTGGTGCCTCGTGGTCCTTTGCATTCCCTTCGGTGGAGGCCCCGAAAAGCTTCCATTTCAAAAGAGGGAGCCCTTTCTTGTCACTGTCAGGCTGATCTTTGGGTTGGTACATGGAGGGAAGGTCACTGAGATAACGATGAGATTTTGGCCGGTTCTGTTGATGCTTCTCTTTCTCCGGCGGATTGCCTGCAATCAGATCTACTCTGAATTTAGCCCTTCGCTCGTCGATACTGACTGCGTGTCGGATGAGCTTGGCACTTGTCTTTGCTGTGTATGGGAACGCTTTGCGACCGAGAAAGGGTACCTCGAATTGGGGGACCGAGTTGACGGTGTCGAAGAGACCAATGAAGCGGATTCGGCGGACGGGACGACAGAAAGTCTCGCGAAAGCCCTTCATGAAGTTGTAGAGCTTAAGCGTCTCTTGTCTGTCCTTCTTCGACTTACCACCTTTCCTCGTTTGCTAACGCTCGAGATGTCAGCAGCAGAACTACTCTAGCCAACGGAAAGCCTGCCTGTCGATGCAAGCAGAGGCCTCTGCGAGAGGCGATATATCAGAGTGAACTCACCTATGCGGCAAAGGTGCTCCATGCGAACTTTGCTTGTTCGTTGGACCCGGCGGTAAGCAGGCCGATGTGGTCGAGCATCTCGCGAGAAAACGAGCCGTGTACGCTCCGCGAGAAAAGCCGAATAAGTATAAATCATCCTCGGCTGTGTACTTCTTGGTGTCAGCATCGTCTTAGCCCCAAGTCCTGGCGCATAATATAAAGCATAGAAGCAGGATCGCGATTGAACATACGAAGTTCATGAGGAATCTGTTGTTCACGTCAGCATCTAGGCCCGGGTATATTACCACGCCGGCATGCGAAGGACGAACTTGTAGCCTGCCATGACGTGCTCCCCGACGTTCGCACCGAAGGCTATCGCACCCATTAGACTGAACATATTGGGGCAATATGGGTATAGGTACCGAGATCATTCGCCTTGATCCATGCGGATTTGACCTTGTTGTAAGGACTCGCGGCATTTGTGTTGGGAGCCTCGATGTATGTACCGAGACCTGCGTTGTACCACGAATATTGCTTTGGCTCGCTTCGATCGAGCAGACGATAGATTCTCAAGACGTTGGAATCTCTTTCGTCGCCGGTGTAGGTGTTCCCAGTCCCATCAAAGCAGAGGACAAAGCTGTCACGTTTGATGCCATCGGGCCGAGTGGAGGACATGATAGGACCAGCGGCTTAGGTCTATGACTGCCAGTGGTAGTAATATGACCGATAAGAATGAAGTAAGGCGTGTATTAGGCGTACGATGACGGATACGTAGGAATGCAGGAATTGCGTGTGAGACAAGTAGATGATGGGCCATTTGCAGGCCGCAGCTTCGCATGGTTGAAGTGCGTGGGTCGTGCCTACCTACAAGTAGTCCCAACGTCTGGCGTGCTTGCAGGTGCACTCAACGTGGCTCCTTCCTGGCATAGAATTACGGCATCATTAAGCCTGGCAGGTTGATCGTTGGGCCTGGGAACAGAACTGGCAGGTGTTGGACTCGCATGGGACTGGCGGTCGCGACGATCCAGGACACCGATCAGTGTATGCAGGTACGTCCATACGTGCGTGAGTCTGGGTTGATACTGCCGACAGTCGCTCAACGGTGGCATTCTGAGTCGCCGTCGGTGGCTACAGTCATCCGGTCTTGCGATGTCCTTTCACGGCCAATAAGAAGGTTCATGGGCTGCTCTGGCTCTGGTCTCTCCCGCGTCGAGCATTCATATCCTGACCAGTCTTAATGCTGCTTCGCAAGTAGAACTCGGACATTGATGAGATTTGACAGATCGCGGAGATCGGAAGGCAGAGATGAGATCTGATTTTACACGCGAACGCGGTCGGACACGCGAAAATCCATCTAACCCTTTTCGGCGCGTCATGATTTCGAAGTCGTGGAGGACATCTGCGGCTGCCAAACCGTGCTTCGGACCATTAGACAGCCCGTATTGAGCAAGGGATCGTCGCGGATGATGGCGCGAGGCAGTGCAGCGGCTGAAGAGGCCTCAGACTTCGAGAAGCAGCGACTCGCCAACATCGCTGAGCGAGATGCACTTCTCAGGAAGCTCACCTCCGAGGCACAGGCGCAAGGTCAATTCCTGCCTCCAGCAGCACTCAATGGCACTCAGAAGAAACGACCGGCAAAGCCAAAAGGACCACCGGCGAAAAGAATCAAGAAAGAGGATATCCAGCCTCGCAGAGTCAGCTCGCGCCTGAAAGGCATCGAAGCGGACAGCGAGGTTGCTCGGCAGAAAGAAGAGAAAGAGTATGAGGAGCGGAAAGTCGAAGAGCAGAAGAGGCGTGAACGAAAGGTCGACGATGTGTGGTTCGACGGCAGCCTGCTGATTGGTACGGATACCTTGCTCGAGGGGGTCGCAAAACCCGGCGAGCGCACCTTTGATAGCGATGATGTCAAGGAGACCACAGACAAGGATGTGAAAGCCCTCAGGGAGAAGATGAGTGGGTTGAAGCTCTGGGGCGAATGGGATCCTGGCAGGATCAAGCTTGTGCCGGAAAGAATATACAGCATGTCGTTCAATCCAACAGCAGACAAGCCTGTGGTTTTCGCTGGCGACAAGCTGGGTAACCTGGGAATCATTGACGCAAGTCAGAGCAACGGCGATGTGAAGAAGGAAGACGACGAGGACGAGGACGATGACGACCCAGATCCAGTCATCAGCCAGATAAAGCCGCATACGAGGACAATCTCAGCCATGCACACACATCCGAGCAAGCCCGGGACGTTGTTCACTGCCAGTTACGACAGCTCAATACGTGGCTTGGATCTTCAGAAGGGTGTTGCAGTCGAGATATATGGACCTGAAGCGAAGGACGAGGACGATCCGATCTCGGGTATCGACATGGCCATCGCAGATCCGAACGTGGTGTATTTCACGACTTTGAACGGCGGCTTTGGGCAGTACGACACTCGAACTAAGGCTAACGACGCGACGACATATCAGCTCTCCGAGAAGAAGATCGGCGGCTTTTCGTTGCATCCACTTGCACCTCACTACTTGGCCACAGCGTCATTGGACCGCACAATGAAACTCTGGGATTTGAGGAAGATCACGAAGAAGCTACCGACGTTAGTTGGGGAACACGAGAGCAGGCTGAGTGTATCTCATGCAGCATTCAATTCAGCCGGACAGGTCGCAACAAGCAGCTATGACGATACTCTGAAGATATACTCATTTGGTCTTGGCCAGCACACGAAGAAGGGCACTGATGCCCTTGAGAGCATGAAGACTTGGAAAGCAGGTCACCAGCTGGACGAGGATGTAATGAAGCCGGAGGTAGTGGTACGACACAACAATCAGACCGGTCGATGGGTGACCATCCTGCGACCACAGTGGCAGCGGCGGCCTCAAGATGGACATCAGAAGTTTGTTATTGGAAACATGAATCGATTTGTCGATGTGTATGCGGCTGATGGGACGCAACTTGCTCAGCTAGGCGACGACTTGGGCGAGAATCGTATCAGTGCTGTGCCGGCAGTCAGCGTACTACATGAGACGCAGGACTGGGTTGCCGCCGGGACAGCTAGTGGGAAATTGTGCCTTTGGATGTAGTCGTCGATTTACTGAAGCCCTGCCCGTGCTCGCAAAATGCCCATCAAATGCAGACACTTGAAGACGCTCGAAGTCAGAGCCGCTAAAGAATCTTGGAAGTCAAGTAAGGGAAGCTGACTCTGCTGCTCAACAGCGATGAAGACGTGGTGAACATCGAGGGTCATGTACGGTCAGGATTGCTACTGTGCCCTCCTTGAGCAGGTCATCTACGGTGAACCCTTTCTATGTATTGATGCCCGTGTCAACCTCGTCTGTAGTCTCCCGAGTCGATTCGCGCAATGCTATCAGAGCAGTAGCGCTCTCCCTGACCGAAAAGAGCTGGTGAGCAGCTACAAATCTGTTCTGAACCACAACGCCACGTCACTAAGACTACTGCTGAAAAGTGCCCCGGCGACGCCTGTTGTCCTGGCTCACGAGTACCAGACCCTCAACCCGCGCCGCCTCTCTGAAAGCGAGCATATTGTTATCACCCTTGGCGAGAACTGTGCTTTCAACCCTACCGAACACACCGGCGGCTTTCGTGCCGAGCTCATCGAAATCGCTTCCGCAGCTCGACTTACACGCACGACCCCGGATTAGCATACAAAGCAGCCTTCGTTGTGATCTCACGCGTCATCAGGAGCGACCTTCCAACCACCGAGCGGCATAAGAGGAGGAAGACGGACAAGACGATCCCCTTCGCCACATGTGTACCCGGTGGACTTCAAAGCAGGGTCATTGAGCAAGTACGGCTTACGGGGAAGACACACGACTATGGCAACAGCGGCGATAACTACAAGTACGACAACGCCCATCATTGTGCTTGGAATATCCGACAGGGAGGACTTCACCACGGCGAGGCGATGTGCAACAATCTACAAGGGCTACGTGCAAAATCTATCAGATATCTACAGCACAGTCATGGCGACGACAGCGATCTATGAACATACAACACCCCCCGAAGGCTTCGCAACAGCAAAGCCAGACGATGGGTGTACACACATATGACTTCAAATACCAACATATCTCATTGCTCAAGTATGGCAAATTTGAAATATGGCAATATTATTCGACGTATGTTGTACAAAGGAAGGAAAGAAAATCTCTGACGGAACTGGGTGGAGCGAGAGCTATATACCCTGATCTTCGAAGAGCACATGTCAGCACTTGCATTCAAAGATGGGGGTGGAGTCACTTGGACTGATGTTGATGCCGCAACAAACCAGACTATGGAGCACTCTGCGGGAGGCAGCAGGCATTTGACGATTTTTCATTGGGGCGGAGCGCGGGACAGAACGGCTGGAGATGCTGCCACTCTATGATCCTAGATTGTGGTAGTTCCGGCCTTTCAGTCCAGAAGCGAGCGCTTGGAGGAGCGGGCTTTGAGTCATTATGCGCAAGGGCGGCAAGTATTTGGCGATTTTTCATTGGATAGGACATCGGAGCATGTGAATTGCAAGGCGGAAACTGCTTGATCCGAGGATCTGCCACCGAGCCATCCTCAGTTCTGACTCCGCTTGTGACTGTTCAGTGCAAGAAAGTTCAGGTTCTGAGGTGTTTGTCGATAGTGGCATGTGAAGAGACACAGCGGGCGTTCGTATGAGCCAGGAGGACTCTGCGGGCCTTCGATGCGTTTGCAAGCATGCCTGTCCGATACTCGTTTTCGTGCTTTGAATAGATGTTGTGCCTGCCAATGAAGCACGGAGTTCGATACCGTTGTTGCCAGTGTACCTGTGCGAGGCCAAATTCGGAGGCTTTCGATCGTCGACACATGCCGGCCGGTCTTGTTGACAGGGATCAGGCGGGAGAGGTTGGAAGGGGTGGGGCGGAAATTTGCGCAGTCGAGGCATCCATGGATGTGAAGTGCAACCAAGCTGCTAGCCTAACTTTATCAGGTAAAATATCGCTGAATTATGACCAATGAAAGGACTAGATTCTTTCCGCTCGTATTCGTGTTCGTAAGATCATGATCTGCCGCTAGTTGATTTCGACCGACGAGGCTCGACAGATGTACCTTGGTCGTCGTATGGATGTGTTCAAGCGCTTTCGAGTGCATACCGGAGGCCTTCAGTTGTGCTGCAAGTGCTTTGCTCGCACAGATCGAACAACGCGGTCTGAAAATTACGCTAATCATACGGACGACCAGAATAATCATACCACAAATACGGACAAACTTCTGATTCTCTTCAACTGAGAGCTTCAACGCGTCTGACTCCTCCAAAATTGCTCAACCGAGGCTTTGCCGACCCCGCGCGAGTCCACTGCGGTAATCTGAAGCCAATGAAGCTCGTTTTCGGTTTCCTCCGACTCCACCCCGCCGTGATCTGAGGGTGTAGCACCCATCAACCTTCCGCAGCAGGTTGATCTGAAGTCCTCCGCCCCCACCCAGTGACTCACAATCATGATCTACACTGCCAATTGCCGCCTCCGGGGTTGATCCGAGGGCAGCTTCGGACTCTATATAGGTGCCTCTCTACCCCCGACTCTGAGAATTTTTCTTTCCTTCCTTCACACTCCTTCCTGCCTTTCCAAGTCGATGCAGATTCCTCGATTGTATCTTTTCGTATGTGGTTTGCTGCTCTGGGTAGTCATCACATCCTCATCTCTTCGTGTGTGGTCTGTTGATGGATGACCATCACATTGCCATCGATGATTGACTCGCTTCTACTGTTTGGTTATGAGCCCGGAGGTAGAAGCCATGTCATGAGATGTCAGTGTCATGGGATGATTCTGTCAGCAGACTTCACACGAAGAGATGCGGACGTGGTGGCCACTCACAGCAGTGGACCACATGCGAAAAGGTACAGTCCAGGTCTCTGCATCGACTTGGAGAGGTGGGAAGCAGTGCTTTTTTCTTTCTTTTTCTGATGCCGAGAACTCATCTAAAAGCTCGCTCCGACCCTAGCAAATGGTCGTAAAATATTTCTCGTCTGAGCACACGAACCCACTCCTCCGTGTGAGAACCACGAAGGTCCAACCAGGTCCCACCAAGGATATGTGGCTAAACTACCAGTGAAAGGAGTATCACGACCTCTCGCTGAGAGGAGTCCAAACCAACCCGTCCTGAGCAAGACGACATCCAGAAAGGCTCTCATGCTTGGAAGTAATCTCGTAGGTGTAGTCTCTACTTTGATCGTAGGCTGTAGTCGTTTCGTGATCGTCGCTTTGCCCTCCGTAGTTCGTGAATGCTCCTTCCCTCCGTAGTTCGTGAACACTCCTTCCCTCCGCTGTGAATGTTTCCCTGTGCTTGCTTTTGTTCGCTGCCAGTGTGCTTCCTTCCCCTCGCTGTGCTTCAAGTTCCCTTCGCTGCCTGTATTTGCTGACATGCTCTCCACTGTACTTGCTCGCTTGTAGCCCTTCGCCTCACCGCCGCCTGTAGTACCTGCCAAAGCTTTCTTCGGTTATCAGCTTTGTCGTCTACGGGTGCTACCGCTTCCACTGCTTGTAGTCTCTGATGTCGCATTCTCCAAGAAGTGCCGTCTCCCGTTCCGCATCTTTGTGAGGCCTATCACCGCCACCAACTGCCCTTAGCTCCGCCGTGCTGTTGCCCACATCTTGTCATCGTCACCACCTCCTCGTCAGCGCTTTCTCGTTTCTGCCATGTGAGCACCCTCTTCTCAGTATTGTCGTCTTAGCTTCCTAGCTAAACAGGCCTGTTGCAGACGTGGCTTGCTTTGCTTGCTGCATGTGCGTCGGTTCTTGATCTCGTCTTCCTGCATGTTTTCTCCGCCACCTTCCCATGGGGTCTTCCTCATGGTAAAATTATATGATGCCTTTGTTCTATTTGTTGGCGATGTTACTCGTATACGTCGGGTGTGTTCGCCGCGTTGATTTCAGTGCAAGGACGCTGCACTTAGACGCAGCTGAGTGCTATCGTCTGTGGTGGAGCTCGTCGGAGTTTTAGATGCGACCCTCATTTCGTTGAAGAGTACGCTGCGTGATAGCGGCGGAAAGAAACTATTGATTCGATGCTAGGCGCCGTTGAACCTGAAACTGTAGGATTAGACGATAGTCGCAGCCCATGAGACAACTCATCGCAGTCTGCTGACGAATTTCGCGATCAATACCGCGGCCAGGCGGCCTTCATCAGTGTTAACTCGATTAGCAGCAGATTTAAATCAGTCGTGGCAGTCGCTCTCACAGTACAGCGGTTGTCTTTACTACCTTGCCATCCAGCAGCATAGACAAAGTTCCACAACCTACCTTGAACAATACTACAGAACATCAGACGAGCGCATTCGAACGGCATCCGCCATTCAACAGGTCACTCCCGGAGGTATCACGTACGTTAGAGCGGACAATATTGATCAGGGCAGCGCGCGCACTCCGCGAGCCGCCGAAGTTACTGAGTCGAAACCGTCCAGCGTTCCAGACTCTTCGCCTTTGGCTCAGCCACTCATCGACAACGCGATGCGTGAATACAGACACGAGCACGGGCTCGACCTCGTCGACACAGCCGACGAGACTCCTGTCGATGCGAAGTGTAATGGTTGAGAGAATGCTGGTCAGGCCGTCAAAGTCAAGTTCAAGAGCTTCGGGAAGTAGCAGCCTACTGGTGGCCGCGGTTGGTAGATGCCTGGAACAGCTGGGGTACGAAGACATTCTCGAAGGCGTTGGGCAGCACCTGGCCCGTCGTCGCGAAGATTTTATGGAACTTGAACATCGACAGAAGGCAGCCATCAGCATTGCGGCTCAAGCCCGATGCGGACTTTTCCTTGTACGAAGGCTTCCAGGAACAGGCGAGACACATCTTGCAGATCTGGACGCAGTACTTGGTCGAAGAGGTTCCGGCCAACGGCATGATGCTCACAGGGATGAAAATCGAGGGCGAGCCCGAGCCCGTGGAGAATCGAGCTGAAATTGAAGGCGTTACTATACTGCGCCAGGTCATCTGAGTCCAACTCAATAAGCGGGCAATCATGCTCCTTCTTTTCTTTCTCTTCCTCTTCAGTCAGATCGGTCTTTGTATCGCGCCAGATCGGCCTTGTTGTCCCTGTGCTGTAGTGTCCTCGTCGTGTCAAGCCAGGCTCTCCCATACTCTCAGACCAGTCTCCCCGTCTCATGGCACTAGTCTTACCCTCATTTCAGATCAGTCCGCCTGTCCCGTCATCGGGAGGCCTCTAGACACGCCTCGAGACGCCAGTGCGAGTGTTTGAACTTGAGAGCTGGTTGTCGGGGACCACGCCCATGTGAATACAGTCGATGCGCGCTGAAGGTCTGAGCTAGATGCTCGTTGCGAGGATTGTCATGGTTCAGTATATCTTCTCGTTGCCGCTATCTATCTCGCTCGACCCGCTCAATCGGATGCCTGCTTCCCGTACTCCTCTATAACACTGCGCGGCTTTTGGTATTTGCCAATGCTCTTGTACGCACAACCCAACTGGAAGAACTCTGGGCCTCCGACTTGCAGGCCTCGCTCCGTTTCTGTCCAGATTGGCGACGCCGGCATCCCAATTACTTTGACTCGCAAACCGTAGCGAAGCTCTGGCGAACCGATAGCCTCACCATCCGAGCCAACCATGCTGATCAGATCCGGGACTGTGCAGAGAATCTCTCCCTGTTCGTCGGTCTGGCCTGGCGAGACGAGCCGTGCTGCGAGATACTCATTCTGGAAGGGCACCACCAGATTGCGGGTCTCAGCTGCAGATGTCTCCTCTTCCTGCTCATCCGCAGATAGTGGTTCAATGACGCAGCGACCAATGGTATATCCTCGGGAGACGTCTCTTGTCACATCGACCACCTTTCCCGTGTACAGTAGCGTAACTGGTGTGATCCCGGCAATTGCATCAATGAAGTCCACCTTCGTCTGACGAGCCAGATGAACCGCTTTCCCAAGATACCATGCTTGTGATACGGTGTTGGGGATGGCATAGTCCTTGATGATCCTGCCTGAGAACGGTGCGGCCGCACAGCCGGTGGCTGTTCCCAGTTCCACACAAGCAGTCCTGATGAGACCCTCAAGCTTGCTGTATGACTCAGTTTTCATTGCCACCACAGTATTGCCCTTCCCGTCAGCTGTAGCACATGGACATGCGGCACATCCGAACAGATATGGCGATGTGTGTTCGATGGTTGGATATGCTCTGCCCATGAGATCGGCATCAACAACAGGGCGATCATAGTGCGCAGATGATGGCAAAGTTATGCACCCGTTGCCTCCCCCTATCTCGACGGCAATAATGCCAGTAAAGTCTGAGTAGCCCATGATCTTGTTGACCGTGTCAACCGCATCGAATATTTCAGTCCCTGACGAAAGTCTCTCATTACTCACACTCGGTGCACCGTAACCCGCTCCTTCAACGACGACAGCATCATCAGGGAGTGACTCTGGTGACACGACACGTATTCTGCCCATGCCATGCTTTTGTAGCTGTGCCAAAGTCTGCAAGGCCACATTGTAGGAAGAGCCGCCTCCTCCAGTTCCGAGTATGCCAGCACCACATGCGATGAGTTCGACATCGACAGGTGAGATGATCCAGGTATCGCCTTTGACCTCGGGCCTATACGTGTTGAGGTCCACATTGAGAGAGGGTCTCGCGAGACTCCCTTCACGCTCTGTGAGCACCTCCCGTTTGCTGGCTTCGTCATCAGGGCCGGAGGCTTCCTCAACATCATAGCCTTTTACCTCCGCAGTAGAGTTCTCTGATTGGGTAGCCTTCAGACTTCCCACTGCCTTCACAACAAAGCGTGTGGCCTTATTGGTCACGTATTGCAGTGGCAACTTCTCTACCTTCACGATCTCAACGTCTTTCGGATCAGCGCCTTTGACAATCGCTTGTTGGATCGCTTTCTGCCTCACACCTTCAAGGAGCTCTGCCTCGCTTCTCCCGGCGGGGATCACGATTTCATCAACGTCTCCGGAGACTTTGGCTATGGCAGCGCCAACGGCGTTGGCAGCGTCGAAATGAGGTGGACGTAGGCACTGCTCGACTTCTTCCAAGTCCTCAGTGACAAGAGCGGCGCCGCCTCCAACCAGCAGGCAGATCACTGGGTCAGAGCTGACCTTCATGGTGTCGATTGCTCGTTCGATGTGCCGCTTGATTTCCTGCTTGGCAGCTTTGATCTGGTCAGGGGTTATGTGACTGACTTTCGAGGAGTCCCCAATTTCGGCCTGACCAGCAGCAACAATAATATCAGTGGTTGTGAGTACATCCCCACCAAATACAAGAGCATCTTGCTGTAGACGGAGCGCGACTGAGTCCGGCCCGATCGTTGTCTTCCCGTTGTCATAGCGCACACGGCTGCCGCCACCCAGAGCTATGCTGAATACCTCGGGCATTGAGAAAGCAGTCCGGACCCCACCTACTTCAACAAAGTTGGGAGCTTGCCGGGGAAATCCTGACGGCAGAAGAGCACACACGTCGGTTGTGGTCCCGCCGACGTCGGCAATGACGAATTGCTTGTTGCTGGCGATCTCTGAGCCTGGCCAAAGCCTTGCAGGAATGCTGCCCCCATCAGTGAATTGGTTGGACCACTAGCGAAGGTCTTGATGGGAGTCTCCGCAGCGGACGCAGCATCTGCTAACGTGCCATCATTCTGAGTGATATACAGTGGACAATTGAGCTGCAATTTCTTGATTGCTCGCCGGAAGCCTGCGATCGTCTTTCTGGCGAATTTGAGGATCGAGGCATTCAATATCGTTGCGTTCTCCCGCTCAAGGAGACCTGGGCCACCAATAGTATGAGAGCAGACGATGTCGAGCTCTGGAGCTACTTCATGCATGATCGCCTTGGCTCTTTCCTCGTGGATGCCTTCCGAATCCAGCGCAGAGAAGACTCCGACCAATGCTACTGCGGTGATGCCAGCAGTTCTGATCTCGAGCGCTGTAGCCTTGAGCTTCTCCTCGTCTAAGTGATCAATTTCTCGCCCATCGATTTCCAGACCACCAGGCAAGTAGTAGTGAGGTCCCTGAATCACATCTTTTAGGGCGTAAGGAAAGTCTATGAATGGTTGAAGACTCCGTGTGTAGGGGCCACAGAGTCGAACGACTGCGACTGGGCTGAGACGTCTCCCATCACGCTCGACGACAGCGTTGACAAAGTGCGTCGTCCCAATACAAACATTGAGAATCTTGTTTCGGTCCACCTTTGAGGCGTCCAAGACATTTTCTATCGCGGTGAAGATGCCGTCTGTCACGTTAGGAGTTGTCGGAGTTTTGTAAGTACTCACAACCCCTCGTGAAGGGGACTGATCGAGGCGACTAACATCCAGCAATGCCGAATCGGTGTTGCTCCCGCCCACATCTACCCCTACCCTGAACATGTCGTCGACTGGCCGCGCACCTGCCCAGCGGTATCGGAGCCCAGATTAGGTAATCAGATAAAGGCAGAACACCTAACCTACGCTCAGACTTCGACTTATTCTCAGATGCAGCAGAGCCTGTTTTCTGTACCTGCGCAATTCAGTCTATCGTCGTTGTGAGTACTGCGACAAGCACTCCAGAGGCCGCGCGATGTCCAGGAACAAAGGTCGATGGACCGGCCACGCATAACTTTGCACCGCTAGTCTATGGAGGTGCCCACTCCTGCTTCGGCGACCTTCGATACAGTTGCCGACACCACGAAAAAGGTCACGCGCGTGGGTACAGATTAGAGTGACCCTCAAGCGACAAGCGCGTCGAGACAACGTTGTTGGTCTGCAGTATCAGACCACTTTGGATGTTCTCGAACCGTTGCACAACGCCAGAACAGCGCTGGTGGTCGAATACTAAGCTTCAGCGTGCTAAATGGCTGCATCAAGGCGATCATTTTGCCCACGCATCTATGCTGAAAGCAGCTTGGCTTCACGAGTGCAAGTGGAAAACCCGCCTGGAGATCCCTGCATACTTCAACATTTGCTGGTTTGCGTAGCATATCATTGCGGAGATGGGCGAGAGGAAAGATAAGTTAATATGCCCTCGGCATCTGCACGTTGGGTTCAACCGAGATAAGACGTCCTCTACGATGTATCTTGTCGCGGACTGGCGGATTCCTATATAACCACATTATGGTCTGGACCCTGTCCTGCGAAGGTTAAACTGCTGCCGCGAGCCTCGAAGACCCTTTGTATTTATGAAGTGGCGAACTCACAAGACCTGCTAATAGTTCCCTCTGTTGTCTTCAAAAGTCCTACTACGACGGATCCTGACACCCAAGGCAAGCAACTATGGGCTTGAAGGCTGTATTCAAGCGCTTGGAGGTCGCTCATGAAGGGGGCACAGCGCCTTCTCGCTGGATAAACAACGACATCAAACCCATCGAGAATGGAAGAAGGACTTGGACGTTTTGGACGTACAACAACCTCTGGAGTTAGTATCACCCTACTGGATTGAAACCGGTGCCCTTGGGCCCTATTCTCATGACTGACCGTGCGACAGTACTCACGAACACCAACATATCGAGTTACATGGTAGGAAGCTCGTTGATTGCCCTCGGCCTCACCTGGTGGGAAGCAATCATTGCGATCGTGTTTGGGGCACTGATCTCCATGATCTATATCGTCCTCAATTCTACGCCGGGTGCCTTCTACAACCTTGGCTTCCCAGTCGCCAATAGGTACACATGGGGTCTATATGGATCTCAGTTTGTGATTGTGAACCGCATCCGTAAGTCCGAAGCGTCTTAATGAGTTCCCCGGGTGCTGAGGACTGCAGTGCTATCACTCGTCTGGTATGCCGTTCAAGCATGGATCGGCGGCTCCTGCGTCTATGTTCTCCTTCAATCTATGGCCCCGAATCTGGAAGAACGCATACCGAACCACATGCCAGCATCAACAGGCATGACAACGTATGTCATTCCTTTTTCTGATCCGAATCATTGTCGGGTAGAGACATAGTCTCGGGCGTCGGAGACAATCGCTTCAGAGGCCGCCCAGACCACCTCTTCATCTTCCGCGCAAGATGTCTACGTACCCAGCCATTCCACAACCCCATGGCTTCTTCACGATTGGCTGAGCTTGGCTCTGATGCCTCTGCTTTATCTCTTGCGATCTCCGACCTCCTAAGTCCAGGCTGACCGATACCGTCGAACAGGGCCCAATTCGTTGCGTATATCGTCTTCAGTGTCATATCACTGCCTATTATCTGGATCCGCCCTCACAAGCTCACGAAATTCTTCTATGTATCCTCCTCGACCGTGCTGGTGTTCGAAGTCGTTCTCTTGATCTGGGCCTTAGCACCATGGGCTCGGCTGGATTCGGCGATACTATCAGCTCAAAACCCGCAGTAGAGGACTCTTCTAAAGGCTGGGCTGTGGTCTATGGCATCATCAGTACCATCGGAGGTATCTCGGCTGGCATCCTCAATCAGAATGACTACGCGAGGTTTAGTCGCACGCCAAAAGCCGCAATCATGGCACAGGCTATCTGCCCTCCCATTTACGGCGTCATCACACCGATCGTTGGAATTCTTGTCACAGCAGCAACACAAGAACGATATAGCGAGGCCCTTTGGAACCTGCCATCTCTGCTGTCTGCTGTGCAGACGACTGGTGGCGCGCGATCTCGCGCTGCCGTGTTCTTTGCTGCGGCAGCGCTCGTCATCTCACAATTTGGTATCAACATCCCCGGAAATGCTCTTTCTGGAGGATTCGACTTCGCGGCGCTGTTCCCGCGCTATATCAACATCCGCAGAGGCGCCTACATTACCGCGCTACTGTCTATGGTGGTAAATCCCTGGCAGCTACTCGCAACTGCGTCGACTTTCCTCGCTGTGTTGTCCAGCTACAGCGTCTTCCTTGGACCTATGGTTGGACTGATGTGAGTAGCCAAGCAAAGCCATCTCAGGGCATGCCCGTCCAATTTCAGGCCGCGCGTATCTGTTTGCAATTTCATAGAATGCTGACAAGAACACAGGATATCGTCGTATTATCTGGTACAGAAGCAAAGGATCAATGTGGACGATCTTTTCCTGGGTGACAAAGAGTCAATATACTGGTATACCATGGGCATCAATTGGAGGGCCATCGTTGCTGTAAGTTGCCCGATGTCACCTGCTCGAAATAGACATTGCGTTTCACACGCGTCGGAAAACGATGCATTGATATTTGGCATTGACTGACTTCTCTGCACAGTGGGTCTGTGGTGTCATGCCTACGTTCCCCGGCTTTCTCAGTGCAGTCAGCCCCGGAATCACTGTCAGTACCGGCGCGACTCGGCTGTATTACATGTGCTTTCTCGTGGGATCCCTTATTTCGGCTCTGGTATTCGTTGGTCTGCATCACTTTGTTCCAGCGAAGGCACACCGAGCGTGGGTGGAGGGGCAGAAAGAGGTTGATGGAGGGAAGTGGAGAGAGAATATGGTGTACTACAGGGAGAAGTGGGATGCACTCGCCATTGAGCAGGGTTCCATGGTGCGCGACGCTGACACCAAGGGCCTCGATGAGACCGTGAAGGAAGTCTAGTGGTCGGAAGAGACACTGCACCCACCTGTAACGAGGTGAATCGCTCAGAGCAGCATACTCTCCGATGTGCACTAAAGTACTTGAGTAACGTCCTTCCCACCAACCCGAGTATTCAGCTACAGTGCTGTAGAATCCCCTCTGCAGAACAATCCAAATGCAGGTCGCGCCGCAAAAGTCTGGGCATATGCAGCCACAAAACGGGTACCGGTGGTGGCACGGGATCCAAAGCGAAATCCTGCTTCTCGTCCCGCCCGAATTTCCAAGGTTCCAGTGGCATGCATGAACGAGATGTATTGCGTCACACCCTGACCTTTATCGTTGCTTCGCCCTACCCATTCACCACTTGAAGTATACTCACGATCTTTTGTCGAAAGTATACTGAAACGTATAACTGCAATACAACATGGCGGCGGATTTGATGACGAAACTTACACAGGAGGGCGGAGGAGAGTCTGCGGAGGTACGCTACCACTGAGATCCCTAGTAGACCCCACACTTGTTGCCTCGTTTGCGTTGGCTGACTTTATTTGCCCACGACACAGTTCTTGAACGATATAGTGAAGCTGCTATGGCCGAACATAAACGCAGCCGGCTCCAAGATGGTCAAGGAGATCGTGGAGCCAATGTTCAAGACCATGCTCCCGGGACCACTCTCAACTCTCCAGTATGACTATTTTCCTTTTAAATCATCTGGTGTTGAGGCGCGGCCACTGCCGATGCTCAGATCATCCGTGAGAGACGGTGGCTATATTCTCGACCGTGGCGCTCGTGTCACGGATGGCTGGCCACAATTGCTGGTCAGCGACGGAGAACAGCTCTTCAGCCCTCTTCTTTGTTCATGACTGGAATCGTGCTCATTCGATAATAGCTTTACTAAGATAGATCTTGGGCCTGTTCCTCTGCGAGTGTCAAACGCAAAGACCACAAAAAGCGACGTCGATGGCATCAAGCTTGATCTCAACGTCGACTGGGTTGGTAAAGCTGACATCGAGATGGACGCGGACTATATCCCAGCCCTTGGTGTCGAGTCGATCGAATTGCATGGCCGTCTCAGTATACTACTTTGTCCGCTGACCAACGTCATTCCACTGGTATGGATTCCTTCTCCCTATCGTTTGGACCACTAACAGAACCTGTCAGATCGGAGCGGCGCAGATCTCCTTTGTGAATCCACCAGTCCTCAAACTGGATTTCACAGGTGCTGCCAATGTGGCTGACTTCAGCCTGATTGATGACACTGTCCGGGGTATTATTCTGGGCATCATCAACAGCATGTTCACCCTGCCCAACCGCTTTCTCCTAAAACTCGACGCCAATGCCGACTACTTCAAGACCTACCACTACCCCGTCGGCATGCTCCGCTTGACGGTCGAGAAAGCACATGGGTTTTCCGAGGAAAGCAAAGGTTCAGCTCGCCGGCTTTTCAATAAGCTTACCGCTGCCGCGCCCGACTGCTACGCTAAAGTCGAACTTGGTGGAGAACCGGCGTGGAACACACAAACAAAAAGCAATACGCACAATCCTGCCTGGAACGAGGTACGTATACCTGTGATTCTGGATCGGGCGAGGCACTGGTCTCCCGGCTCTGGTTCTTCTTCATACTTGTTCAGTCTGACAGGTGCAATAGACCCACGACTTCGTAGTCAGCGACTTCGATCAAATGGTCAAGGTTGACGTATACGATTCCGACGTCAATTCCGACGATCAAGTTGGCTTGGGCGTAACCACAGTCCGCGAGCTCCTCTTGAAAGGCGGCAAACAAGAACTGCCACTCCTGCTCAAGGAGAAGGAGACATCTGGAAGGGTGAACATATCCGGGCAGTTCTTCAAATACGTCCCCGACGCCGGCTCCCTGACGGCCTCTGACCACAAGGGTGATGGCCGCCTCTCGGGGATTGCCTCCATCCTGATCGCCAGCGCCTACGGGATCAAAGGCGAGCGCGAGAAATTGAAGCCCTCTGTGGTAGTCACATGGGGCAAGGACCAGCGCTTCCAAACTGCCATAAAGGCCGACGCGCCAGGGACGGACATCAACAATCCCTCCTTTGACCAGTCATTCCGCATCCCCATCACGACGGACCTGGTGGGCAGCAATCCCGATAGCTTCAGGATTGCACTTTTGGACGGAGAGCGGGAACTCGGTGCTGCAGACATCCCGTTCAAGCAAGTGGCGGAGGCCAATGACAGGGTACTGGCGCAGAAGTTTGATGTGGGCAATGGTGCGACTGTGAGGGCAAGCATCCGGGTGAGAGGCGTGGTTCCGGGCGAGGGTCCACCCGCGCAGAGCCAGCAGACGTTACCAAGTAGGTCGAAGTAAGAAGAAGTGTTGGACCAGAGGTTATAGACTCATGGACAGGGAAGAGCGTTGGGGAATCTCGCTGATAGCTTACGATGTCTGATGATATGGCAGTCGAAGAATATATTCGCCCACCTGATAGCTACCGGTTTTGACACAGACCAGCAATTCTGATTTGATGCTCGCGTACGGCAGACATATGCTCGGTCTGCCGCTCAAGCAGGGCTAGGACCTTGATTTACTCAGATGTCGATCCACTCGAGGTTGGGCTCCGGTTCAACGTAGATGGCCGACACTACACGAGGCCGGATGATAGGACCACTTCGAATTTACCTGGCATTGGATGACAAAGGACCATAACCAAGACCGGATGACAAGGTCTTCCAACGTCACGGCTCCGACTGAACGCACGCCGGGAATTTGCGACGCTTTGGTCCCAGCCAGACCTGATAGAAAGCTGAACAAGCTACCAGGCCGTTCGGGCATACACCGAGCGTTTGCAGCACTTCTCGTAGACTTTCTGTGACTCGCAGCCAGGGCGGGCTCTGCAGGCTCAAATATTCTTGCAGATCGAGCCGACAAGTTTCAGATGAGCCTCACCTGAGCGTTGAGTCGCAAGACCGACTCATGAATATTTATCCTGCTAGGGAGGGCGCTGTGCGGGATACACAGAGCCTTCATTAGAACAGAGAAAATCTCCTGTCTTGGCCGGGCAGCTGGGCTACACGACATAACCCTATTTCATCGGCATTCCCGACCATACAATGCTATGGCCGGACTCATAACGGGTGCCTTCCCCTCTGCATAAGCAGCGCATTCAGCGATGTGTTGACCTTCCCGAGCTCTCTGCTATCTATCGTGGCACCAGTCAGCGGACCGGTCTGTGCACGTGCCGGCGGTCTCGGCTGGAGAGAAGCGTTCGTAATCGTCCGCCTGATATCAGTGCTCGATTGTGCAGCGTTGGAGTAGTAAACCTGCGCAGGACTCCATGTACTGGCCGGTCTGGCAGTAGTCTTCTCTGCCTGCACCGTCTCAGGCCCGTTCTGGGCGACCGCTGTGTCTTGCTGCCGGCCGCCTGATCTCGAGCGACTTGTACTTTCAGGTCCACGGTCTGCGCTGGACCTCCCTCTCCTTTCCTCTCCGCCATTGCTCCCGCCCTCGTCATCCGTTTCATCGAACAATGGTTCGTCTGGATTTCCATATTCCCTTCTGATGCCCCTGAGTACTAGATCAATTCCTATGTTCCACAACGAACTGTTTCGGTCGTCCGGAATAGCTAGTTGGATGAGCTTCAGGGCCACATGGATAAGCACCTTCAAGATGAGCGGTCCGAAGAAGAAGCTGATCACCATGGAAATTCCCGGTAGGACGACCAAGGTCAAGGGCCTCGTGATGGCGATGATCAGACTCTTGATGAAGAATTTGGCGAACCGTCGCCGAAAGGATTCCTTCTTATCGTGCTTGTCTGTTGCGCTGTTGTTGGTTGCCTGATCTGGAAAAGGCGCCGAACCGGTCGCAGCTTCTTCGTCCGTCGAATTGCGGAGTGAGGAGTTAACATCAGCCATAGAAGCCTCGCCCGACCCTAAATTTGAGTCGGACTCGTGGGGTCTCTTGTTGTTGTTTTTGCGTTCTCTGGCTTTGCGTACGTGTGCTTCCCACAGCTTATCCACCACCAGCCATCTGGTCAACCTATAGACCAGGAAGCCAAGGAGCAAGAAGCCAACAGCTCCTGCTGCAGAGAACCCGAGAGACCTCGCGCCGAGGCCAACATTGCCGTGATCAGCAAACATTCCCACGAGGAACGATCCTATGGCAGCGGCAATAAACAGGTAAGATGTCAGTCGGAATAGAAACCGCGACGTCCAGGGAATCAAGTGAGTCTGGCGGAAAGCCCTAGTCTTTTTATCCGTCGATAGCGCCTTTGCCTTTGCTCCTGGAGACATACATATCAGCAGACTGCGAGTTTGATGGGGCCTGAAGTGAGAGTGTCGACGATGGAGTGCCAGTAGGAAAGCACGGACTTACGCCTGAATTCCTCCTCGACGGTTCGTCTCATACGCAACGAGGCTGGCTCATGCTTCAGCTTTTGCATGTACAGGCTCATTCGAAATGCAATCAAGACGATGGTGCCCAGTGTGATCACTATACCAGCCCAATCCCACAACAGGGGTCCAAGTACGTTGAAACGTGTCGACATACTCAAAAGGGAGCAGGCCATCGTCAACGGGAGGAAGATAGATGCTACGAGCGTCAGCAACTTGAGTGACGTAGCCTGCCTCTTATCCAGCAGATTGTTGCCGCGAAGGATGAACGCGTCCATGTCGGACTTCAGGTCTTCCATGGTATTCTTAAGTACAGCTCTTCGATTCTTGCTTCGGAGCTTCAGCTCGTCGAAGCTACGGCGACATTGATCGTCAAACTTTGCTGCAAGCTCGATAGACTCGACGCACAGCTCACTAGACTGCACGAGATCTCGAACCGCCTTCGAGAAGTCAGAGATCAGCTCGAGGTCCCCGACTAATGGTGTCTCTTTCTCAGGCACTCCGTTAGAATATTCCGGTGGCTTCCACGCTCCAAGATCACGCGTCCACTGAATGAAGCGTATATGAGACATTATTGTTGCATCCAGTAGATCAAACGTCACGAGCCTCCGCCCCAGGCCCAAGTCCCCACGATGAAGCCCGGCTGCGCAATGGGGACTTGTCAAACGGTCCCAGAAGTCATCAGCTAAAGGGCTGAAGTACTGGTATGCTTGGAAGAATTGTCCAGTAGAAGTGGAGAAGAAACGTGCCTCGACTTCAAGCGAGTCGTCTCCACTTCGATCCATACGGATAGTGTTAGGCACGGTGTAGAAGGGATACAGCCGTCCGTTGAGTGTCAATGTTTGCCTGTAGTCTTTGGCGCGCTTGCGCCAAATGATGTCGTCTGCTTCCCCTGAACCGTTGGCGACGTTGGGATCGAACATCAGATTGACGCCAATTGCGAGGAGGGCTTCTTGAGTCTCAGCGCACATTCCCATTACATGAAGCGGATCCACGCTGCTACCTCCTCTATATTCCTGTTGAGCGGTTAGTCAACTCGGAGGAAACACCCGCTGTCTAGGCTCCCAGGCAGCTGTTCTGATGGGCGCAAGCGCAGTGTGGACATCATCAGATGCTGCAGCAGGCACACGTTAAATAATTGTGCATGCACTGTCGACAATGCTAGACCTCTGCAATGAAAGTGGGTGGGACCTACAGGCCAATTTTCTCGCAAAAGAGTGCTCGTGTGCCTCACATACACCATTGAATCAGTGCTTCTCCGGCGGGTGGTATGTCTACCGGCTGCTGGCGCTGAGCGTACAGAATGCCGCCGGACTCGATCGGAGCTAGCTGATCTTCTGCGTCCGTCAAGGCAACGTGATCCCTCGGACCCGCACGTGCTACACGAAGTTGATCGATTTGTCGTATAGGTCGTCCAGGGGGGTGCTAAATCGGAGGTATCTAATTGCGAACTGGGTGGTGGAAAGCCGGTACCAGGGCTGACCTGAGAGGTGCTGGAGAATCGTGAAGCACCACTGCCGGGACCGACTTGGGGGGCTCTGTGACAGTAGTTGCACCTTGTACACGTGCGATTGCTGTCCATGACCGGGCCACTGGCGAACTCGAGCTCTGCGGTCATGTATAAGATGATCCTGATCGAACCTGATTCTGAAGGGCAAGGAAACACAGGACTGTCCCCAAAGGATGGCGTTGTGTAGCAGTAGTGCTTCGACAACACACCAGTTGAGGAGAAATCTAAAGCCGTGGCGATGACTTTCTTGTCTTCGGCGTATGGATCCAGTGGTTTGGGCCGACGGTTCAGGAGAAAAAGCAAGGCCGAGATGAAATAGATACTAAGGCTGTCGTCCGCATGCTCATTCAGTAGCCGAATGGCATTTTCAATGTCTTGTTGATCAACATGTTTGATCCGTTGCTTTCGAAGCGGCCTTGGTATCGACTCGCTCCTCGAAGATTCTGTCATCCTGTGAAGGTTGTCCGTGCCTCGTGCTTTTCAAGCGCACCACTATTCTGAGCGACATTGGCGCATCGTGGTGGTCGTGGTGAGCTCCGATATTCACAAGTATCGAGAGTTCCAAGATCTGGTCGTGAGATATGGGTTGATCAGGCTGAGCGCCAGAGTCCTCTTTGGGGGAGTGAAACTCGTGTAGAGCTGAATGCTGCTCGTATTGATTCGGCCGTGGCGCGTCTTCAGGCCTGCCCATTGGGCAATGCGCCTAAGCATATCGGGTCTAGGCTACGCATCAGCGGTGTACTAGAGCTTTCAGGGCCAATTGACACCGCTCAATCAGTGATTGCAGCCCATAAAAATCGTCAATGGCGGCGCGGCGCGCCAGGGGCCGCCTTGAGGCAGACCGAGTCCGCGAACCCGATCAACGACGTATACATCGTGTCGGTAGCCTTGTGCAGAACGGCTGCGATGGATAATATAGGGAGACCGAGAGCCTGCGGATGCGCGCCGTACTTCCCGCGGTCCGGCGGCCTCACATCGTGGAATTGTGAACGACTTCAAGCATTTGCGTGTCGGGAGATGCTCTCGACGTAGTTTACGAATTTCAAGTTTCAATAGGCTAGTTATGGCGGCTTTAGTGTCAGGATCAGCGGGTACCCGAAGCCTCACCGTCGACTGCTCCAGACAGGAATTGAGTTCAAACGCGACAGGCTCGTCGACGTGGTCGAACAGGTTCGCTCTGATGGTCGCGACTTCTTCTGAGCCAAGACTTGGAAGACCACGACGAGGAAGGTGCTACTGGGCCACCCTGTATGCTGGCGGACCTCACCCATCAGCTTCAGAGTCGCCGCGAGCGTCCGCCTGATCCTTCGCAGAACCTTCATGACAGCCTCAGCATCATCGGCTTTGACAAACAGATGATCGTGATAGTACGCGCTGACCGGGTTCACACTAAAGCCCTCGCCAGCCAGCTTCGTAGCAATGTGTGCCATGAAGCCTACAGCATCGAGACTCGAGTGCACATCCAGAATGATCTGTCGACTTCGGTAGATGTAATGCAGCTGATGCTCCGCCGCGACGTCCTCCGGAAGGATAAGAGTGACGCCTTCATTTTCGCGAAAGGTCATGATTGAGGATTGAAGAAGCGAAGATAGCTTAGGACTAGACGGGGCGAGTGTGACGAAGACGAACGTATGTGTGGTGAGGGTGGGCTTCAGTGTTGCTAGGAGCTTTACCAGGGATGTCTCGCCAATTGGCATTGTGGTGCCTGATGTTGTAGAAGGATCAACGAGGGGCGTCCAAGGTTGCTGTACTTGCGTAATGGGATGAGTGGCACCCCAGTGATAGATTCCGATAGATATAGCTGCTTTCGCGGACGAGAAGGACAAGATGAGGCACGAAGTCATTTACACGAATGAGTCTTGGCATTCCTTCTCGCCGCGCCTGTACGGGTATGCATTTAAGTACTTCTCCTCAAGCTCAGACTCAGATGCTTCTTTTCTACTGACCAGTCGTCACCCGTACGGCCACCCTATAGTATCTCGCCGACCGATAAGTGACCGCAATATGGCAACAGAAAAGACCCAACCGCAAACAACCACAACCAAATCCGCCACAGGCCACATCACAGTCCCCCGGATCACCATCCAATTCTGCACACAATGCAAATGGGATTTAAGGGCTACATACTACGCAGGCGAGCTCGTGCGCACGTTCTCAACCTCGATAGGAGAAGTAGCTTTACTGCCATCTACGTCTGGGACTTTTGTCATCAAACTCTACCATCAAGCATCCAATGACAATTCATCACATGACACAACGAATGGCAATGAGGCGGAGGTGAAAGTTCAGGAAACGACAATATGGGATCGAAAGGTAGATGGTGGCTTTCCTGAAACAAAGGAGTTGAAGAATCGGGTTCGCAATGTGGTTGAGCCTGGCCGAGGGCTGGGTCATACGGATCGAGCGCTGAAGAAAGGAAAGGAACAAAAAGCGGAGCAGGATCACAGAGAGACTTCGAATGGTGGCGGAAAGGATGCGGAAGGTAATGCTGGGAATGTAAGTGTTGGCGAGCGGCAGGAGGAGTGTGAGGACTGCAGATAGTGATGAATATGTCTGTCATCCGGTCTTGAATGAATCTTTGTACATTAGCCTGCGAGCAGAATCTGTCACTTGAGGATCTGCTTCTGTAATGATGTCTACTGCTTCAAGGAAGCCGTGGCATGATGCTATCCTATCTTCTGCCATTACTACGAGGCTAGTCCTCCCAATTACTGTCTGCCTGCTGTCCATCACTGCACTCACGCAGACACAGCCCTGCCCTTATCCTTGACGCTCGAGAGATCCGCATCCATGTCTCTGAGGAACCTGATCCACGTATCCTCAACGCCCTGGTAGAACGCCATATGCTGTGTAGCCAGTTGACCAAGGCTGTCCGAGAACTCCACCGCCTTGATTCGCTCAAAATCAGCAACTTCTCGCACCACCTGCTCGTCGAACATCTCACTAGTACTTTTGGATGAGTCGACTTCTCTGTTGAGCTCCTCAATTTTCAGCTCAAGCTTCCTGGCTCGCTCACGGCGGGATGCTTCATGATCAACCCCTCGGATGTCTTCAACTTTGTTGCGGATGAAGTTGGCTGGGTTGAGTGGCGAGCCGTGGGCATATGGATTGCTCGATGCCAGAACGTCGCGCTCCGAGGTAGCCTTCTGGAGATAGTCCGTCAACCCCTCGAAGTCGAGCTGCTTCTGCTCGCGAGTCTTCAAGAGTGACTTGACCGACATAATATAGGCCTCCATATCCTTCAGGCTTGTGAGATAGTTCTGAGCAGTGTGATCATGCAGACCCTTCCAGCCTCGTGAGTTCTCCTCCATGCTGGCTGCGAAGGTCTGTACAGGTGCCTCTATTGCGGGCTCGAGTGGTGTCAGTTTTCGCATGTTAACAGCCAGATCAGCATAGTCCGCTTCCAGATCTGCCTGTCGCCGAGTAACGCGGGAGACTATCTTCTCAACGTTTCCAAGGTCTTCGTCGAGCTTGTTTGCTCGCTCCGTCACCTCGATGAAGCGTTTGTCCGGCTTATGTACTTTGGAGAAGGCATTCAACATCGTGTCCGCAACACTGTCAAGGAAACCAGCAGGAGCCGAGTTAGGGGAGCCTTCGCTTGTGTTAGTATTGCTCCGTCCAGGCCGCAGCCTCATCTGAGCGTTCCAGTCCGAGGTCTCTAGGAATAGCAGAAAGATCGGTGCTCTTCGTAGGACCGGGTGTAGCGTACATCGCCGGATGAAGCGATGCAATGACCAGGCTCGTCGTTGAGTGAAGTCTGTACTGAAGCGGTCACCTCTCACATAGGCCATGTTGTTCTTCTCCGGTAGTGGAGGCGTTGCACAAGCTGGGAAATCGCGATGTAGGGAATTGCGCAGGTAGACAAAGTCTGTGAAGCGTCTTCGGACCGAGAAGTCGCCCTTCTGGAAGGTTTTGAAGTCGGTTTTTGTTGTGATCAGATATGAGACGTAGGCATCTTTGGTTCCATCATTCTCCTTCAGCGGCGTGTCTACCGTGCACTCCAAGAAGCCTTCTGCTCCGATTCCAGCCAGATCGACCGCATCCGCATTCTCACCGGCTTGTGGTTGACTCGAGGTGCTGTCGCTTCTGCGATGACTTATTGACCGGTCTGGCAATTGCGAGGCTGTAGGGAAGGGGCTACTCGAGCTCTCTTCGGCGGGTTGTCCATCGCGATCTCTCTCCCACTGAACTGAGTCGAAGCCGCCGTTGTCGTCCATGGCTGACGGATAACGCAACGCAGTTCAGTAAGGCGATAGACTGGCACAGGAGCAGAAGCGCTGGCTCACACGACAACTGGCCCGGTTTCAGATTCTCAGCTGATCATTACGGTCACCATCATAGGTCATGCATGTGATGGGGAACCTGCGTGCTGTTCAACCAACAAGGCGGCCGCGACTCTCACGCAGCTCAGGATTATGTCATTGGTGGGCGCTCCCCCAAATTGGAAGCTGCACAGCAAGATACAAGGCATCACCGTAGAACTTGGGCCACCGTAGAGATCTCCCACCTCAGCCACATCCAGCCGAGGCATGTCAATATTGCCGCCTCATCCCCAGACATTTGTCACTTTCAATCCTCCAACAGTCTTTACTGCATTTCTTTCGTTTGCACGGCGGCCTCCATTTGAGCAGCAGACATGTCGTTTCTTGGAGGTCCAGAGTGCTCGACAGCCGGCAATCCCCTCACCCAATTCGCAAAGCACACCCAGAATGACAACACACTTCAACGAGACCGGTTGGTCGGGCGTGGGCCGGGCGGCGTCGAGGAGAGCATGCGCTCGCGGACCGCGCCCAATGGATCTGACCAGGTACGTAATTTGGCACGATATACTGACACTGTGCTGACGTGTCGCAGATGATGAACAACTTCATGCAGTCACAGACTCCTCAGGCCTTCGCCATGGACCAGATGCGACAGGACTTACCACACGCACAACCCCTCGTGCGGCGGACGCCTTCGCCTGGCTGGCAGGCGGAGTACGATCCTGGACAGCAAGCGAGGATGGAGGCGGCCTTCACAAACTCGCAAACAGCACCGCAGCGGCACAACAATTTCAACCCCGCAGAATTCCAACGGTTTCAGCACTCAGGTACTTCCAGCGCCCAGCAGAGCTCGACGCCGGTTCAGCAGACCCCAGCGTATGCGCCCAGCTTCCAGAGCCCAATGAATATGGGTTACATGAATAGTGGTATGGGCATGGGCATGGGCTACAGCGGTATGCAGATGCACCAGCAACCAGCCATGGCACCAGGCAAGGGAAAGGAAAGGATGGTTGAGCTAGACGACAAGAATTGGGAAGAGCAATTTGCACAACTCGACCAAGATACGCTGTCCGAGGAAGCAAACTTGGCGATGGAGAGAGAATTGGAAGAGGTTGACAGGTTAGTTGCTCTTGAGAATGCTCTTTTCGGCGACGTGGATCGAACAATGACAGAGTCTGAACTGATGATCATCAGGAAAATGACCGAAGACGTGGACTTCGATAATGCATTCTCCCACGAAGATCTGAACGCATGGGAGAACTTCGATTCCTCGTTAGGCATGGGCAACGGTGCGTGGGCCAGGGAACCGATGCTTGGCGACTACATGTTCGAACAAAATAATCCTTTCCTAGAGAACGAAAACGCTACACGATCGGCCTTCGATCAAGGCATCGAGATACTACGATCACACGGCAATCTCTCACTAGCCGCACTGGCATTCGAGGCCGCTGTACAGCAAGATCCTAATCACGTAGAAGCTTGGGTATACCTTGGTTCCGCACAAGCACAAAACGAAAAAGAATCGCCGGCAATACGTGCCTTGGAAAGAGCGATCACCTTGGATCCAAACAATCTGGACGCATTAATGGGCCTGGCTGTATCTTACACCAACGAGGGCTACGAGACTACCGCATATCGGACACTGGAACGATGGCTGAGCGTGAAATATCCTCAAATACATCCTCCAGAGCAGGTCTCGGAAGCGTCGGATATTGGTTTCACGGAACAGGCTATAATTCACGAAAAGGTGACGAACTTGTTCATCAAGGCTGCACAACTCTCGCCGTCCGGTGCACAGATGGATCCAGACGTGCAGGTTGGACTGGGCGTGCTGTTTTACGGAGACGACGATTTTGAAAAGGCGGTGGATTGCTTCAATGCAGCCCTAGCATCACACGAAACCGGACTGACCAACAGCGAGAGCCAAGTCCATCTCCTCTGGAATCGGTTAGGAGCCACTCTAGCGAATTCCGGAAAATCAGAAGATGCGATCGCTGCATACTGCAAAGCATTGGAACACAACCCCAATTTCGTCCGGGCACGTTATAACCTAGGTGTCTCCTGCATCAACATAGGATGTTACCCAGAAGCAGCCAGCCACTTGTTAGGTGCTCTCAACTTACACAGGGTAGTCACAGACGAGGGCCTGGACAAGGCGAGGGAGATCCTTCGAGATGGGAACGGTAACGATGTGCCCGATGCAGAGCTAGAGAGAATGATTCAGCAAAACGAGAGCACAAATCTCTATGATACCTTGAAGCGAGCGTTGAGCGGCATGGGACGGCGAGATCTGATGGAAAGAGTTGGCACGGGCATGAATTTGGATCAGTTCAGAGGCGAGTTTGATTTCTAGATCAGTTGTACATACTGAGAATAGATTCAATTTCAACGTCCTGAGAAAGCACTTGATCGGATTAGTCGACATCATTCGATACTGCTTTTACTGGGCCGCAGGTCTTACTACAGGCGATGTGCCTCTTCGCGGCTTGCGCCGCGTACTTTTGCTAAATGCTGGGGAAAAACTCTGGACTTGATGCTCATTGCCACCTCTGTTAAGTGGGCAATCACCACAATCCATACATGTTAGACGACCCGAAGGATTTCCCGCGCTCTGGTGTAATCTATATTGAGCGACAAAATGCGCATGTCGGGCAGCCCGAGATTTGATTCGCCATCCCAGTAACCATTTCTCGGGCCTGCTGGGGTTGCTTTTGCCACGGCTTTTACCTAAGCGTGGATGATGGAAATCAACCGGGTACGCTTACTCCATCTCGACTCGTATACTTGCCAGTGTCGATGCCTTGCGCGACTACTACAGCCACTACGACATTCTGGGGAAAAATTCTGGTTGGGCTGACTCGTCCCTTAAGCACCTCCAAGCTGCTTGTGCAGGCTGGCTACTGCCTACCGAGCATGGCGATGGTTGCGACGTCGATTACTGGTAACAACGCTTTTGCCATCTGATTTTCAGGAAGCTGAAGCAGGTAGGCAGGTAGCCTAGCGACGCAGGTCAACATCTACTAGCAGAACATCCAACCACTACAGCACGTCTCGTGTCCAATCAGGCGGACTCGCAAAGTTGAGGCCCATTTTAGGTATGGATTCCATCAAGCCCTCGAAGCTTTCGTCCGAACGGAACCAGGCTTCGCTCTGCCGCCATTACCGCACTTTTGCGCCGATGCCGAAACAAAGCGTTTCGAATCGAGTACGATCCACTGTACAAGCTGGCCCAGTCCAGCGAGACTCGCATGTCGTCGAGAGGATGATGCGCGTTGCCCCCCGCTTACATGCTGCTGCGAAGAGGCGAGTGGATCGATGTGCGGTCGATGGCACCGATCAAGCCACTTGGGACGCCTTTTTGGTTACAGTTTGCCCTCGGACGATCTCCCTTTGAGTCAGGCCCTACGACAGTGTCTCGCAGGATCATGCACCTTCGCAACGTTATAACAGAGGCCGGTCCTGCCACCACGATCATATTCCTACTGACAGATGTGAATCACTTTTGCTGACCTGCCTCTTCCGAGCACAGTTCAACATGGCTCTACCTGGAGACTCCCTGATCTGGGCGTTGGTGTCGACATCAGTAGCGATTATAGCCCTGCTTCTGAGACTTGTCCAACGCTACCTAGCGCTCAGGCACATCCCAGGACCACGACTCGCAGCCTGGTCAGATCTCTGGCTGTTCAAGCAACGATGGTATGGAAGAAATGCCAACGAATTGACGGATTATCTAGCCAGTATGGCCCTCTCGTTCGCTACGGACCCAAGCGAGTGCTCTTCAGCGACCCCACTTACATCACTACGGTGTATGGTACGACCAAGGTGTACGATAAGGTCAGTTTGTGAGCACTGTTTCCCACCGTTGACTAACTCAACCAGGCTCCATACTACAACGTACCTGTGGTCAAGATCAATGGCAAGCTGACGAGATCTTTTGCCACCATACGAGACGAGAAGCTCATGACAGCCATCAAACGCCAGATCGCTTTCGCCTTCAGTACTACGTCTATGAGAGACTTCGAGTCCCATGTCGACTTGACCGTTGAGAACTTCATGAGCAAGCTGAGGAGGAAGGAAGGTGTCGTCGACCTGGTTCCGATGTTCGCCTTTTACGCCTTTGATTCAATATGCCGACTGGCGTTCTCTGACGCTCTCGGTAAGCAATCAGAAGCTGAGGCCGTTATGAAAGGTGCCAAGGAAAGGTTCAAGTACTGGTTCAGATGGGGCGCGCTTCCGGAGACTGAGGAACTGCTCTTCAAGAATCGCTTCATCAAGGGAGTCGGGACACCTAACGCCCTTGGTCAGCTGGCACAAGGCAGATTTGCAGACCGACTCGAAAAGGGCGGCGCTGGCGTACATCACGATCTGCTGGATCGTCTGTTCCAGGCACAGAAAGCGGACCCTTCGACTTTCAATCCAGCGTTAATGATCGGAATCTCGATCTCGATGATTCATGCGGGGTCTGAGACCACAGGACACACACTTGCCAATGTGTTTTGGGAACTTCTGAAGAACCCACAGCACTACCAAAGATTGGTGAGCGAGGTGCGAGGAGCGAGCTGGTCGTCGCCGCCCACACTGGCCGAAGCCAGGAGATTCCCGTTCATCGAAGCTTGCGTCAAAGAGGCGGGTCGAATGCACAATCTCTTCGCTGATCCGCTTGAGCGCGTTGTTCCTGCTTCTGGGCTGCAGATTGGTGACACCTTTCTCCCAGGCGGCACTATCATTGGTAAGTGCGAATCTTGCCTAAGCGAACCACCATGCTAATCATGTCAGCTGCCAATACTCGTGCCTTGTCGTTCAATACATCAATCTTTGGCGCCGATGCGCATCAGTTCAATCCAGAACGATTCCTCAATGCTTCACCGACGCAGCTTGCGACTATGGAGCGGACCAACTTCCACTTCTCACAGGGCAAGCGGAACTGCATTGGGATGAACATTGCCTGGATGGAGATGCTGAAGCTGATCCCAGCTATCGTTAAGGAGTTCGATGTGAGTGCTTGGCAGGTTGTACAGATTGTGAAACTGACAGCATGACACAGATCGAGCTTGCGAATCCGTATGCTGTTCGAGAGGAGGACACCTGGGTCATGAATTACACCAGAGATTTGCACGTCAAATTGTCACCTCTGGACGGCAAGACTGGTTGATTTTCTGGTCGACCAAGCAACAAGCAGGTATGCCAGCGTTGCTATTAATGAATGATATGTAAATTTATGACGGGCAAGGTGACGAGGACAATGTTCGGAAATGACGGAAGCTCGAATCCCAAGCAATTATTTTAAGCTTGTGGCTGAATGCTTGTACGAACTATAAAAGAAATTCCTTGGATTCATCAGGCGGCTGCTTCGATGTACGCTACAACCGGCCAGGCCTCGAATGTATGATGCAAGTCCTCAGTCCGACTCCAGAACCAGTGCGCCATCCACGCGACCTACGACGAAAGTGAAACGGTTTGGACCAAGCTAATTACAAGGAATAGCTTGTTTCTTGGCGAAGTACCCCTGACAGCATGCCTTGCAGAACTCAAAGCCCGAACTTCGGTCTCAGGATAGGTCAGGAGTTGACATGCCCCATCGAAATAGCCACGCATCCCATGTGCCACCAATCTCCCTATCAACCGTTTCGTGAATTGGTATGAAGCAAAATACAAACATGACCAGCGCTTCCGCTTGGTGTGCTTGTTTCCTTCCTTTATTACTTATCGCGTGAACCTGCTACTTGGCATTCTCTTCGTCTTCGCTTCGCTTTCTACAACCCGCGCCACACACACTCGTTTAGCCCACCGCAGTCACTCGTTACCAACTACACTTCAGTCTTTCGACCGATTCATATACCACCGCTACAATGAAGGCAGCATACCTCCTCACTCTCCTTCCCCTCGCGTTCGCGCAGGAAGTCGTCGAGCGCGATGAGCAGCCTCACATCTCCGTACGTACCATGTTCCCGAGACTCCAGCAAGGATCACACAACTCGTGACGGACCATTGGCTGGCTGGCTCGACCACATCCGCCGGCCAACATGATCCTCGCAACGAGTCGCCTGCCCACTCTCCCTCTAGCACTCACTAATCACCTTCCCTCAAACAGGTCACAATGTACGACTCCCCACACTCCGCCGCCGGCAGCACCTGGATCATCCACACCACCGTCTCCTACTCTGTCGGCCCTGGCTACACTAAGATGATCACCGGCGCGCCCGCCACATCCACCTCCACCTCCTGGGGGGCTCCTGCCTCCACTGGCACCGGCAGCTGGGAAGCCGTCAGCGGAAAGACCTCCGCTTGGGTTAGCACGCCTGCGGCGCCGACGCCAACTCCGGCCATGTACAAGGGCGATGCTGCCAAGGGTGCGATGGGTGTTGGTGCTGTTGCTGTTGCTGGATTGGCGATGTTGTTGTAAAGTCGGACAACATCATCTGTGGAAAACGGTGTTCAACGATGCTGGGAGGGCTTGGTGTGCATTTAGGACGAGGATTTGGGGGTTCTGTGCAAGGACAGGGATGCATATTTCTTTGTCAGTAGACGTACTTAATGGAATGGACATTTCTCTTCGTTCAGGAACTTTTATCGGGTGCAGCGAGACCAACTCGTCGAATTGCCGCGCGATACTTGCTGTCCAGCCAGCACCTGAATTTATCGGATCATGGTAATGAGGATGAAAAAACCCTTAAATGCTTTCTGTGGATGGACTTGGGGAAGGTGCATCCGTGGCGCCAAGGCCGCCCGCATTGGCAATACGAGCTTGTCAACCCTCTGAGTGACTCACCTCTTTGCTTCTTCGCCAGTCCTGGACAGCATGTCGCGGAAAGCGACCACCGATGCAAGAATCACTCAAGGTAGGCTGCAAGACATCTGCAGGATCTTCCCGTACAGTACTTCGTCCATCAATTCTCCTGTTCGCTTTGCGTATTTCTGTCTATTCGCTGCTGATCAACAGTACTGCGCAATCACATCAAATCCGCGAGCAATGTCACTACAGTACATCTCCGGCACGCCATCTACGGCAGCGCAACTGCGAGGTGTTGTCACGATTCTGATCCACGGCGGAGCGCTCTCTTCAAGCATGTATCGAACATCTACACCATTCCTGAAGACGCCATGGATCGCCGTCGACCTTCCTGGCCATGGCAAATCAGTCGATCTTGGTCCGTTCACGTTCGCTAGATCGACTGAACTCCTCTCCAATTTTCTCAAGGACCTGCGTCTGTCTGACGAGTACAGAGGCCACAAAATCGCACTTGTTGGAATCTCACTGGGCGGCCAAGCAGTTCTAGATCTGGTGTTGGAGCAGCCCGAGCTGGTCGACACCGCCATCATCAGTGGAGTTTCAATCCATCCGCCGGATGATCGGGCGGCTTGGGAGATGCCGCATATGCCATCTGATCAGGAATGGATTGATGCTATGGCCAAAGATATCGGCATCGTGGGGATGGATGCGGCCGGTGCTATTCAGCAGGAGAGCTTCGCTTTCAGTATTGATGAACGGCCTCGTCAACAAGCATACCCACCCATGCTGGTCTGCGTCGGTGAGCATGACGTTGCCATGGCCACGAGAGACTTCGCTGAGCTCGTTCATGTGGTTAAGGATCTAAATCAGAACAGCGAAGGATCACAGCTGCCTGGGGCTTGGCATAATCACTCCATCGACATTCCGGAGCAGTTCGCGGAAATCGTCAATACTTGGACTGAGAAGGGGGTCGATGGTACCGAAGGTCCTGCTTTCGTGCGGACCGGCGCTTGACATGCAGCGCAGCGAGGTGACACCTCGATAGTTCGATACAGTCTACTTCCAGCCCGCACTTTGCCAGCGTGCCCGCACTCCGCCACATACCATCGCGGAGCCCACCCAACGTATGACTTAGCTTCCGGCGATCATGGTGAGGCCTCGGCTGCTCTGATCACTACAACCGCGCTCTGTCGCGGTTTGCCGACTATGTTGTTCTTTGTTTCCGATGTCTCAACAAAGACCACTCCCCACCAACCCCATGCAAAACCCCACGGCTTCGATACTTGTCCCTAGCTCAAAGGCCCAAGCCACATCTTTGTCGGAGTCGGTCACCACTTGTTCTCACAAAGCGCATTGAGTGCTGACCCACTCAAAGAGTCGATATCGCTGCAAGCTATATTATCCCAACCTGTCACAAAGCACGGGTACCTGCCTGATGCAATATTCCGACAATTTGTCGTACACCGCACTTGATCAAAACCTTTTCTCAACCTACTAAGATATTGACTTACTCACGAAAATGCTCAAGAAATACCTGACACTCGGGCTGCCGCTCTTGGCAGCCCACCTCGTGGCCTGCCATGACGACGACTATGCCAGCACTGTTACAAACACTGGAACAATGACCGTCACTTCGGTCGTCTCAGACCCCGGGAGCTCTCCTGCACCAAGTTCACTGGATCTTACGGCCATCGCCAGCGCATTACTCAAGATTCATTCCATCGCTCAACAGGCAGCTGTCTCGGTCAGCTCGGTCTCTCTGAGTTCGATCCCTGCCACCACGGGCCAGAGTACGCAGAGTCCTGCTGCAGGATCAGCTTCTTCCCTCGGCGCTACGGGACAGAACACCCAGACAGCTGTTACATCTCCTGTCGCCACTGGACAGAATACCCAGACAGCTGTTACATCTCCCGTAGCCACTGGGCAGAACACTCAACCCGCGGCTAGCGGAGGTGCACCGTCATCCGGCAGCTCTGGCGTTTCCCAGCCCGCACCATCGGCCTCTAGTGGAGGCGCTCCTCCAGCCTCTGCAGCGACGGGCGCTGCCACTGCTGCCACTTCCGGATGCAAGACCTACACCATGAAGGTAGGCGACACTGGCTACGCTATTGCGAAAGCACACGGTCTCTCGGACGTTTCCCAAATCACTGCCCTGAACCCAGGCATCATATATGAAAAGATTCCAGTCGGCAAGGTCCTCGTCCTCCCTCCCACTGCCACAGGATCTGATCTCGGAAGCGCGCCTGATTGCAAAGCTCCTGCCGGAGGTGCAGCTGCCGCAGGAGGTTCTGCTTCTTCGGGCGGTGCCCCATCTGCCTCCTCGCCTGCTTCTTCTGGAGGCGCTCCTCCTCCTTCATCACCCGCAGCCTCTGGATCTCAGACCTCGGCACCCAAATCAACAGGATCAGCAGGCCAAAACGTCGTGCCAGTGGCATCGTCACCGAGCGGTACCGCTTCGGCACCTACCGGCGAGCACACACTCGGTGCCCCACCCTCAGGCGTCGAGCCTGTGTCCGCACTCACTACATGCAGGCGACAACAGATTGCGCTGGTGCCAAATTCGCTGACGAATGCACGACCGCCAAAGACGCTGCCCCTTTCATCGTGAAGGCTTTCGCAGATTACACCATCACGACCCCAGAGGAACAGGCAGCTCTCCTGTCCATCATGATCTTCGAATCCGGAAAGTTCATGTACAAACGCAACCATTTCCCTGGAACGCCAGGACAGGGGACTACCAACATGATGTCACCCACCTATGTTAAGGAGTATGCCGCCAGCTTCCCCGAGCTCAGTGACGGACTTGCCAAGGCAGCTGGTGATGTGTCGAAGATCCTGGATCTGGTCGTGGACAACAAGTACTCTTTCGGGAGTGCCAGTTGGTTCTACACGAAGAAGTGCACTGATGCTGACAAGAAGGGTGTCAAGCTTGGCACGACGGCTGGCTATACGTCGTACTTGAAGGACTGTGTTGGTGTGGATGCCGCGCCAGAGAGGCTGGCTGGGTATGACTTGGCCAGGAAGGCGCTGGGTGTGCCCATTGCACCCTAGACGGCTGCTTCTCTTTGGAGGAATGAAGTAAATGGTAATGTATGAATTTAAATAAAGACATCGGGTATTATATGCGATTTGTAACTGCTTTGTTCACGCACCAAGTCTCTCAGGCCACCCTTCGCGGTGATGAGAGGGTGTTCCAGGTGAGTCCTCAACCGTCAAGGCCACATCATGCAAGCATCTTCTTTAACTTGAGATGCACGCCAGTAACCTCTGGCGCAAAACATTGTCTTTATCGTCCACAACAAGGACGTAAGCGCACAAACAGACTTGCATGACAGACATACATTTGTATGCCAGAGGCCTCCCTAGGGCTTACATTCTCCTTCCATATCTCAACTCCTCAAATCCACACGAAGTCCAGCAAAGCAAGCACCTGACCTGCAGAGCTGGCGGAAAAGCGTACCGTCGACACCGTCGACGCACTCATGGAGAGGCCCAAGAAGCAGTCCAAGACAGGCGACACCGGAGAGCAGACTGTCGGTGCGCCTGGGTTCGAGGTAGGTCATTGCCCCTTCTCATGGTCGCGCGAGGTTCTATCTGACGCTGGACTAGGGAGGAAAGGAGATCGAAAGCAGCGCACAGTCTGTCGATGTCGATGATCTGAGACCAGGAGGGCTGAAGTGGACCAACATCATCCTATCCAAGGAGAACGGCAGACTGGGGAGGAGGGTCAAGGATCTGGAGCGCATTACTCGCCAATATTATCAGGACATCCGGGTGTTGAAGGGGAAGGACATCGCCGAGCAGGTATGAACGTCTCTTTTGCCCGCGATGTTCCTGCGTGAAATGCGCTGACCATGCCTAAGGAGTATTGGGAGTCAAAAGTCGCGCGCGAGTTCAATGTCGACGACGAGGTCATACTCTGGCGCAAACCCGAGCGAAAGGGGACAGGGTTCGACGACCGAGATGAATGGTGTCATGATTTCGATGTTTGGACCGTCCTTGGACCGTCTACAACGAAGTCAGATCACTACGTCCTTCGAAACTCGTACACCGATGAAGAGGAGCACGAACAACCGGCTACGAACATGGTGCTTGCGCCACCTCTTCTCACGAAAAATGGGCCCTCTATTTATTTGAATGGGGAACTGGTGGACCTGAGGGCGGTGTACTTCTATGACATGGAGGAAGGCACCATCGAGCAAGTCAGATTTGACGTTCAGTTGTCCAATACTGCGCTGGAGGTTCGCGATCGGACGCCGCCTCCCCGAAAATCCGTCTGAAGCCTTTGTGAAGGGACGATAGCAGGGTCTGAAGCGAGGAGTCGCATGGTTCGAGGTGGGACGGTGAAGATAGATCTAAGATCGGCATGGAAGTCTCCGAATGTAACAAGCAGTGTAACGTCAAAATGGCCTCGTGTCAGAAAGCTATTGACAATTATAGGCTCGACTGAATTTCCTTCGGCGGCATGTTTGACGCGACCTTACACATCCTCTGGTGGATGTCAAGCCAACAGCATCATCTCCTCCCAACATCCATTTGCTGCCTCACCGCCCTTACCTCTTCGTCCGTGGGCAGATTAGCCACCAGTAAATACAGCGCATCGTTCTTCAAGATCTTGCCAACAATAGGAATGCTCTTACTCGGCGTTCCCGTGACACGTCCCCTCACTTTCCTCCCCATCAGCGCATCGTGCCTTTCCTGCTCACTCAACGGTGGCTCGCCGCTCCTCCGTGCTTTTGCCTCTGCACGCTGCACGCGGCCCATGCCGATGGGGTCGAACGTGCCGCCGGTGAGGAGCGCGAAGATTGAGCCGTTGTTCACTGGGTGATCCGGATTGGCGTAGCGGTTGACGTATGCTTTCTCTTGCGCCGTAGGCCCCAGGGCTGCGGTGTACTTTGATTTGGGGTTCTTGATCGCGAATTCTGCTTGGGTTCGGCGGTCAAGGTATTCTTGGACGAGGGAGGACTTGCGCTTCATCAGGCTGAGGGCTTTGGTGTTCTCGGAATCACTAGTGGTGGACGTGGCGAGGGATGAAGAAGAGAGGACCATGTCCAGCGCTGGATGGATCAGGGGCGCGAAATCCGGCATTTGGGCGTCTGTCGTCTTGCCGCTTGAGTCGCGCAGACGTCGCATGAATTGTTGCGTGTGGGTTGCAGTTGACTGTTTCACGAGTGCGACGGAAGCCGTATCGGTGGTGGCTTCCGCGGTCATGATCATGTCATCGGGACTTTCGGGCTTGTAGGTCATGACCATGACGAACAGGCCTCGGGGCTTGAAGATCTCTTCGTTGGCGCGGTCCAGAAACGCGTTGGCTTTGTACCGGGTCTGTAGCTCGGTGGCTACCATGCTGGCTGTGCCGACTGCTACGCTGACTGCTGTGGTGATGGGTTCGGGAATGCAGCCAACGATGAAGCATGCTAGGTTGATCACATTCAACTGTGAGCGGTATTGTCAGTATGGGCGGTACATATTTGGTGTCCTGGTGGTGTGACCTACGATCGGCGATGCACTGGTTGCGTTGTCTAGGTCACCGAGAAATTTGAGGAAGGTAGACTGGTCCAGGTTCGCGTGCGTGCCCAGAACTGGTGCGTAGGCTCGCATGAAGCCGCGTCCCCGCGATCCTGGCCGCCGTTGAGGTATGACCACGGGCTGCGGCAGGCGTTGCAGCCTGTCCAGTCCTTGTGGCGTGTTGACCATAGCTTGTTCCCCAGCTGGAGTATACGCAGGTGGGTCACCTAGCTCCTCCTCAAGCTCCTCGAGCGCCCACTCGAACTCGGTCAGGTTCTGCTGATCCTCGTTGTCGGAGGAAGAGCCTCGTCTCCCGGTCCCATCCACTTGCTGATTCTGCGCTTGGGACGCTCTCCTCTGTGCGGCCGAAGCCTTTCCTTTGTCTCCGGCAACAACTTCTGATGTGATGGCGATGGCTTTGCTGACGCCGCCTGTGACGAGGCCAATGATATGGTCTGCCATAGCTGCTAGCTGTTGAGTCTGTATTCTTTGTGAGGTTGAAATCCGCACGCACTACAAAATAATAGTCTTGAAGCTCTTTTCGATGTCAGGTCATGGTCAGGCTATATGTACTTTACCATCCAAGCACAACCAAGCAACAGTAGCCGGAGCATCGATGATGCTTGATTCGTCTTTGTAGCCATATTCGTGCAGGTACCACGAGCCGCCTTACCGTGTTGATTTTGGGGCTAGCAGATCCAGAACCTTCACCTATGCCGGGCTTTCATGAGATTGTGCTGCAGAGAAGAGGACTAGCGGGATCAGAGCCTGCGCTTCACTGGAGCTCCGACAGTGCCCAACACTGATGATAGGAGGGATAGCTCTGCTAGAATGGCAAATCTGAAAGCATATTGAAGGTCAGTATACGTCAGCGACCTGTCCTTTTGGTGTGGAGATCTCGCGAATCGATCCTTGTTAGGACGCGTACCACCAGTGCCAGCACTTAAGTTCGCGACATGCAAATCGCGACGTCTAGAACTTACTATCGTGACAGTGAGAATATCTCATGCCAGCCGTGAAAATGATTCGCTCGTAGGTCGCTCGAGCCGGTGAAGGCACAGATAAATCCGATGAACTTCCCAAATCCCGAAAACTGCAGCTCTCCTTCCTAATCGGGACTTCTATCGGGAAAAGTTTCACAAGGTACACCTCTTCATTTATAAGGTCGCATCTCTCCTCACCTTCCTCAAAGTTCTCCTCACCAATCCTCAGCTTTCGACAATTCTTGATTCAAATCCCGTTCTACGAGACCAGATTCTCTGGCGCGTCTACGGTAGCAAGCTGCAATAGACCTTCTGCAGACAGATTAATCACATCACAAAACATTGGTGTTCCATTCTTTTTGCAGGTTCAATATATTCAGTGCCGGATAGAGGCGAGACATGGCCAATTGACCCTGTCCAAACCAGTTCGATTTATGTACCTGATCATCGCGCCAATTTTTACTTCACGGAACTCCTGCTGATGCAATAATGCTCACCGCCTCCCAGTCGTCTCCATTACCAGATCATTAGGCCGCGTTGTCTCATTTCGACTGAATCTCTAAACACCTCCCTGCAGTGACAATTCAACTTCAATCAGAAGTCGTACTGCCGCCGCTGCTTCCCCGTTCCCTCAACTCCTTCTCGACTTCCGCCAGCTTGGCCATCGCGCTGTCCCTCTCCGCCTTCGCCTCATCGCGCTCCGCCTGCAGGCTCTTGATATACACAATCGCCATCTCCACCGTAGAAGCTTTGCTCGCGCCTTGTGCTGCCGCTGCCGACGCTGACTTACCTGCCGCGCCTTCGGCCTCCTTCTCCTTCTTGATTGCTGGCGCAGTGATAGATGCCGGGAGCAGAGTCTCGATCTCTTTCAGGGCGAGGTTGATGCGATTTCTGCGGCCTTGCTCGGCGATCTTGTGGGATGTTCGTTTGGAGCTTAGATTTTCGGCAAGAGCTTCAGGATACGATACCCCAGGCAGATGCGTACCGTCGATGATGTTCTGGTAGTTGGACTTCGATGCGAGATAAAGTGCGCTTGTCTCGGCCGACAGATGGGGCATGCCGGCGCCTGCAGTGTTGTTAGCAAAAGTCACAGACGCTGGAAGCGACTGACCTGAGGAAGGAACCAGGGGACTGATGTTGGGTGAGATCTTCGGCCGAAGAGCTGGGGATACAATGCCGTTGGTGGTGCCAGCCCGCTTCTTTGATCCACGCGCCGTGCCAGGCCTGCTTTCAACCTTGCTGGGCTTATTGAAACCGTCAGACGTGCTACTTTTGGGCAACATCCCTCGTGGAGTACTTTGAGCACTGGTCTTTGCCGACTTTGCGGGCACCGTCGGTGTCGATGAGTTGTCCTCCATCTGATCCAGCGCATCAGGAGGGACTGGTGAAGCGGCGTCGGGTAGCATCATGTCCTCCATGCTATCTTCGGGTATGGTCAAAGTTTCTAGACCTTTGCCTGGCACCTGCTTGCTTGGCATTGACATCAGGGTTAAGGGAGTAACACCATTCCCTGACTGATCCTTCAACCCGAGACCAGACGGGGACCTGTCGGCATGAGGTACCGGAGGTGGCCGCATTAGCGACTCTGACAAAGGTTCAGGAGAAACGGAGTCGCCACTCGTATCAGCCGTGCCTGGCAGCATATGCGGCGGGAGACCTTGCTGTTGTCCGTTCTGACTGAGGAGCTGATTGATCTGCTCAGGTGGGATGTTGGTCAACGAAGCTTTCCTACGGCGACCCTGGGCCTTGACCACTGGTGACTGTTTGACACTCCTGGTCGCAGCGCGGGTCGAAGTGCTGTTCTTTCGTCGTCTGCTTGTCCGAGGCGCAGACGTGGGCTTGGTCGAGGTCTCGGCAGTCAAATCAGCCGGTGAAGCCGTTGTCCTCGCTGAGCTGAAAGCCTGCTGTTGTGCTTCGATGGCGGGAGATGTGAGCGGACTGAAGAAGTCATCTGCCGTACCATATTGCGGTACGCCGTATGCATGTGTCAGGGGTGTCTGAGCTGGTGAGACTAGTGGCGTGAATGAGACCTGCTGTCGTTCGAACATCAACTGAGCGGCTCCGTCCATATGCTGGCCATACTTTGCGGCATGCATCTCAGAGCTGACTGGTGTGGGCGGAACACTGTAGCCCGGTGGCATCTGAACTTGATGGTATTGTTGCTGATATGGCTGATAGTGCTGTGGAGTACCAAATTGCATGTGGTCCGCCGCTGAAGACAGATCCAGCGACATGGGCTGGCCTTCGAAGTGCATGGTCTGTGGTTGTGGCTGTTGCGACACAGGCGTGCTGAAGGCCAGCCGGCCCATGGGCGTGTCGATGCCGCTATTGCCATTTTCCAGGCTGAAAGGGAAGTCGGTGTCGAGGTCGAGGAACTTGGAAAAATCATCTTCCGCGCCCACACCAGCGCCCATCTGCTGGTCTTGCATGTGTTCTGGCCATATCGCCGAGTGTGAATCTTGCTCCTGCGGCATGTTCAGATTCGGAGATGATGTGGTGAACGGTCCGCCCGCAGGTGGGCTGCGGGCGTCGAGAGGGGTGCGACAGTATCGTTCACAGGTTCATTGTGTCAGAGACTGGTGGTGTCGAAGACTTCGTAGGAGGGGCTGTCTGGCTGTATGGGGGCCGAGGAGCCTCGGAGGTGATGGAAACTCGATTGTCCTGGCGCGAACACGAGTGGTAGCTGACCACTAACAGTGAGGTCGTGCGATCACTTGCGTGAGTCGACGTTGAAGTGTCAGTAATCGACAGTGAGACTCTGTTGTCGTCAACTTTGATCTGCGCCGAGAAAAAGACGTGGATGGATGAGAGCAGGTTGACTTCGAGGTCTTGGTGGAGGCGACGGTGGGGTTGGGATTGACTCGCAGAAATCTCGAAGCTCGGACATGGCTCGATGCAAGCCACAGCCTAGCCCCGTCGCTCTTACCGCCTATGGCATGCCCCGAACTTGGAAGCTGCCACCACTATTTAACCCTAATAACGCACACCCTGGCAAGGCGTTCGGCATCAATGTGGTGCCTGATGCAAGAAACCTCAATCCTGTTCGATCGCTTAAAGCTTTCGAACGATCTGCTACGGTACTTTGACTGCATGGCTATGAGCAGGGCTGTAGTGTCTGCCCTTTCTGATACAACGAATAAATTCCAAGGCTCTTCGGACTCTAATCCCACCAAGTAGAGCCAGAAGCGCCAGACCTCGAAGTTACCCGTGGACGGTCTGACCTACTCGATCTGAATGACTCCCGCGGGATATCTTTTGCTCCCACACCACTGCGACGTCAGTATTACAGACACCACAGCATCCACAGACGACCTCGATTCGGTTTCGGCCTGAAGGTTTTCACTCCCGTCTCGGGTCCCGCCCAATTTCGATACAAGCGCTTCTCGAAGCAATTCAGCCGGGTTGTGCCTATCGGTCAGGAACACCTTGGAAAATTTCCTTTCCGCCAGAACGCCATCGGGAAGGTGAGAATCTGTGGCTCCTTCGAGCGCAGGACCTTCTCTCGGAGTTGGACGCTACAGCATCGTATCCCACTCGGTTTTCTGCCATTCAAAGTTGAAGTAGCAAATCATTTCGCTTGCCCCAAAGTGTGGGGGTCCTGAAGTTGTGTGGTCAGCCACCTGTGTCAAACTCAGCTGTCAATTCTATGGACGATGCATCACCTGTGCAGAACTCTGCCAAGAAGCAGAGACCACGACCTGTAATATCTTGCTTAGAATGTCGGAAGAAAAAGTTGCGCTGCGATCGCACCTTGCCGTGTGGTCAATGTAAGCGGTCAGGTAACGAGGCGGCATGTGCGTATCAAGATGGGCAAATCCCTGAGCCTCGCAGGCCGTCGTCCGATGGCGAGCCCGTCACCAAGCGTCCTCGGTATGCATTAATTCAGCAGGACCAGAACCGAGACGCGCTTCCTGTCCAGGCAATTCCCATCGATGCAGTCACCCCTCCCGGCATTGGCGTCATCGAAAGACTTGAACAGCGTGTGACTCAGCTCGAAAGCATCATCCAAGGACAGAAAGCGCAGACCAGCGCTAGAGGACAAGAGAATGGCCCTCGTTCGCCATCCATCAGCCGCCATCGATTCAATGCCGTCGTCTTTCCAGATGCGGCAGCGTTCATGCGGTCTCTAGGGTCCGAGCACGCAAGTCAGAGAATCGTCAACGTGGCTCATGATTTACGACTTCTCCACAACTCTATCAAACAATATCATCGTCGACCAAATCTTGGGCGCAGTGTTTCAGTCTGATGAGTCTCATTGCTATCCTCCCGCCACAAGGTAGGTCGCTCTTATCGGAAGACGATGAAGTGACAAGCGTCGGCCATGCAAGCCACGACTAACTCTTGGCTAGATGTCTGCATTCGATTGAGTGAGCTGTACTTCGATAATCTGGAGCATTGCTTCCGTATCCTTCATCGGAACACGTTCTTCGAGCAGCTGAACGAGTTCTTCTCGCCGGCTGCGGCCCCTCAACAAGACTCAACTTTTGTGGTACAGATGCTGGCGGTAGTTTGTATGGGTGCAATGATGGGAATCAATAATGAGTGTCAAGATGTCTTGCGAGCTCAGAATGGCACCATTGTAGACATGACGGTATTGTATATGGAACAGTTTCTCGAGAGCATGGGCTCGAAGAAGTACTACACTGTCTCCACCTTACAGACGAAGTTGTTGTTCCTTCTACTGCGCTGGATGCGCTTGGATAAGCATAACGATCTGTGGCGAGCGTCTGGCGACGTTCTCCGCCATTGCTTGATCCTGAAGATGGACAAAGATCCTGACGAACTGGCCGAAGCATACACACCTCTTGAAGCAGAATTGCGTCGTCGACTATGGTACACGATCGTCGAGGAAGATATGATGCTGTCTATACTACGCAACATGCCCTGTATGGTTCCTAGCTTCAGCACCAAGCCGCCTCTTAACATCAATGACGCCGAACTGCACAGTCACGGCCCAACTCCAACCCCTAGATCTCTCGATGAGTGGACCGATTCCCTCTGCCAATGTGTCCTGGCGGAGTCCGCCAAAGACCGCTTACACGCTTGCCGAGATCTTCACTCAACGAATAGTCTTGACTATGCTCATGTTCTCAGCCACACACGGTCATTCGAAAAGATACTCGACACCCTTCCACCACCACTGCGATTCAGTCATCAAAATGATGCGGCCCACAAGGTGCCGTCGCGACTTATGGCAAGAATGGAGCTTGACATTTCAGTACGGCGTCCCCTCATGCATCTTTACGCTCCATTCGCGCATGCGAGTGACAAGAGCGGCGAATTTGCGGAGGCGCGGGCCGGCTACCTACAGTCGTGCCTGATGCTGGATATATACCAGGATTTGTTTGATCCAAAGTACTCTGAATTAGGCGTGGAGCGACCGGAAGGCTACTGGGATTTCTTCTACAATCTCTACAGAAGCGAACTCCATCAGTCAATCTCCGGCATCTGTTTGGAGCTCAAGCGCATCTCGAACTCGTCTTTACCAGATACGCAAGGACCAAATACTGGTCCATTCAAAAAGCCGTCACACAACCGCGTCAGTCTAACTCGTGCAGTGAAAGAGTCACTCGAACCCATGGTCCGACGCGTGAGTCGGCTCGGTAGCGATGTCAAGCAACTCAGCTATTTTACCATCGTTTTCAACTCCGTCAATACGGTTCAGTACAGCGAGGAAAACGTCATCGATGCGCTGGAGGAACTCGTTGCAGCTTGTCGATTGCAGCTGCAGCGGAACGACATTCCCATTGTGGCTTCACAGAAAGAAGCTCCAACCGACTCTGCATCCGGATGGACGCCAGGACCTGGCAACGATGTTTCGTGGACCAACTTGGCGGACTTCCCCTTCGAATTCGACTATGGCAACGAGTTGGGTATCGCCTTCTCCTGAGCATGCACCTCAATTCGATACCACAGGTGTCTGGCCATCCCAGATGCTGCGTTCCACCGCGTCGAGCAGGAAGCCGGCGACGGAAGGCGGCGATATCGAGGGCATGAAGCCCGCTTTCTCTCCATTCTCGCCGAGCTGCTGAACAGGCTTTATCTCGGTACCCATTAAAGCTGTGGATCTTACAAGGACGAAGTTGAGACCACTCGCCTTGACAACTTCGTCCACGCCATTGCCGTCTTCTACTGTCTGCCACATATTCGAATGGCGAAACACTCCCTTGATCATGAGGTTCATATTCTTCCAAGACCCACCAACACCAAATAACGACATGATCACGATCTTCGGAATGCTGTGAGCTCTCGCAACCTCGATGGCGTTTCTGGTAGCATCGGTCATGAGCGTCTGCGGAGACGTGACTTTGCTCCACGGATTCCCGCTGGCTCGCGTCTGGCCCAGCGTCGAGACGATCGCTGAAAGAGGCCCTGAGGCTGCCGCTGCTCGTTTGAGGTCATCGAGCTGAAGTGGGCTGCCCTCGACAATTCTCAGACCCTGGCTTATTTCGAAGACCGATGCCCTGCGCACAAGGACGGTGACTGTGAATCCTCGTTCTAGAGCCTGCGAGACAACTATTCGTCCTGTTCTCCCGGACGCTCCTAAAATCAGGATATTGCGTTGCGTATTTGACATGATCTTCTGCCTGTGATGCTTTACGTGTACGCTTAAGTTTGTTGCGAAAGGTGTGCAGTGGAAGTGACGCTCTGGCAATTTCGTGTTGAATGTTGAATGCTTTGCACAAATGTCGACAGATACGGTCACATATACCTATATACAATCGCTCTGCCTTCGCAACGATTTCCCGACTACAATAGGCAGTCGTGGTGACCTGGACATACGAGCCAGACCGAAGCCCGGCGCCGATGTGGTAGCTCACCCCTGCGTTGGGCGCCTAGCAATTTTCGCCCGGATCCGAATCAAAGTTTGGATCCATCTCCGGTATGAAGTGCTCTTCGAACCTTGGTCATACGACATTCTTTCACAGCATCCTGGATCAAACACAACCTGCACGGGCTGCCGTTATAAGAATCGCAGCACTCCGTAAATGCATCGTAACGCCGAAACTACGTCTGCTTCATGATTTAGAATGACATTGCTGTCGCCTTCGGCATCGTCCTGCTTCAGTCTGCAGCGAGGTTGACCGGCTCCGACTTGCTAGTCGGAGATGCCCCCAAAATTATCGACATTCGGCCGTCGCTCGTGCATCACCAACAGCGTGAGGCCGACAGCGAGGCACCAAGTGCCACGTATGGAGTATTCTGCGAGCCGGCGGTGTAAGCCTGCCGAAGCTCAAATGAGCTCGGCAGTGTAAAGCTATAAAATGGCGTCCACGTCCCTCGAGACGTGGAAAGTAGCAACCGTCTACTGACCAGAGACGGGCATTCACAACGCTCCGGAAATTCTGACGACTTGCACGTCCACGGTGATAACGACGTCCGGAGACAAGATCTGGCGTATGAAAATTTTAGACGCACGTATTCCTTTCACAAAACCGCGCCTACCAAAAACGTCCTCTGCCGACTCCGTCACACAACCAAAAGCCATGTCGACCGAGAGCACCGTTGCAATAGTCGGCGCCGGCCTGGCCGGTCTGGGTGCTGCTCTCTCCTTGCACGCCCAAGGCATCTCTTCGACCATCTACGAAGCCGCTACCGCATCGGAACGCTTCGCCGGCGCCATCATGCTCTCACCCAATGCACTCTCCATCCTCGACAAGCTCGACGTGTATAAGAAAGTCGTCAGCTCAGGCTGGGAGTTTGAGACCGTCAAATTCGTCGAGGTCGACGGCAAGGTCACCGACCAGCAGTATCTGGGGTCGAAGGACGTGTTTGGCTACAAGGCCCTGCGCATCTACCGCAACACCATCCTCAAAGCACTCAAGGATGCCTGTGCCGAACGAGGCATTGCCATCCAGTACAATAAGAAGGTAATCTCAATCGCATCCGAGACCGCCTCATCAGCAACCATCGAGTTCGCAGACGGCGCCCAAGGAACCCATCCTCTCATCCTCGCGACCGACGGCATCCACTCTCGGATTCGCACCTCCCTCTTCCCCCAATCCACGCCAACCTACACCGGCATCCTCGTTGTCGCCGGCGCCGTGCCGCTCTCGGCTCTGGACACATCCTCTCTCCCCAAGGACCTGACTCTGAATCAACCAATCGGCGAAACTCCTGCCAACACTCAACCACCCTTCCTCCTCGCCCCGCAAAACCCCACCGCCACGGACTTCCTCGCCGGCACCCAGCGCCGCTATCCAGAACAATCACGCGAGGAGTGGGCGCGCATCAACTCCGATCGTGCCTTTCAGCGCAATTTCCTGCTCGAAGGGGTCGAGGGCCGCTCGGCGCTGATGCAGAGTGCTGCGCGCGGAATTGAGGATGAGAGTATTCGACATGGCCGTTTTATGTGGTTCCGCCGTTGCCGAAGTGGCATTCTGAGGTGGGGAGGGTTGTCGTTATTGGTGATGCTGCGCATGCGGTGCCGCCTACTATGGGCCAAGGTATGTTCTTCGTTTCCGTGAGCTTGAACGGCTGACTTATATCAGTAGGCGCGAACCAGGCCTTTGAGGATGGGTGGAGTCTAGCGCTTGTAATGGCTAGCGAGAAAGTCACGCAAGTTTGGAAGAACGGCGGAGAGGAATGGCTAAAAGTGATGGAGAAGTGGGAGGGAAAGAGGAAGGAGAGGGTGGGAAGATTGTTGAAGGAGACGATGAGGATGAACAATGCCAGAGCACCGAAGGAGGTGAGAGATAAATTGCCCAAGGAGGAGATCTGGAGCGGAGATGGCGGCGTTGGGCAGGGGAGGTGGATTTTCGAGCCGAAGATCGAGGAGTGGGTTGAGGAGATTACGCGGTAGGGAAGGAGACCTCTTCTCTTGGTCTGATCAGCACCGTCTCATTCCTGTACGATCTCACCGTGCCTCACAAGCAATAGCTCTTCGGTTCTCTCAGCTGCATATTCGACTCGCATCCAGGTTCGCAAGCTCTGGGTGCGTGAATCCAATTCCCAGACGCGCATGCGTCGGTGATAACGGTTACTTCCATATGAGCAATATCCCTGAAAGCCCGAGCCTCCCCCGTAGCACAGCCAAGGACCCCTCAGTCGAGCTTTCCCATGGTCCTCAGCTGGCTGCTGTGGGAGAAGTGCGCAGAAGTCGTTCAAATGATCGTGTGCGCATGCCAGCGTGGAGACACCTTCGCTAAGTAGGGCATCGTAGAAGTGGGAGTTGACACGCGGGCCCTCGGTGGGTTCCCTGCGGTGGCCACTGCGGATGATGAGATTTGGATCGCCGAACTCTGGCAGAGGAATGTGTTGGAAGACTAGGGACAAGTCATGCCCACTGCTCCCTTTGTCTGAGCCACGTGTATTTCGTATCCTTTGCGAATTACTTGTGAACCAGTCGATCTGGCTCTTTTGGATAGCCGCATAGTCAGGGTTGTGCACTTTACTCGGAATCTGACCATGTGAGTCGAGGAAATACAATGTTGCGAGTGATTTCTCTGATGGCTCTGGCTCGAATATCTCAATGTGAAAGTTGCCGACGCCATCAACGTGCTCTGGTCCCGGCTTGCAGAGGCTGTGAGGAAGACTCTGTAGTATCGACATTTGAGCGGTGCCTGATCATGGTCAGTAGGATTTTCGCCGTTGAGGAATCATGCTGCGAGGCAAAGCTACATCATTCCGTCGCGAAGATTGAAGACTGAACGCTGTCTGACCCGTGGTCAGGGTGGGCTCCAGGTCAAATACACTTACGTGAGAGTGCTCGGCTTCCTTCACTGTCATGGTTGCCAAACACGGCCGCAAATGGTATTGATCGCTCGATCATAGGAGCAACAGCTTTGAAAAGAGCGGATTGAGAGTCGAGAATGTCATGGTGCAACTGGTCTCCGGCAAGAACAACGAGATCGGGCCGCTCCAAGTATAATACCTGCTTCATGAACTGCACAGTCAATGGATCAGCATCGCAATCTGGGAGGTCGTTTCCGTCAGGGTCGATAGCGTCATCGCACACACCGACACCAGTGACCATGTGGGTGTCAGAAATCTGTAGAATCTTGAAGCGGCCGTTTCCATCGAATCTGAGCACATCGGGCCCGACAGGCCTGCCAATCGCCTTGCCCCGTAAGAAAGTGAGCCTTGCGCTGGGGACCGTCGGGTCAGCATCGAGACGAAGCGGCGACTGGGTCAGCGTCCACCTCGGCCGTGGATCGACTGCATCGCTGCCGAATAAGACGTCGATATCTGTCACAGCCCTACAAACATCGTCTTCGATTGGGTTGCGCTGCAACCATATACCGGCTGGACGGCTTTCCCATTCGGGACCTGCATCGACATCGCCCGGTCGCTCACCGATCCTTATGTCAGTGATCACCAGGTCGGAGTCCGCGAGTTGTTTCCACTTCGCGACCGCCACATACAGCCACCCACGCTGGTGAGAGGAGTCTAGATAGAGTGCTTTCTCTATACGACGCCATGAATGGCTTGGCTCTGCTGTCGACGGAGGCGTGACTGTGCCAACTACTCGAACAGTAAGATCTGTGAGCACAGTGGGGCCGCCAGTAGCCATACTTTGGAATGGTGTTGCTATTGTGAAAACATCAGATACGAATCATGGTATGACGTCATTCCAGTCGACTTTGTCTCGTATTTTGCCTGACGATCTTCTGTTCTCTGCTTCTGTACGAAGTGTCTGCGCAAGGTCGAGATGGCACGGGAAGAGAAGCCGGCCTTCGATTTGGGCTTAGGCCTCGAGCGGACTCATGTGATGGTCACAGGTGCTGCTGGACAGATAGGGCAAGTCATTACTGAGGCTTTTCTTGCCGCGGGAGCGAGTGTCACTGCGGTCGATATCAAAGAGAGTCGGTCGAGACGGAAGGACAAATTTATGCCAGTGCAAGTAGACATCTCCGATGAGCAAGACGTCGCTGCTGCTTTCGAGAAAGCGCGGGTAGTTTTCGGAGGGATTGACTGCTTGGTACATGCGGCGGGCAAGGATCTCTCCTTTCTCGGTCAGTCATGTTGAGATGATTGTCATCGCACTTATCTGACAACATCCCAAGAGCAACATGCTTCGAATGCTGAAATGCCGGCTACCCAGTTCCGCGAAACCTTGAGAGTCAACGTTGAAGGCGCCTTCCTAGTTTGCCGAGAATGGCTCAGAGGACTCCCAGATTGTCACAAAAGCATGCGAAACAGATCTCTGATCGTCTTTGGTAGCGAGGCAGGGATATGGGGCGTGAACAATGTCGACTATGCCACCTCCAAAGCCGCTCTTCACGGATTGGTACAATCCTTTGCAGCCGACCCTATGACTATCAAACAGGGAGCCCGTGTCAACCTCATCGCGCCTGGAGTGGTCGATACACCTCAGTTCCGGAAGGAAGTGGAAGAAGACCCTGACGACAAATGGAAACAACTTTCGACAGTAATTCAAGCAGAAGCAGTGCCAATACAGGCAGTGGCGAGGACTTGTCTGTTTCTTGCGAGCGACAACTTCTCAGGCTCGATCACTGCGCAGACCATCAGGGTAGATGGTGGGAGAAGTGGTCGACTTTTCTACCCTGACAGGGCTAGTATAGTATAGAAGATTTAAGCACACAGTGCTTTCTTCACGAGCTAGCACGTGTGAGTAACGGAACGACAGAGCTGTCACAGCACTCGCACAGCATCACATCTACTGCTCAAGAGCAATTACAGGTCCTCCAACATCAATTCGGTCACATGCGTTGTGCATCCGACACTCATCTGCGGCTGGAGATACATCCAGAGTAAGTTTCAAGAAACGGGTGTGAGCACCCTTACTCTGGATGTATCCCCAGCCGCAGATGAGTGTCGGATGCACAACGCACCTTCCTGCGAAGTCCTCCTTCCCTGGAGATCTGTCACGGACACATCATCGCCCATGACAGGTAAGTACATCACGTCAGAAGCTCAATCCCTCGCTCCTTCCTCGAGGTGTTAAGCGTACGGCAGGTGCTCAGAGACACACATTCTGACCAGGACGAAGTTGCGCCCTAGGGATAGAGAATATTGGGAAATAAATGCGATCGCTGTCGACCTCAGCGTATTGTGTTAAACAGCCCACGAACTGTTCGCACTGTTCGACTATGGCTGTCCCTCTGATTGCTTATGCTACGCCTCATGCGAGTCATCCATCTGTCCGTCAGCTTTGTTGTTCTTGTTCAGCCACAACTTCGCCCATGGAAACGAGCCACCCAGCAGTACATATACCTACACGCAGCCAGAGAACAGTACAAATGAAGACCTCTGTAAGATGTGCCGCGAACTAACACCGCCTCCAATCACCTTACCGAACGCCAAAGACCACGAGCCAAGCCCAGGACAAGATACGGAATGTCTCCATCACCCTTTAAGCCATCCGACCCAACGTACTTTACGGAGGCTGCCCGACATCTAGCCCATAATTAATCTCTTGCCTCTGCTGAGGAGCAGGCCCGTCAGTCATCAAGTCAATATACTGGGACTCACCAATCCGATCATCACGACCCTGCAACCCCGGTCTCGGTCCCGGTAGATCCTCCGCCAGCATACTCCCAGATCCACCAGCCCACAATCATCAGACAGATGCCCGCTCTGGGGACGACGCCACCGGCAGTGAGCCATACTCTGCCTGCACTGGCCCAGAGTCTACCAGTAGTGAGCCAGACAGCCTATACTGGGCAACAAGCAGGGGGAGCGGGCCAGCCACAGCTCGTGCGCCCACCGCCAGCGTTCATGACGGATCCGTTCGGGCGTCGGCTTGTGTTCTCGCACGTCAATGAGGCGGGCCTGTACTGCTATCGGTATGCTTGACATTAGCAGAAGTTCAGACAAACAAGCCTAAAGGCCCGAGCCTCTGCGGTGTGATATATGTATGTTTGTACCTTACCGACGTGGCAATGTCATTAGATTATGTACTTTACCGTGTACTTGGCAGATCCTCTACTGCCTCTCTCATTGAGTCTCTTCGTACCCACGCGCATCCGTTTGCCAGAGATATCACCTTGCTCAGTACCTGGGCAGGTCTGGCCATTCCATTCTCACCGCCTGTCTGCTAGAGCACTGTCTTCAGCCCCCTACCGCACAGAAAGAAACCCCTTCCACATTCACATTCGAGTTCTTAATCAAGCAGGCCCCTCCCCATCAAACAACACCTCATCCAGCAAACTCAGCATAACCTGCTGCCCAACCCACTGCTCCTCCGCCGCGCCCCTAATCTGCGCCGGCGGCAGCACAAACCCGTAATCACCCGTATCCCTCAACTCGATCGTATAGCTATACTTCGCGCCGGCTTTGGCAAACACGTAGTCGATCGAGCTGCCCGTTGTGGCGTAGAGGGTGGAGCAGGAGGGGCCGAAAGTGAAGGTAGTGCCGTTTGCGCCGGTGCGGATGGCGTCACCGGTGAGGGCGGCGAGTTGTTGGTGGGCGCCGGAGGAGGAGTGCCAGAGGGTGCAATTGTGGCCCCAGGGGTAGAGGATGTATTGGCCGTAGGAGTGCCAGTCGAATCTGTGTGGTATGGAGTTAGTTGGGGGAGGTGCGCGTGGGGACGGCGGATTTTGGATGCATGGGGCGGAGGTTGTGCAGATCTAGGAGAGAGGATTGCTTACGAAGAGCTTGATGCCTGCGCCGGCGCCGAGCTTGTCGGCCAGAGCTGTCAAGGCTTGGTTTTCGGGGCTGCTTGACGGATATTCGCCTCGATAAGTCTGACTGCACGGGTTTGGAGATGCGCCCAATGGGTTGCCATCCCATTCCTGGTCCCAATTCCTGTTCACATCGAGACCGAAGCAGCTCTGATTGGCAGGTGGTGGGGGCGGCGGCATGCGGTTCTTTCGCCACAAACGCTGAACTTCTTGAGTGTATACGAAGCCATCAGGGTTGACGAACGGCAGAATGTAGAAATCGTACCGGTCGAGAAAAGACGTAGTCACGTTGTCGACGCCATAGCCTGTCACAAGCTGGAGGGTGATGTACTCGATGACCATGGCAGTGATCCATTCTCGAGCATGTACTGTGCCGTGATAAAGTACAGCGGGCTTTCCTGGTCCATCTACTCCGTACAAATGCAAGCCGAACATGTCGCGTCCCTCGTATGATTTGCCATATGTGATAAATTCGGAATTGTCTGGCAAGGCTGCCTGTAGGTCCTTGAAGTACTGCTCGTGGTCGGCGTAAGGATGGTCTGTGTGGTATCAGCATTTGTTATCAGCAAAAATGACGGCGCTTCCTCTCCCACGTGACGCAACGTGGCTCATGCCTCGGCCAGCGTCGCAATATCTCGAAGCATCTCCGGGCCTGGTGTATGGACTTACACTGATCGAACCATGCGTCATCGTTGATCTGGCGCTTATACTTGGACTTGACAGCTGACTCCTCCGCAAGTGACCGTCCCAAGTTCTCATGCATGACATGGAAATCAAGACCTAAAGCCTCAAACGCTGCCAGCTGCTCTGGCGAGACAGAGATGTCGATGTGGCGAGAACTATCGATATTCCATTGATCGAAGTTGATCGTCGAGAGCTTTTCCTGTACTTGTGCCAAGCCGTGCTCGGTGTTGAGGCGGAAGACTTTGTAACCTTCATAGTCTACTTTGTCTGGACGAGGGAGAGCTATGCTGGCGGCGAGCGGCAGGAAGAAGCCGGCGATGGTTGCTGCCCTCATCTTGAAAATGAATATCTAGGAATATTGGTGGGATGGAGGTCTTTCCATCTCGTTTAAGCTGAAGGAACCTAGCCTACCTTATATCACTCAGCTCTTACCTTGCGTCGCGGAGGGCCCGCCAGCTTGTTCTATCGCGGACGAACAAGGCAGGTAGCATCAGCTGTCTTGGCCGATGTGAGAATTGGTGTCTTGCATGGCTCGCATCGAGACATCGAGTTGGCCTCAGCATAGCGATAACAAGCATGCCGAGTTGAAATCCAGGAACCGATATCGAAAGTGACGGCATTTGACAGATTCGACAGGGATGAGATGATGCGCTCCTTCCTTTAGCATGCTAAGTCAGGCCATGGCATTTCTTGTGCTGCGCAAGGGCAGGTGTGAAAGCACGGGTGATGTGCAATGGCGTGGAAGTAAGCGGCTTGGTTGAGTCTTGGTGTGAGGGGGCGGAGGTGGGGCATTTGACAGCATCACGAAGTTGCTTGCGAGGAGATCAATCAGAGAAGAACTGATGCAGGTACAGGCATCGCGGGAGCGTGGAACTGAGATTCGAGATTTGCAACAGTGATGGACCATTGGGTCTATGATGTTGTGCAGCAGAGCAGCCACTATTGTAACAGTAGGTCATATAGGCCACTGGAAACAGCAGGCCTCCTGCCTAATTGGGACTTCTGTTTGTCAATCCGGAGGTAGACCACGGTCCAGTATCCATGGTCTGGTCCAGGCAGACTCCGGCTCTACTGCTCCGTATGCATGATTCATTTCGGACAGAGACTACTTTGCATGCGAGTATATTTGGCAATGGGCTTCTTCGTCTTCTCCCTCTTGACGGTCTACAATGATGCGTTTCACTGTGGACAGGACAACGTTCCCTACTGCATTGTGCGAAATGCCTCTTCAACAAATTTTTGAGAGCTCTCTTTCGCGCTCAAGCTTGAGCCTAAGTGAGTATAAACCTGGGCCATGGAAAATGCTTTGCGAGGCCATTTTGCCACCCCTAGAATTGATCGCATTCGATGCACAGCGGACGAGCCAGCCTCTGGCTGCCCAGAGGCACTGACGAGGTTCAACAGTTCCTCCCGGGCTAGGAACAACACATGACTCTGGCTCAAAGCAGATGCATGCTCGAGTTCTTAGACCACCTCCTGAAGGTCTTTCCCTTGTACCAGAACAAAATCCCAAACAAGCACCACAACAAGATCAGGCTCGCGTTGGTCATGATCGGCGGTACGAAACCGTCCTCTTCAGCCCAATTGGTGATGAACTTGCTGAAGCCATATCCCCATACATTCTTGTTGACCGTGATGCTGACGAACAAACTCCCAGCCACAGGCTTATAACTGTCGACAGCGTAGGTGCTCGCAATGCTGGGCAGCGCCGCTACCTGAATGCCTGCACAGGTGAAGCCGATGACAACGATTGCCTCCCAAGGCCACTTGTTGTCGTACCCAACAGAGACAATGATGTTCCCGAGGTACATAATGACCACGTAAGGGATCATGGCGGCGAGGCGCATCTCCGGCTCACGGATGCCATTGTTGCGTCGAGTGAAGTAGTCGCTGACCCAATCACTCAGCGGCCCTGCAGTCGCGAGGCCGATCATTGCTCCGATTAGGATGGCAAAGTTCATGAATCCTATTTGAAGCGAAGTGAAGCCTCGTGGAGCAAACGCCTGGGTTTGCGTGAGGTTGAGAGTCAAAAATGACGAACAGCTCCAGGAGACAACGAAGGATGCGAATTGTACGATCGGAAAGCACATCAGCTTCCACGGGATCCACAGATCCATTAAGATGGACTTGAAAGGATGAGCGTTCGGCTGAAAGAGTGCCCATTGTAGTTTCTTCGGGCCACCTCGACCAAGCCATGGATCGTCGACGGTGAGGACTTGAGTCAGCGAGGCAGTGCGCTCGACTTGAGAGACGTCCTCCTGAGCGCTGACGGCCGACTTGTCAGCGTTATTCTCGACTGCTGGCTGTGTACTAGGAGCCACCTTCTCGTTTGGCGGGCTGACGGAGCTTGGACTGGCGGTTTTTTCGCCTGGGTGAACACGATGCCAGCGAGTCTCCGGAAAGCCAAACACAACCAGGAGGAAGCTGAATGCAAGTATTGCCACATTCAGCCACCAAAAGTTGCGCCAGCCGACAGTAAGGGCCATCGGACCAGACACAATAGGGCCGACCATGAGAGACCCCATGTACACCACCCAGTACAAAGTGTTCCACTTTCCACGATCATGGAGGAAGAAAATATCCGCGATGACAGCAGGCTGAATCGTCTCAGCAGGGCCCGCTCCCACTCCATTCAGTGCGCAAGCACCCATGAAAGAGTTGTATGTTGTCGCTTTCGCGCGCCAGATACATGATGCGAGACAGATCAATTGGGAGGCGAGGTAGACCGGACGGCGGCCGAAAGAGGTACTAATGGGCACCCAAAGAAAGTTGCTGAAGCCGAGTATCAAGATCGGGACACCAGTAAATTGTACAGCCTGCGCCAGCGTGCAGTCGAACTCTTTGACATAGTCCTCAAACATGGGCGCCAAAGCAAGCGGGCCAAATCCTTGCGTGAAAGTGACTATGGAGGCCGAGATGATAGTAATCAATTTCCATTTCAGGCTCCAGTTGAGTGGATCGTTTTTATCCGTGCTAGGCTGTGGGACAAGGACTCGATGGTTCTTATCACCTGTCTTGACGAAGTGGTGCGTGCCTGTGTCTCGCATGATTTCTGTGCCAGGAAGGATTTCCGTGCCGAGCTCATTTTCGAGCTCACGCAGCTCCTGTATAGCATGTCAGCAAGTGTGCACCTAATCGATTGGGATGGCAGCGTACTCTCGAGCTATAGTTCATCTCCATGCTGGGCAGCTTTGATGATGAACACCGCAGGTCGAAACTAATGATGCGCACGCTGATGCGAAGACTTGCGAAGTGAAGACCTGTGTAGATTATCAAGCATGTCAATGATCGGAAGCTGCACCACTAGCTTGGTTCCGTACTGGCCGGCGCTTGAGGAGGTATTGCGCGGCATCTCGTGCTACCCTTGCAAGTGTCAAAGGACTAGACAGCCCGGGGCCCCAGTCGATTGGTGTGGGGAAGTTTGACATGCCGTTTGGCCCGCCGATCGCCCAGAAAGGAATTTTCCCATGCCAATTGGAAGCGAAGCGTTAGAAAAACGTGGAATTAGCTGAAGACCCTTTTCCTCGTCCTCGGCAAAAGACACGGCAAGTAGAGCAGAGTCAACATCTGCATCGTCACGCTGCTCTTCGTGCCCTCTGAACGCGACGTTGCGGCTGTTGAGATTTCTGCGACAGCGCCCGACACGAGTGTCATGTGTCAGACATTCGACACTTGATTGTGGTGTCAGGCAAGGAGTAATTGTGGTGCCTTCTCGGGGTTGCTACTTGCACGACTTCCGCGTGACTGGAATTTGCGATGAAGACCTGTTCGAGGCGGTGTTGTACACCCGGTCGGACACAGCATTCTCAACTTGATTTTGTTCTGATCTCTAGATCTTTGTACCACCCCGGTATGCAAAAGCATAGCCATACGACTGCTCGAAGCTTGCATAGCTCAGAGATAAGCTAAAGCTTGGTAGTCGTGGCATCGTGCCATCGCGGAATTGCCCCACACTATTTCACTGTGCAGGTATTCTTCGCGCTGTGGCGGGCACGTCTGGCAGACACTTTCGGCAATGTTGCGGATGCCATATCGATCGTGCCTTGAGGGGGTTCCTTTAGGATCACTCTGTTCCTATATCAGAGCGAAAGTTGCCGAGCATGCTCTTGCCATATCGTCGGCAGAAGTAGCTGAAGGTCAGAGAGGCGGAGGTAATGAATAGACCTACGTGCTCCAAATCTAGGTTGACCAGATCTTTCGATGAAGCTCGTCATTGCCTTATCTTATTAGATTCGTTGTCGCTTCGCTCATATATCTCGGCTAAGGCGCAAATGCTGTATCCTGGCGACTTCCGCATGATCGCAGATTCATTGGCCTGCTCTGAGGTCCGGCTGAATATTTTCCATTCAGATTGTTGAGATTTTGGACCAGATCGAAGACCTGGTCGACAAGTTCGTGAGCTTGGTCTGAGCCCAGAGTGGTAGACTTTGGGGTAAATTTTGGAGGTTCGCGCAGACACATGGTGATGCTGCCTTCAAGACCGTCCTGCGCATGATCCAGCCGCAGCACAACTGGGACGCAGGGGGCCCTGGCCTGTGACAAACTCGCCACACCAGCACTTCTGGATGTGAAGGACCGGCCACCCTTTGTTTCGCGAACGATAATCAGGAGATCTCTCGACTCGTTGGCCCTATAAGAGGTCGAAATCATCCAGCTTGTTCCGATAGTTGGCGACCTGTCGCTGAATCTTGCTTCCCTCACTCCACGTGATGAAATCTTCCTGCCCTCTCGAGATGAGATACGCCGGATCTGTGACAACATCTGTGCCGACTCGGACATGGCCCTGCTCGATGAATTTGTGTGCAGTCTGGATATTTTCAACCATTCCACTTCGAACCATGAGCACGCCTAGCCGCCGTCGACAGATCGCCGAGACCGTGACATCGTTCTCTACTGAGGACAGTCCGGCGCCCTGCTCCCTGGACTGCTTCAGGATGCCGATCTGGAAGAGCTTTTCTAGCATGACAGTTTCGGTCTGCTTGCGGTATGCATCGTCTGGCTCGAGGTTCGAGAGTAGGTGTGCGAGCTGTCGCAGTCTGCCGCAAAGGGCGTTGTACTTCGAGTAGTCCAGAGGTTGAGTAAGATGATAGCGCCGTCGCACTGCGGCCTCGCGATGGTTCGATGAATCGGATTTGTAGGTGAGTAGGTCGACTTTGCGAAGGAGTCGCTGCTCGTGATGCTTGAGTTTTCGAACCATGCTGGCGGTCCAGTAGAGGCCGAGTGTAAAGAGGGATCGTAGGTCGACGGTCAAAATTGGGTTCTCGAGTCCTCCATTGCGGTCAGTGCTAGGCTCGAGGCATGATCTTTGAACGAGCAAAAATGTTGTTGCAGATCATCAATGGTGGGGCTGGAGCCCGGATTTCTTATCCGCCCCCGAAACGCTGGGCACGTAAAGCTGTCTTGACGTTCTAAGGTTCCAAGGTTCTCTCCGCCCGACAGCTTGTTCTTACCCTCCATCAGCAGACCTGCCATCACGAGCCACGAGCACGTGCAAGCATCCGATGATGCTCAGCATCACTTTAATGCTCAGGACTACTGTCAGAGCGTCTGTTCTGCTCGCTAGAGTGCTGACGCATGGTGAGTCGCAAGTGATGCATCAGGGAGGGCTTTCCTCGCCAGTTTCAGCTCGAGCATTTGCGGTCATTGGGCGAGCTAACGAACTGCCCGTTGAAGCCTTCGCTTGAGCTCCCATGTAACAAGTGGTTCATGCGGGATTTCATATGCCGACTATCCACGAAGATGTAGATTGCCTGACTACTAGGGTATGCTACCTCGAGCTACTCCCACAGCGGCCGTGCCGACGTTCTCCCACCATGTTAAGTATCCCTGCTTTCCTGGCCGTTAGCTTCGGTCGTCAATCTGGTCACACGCGACAGTCATGCATGTCTTCAGATCGCGCTGGGCGCTTCTGGTGGCATGTTATGCATCAAGAACCAGCGCGCAAGGGATCCAGCTGGTCAATGGTCAGATTTTTACCAGCGGGCTGGCCATAATCAATTCACCGCAGCCTGGTACACCAATGGGTGGCGGTAGGTGGAAGTTGACCACTAGCTGGGACTCATGCTGAACATGCGACAGATACCCTGCATTTATCAATTGAGGTCTCGAGTAATGGCAGAGTCCCGATACCTCCATTCCCAGACAATTTCCGGGCGGGCATCGCAGGCATCAACATCTTCCTGACGAGCACTACCACTGGTCTGAATCTGACTATCTCTAATGGCACATTCCAAGGCTGGGACCGAGATGTCTTCGACACGCCGGAATTCCTTTGCAACGGTACCATGAGCAATGGCGAGCAGGATGCTGGTTGTCAGCAGATCATGTTGCAGGAGAGTGGAAGCACTGTCAAGCACGTGAACTGGGTGTGGCCCGAATGTCTCGTGGGCAATGGTGGTGCGGACAATGGTGATTGTGCTGCCGGTGGCGACCTAACCGATTGTCTCAACGGCGTCGCTCGAGGAGCGTATAATGTGAGTAGAGCTCGACTTCTGAAGCGCTGTGATTGACAGGCCAGGTCTCATTTCATGAAGCACTCCGGGTCAATGGCTCAGACTTCTATACCATCACTGATCTACCAATCGGATCACGAACTCGATACCAGGCAGCACCGACCTTGCCGAAAGCCAAGTCAGGCCGCGGTGCGACTTACGAAACAACCCTCTGCTGCCCTATGATGTGAGAAACGCAGCCATCCGTCTGCCAGCTGGCCAAGTGATCACGGACGACACGGTGACTGTTGTTCCTCCACCGGCAGGCAACGACGATCAGGATCCGCCTCAGGATGGCGATGGCAATAATATACTCAATCCCGGTAACCCGGGTTCGGGCAATTTGGGGCCAGATGGGCCTGGGCCAGCAGACGGCGCTGCAGTCGTCCAGCCGCTCACAGAGTGGTTGCTCTGTGCGATAGTCTTTCTTGCCGGATGGCACTTAGTGTAGGATATCCAATGCAGATTTAATCACAGATGCCTTGTCCGCCTGAAAAGGGCAGCATATTGCGAGGCAACTGGACACATCGGTGTCGCGCCAGCGATGTGAGTTCATGCTCTCTGCTTGAAGTCGCATTCGGTTGCCTTTCGGCGGTAGACAGCGCTGCATGCATGCTGTAATCGTGAAGTGGCTCGCAATCCCATTGCCGTGTGGATTTGCTCTTTGAAGCCGTCGTGAGAGTTATTCCTTGAATAGCACACAAAAAGTCTCTTACACGCCGAGAGAGTGTTGCGTCAGCTTCAAGCTCCAGTCGACTCCTGCTTGGAGGCCGCCTGAACGATTTAGCTGAGCGGAGGCCCATTGAAGCATGTTTTATGGGCATCATCCACGGCTTGGATTGGCTGTATCTCACCCGGCCAAGGGACCCGCCATGCTTAAATCGAGTATTTTCGGCATGACGCACTCGCTAAATCTGCGCCTGCAATTACGTCTGCGCTGAAGTGCACGAGGTATAGACATGTCGTCGAGACCAGGCAACCTGGCACAGGACGCGTGCAGGTGATGTTGACTTTGCTTGCTGCACCATCATCATCTTTATTAGTCTCTGAGTCCCCATACGCTCCTTCAGACCCTTTCCATTGCCCAACATTCGTCATGTCATCTCTCTGAAACTGGGAAATCTCCCCCACCGGAAACCCATCGTTGAATATCCCCTTCTGGACTTCCTTGTTTGCGTGCCCGAAGTCGCAGTCCCGTAGAAACGCACATACTCGTCCACAACGACGATGGCCTCAGCAAAAGTTTCACAGGCGCGTTGCCAACCAACGGCTCCGCTGTTGCGCCAGCCCCGCCAGTTATGCTGCACCGCGACCAGTCTGAGAAGTCGATCCCGCCAGACGGCGCTTTGTTGACTGGCAAGCAAGAGCACTACCTGAAGCGGGAGCTCATATCCAGAGAAGTCCATGACGAGATCAACGAGCTCAACAGTCCGACCGCACTACAGCGATTCGGTGCACCATTCCAATCACCCCTCGGAGAGGTGGCTCCCGTGGACTCGGAGCTCCCCATCTTACGTTACATCTTCGTCAACCATGTACGCAACTTCCCTTTTCTTGACCAAGCGAAGGAGAAGGAGTTCTGGCAGGACAAGCTGCAGGTCTTCCTGCAGTCATTCGCCAGCAAGTACATTTCTTCCTCAGAGGATCGGCTGGAGGAGACCAAGAGGAGGAAACTGGCAAAGAAATGCGAGAAGTTGGTCGAGCTGATGATGGTCTCCGGCGTTCCTACTGCCTCTGGCTACGAGGAGCGGATCCGTTTCGAAGAGATGGAAATCGTGGACCGATCTGCGAATGAACAGGGGTTGGTTAACAATGTGCCAGAAGGCAACTATATCCACAACTGGGACGTTAATGTTGCTGGCGTAAGGACCACATCCGTCAAGCGACATGTGCGGTATCATCAGCACGCCGAATTCTTGATCCGCGTGAAAAGGCCAGAGAAAGATCCTTTCTACATCGGACGGAGGTTTGGAGATTTCCAGCGACTACACAAGCGTTTGAGGACAGAGATGCCGGGCAAGGTGTTGCAACCACTGCCGAGGAAGAACAAGTCGTCCACCATGTCTAGTCTGGGTTTCTCCGGTGGCAACGATGACGATGCATCGTCAGTCTCGTCAGTCTCCACCATGGACACAGGTCGAGATGTTGCCGCAGCAGAGGACTCTTCGTCCAGGAATCTCATGCCGAGTGCGCATCGCCGACTAAAAAGCTCTCTTGGTGGCTCATCAGGCGGTCGTCGCCGCGCCCTAGTCTGGACGAGCGAAGCGGCAGTCCCAATCCTGTGAAGCTACACCGAGAAGACCAACGAGTGTCATTACGTGCATTTCTACGCACAATTCTACAAAACGAGCAGATAGCGGAGTCGAAATCAATCGAGGAGTTTCTGACGGCTGACCCTGTCAAGCTGAACGAGGAAGAGCTGGAAGACATCGATCGCCGGAAAGTCATGGACGAGCGTCGCATCGAGGAGCAGAAACAATTCTACGAAATTGCACGGAAGCGTGCAGCCGAGCTGGACATCTATATGGAACGTTTCCGTCGCGACATTGTCGAAAGAAATGGCCTGACGAAATTGTTTGCCGAGATCAAGGCGAAGAATACGATTCAAGAGCTGAGCCCAGAGTATCAGAAATTTGCAGAGTGGCTACGTATCGAAGTGGCAGCGACGCTGTACCATCTCTTCCTGGCCGAAGACAACTCTCCGGAACTATTCGCACAGTTCAAGCGAATACACTCGCTCGTGCCTTACGGCATGTTGAAGAATGTAATTCGGATAGCCAACCCAGCGGCGGTCATGGCCGGCGTGCTGGATCTGTTCCTGGCGCAGCCGTTCGGAACGAGGTCACTACTCCAGCGAATCTTCTCTCAGGCCATTCATGATGGTATCAAGCAACTTCAAAAGTCAGTCGACGACCTCTCCGCGAAAATTAGTGATCCGGTCCTGGTAGGCAAAATCAAGCAATTTGTTGACAGCGATGAAGACGTCAAGGCTGTCATTCGACAAGAGTCGGAAGCGGACCAGGTGGACATCGTCGTGGCAATACTGCGATCCGAACTGCTCACACCTGAGCTAAACCACCAGCAGATTGGCACCGTATTCAATGCTTATGTGGCATGGAATAGTGCCGTCGAGAACACCGACCAGGAGCTCCGGGAAGGCGCTGAACTGTTCTCTCGTCTGAAGCAGCTGCTGAAGCTGATGACCAGACAGCGCGACAAGGCAATGATGGCCAATATGATAGAAGAACCCACCACACTCAAGCTTTTCAGAGATCTTTTCACCATCTTCTACGAGCCGCTTGTACGGGTGTACAAGTCAGCGAACGTCTACAGTAGTATCACAGACTTTGCGGTATTTGCCGACGATGTCATCAAAACCATCGAATCTGCGCAGCGACAGGACGTCGCTGCCGACCCCAACCAGACAGTCCAGATGTTCATCGACGTCTGCGCCCGTCATGAGCACAACCTGTACAAATTCATCCACGAAGTTCACACACACGATAACGGCCTATTCGGTGCATTAATGGGCTGGATTGAAGGAATTCTCGACTTTCTACGTACAGGACCTACGGGCGGAAAATTGGACATGAACGCAATCTTCCAAGGCGCATTGGATATGGGCCAAGTGGACAAAGAGAAATGCATAGTCGAGATCGACTCGCTCATCAAATGGCAAGAGGACAGGAAAAAGTGGCATTCTGATAAGACGAGACAGAAGATGGCTGCTGAGGGTACATCAGGAGGCGATCAGGGTCTGCCAGGAGGTGCTTTTAAGAGTAGCGACTTTGGCCTGCATGAGGTATGTTGATCCCGGCCCTGTGGCTGCCCTATGTTCTCTTTTCGCGACTCTCCTTTCGAGAACCCAACTAACAAAATGTTACCAGTCCGACCTGGCAGACATGCGCATCTCAGACGAAGATGACGCAGAAGACAGCAGTGATGAAGAGGCGGATGACGACCTCGATCCCATTCAGGCGGAAAGGCGGCGGCGGCAGAAGACACAAGACAGACTTCGCGCAAGAGCCGGCGAACCTGTAAAGCCTGATGTTGAAGAGGTGCTAAAGATGCGAGAAGGCTTCTTGGCTATGCTGCGGATGGTTCTGAGTGAGTGAGGCCGCTCGAACGTGCAGCATCCGCCTGTCACAATTATCGTCATAAATCAGCGCACACCGAGCGATGTTGGGAGTGCCCGAACTCCTGCTCAAGCATGCAACGCATCCAGCCTGAGAACTGCAGAACAACTGCGAACATATCCTGGCTTGATCTTTTAGCGGATCGCTCCTTCCGGGATGATCAGGGTATGGGATTGGTTGCTTTGGAAGCCGCGGTAGCTCACCCAAAAGAATTCTTTCGACATCTCCATCCTCCCCCACGATCATCGATGGCGACGCGTTCTCTACTTTCTCTCCCAATTTTAAGACTTCTGCGAATGTCATCATAGTGAAGAGGCACGTTGCTGAATCCGCCATGTGGCCGATGTGCATTAGCCTCCAGCATCCTCTTAGGTGCTGCTCGGCTGCATGCAATCCAAAGTTCCTGCATATGGCACCAAAGTTCTCTAGATACCGACTGGGCGCCCCTCCTGCAACCGATAGAACCTGCAGCCTTACCGGCTTGGGCATCACAATGGCTCAGACCAGCGTTCAGAACCACGCTACGGAAGACAGAAACTTCTCAAAACCCGAGTAGCCTCCGCGTCTACCTCGTTGCCATCATCCTGCCTTGCGAAATGCGCCTCGCAAACAAGCAAATCTACCTTGCGGTGTAAGATGTTCGACTTTTACTACAGTCAGCTACTTAGCGATCCTACAAAGTTCCAACCCCGCGATGGCAACAGGTACATCGAACTCGTCGAGCATCCTGACGGTTCAGTCACGTACACGGAGCGGGATGTTGACGAGCACCAAATTGTCAGTTTGCTTCAGGACTCAGCAGGCAGTCATACTTCCCAGCAAGCTGAGGCAAGGTCGTCATTGAGACTCATTATCGGGTCTCCGGAAGAGCACGAATCTGATGCGAAGATCCTCCCGCTTCCTTTTTCCAAGAACACGTTTGAAGCAATTCGAACGCAATGGAACATGCCAGCAGAGCTCCTTCGGATGATGTTGAGCAGTCTACCTTTGAGTGTTCCCTTCAAGTCAACGACTGGCCCAGCTGGTGTCTTGATGCGAGGCGCACGATCCCGTGATTGGAACTTCTGCATCGCTCTCACCTATGATCCGGAGAGTAGAAGTACGCTGGGCCTGATCAATGGGATGCAGGAGCGCGAGGTGCAGAAGCTGGTGACCTGCTTGCAACAGTCCAAGCAGCTAATCGGGGATCCAATGCTTGTTCCACTATTTCTGCTTGAGCTCCGTGTGCACTTCTTTGCCGTGCTTCTGGAGAATCGAGCAGCTGGCATAGAAGACATTGAGTACGAAACCGGGATGAGGCATGGCTTCAGCCAAGATCCACAACGCCAGAGACGACTCGACAGGGATGTTCAGAATAGACTGAGGACGCTCGATTTCCACTCCATCACAAGAAAGTTGACTGGCGTGACCGGGACATTGTCATTCTGCGACATGGCCTTTGAAACGAGCCAGAAGGCCCTCGATCTCATCAAAGCAATGCGGGCTACGGTCGAGGCCCCGGGAAGCGAGCAGGATCCACAATTTATGGATACAGTTCAAGGCAGAATCGACTATCTCGAGCAACTGATTGCCGGCGCGAATGCGCTATCTGGTGTCCTCGACGCCCGCACCAAGGCGCAAGTGCAAACTGTGTACAGCTTGATAGGACAACGCGATAACTCTATCACGATGAACATCGCAACAACTAGCTTGCAGCACAACCAAGCAATGAACAAAATTGCAGAGGACTCGAAGCAAATCGCAAAGCTCACTCGGAGGGATAGTGCAGATATGAGAATCATCGCCTGGGTGACTTTGGTCTTTCTGCCCGGTACATTCATCGCCACCTGTTTTGGGAGTAACCTCTTCCAGTTCATACCAAGCACCTCGACAGACACGGTTGTGTCGAAGTGGATATGGCTGTACGCTGTTCTGACCACCACAATCACCGCTGTTGTTTTGATAGGGTGGTGGCAGTTCTCAAGAAGGCAATGGCAGCGCAAGATGCTCTTGACAGAATATCATCCGCCACGACGATACCAGATCCTGAGAAACGCAGATCGGTCAGCACAGCGGCTCAGGCGCTCGTTCCTCTCGAAAGCTCATCCTTCAGTTTTGGGGCACCGAGAGAAAGGTCGTTTTCGAAGGGATCGGCCGTCGACGATGGTGTTGAGCCTTGTGCTGTATTCGCATCTCCATGATGAGACGATTGACGTCGCAGAAGGTTTCGCTGCTATAAAGTCAGGTTTTCAGACTGCGTAGGGAGAACTTTGCACGATTTCGGTACGACTCCGGTCCAAAGCTGAGACCAAGCGTATGATCACGACTTCAGCCGCTGCGTGGACTTTGCTCGAGGACACTGTCCTCTATCAAAACGCATTTCGGTGTTCGTTCCCGTACGTGCTGTCGTTCACATGCGCCGTCCAAAACGATATCAGGCATCACCTCCTTAGCGAATGGCTCCACGGACACCCAAGATGAACACAACTACGATGGGCCTGCTTGGTTTGCCGGCAGAACTGCGCTTGATCATCTACGACCATTCATTCCGCGGTTCAATACTGTTCGACAGAGAGCTTTCCATCGACGACAAAACCGCAGCCTCGGACGAAGCCGCGCCCGCCAGTGACGAGTACGGCCGCGACCTGTATGAGTCTTTGCAAATCGACAACGATCGAGAGAAGGGCTTTCGAGACAGATTCCCAGGCGTGCTGTTGGTCAGCAAGACTGTTCGAGACGAGGCGCTTCCTGTATACGGGCGGAGTGTTCTGCTATCTGTAGGTCTCAAAGAAGGAAAATGTCTGATCCCGAGGATCCCAGCGGAATATCGGAGCCATATTCGCAGCGTCCTCATCAGTTTTTATCTACCCAGGTACGAAGGCGACGTTGCTGTGCTCTTGCAGGGGTTTCGCACGGCACACATTATGGGCCCGGCAATCCAATTGAAGAGACATGCGTGGACTGATCGCACTTTGGCATCAGAAGCAATGGTTGTCATCAAAGTCTGGCGTCCAGAGCTGAGGTGGTGTCTTGACGACCTCACACAGCGACGGCCCGAGTTGCGAGTCGTCGTGCACATGCTCATAGTCCTGGTCGATGACCTTTTCGACTACGAGCCGGACCTGCTGCGGCGGAGGGGGTGCAAGGTGAGCTATCACAAAGGTTCCTACTTCTTTCACTGACGTGCTGACCCTGCGGACTAGTTCTTCGAGGTTGATTATGGGAGGAGAGCGAATATAAGCCGACACTCGCTACCTGAAAGGAAAAAGAAGGTGCAGAAGGAAGGTCGAGAAGCTGGACCAGAACATTTTGAATGGGACCAATTGATACCAGATGGCCACTAGTACTCAGGATTACTCCTGGCCGTGCCCGGACGAATTAAGTACGGACGATCTATCAGGGGAAGAAGCAGATGCCTGTCTTTGCGCAGACCAACCCACTGGTGAATGAAGATCTAAGGAGTCAGTCGCCTTATCAGGCGTCTGCGAGGACGTTTCTGCCTCGCCAGGACGTCATCCGCGCCCCCTGGTATGGCAATCATGGCAGACACAAATGACCACACTTTTCTCACCTGCCATGACCCAGATTTGCGGTTTTCAGGGGGAACACGCTGTTGTATCTGCGTCGGCGACTTGGCTTGACAACCCTCTATAGCGACCAGCAGTGACTGCAACCCAAACCCAGGTTTATGATAGCACCATCGGACGCCCCCCCCCCCCCCCCCCGACATTTTCGTGTTTCGGTAGGCAAGCAGCGCTGTGGACAAATGCGTTCTCGCCTTTGCAAACGACACCCTCACTTCACTCTACCTCTGACGCATCTGCAATTGAAGATCTTCGTGCCTCCACCTCTACCTCAATCGACATTTGGTGAGGTCCACCCTGACTTCACTTGAGCTCCCTTTGTTGCCTGTGCAACCACAGCCTTAGGTGACGGCGACTCCTTACGTCACTTCTCGTGACGACCTTGACAGGTGAAGTTGCGGCATAAATAATCAGAGGTAGTCTTACAACTTCTCCCCGCTTCAAAATGTTCATCTTCATGAAACGTCCTTCGACCGTCGTTCAAACCTCTCTTGCAGCCATCTGCTCGGACGTCGTATTAATTCGCACACCAACTCAATCGCCCACCTCGAGATGTCGGCAGACGTGAAGCCCTTCCGGTTTCTCGACCTTCCAAAGGAGGTTCGCCTTGTGGTCTACGAACACCTTTTCGCAGGCTATGTGCTGCAGGTTGGATTTTGTGAAGATATCTGCAAAATAATCGATGAAGATACTGGTCCACGTCAGGATGCTCGTCGTTCCCACGAGTACCTCGAGGCTCGAGGATGGGGAAGGTCTAAGAGCACTCCAGCTCTTCTTGGGATTCTCGCGACGAACAAGCTCATACACGCCGAAGCGATGTCTGCTTTGCAGCAATGGGTGTCTCTCGATATCGGTTCTTGCTGTTTCGAGGAAACTCTGGACCGCATCCCATCAGATCTGAAGCATGTCAAGATTGTTCACATAGAGGATTGGTACCTTGATCGATTCGATCATGCGAGTTATCCGGACCTACACACACTGATGATCACCGTAATTAACCCAATCTTGCGGCCGCCGTACATCAGCAACGAGGAGGCAGTAAGGGACGTCATCGAATGGGCAATGGACGACAGCCCGGACCTTTTCGCTATAGCGAGTTCCAGACCAGAAATCGAGATACTCCTCTATTGCCACTTCCTCGGACACCCAGGACATGTAAGATCTTGCTGTTTCCCCTTCTCGCGCAAGGCAATCATTGACAAGCATCTTCAGATCGCAAAGGCCGACTTCCGTACGCAGGCCATTATCAGCCGCCATCCCGAACCGCCTCGGGCGAGCGATCTATGAGTAAGGCTGCTTGAACCTACTGAACTGGCGGCGAACAATAAGCGACTTCCACCTCCGTACCAAATCGACTCTGAAGTGAGGGTCCTACCGGATTTCTTATCGTGAACACATCGTCATAGGTGGCCTCTCAGCAAGCTGTAGACTGTATGCTGAGCTGGCAGAGCAGTTGAGGGAGATTGTATGCACGGAGCAGCAAGCATTATCAAGGACGAGAAAGGGTGATCGGCAGTCGCAGGTCGTGCCGCGACCAAAAGCTTCAGCAGGTCAACACCTGAAGCACAGATCGAGCACTGAGGACGGTCCATCGCGAGGCTTCGGATGGGCTTCATAAGGGATATCGGCTTCTGCTTCTGATCCTTCTGCACTGATGGACACTCTCATGATGGCAAAAACCTCATCCGCTTTGTCTCAATGACATGTGCTTTCCATGCCGTGTACCGAGATCAAAACCTCATACCAGTGCCGTAGGAGCGTCAGGTGACCATCATTTGTGGGCGCCAGGGGACAAAGTGAAGTCGCGCCGTGAACGTTTGCTTCCCTCTATTTTTACTTTTGACATCAACATCTGCACTCACGATAGGACCCCTCTCATAAGCCACCACCCACTTCCTCGTTCGCTGTCGTCAATCCATTCATACCCATTAGGTCCCACACGGCAGCTGGTCCATCACTGAGTTCAGAATGCCGACCGACATACAGCCTTTTCGGTTCCTCGACCTTCCAAAAGAAGTTCGCCTCGTCGTGTACGAACATCTCTTCGCTGGCTCCGTGTTGATGGATGACGACTGTTCAGAATGCCGCGATCAACTGAGAAAGTTCCGCATTCAAGACGATGCCACAAATCAAGCATTAGATACCAGTATCGTGTACGGCACGGAGAGTCTTCCAGGAATTCTGATGGCTAGCAAGCTCACGCGCACCGAGCTGATCCTGTCTTCTCAGCGCTTGTGACTCTCCATTTTGGATGCCAATCCTTCTTCAGTCCGCCAACGTATCTTCAGCGTGTCATGAAGCATGTTAAGACCGTGGTCCTCCAAGATCCCGTCGATGGTTTCACTCGGCCTCAGATCAGGGAGAAATTGCACGAGCTTTTGTCCTCCCTGGCGCAATTACAGACGCTCCACCTCATCGTACCGATGTATGCGGGTTTCCTGTCCACCACCGATGACAAGCTCGCAGACAAGATCGTCGAATTCATGCGTGATCTACTACCTTGGCACTGTGGCTCGGCCATTCCAGGTACTAAATCAGACCTCCAGATCGCTGCCTATACGGCTTTCATCCCAAAAGAGGACCCACGGTCGAATGTTGTAAGTCTCCCACGAAAATATCGACGTAATTGCGTTCTGATGACCACGGCAGATCGTCAAGATTGACTGGCGTACCGGCTCCATCATCGACCGTATTCTCGTATCCGAATAGAGGTCAATCAGTAATGACTGAGACAACGAGGCAGCCCAAAGGCCGCACATTGGGGCGTAGAGGATCCAGACGACCGAGGTTCGAAACAGTATGGACGTAGCTGATGCATGCTGAACGACCGTCGGCAATGGCGTCCTAGGTAGACGCTTCGCTACACCTAGCGCCGACTCCCTACCACAGCATCGCAGGCAATAAACTTGAGAAGAGAGGTTTTTTGTCGCTGTCTCGAGCAATCCATAGACACAGGCCAGTGGTCCAGTGGTTCGTCGATCTGTGAGGTTGCGAGCAAGCAGTGTCAAGCATCACATCTGGTACTGCGAGTAAGTCGTGACAGGTCCTATCCGTATCTGCGGAATGATGGCCGAATGCCCACGATCGGGCTGCAATTCTCGCACGTAGGTAGAACCAGAATTGTCAGGCCTCAAGGAGCAGCGCATTGGACTCCGTCAGGTCTTGCTCCTGCCCGTCTCAAACAAACACACTAGTAGGTACTCACACAAACACGAATTCCATTACCCCAGAATCCCTCCATGGCCTACCCTCACCTGTATGTTCCGATCTCACAGCTTCGCCTCCCTCTCAACCTCACCTGTCTCCGGCGTCGTTTCAAGGCCAGTGTCTTTGCACCGTCAGTTGACGAAATCTCACAGGCGTCATCTATGACCAAGTGAAGTTGCGCCACGACTGTGAATATTTACCTTTCTTTTGTGACTTCGAAATCTGCAGTCAGCACCTAGATCTCTTCCAATCATCGTCCACTTCCTTCTTCGCAGCCAAAAACCCTATTACATCAATCAACTCGAGTACCTGGTTCTCTGCCCCGACAGATCACAGGATGTCGGTCGAAATGCAGCCTTTTCGATTCCTCGACCTGCCAAAGGAGGTCCGCCTTGTGGTGTACGAGCAGCTCTTTGATGGCTCCGGCCTGCTGCTGGCGTACTGTGACCATTGCGAGGTCCTGCTGCCAAAACACGGTCACTCCTGGCCATGCGACACTGCGTACAGCCTGGAGAATCTTCCAGGAATTCTGACGACGAGCAAGCTTACGCGCAGTGAAGCCATGCCTGTCTTTCTTCGGCTCGTAATGCTCGATCTCGGATGCATCCAATCTTGGAAAGGCACCCCATCATATATGCAGGATTTCGGCAGCGTGGTAGTCCACAGATTCTCTCCACTGATTAGGCCTCATCACTTCCCGAGCCTACAAGAACTCCACCTTGTACGACAGAGCCAGAGTACACTCTAGTCTTGAGCTCCACCCAATTCACCCAAGATGATGAGCTTGCTCGCGCCGTCTTCGAGCTCCGACATACCCCCTACAAATGGTGGGACGACATCAGACCCGTCGCGAACACCAGGCCAGATCTGGACATCATTCTTCATCTCAACGTCTCCGCGGGTACAGCTTCCCAATTTGTGAGCACCCTTTGTTCCGGTATAACCTACAGCACTGACGTTGTCGCAGGTCTTGAAAGTCGACTGGCGTACCGGTACAATCATCAGCGGTCGTCCTGCAGACAAGAAGACTGCAGACGGAGAGACTCCCGACGAAGTCAGTCCAGTCAAAGATACCCCGGACGACCAGGGACCGGAGGGTGGTGACTTAGGCGGTGAGGGATTGGAGGTTGATGATTCGAACATCCCGAATCGCGATGCTCAGGACCTAGACAACCAGGATCCGGAGGACGAAGACTCGGACGATGAGAATTTGGATGCTGGTGCGGACGACGGAGACTCGGACGATGAGAACACGGAAAGTGAGGACGTCGACGATGAGGACTCGGACGATGAGGACTCGGACGATGAGGAGTCGGACGAGGAGGACTCGAACGAGGAGGACTCGAACAATGAGGACTCGGATGACGAGGACTCGAACATTGAGGACTCGGATGACGAGGACTCGAACAACAAAGATCCGTACGACGATTCGGACGGCGAGGATGTGGACGACGAGGAATCGGACGACGACGATTCGGACAGTGAAGATTATGAGGGCGACATACGATCTGATCGTCGGGCAGAATTGAGCGCCATGAGGCGTCACCTGTAAGCAGGGCATCCAAACCGTTGATCTAGCCAGAACTCAAACCTCAGTAACATGGCCGAGGCAGTCGGTAGATGGCAACGAGCAGCGCGCGGCGTCGATGGTTGAGCCTTGAATCCAGCAATGTTGGCTGGTCATACTGCAGACGAGTCTCTCGCAGAGCTTCGGTCGAATAAGGCATCGAATGACAGAACAGGCGACCGTTCGACGCTGAATGACAGTGCTTCGTAGACAATCAGATCACCTGGCTGCCCATATGAGATAATCCCCATCGTAGACGTTCTCGCGGGAACGAAGCTGCCAGCACTATCACCCTATCGCTTGGTACACTGATCTCCGTGTACCAAGCTCACAACTTCGACTTTCTTCCGTTATTTCCCAAACCACTCGCTCCCTCAATATTGACCTCCATACCCCCACCACCCAACTCAACAATCTCACAATCATCCCCACCCACCCCATTCGCAAACTGCACCACCACGAAATCCACCCTCCTCTCGCCCACCACGATCATCGGCGCATGCCACGTCCCCGGCGCGTACGTCACTGCCTGGTCGCCGCGTGCTACAAATGCCTCAAGCCGCGAGAGGTCCGGCGGGTTGCGCACGCCTGAGATTGTGGCGTTGGGAAGGGTTGGGGCGGAGACGACCAGGTAGTATGTCGATGGGTCATTGGGAGAAAGGCCGAGGGGGGTGAATGTTTGGGAGGTGTAGGGGTGGCGTTCGAGGTGGGTTATCCTGATCGTCCAGTCGTTCGTGGATTTACCAGGTGGAGGGCGTCGGGGAAACGTGCTGAACATTGACATTTGCGGCACGACAGTACCGGGGGAGGAGGAGTGGGCGTAGTTGTTGATCAATGGGGAGATTGATGGTGTTTTGAGGGCGGTGTTGAAGTTTGCGGGTTCAGGTTGTGGTTGGTGGATTGGGTAGCGGGGTTGGGGAACGGTGCCATTGCTGCTGGTGGAGGGGTAGGATTGGAGCGTGGGAGGGAGAGGAGAGGTGATGCAGGTGCCGTAGGCGGCGTAGCCTGTGGGTGTAAACGGTTTTGGATGAATCAGGGGTGGCGGGTTTGGGAGCGGGATTTGGGGGAGGTCCATTGTGCTGGCCGTCGGTAGAAGATGAAGTAGCTAGATAGACAGTTGTTTCTCTTCACTGGAGCAGAGAATTGGGCGCAGGCTGGCAACTGGTGCGAATAGGATGGCTCTTGAGCAATTTCGAAGCAGGACTGGAGAGGTGAATTTGTGTTGGGTGAGCAAGGACAGCTGTCGAGGACATCAGAAGACAAAGGAAGAACGATGTCGAGATCTTGGCACAAGGGCAGCGGGGGTGGCCGACGTAACGCAATATCAAGACCCCTATTTGCGCGCCCACTCTAAGATACAGAAAGCTCGAGGAACAATGTCAAGAGTGATCATGGTCGGTATCCATGTTTTCGAACGAACAAGTAGAGACTCACAGCTCGTAGACACGTCGTTACTGGGATATCCCAAAGAGGCAACCCACCTGCCCCAACGCAAGTTCTATCAGTCGCGAGGGGGAGACCCTAGGCAGTGCGAGGGGGCTTGACCCGGCAGGCTGGCTTCTCTTATAAGACTTCTATCGGTCACGCGAGAGTGCCAGGATGTTGTAAAACGATCTTTACGCTGCACTTCTGTCTCCCTCCCCGACCTCGAAGATATTCGGCGCCCGATTGTTGTGCTACTCCCTCGCTTTTGACATGGGGGAAACTTGGTGCAGTCAAGTCTGAGCTTGGGGAGGAGGAGCGAAAATTTGTATGGTGTCCAGATACGGTAGGTGACCTTCCTGAGATAGGCTTTCATCTGTTCCGCAACGCACCACATCACCGCCAAGATTTCGTTGTACTCTCGACGATCCTCACCCACCGCTACTTCCCCGCAGTGCAACGGGCTTCCATAGCAATTACTCGCACGCCGTATGGGAGCAATCACGTACAAAGTCCACGAGAATAGCTGCGATCGAACGTGCTGACTCTCATTCGAGCCTAACATGGTCTTTGCTCCGCTTCAGCGATATGTACTCCGAGCCCTGCCCAGCTCACTCGCCTCGTTTCAACCACCCAGCCTTCTCCAAGTCCTCCATCGTCACATCTACAACCTGTCCACATTGATTCTCGTCAGCTCCAGTCGATGTATCAAGCCCTCCCTATTGGCTCCAGTTAACCGGCTTGTTTCTAGTAAGTTGGCTGTCATCCCAGGTAGCCGATTCCGGGAGATCACGGGGATCGGCATTCCTCCAATTGGTGCTGGAGCCCGCGCCATTGATCTGAACCATTTCCTGACCGATCGCGGGCGGCGGCAGGGCCTGTATTTGACTTTGAGGCTGCCCATGCTGCTGAACGTCTTCCATCCGCCAGCCTTCAATTTCCGTGAGAGCGGCGCCAGCTGTGTCCACTTCGTCGTGAACGATATCTCGTTTGACGGTCTCGACAAGATCGAGCTTGGTGGCATCGATGTACACCAGAAAGTAAGGCGCCGTGGGACTTCCTCCTGCAGTCTTAGCGAAGATCTCTTGCAGATTGCCCACAACGTCCACGCGCTCGTCGTTATACTTGAGCCAGCGCTCCTGCTTGTGGTCGTAGATGTAAACCCAGTAGTGGCCACTTGTGGCGAGGCCCCGGTGGAAGAAGACCGCATGTAGCCGGTAGGGGTGCTTTCGCATATCGACGTACAACTCCTTCAGCTGCTGCTCGAGATGCTGTATTCGATCGTTGACTGCGGAGGACTCTGCAGCGAGGTCTTCGCCAATAGCACCAAGGAGAGTCGCGGTAGTGCCCAGATTGCTTGCAAACTCCTCCAGATTGTCCTCCGGACCGACGAAATCCAAATTGCTTTGCAAGCACTCGATAGCAGCTCTGGCTTCGGTGAACACAGTTGGTATGTCGCGGCCGTTAGCCACTTTCTCTTCCAGATGACTTCGACGTTGCTTCAGGAGTATCAGCTCTTCTTTCATTGACCATGCTCGCCGTCTGCGCTGCATGAGGTCTGAATCGGGCTCTGCCTCGAGAAATCGGTCCAGAAAGATGGTTTCTGGCAGTTCAACATGGTCGTCAAGCTTCACAGCTCGCTGCGCATCTTTGTCCCAGACCAGTCGACTCAGAAGAATACTGAATACTGGTGGCAGTCGCGTTATTGATGTGTACTCTTTCGAAGCGCCTTCGCGTTCCGCTAGATCGTATTCATACTCAAGGGCTTCGTAGACATCCTTTGGCTTGTGCGATATTCTGGCCAAGGCGGCATTGAAGGGCTCCACCACAACAGATTCTTTCTGCTCGTTTTCGCGAACAGTGTGGCGCGCGTACTGGCCGAAGAACATATCATGGACCTTGTCCTTCTGTTCCCCGGACGCCTCTGTGCCAGTCCCTTGAATAGCGTATGAGAATTGGAACAAGCAATGTCCCAGTACTTCGTTGACATCTTGTTGCCGTGCATACTCTTCCAGTGTGTCGGTTTTTGGCTCGAGTGGTCTGCGAGGCGGGACTGGCGGAGGCTTTCCAGGTGGCGGCGCGAATTGCATGGGCTCTTGTACATTCTCTTCGTGTTGTGCAAGATCACCTGCCTGGGCATTGACTTTGGATGGAGACTGTGGGCGTAACGGCTCCGGGTGTACCATCTCGACATCGCCATGTTTCGGCGAAATATCTGTTTTTGTGGGTGAGAAGTTTTCCTTGTTATTCAGAAGCTCGCTCTGTTTCTCAATAGACTCAGGCTCAACGACGAAGCTGTCAGGCGTTGTTGGGCGAGATACGAGCGTGGCCTCACTAGAATTGCTGCTGGGAGGAGTCTGAACAATATCGGACAGAGTGCTGTCGCCCATACTGACATCTGATGCTTCCGGCATCTTAGGCGGCGGAGCACCTTCTCTCTCTTCGCGAGGGACGGCTGAAGACTCTTCCGACGCATTCAAAGCTGGTACAGGTGGCGTGACCAAGTTGCTGAGGTCTGGACGATCAGTCTTAATTGTTGACCGTCGCCGCAGTGCTTCCTTCGCCTTCTCGGTCTCGAGTGTCAACCGTGCAAGCTCCTTCTCTGGCCTTATTGTCGACTTAGGCGTCTGTATCATGCCTTGGAACAGTTTACCAAGAGTTATGACGAACTCTTGGGCTGCTTGCACCTCGCGTTTGCTGATCTTCCGCTGTCCGACTTGTTTCTTGTTGACATTCTCCTCCGTCACCTCCATTTTGTATTGGTCAAAATCTAGGACAATCTGTCTTAGCTCGACCAAAGTGAAGAGAAATTGCAGCAAGCTGTTCAAGTAGCAAGTGTTACCGATGTTCTCGAGGCCGACAGGTTGCGTGGAGGAGCCAAGGTCGTCATTCGTACTGGACGTGATTCCTTGAAGGTACTCTTTGAGGGTTGCGCTATCTCGTTCCAGGGCAATCGCTTCGAGGCATTTCCGCCAGAATTCATCTTGTTCGGACGCATCGGCGGTGGCTGCGATGAACGCGGCAAGCACGGACTCGTCGTCAATCTGGCGGTCGTCGATGCTCAGCGCCTTGTAACCCTCTGCTGCATCCATGCTGAGGTCTCCAACGTAGCCAGCATCCATCCAACGTCTTAAAAGTCTGCTATTTCTGTTGTTTGCAATCAAACGCACTGCCTTCTGGCTTGCTCGGTGAAAATACTGCTTTCGGCAATCTAAGGCTTCTGCATCAGCAGAAATTCAGTGCAACAAAGGTATGTTTCTGTAGCAACAGCGACAAAATGCTCCTAGACAAGAGAGTTTGTGCTTACTTTGACCGCGTACAATGCAGGAATATGATCGTCAGACACACTTGCATCTGCGCCGAGAAATTGAAGCGCCTGCTCATGCGTGTCCATGGCTGGATTCGAGGTCAGTGCAAGTGCGAAGAATAAGGGATTGAACTTACTGTTGTTCGCAACTGCCGATATCTTGTGGCTATCGCGAAACGATCCAATAATTCGTAGATGATGCCGCAATTCGGTCTCCTGAGATGGCATGTCCATCAGTCTGGAATGGAACATGCCGATCAGAGTCTCATCTTCAACAGTATCTTGTCGCCCGATGCCGAAGGCTGTATGTGCTTGTTCTAGCGCAGAGGCAGTAAAGCGACCAACAGATTCTTCGACTCCGACCTCAGTCTGTAGTATTTCGCTCCGCCGCTCAAGTGCAACATCGCGCAAAGCTTCGAAGTATATAGGTATGTTGGGCGGATCGTGGGCAATTTGACGCTGGTAAGCATATCGGATGAGATGGTCGGCTGCATCGGGCACGATACCCAAGCCAATGAAAGCCTTCGGTCTTGCTGCTGGGTCGTGTTGCTTGCCTCGGTGGAACAAGACGGTGTCGTAGTCCTGCGCAGACAACAGTCGTTGCATCTCCTTAGCAGCAGTTGTGACAACAACTCCGCTTGTGTTCACTTGTTTCCACGCTGCTATCTCCTCTGCTGGACGGCCCATCATTAGAGCCAGGAGTTCGTGCTGGACATCGTCCAGGAACATGCCCACAGGACTCTGTACAGGGACCGCATCAGTTATAGGGTCAGGTACGTGCCAGCACCCGTTCACCTCATCACGTCTGAACCGTAGGAATTCCAGCAGATCCTTACAGGCGTCGCCACCTGGACCGAAGCGAACGATGAAACGGCGATTAGTCATCCCAATCTGTCTTTTCTTTTGTTGACTGGTATTGGATGAGTCGGAGAGGTATATGCTCAGATCACTCAGAACATCAATGACGCTGGGTGCCCTTAGACCTTGTGTATTCCCGGGGTTGGCCGCGAAAGCCGCGTCGGTTCGCTGCTTCAGCAATTCTTGGTCGGTGAGTGTTCTCATCATGTCATCACTCAGCTGCTGAGGCGTGTACCGAGCTGTCAGAATGGCTGAACAGGATGGAGCGGAGCACTGATAGACGACTATGTCTGCCGCACTCCCAAGCATGGTCTGCTCCCAAAGCCTCGTCTCTGCGCCTTCCCGCCATGCTGCTCGAATGAAGTGGTGCAAAGGATATTCGGCATTCGGACACGGGCCCTGTTGCCAGTCGTGGGAATAGTCTAGCTTCAGATGCAGATGTATCCGGCATCTCCCACAAATTGCTGCCAAACTCCAAGTGGTTTCCGCGTTGGGTCGCTCATCCACTGCTGGTAATAGGCTCTGCCGCGGTTTCAGTAGGAACTCATGACGGCAGGTTTGTGGATGCAGGAAAGCGCTGAGAGGTCCGGGACCCTGAGTAAAGTTGATCGGAGTGTCACGCAGGATGTCGTATCCTGGCTGTATTCGACGGACAAAGGCAGGGCTATGGAGGGTGAGGTCTTCGAGTAGTGCAGGTGAGCATCGTCCTGTGACCATCATTAGAGCTGAAGGCTTCCCGTTGATCCTATGAGCATACCTGAACCATGCAACGGATAGAACGACTTCATATGCGCCTGAACTCCAGCCATATGCAGATCTAAGCAATTGATCGGATGAGCGTAGGCTCTGTTGACAACAGATCCTCGTGGACTCGGACGGGAAAGAGCTATGTCTAGCTACAGGGCCGAATGAAGACTGATCAATGGTCGCTTCCTAAATAGAAGCGACAGCAGGCTAGAATAAGACCACAAGTGAGGTACAGGCAGCGAAATTACGACGTTCTTGGAAGGCGAAGTCTAGCTAGGGACCCGAGTGTGAGAATGGTTCGAAGAATGTAATGTACAAAACACAACGCTGCCGGTCGCCACTCCGGTGTGCACAAGCAAAAGAGCTATGCTGTAGACATGTTGTCGTCGAGGTGAATGCCTGGGCAGCATTTGCCTTGCACTGATGGACTGCGCCGGTGATTCAAGCGCCGCCACTGCTCATGCTTCGTCACTCAGCCGACCCTAAGTCCTCTATCTCCAGGTCAGCCAAGCTCGGAGAACCAATCCCGCAGCATTGAACTCGGAGCTTCATCATTTACCGTTGAGATCAATCGACCCATCTACACGTTCTGAGCGGCGCCCACGGCATTCTGCTACTGCCCATAGCGGGTTGTTAACCTCACATCTCATGACCTAAGCCCATCGTCACTCCGTTAGCGGCTTCGGAGACGCTATGGCCGACCCTGTAGAGATGGGCGAGCCGCCCGACGACGAGCCCACCTACGAGCCAAAGGACGCTATTGCGAAGACATGGAGCACATCTCTCAGGACGGGTACTGCAGGGCTTTTTATTGCGACTGTCCAGACCACCCTGGCGAGGAGGCAGTTGGGCGCGTTTGGGGTGTTTACAACATTCGGCAGCACAACGGCGTGGGCAGGTGAGACACCAGCACCACTGGCTTGGATCGACACACATACTGACTGCTTTCTAGCTGGTGCTGGAGCAGTATATGCGTTCACACGAACAGCGACGGCGAACCTGCGGCAGAAAGACGACCACTGGAGTGCAGTTGCGGGTGGTTTCTCTGCAGGTGCTCTGCTTGGGCTGAAGAGTATGTCCTTCATTCATTGTCATGGAGGATTTGTAATCTGACGCAAGGCAGAACGCACCTTTCCCGCCGTCCTTGGCAGGGGATTGTTCGGAGCGGCCGTCTTTGGGGTCTTGACCGTAGCACAGGGTCGGGTCTTTTCGATAGGCATGTCGGCGGAGGAGCGGATTGAGTACAAGGAGGTGCATAGACGGCGGTATAGGCGACCATACCAGGAATTGATCAATGAGATTGGAGAAGGTCGAGGTACGAATTGCCTGATCGACCTGCTGGGCTGTGGTTACTGACTGATGTTCCTAGGCTTCTACGGAGAGGGCTATGAGGAGCGGAGAGCTCAGAGATTGAAGGATAACTACGGTATCGAGGTCCAGCCACCTTACTACGAGCGTAAGAAGGCTGCAGGTATCGAGACGAGCGCACTATGAGGTGACGAGAGGGCCCTCAATACTGCATGGTTTCGCAGAACATGTACACGTAGCACTCACAAATTCGAGGCATCTGCATGACTTCAACGAACTTGCACAGGATGATGTCGCGCTCGTCGATTTCCTTTTGACTTTGTTGCGAATAGAGAGGCCAAAATGCTCGACTCATATATCAATACGTGCATCGGGCACCCACATATGGTATGGCAAGTACAAGGTATGTAGTCAGCAGGGCGATGCCAAGGCAGTCCTCGGGAGCACGGATGGCGCCTCAGGAGCCGGTGGGCACGCTTGAATCGACTCGATGCCTTATCACGGCGTCGTAGTCAGCAGAGCTCTGACTAGCTTAGCTCGACTCGAGTGCATGCGGTGTGTCTTCATAAGCCATCGGCTGAACTACACGTGTGGGAGATGAGAGACCCTCGCACGATAATCTGAAAATTGCACCCAGCCTGCCATTGCTGTTATATTTCACCTTGAGAGCTGCTGTTGAAGCACATGTCAAAGTTGTGCAACGACGTCAAAGCTCGAGCTATGAAGGTGCCTCACCGTAGTATACCGCCGCGCATGCATAGTGTGCAGGTGACCGATAACTTAACGAGCTCTAGGTCTGGGCTTATGCAACATGGCTCAGGTATGACCAACGCAAGATTGGACCGCGATGATCGCTAAGGAACGGTGTGCCGCCCAGAATTATTGCCAGTGTTAGCATTTCCGTAGCAGTAGCAGTCATGATGAACACGAAGACTCGAGGCAGATCCGCCGTGGCCGGCAGAGGCGCGCCTCGAATCCTGGGGTTGCATCCCACCTATCGAGGTCCAGCCCGGTCCTGCCTGCTACAGCTGACTACTACTGCAGAACAGATTCCTGGCAGAGCATTTGGCAACGGCAACTAGCTGAAAGTAAAAAGCAGAAACTCTCAAGCTCACTGCCGACAATGCCGACTGGATTCGAGGAGTCGAGTTGTCTGTGGCAGATTAGGAGGAGAAATAAGATGAGATGATGGGGAAAATCAATAGGGCCGACGTCATGCACTCTTGTGCTCCGTAGATCTTGTTATTCCCCTGCTTCATCGGGACAGCGCACCGCCTGAACCACCTTGACAACCTCTTCACAACTCTCTTCACACGACACCTGCTGCTGCTCGGCTCAGCTACCTTGCTCACCTGTTGTTGGAGCTTGCAGTAGGCTCCTCACACAGTCACCAGGCTGCTTTTCTTTGTCTGTATCTCTATCCAGAGCATCAGACGCACTAGCTACTTTGGTGTCGGATATCACAGCTGAGCGAGCATGTGCGTAGTGCGATAGTGTCCCGCAAAATCACCAATATCTTATCCTCACACCCGTACCTGCCACATAGCGGCCCGGCACCAAATAGCAACTTCCAATATGTCCCGGCCGCAAACTCCTGCATCGGGCATCTACGCTCCAGTCACTGAACTCGACCGAACTTCACAACCACCCTACCTGCAATCGGGCTCTCGACCTGTATCGTACACTGGCTCCGCTGCGCCCGGAGCGACCGGTCTCGAGAACGGCGCAGCAGGCGCTCCTCGTCCAGTCTCCGCCCTCTCACAAAATGAGGGCTTCCACGACGACCTGGCGTCTGTGCCTGGTACCGAACGGTCCGGCTTGCAGCGGAGTGCCTCACAATTGTCCAAGACCACACCGTCTCGCAGTGGTACGCTGAAGAAGAAGGCCTCGCTTCGTGGCAGTGCATTGAACAGGAGTGGAAGCCGCAAGAGCAGTTACGCTGGCTCCGTGCGCAGCATGAAGCTGGGCGAGAAGGAGAAGTACGAAACGGAAGAGAGCAATAGCGCTTTCTATTGTCCTATTCCCACGTCCGGTAACCCCACAGAGCTTCTTGCGACCAGATTTCAAGGTATGATACGCTCCAAATATCATTATAAATCGTTCTCAGCTAACAGTTCATAGCCTGGCGAAAAGTGCTCAAGGATTTAATCAACTACTTCCGCGACCTGCACAAGTCCTACGAAGTCAGAGCGAAGACGTTGCTGTCAGCGTCCAACGTCATCAACAACACCACGATACCCTCCAACTTCTTGACAAGTGGCGGACTCGGCGATGCCAACATAATACTAGGCGATTTCCACAAGCAGGCCGCCGCTGAGTCGAACAAAGCTAGAGACCTCGAGAACGAAGTCATCATCCAGTTGACTGGTCTGCGAAGCGATCTACAGCAGAAGATCAAGGAGATCAAAGGCCTCTCTGGCGACTTCAAGAACTCTGTCGACAAGGAGCAGGATGTGACCAAACGAGCTGTGAAGGCCTATCAGGAGGCACTGGGCCAGGTCGATCACGATGCTGGTGCGACATCTGGGAAAGGCGATCCGTATATCATCAAATTGGGTGTCGAGCGTCAGCTGAACAAGCAGATCGAAGAGGAGAACTATCTGCACCGCGTAAGTCTGGAACATCCTCACGGCTGGATCATACTGACAGATCACAGGCGTACCTGAACCTGGAAGCCTCTGGTCGTGAACTAGAGTCGATTGTCGTTGGCGAGATCCAGAAAGCATACACCGTTCTAGCAGGAATTATGCGACGAGAGGCTGATGCTTCGTACGACACAGCTGAGAAGCTTCGTGAGGGTCCGTTGACCATCGCTAAGGACATGGAGTGGGACACCTTCGTTACCAACAACAACCAAATGGTTGATCCTAGGAACCCTGTTCGCAACATCGAGCACATCACCTATCCCGGCAAAGATCACCCTGCTGCTCTAGAGGTCAGAAGTGGCATGCTGGAGCGGAAGAGCAAGTATCTCAAGAACTATACTCCTGGATGGTAAGTCTATTTCCTTGTCTCCTATTCCTGCTCTAACGAGTCTAGGTACATCCTGTCTCCAACCCACCTACATGAATTCAAATCTGCGGATCGCTTGTCGACCCAGTCGCCTGTCATGTCGCTATACTTGCCCGAACAGAAGCTGGGTTCCCAATCAGAGCCGGGTTCATCATCTCACAAGTTCATGCTCAAGGGACGCCAGAGCGGTTCTATGCATCGCGGTCATTCTTGGGTCTTCCGGGCTGAGACATACGACACCATGCAGGCGTGGTTTTCCGACCTGAAGGAGCTGACAGAAAAGACTGGAGAGGCACGCAACGACTTTGTCCGCCGCTCTCATGCACGCACTTTCTCAGGCAGCAGCATGAAGGCGCCCAGCATCACAAGCTCGGCCGACGCCATGGAAGATGATGAAGCTGACCGACAGGCATTCGCTGGAGAACAATCGATTCGAGGCAATTCAGTAGCAGAGGGCTTGGGTGCGGGACTCCTCGCAGAGGATGCACGATCTGAGGCAGGCTGGCGACCTCCGGCACAGCGACCGTCACCAGGTGGGCGCTTCCCATCTGATCTCAACGTGCAGCGAGGCTTACAAGCACCGGTTTCGCCGAGTAGTGAGGGCAATCTCTCGGACCGCGATCGAGACGCAATAGCCAATGCAGCTACCCTGCCAGGCAGTGCCATTCCATTCAGCAATACTGAGGAGAGGCACCCTGAGCTTCCTCAGCCAGGTCCGATCTCAGGTGCTCCAGCTGGACAGCACTACACTCCAGGTGTTCATCCTAATGTGGTCCCAACTTCAGTCGGCGCCATCCCAGGCAATCAATCGCAATACGGCGACTGGATGGCTCCTATTGCGGCAGGTGCAGGTGGTGCCGCCGTCGGTGCTGGTGTTGCACACCACTATGCCGAAAAGAATGACCGCCCCATTGTCGAAAACATCGATAACGTCGAGCGCCAGATGGATGGCGCAAGTGCTGTCCCAGAGTACGGCACCTCGTCTGCCCCGATCCCCGTCGTCACCGAAACCAGTGGCATTAACACTGCAAGATCGTCTGGTAATGCAGGCGCATCTAGCTTTGCCCCGACTGCGAGCTCGAACAACGATCTGTCGACTGTCAGCACTCAGGACACGGCGCCCACGGAGTACAGCAGCAGCAGGCCAGCATTCGGGAAGCAGCCTACAGCTAAGAGCGTGAGCACAATCAGCGACCTGCACATGCCGGGTGAGTTCCCACGACGGGCGTCGTGATCAAGGAACATTTGCGTGCATGTGAACATTATCGTTGGTAATGGTTTGAGAATTTGATGTCAAGTGGTAAAGAGAACGTCCCGGCAAACGTCCACAGTTGCCACACGATTGATAGAGGCACGGGCCAATCTGCTTTTGAGCGCCGTGATGGCACAGGGCACGCCTCGACTGGATAATGTTTGCTTTTGTCTTGCATCTGGACACGGCTTTTGGGGAGCAAGATACCACAGTCGTCTTAGTGTACAGCGGCGGAGCTTGATGCTGATCAGAAATTGTACTTAGTTCTGCTGTCTTGACCACGCGCAACGGCATCATCGTCAGCCCCTATGGACAGTAGTTTCTCGTGACCACTTGTCGAGACTCGCTTGTCAAGCCCTTTGAACAAGTCTTCCTTTGGCCACACCAATTACGACTCTCCCATTTCCTCTTCACTTTAGCTCCCCTTGCCTTGCCTTGCCTTGTCAGACGGCGACACCCTCTCTCAAGCCCCACAAAACGACCTCGCGCTTCGCCCGTCGCAGCTCTTTGCGCACACGGCCCAGACTCTGCGTGTTGGTGCGCATGCTCGCTAGGTGGGTGCGGAGTCCTTTCGTCAGAGCTTGTAGGTCTGCGTCCGCTTCGACCTCCTCGCTCCCCAACAATAGTTCCGACCCATCGATCGCATCTTTCGTGCGTGACCGCGCTGTGTTCGCTTGTGCGTGAATCCCTTCATCGTTGTCGTCATCCGTATTTTCTGCCTTGCTCTCCTCGTCGTCGACATCGCGAGCGAGTGGGTGAACACGTCCCTCACGCTCCTGCCTCCGCCCCTCCGTCTCCGCTGCACGCGAGTTCGTCTCCAACGTGCTCAGCTCCGCCCGATCGCGTCTGAGGTCAGCCTCCTCACGCCGGATCTGCATGCGCAGCAGCTTTGCGGATTGTGTTGCTTGTGTAAGTTGGTGCTGGAGGGTTTGAGTGCGGTTGAGGGTTGCTTCTAGGGAGAAGTCGATGTCTGAGGGTTGCTGTTGGGCTATTGACGAGGTTTTGCGGCTGTTGCGGGCCGAGGAGGATCGTGGTGGAGGGAACGTCATTTTCGGAACCGCCTTGGTCAAATTCGTGATAAGTTTGGTGGTCGCGGTGGTGTAGTCATCGTCTTCCACCGTAGAGGGTAGTTTCCAGGTAGCATTTCCGCGGCGCCTCTTGTGAGCCGGTCCTTCGTCTTGTAGCGAGGCGAGTGGCTCGGACTGTATGGCGAGGAGGAGGGTCTTGATGCGGTCTTGCGTGTTGGTGGGGAGGGGTTTCCAGGATTTGCGGACGCGCGAGGCGGGGATGGAGAGGGTTCTGGGGGAGAGGCGGGGATAGTCGTTCCGCTGAGCTGGCATGGTTTCGAAGATTGTGTGCTCGGGCGGGTTGGGTGGTGTCAGTACCGTCGTAGCGTGTTCATTGCTGCCAAAGTGTGAGTGCCGGTGTTTTGACGCGATCATAGGCACGCCCGAAGACGCGACTCGAAGGTTGTACGGCGGGCGAAAAGCTACAAGTGCGAAAATCTCCCCCGTGGCGTTGTGGTGTGTTGCTGACCAGATGGAAGTCTGTTTTGGGAAGGTGACTTGCCTTAGCTGGAATAAGGAACCCCCTGTCAGACAGGTCCTTCGACGTACTTGGGTAGATATTGCCCTGCTTCACGTCATCAACGAACCTTGTCTGACGTGCCACGAGAGTCAAGGCAGACCGTAGCAGTAGCACGCCAATTACTTTATGCTGGCGCCATCGGAGGCTGTTGGCGTGGTCAGATCTGGCGCTAGCCTACTCAGTCTACCTTTCGAAATTCGAGCCGCGATCTATAGAACAGTCTTCCATGATTTCCGCGTCATATGGCACTACCCGGTCGCACACTTGAGCTCCAAAGGCTCACTTGGCCTGATCCCGAGTCACTGCCACCTAGATGACGGAGCCTGTGAATGCACAATGACAGACGGTCGCGGCCAGCAACCTGGTACCTTCGCCCTGGCCACCGCCATCACACGTACCTGCCGTCTCTGCCGCGAGGAGTCACTGTCACTACTCAAGCAAGGCGGCACGCACTACTTCGACTTCAATGAACTAATCAACATTCCCATTGGGCACCCTTTCTTCGACACAGTGAGCAGACGCCACGTTGTTATAAGGCAGACTTCACGGCAAGATGGCTTGCTTGAGTCAACCGAGCACTTGCTTGCGCGATTTCCGAAGCTCTCGACGTTGCGTGTCATTCTTCCCGACGTTCATGCGGCGAGTTTACGCGGTTATGGCACCTTTGAGAACCTTGTGCGGAACCCGAAGCTGAGGACGCGGCTGTTGCAGCTGATTGAGCATCAGACTTATATCAATACTTTCTTTGACCAGTCGTCGTACCTTATCGGCGAGGCTCTGAGAGAGACGATCGAGAAGTATGCTGGCTGCTGGCGGCCAGGGGTGCATATACAGGGGCGAATAGATCTGCCCAGAAGCCAGACCGCATTTGGTCCTGTTAATTTGCAGGAATTTGGCGACAGCTACATTGATTTGAATCTGCTGCGTGGCACACGCGCTGTACAGCCGGATGAGGTCCGGTTCTTGACCTATCGTGTCAATGTGGTGACCGGCGAGAAGAACATCACCTCTGATGACGGGACGGAGTTTCGCCTGGCTGGCTTGCGTGATCGGACTGCGGATGAGGCAAGGAGCACGAGGTGCTCTTTTGCGGATCTGATGGCTATGGACAGCAGTCCGATATGCATTCGCTATGCGCCTAGACTGGCTTGACCTGTGATTTAACGCTCAGTCAGAGAACAGAAGCACTTATTGACGTGCAACATACTTGGAATTCGTCCACGCTTTCCGACCTATCGAAGCTTGTGGAGCACTATGATGGGTGCTAAGCTCTTGAGTGCGCCGGAACCATTCATTACGACAATATGGCAATGCATTGGCTCAATGACTAGCTCAGAAAGCCCATTGACTCCTGCCTGGCAAACATGCATCTAATCGATCTAAGCACGTTAAAGTGCAACCATCTCGCCGCGTTGTAAGGGATGCTCGATCGTGCGCAATCGCCACCACTGTGACAGTCGTCCAGTGACTGCCTGCTGGATCTAAACTGGTTCACGGAAAGCGCATTGCGGAATGGGTCTTGGCGGTTACCTTGCTACTGCCTTGTGCAGTGACAGCATCGCTTGCCTGCAATTTTGGAACCTCCTGACTTCGCAAAATTGATTCTCCGGCTGCCTTCGTTGCACCTTTCGACTGACCAAACATCCAATGGTCAATCCGATGCACAATACCGCGTGATCAGCTGCACGTTGAAACCATGCCAGAATCAATCCCATCCGTCAGAGGTCTCGCCTTCGTCGACGTCTTTCCTGCCGAAGTCCGGCTACTAATTTGGGCCTTTGTCTTCGAAGACAAAATTTTGGTGTCGGACGCTGCGCTTTAAACATCATCTCAGACGAAAAGATCCTCGTTAGACGCATCCCTGCCGAGATTATCTCAAGGTACACGAACAATCACATAACGCCCAAGTCGAACGCGCTGTCAATCTTGCAGCTATGTCGAGAAATCCGTCAAGAGGCATTGCCACTCTTCTTCGACAAAGTCACGTTCGATTGCGCTGTGGATGAGTTTGGTAGCTTTCCGGATATATCAGCGCCACTATGGAGTCGTCTGAGGACGCTGCACATCCGCAACTACCCCATGCCAGTGTATGACGACTTTATCGACCCGTACATCAAAGAGAACTATTGGATGCTCGGCGAAAGGCTCTTCCCAGCTGTGCCGCTCGCCTTCCCTGCCTTGCAACATCTTATCATCTCTGACGATTATGCAGTGCCGGTCATGGATGTTCACGGAATATGGAAGTTTACTACTGGCTTTAATATTGACGATCTGTTGCAGATCATGGATGACCGGACGATCCATGAGCATCCGCTGCGCGTTTTCAAGCTCTGTCTTGAGGCTTTGGTCAGCAGATTGCGCAAGGAGGCGAGCCGTAAGACGCATGACATCCGCAAAGTCACATACAACGCCAGGCTTAGGACGTGCATCCACGAGCCGCTCTCATCTGGCCCTGGATGCGAAACTTGTTCGACAGAACAGCATACCACGGTACGTCCACAGCATAGAAGTTTCCGTGCTTGTTGATGGTCCCGCTAATTATATCCAAGTACATGAGAGCCACTCTCGGGGGTGGCGAGAGCAGCATTCCCGTCGATTTGAGAACTACAATGTCGATCGATCAGTACTGGCGGCTGATCGCCACCAGCGATGAAGGGGTTATCACTATCAACAAGGATGGCGAACATAAGGATGTGCCCCTGAAAGAGCTGAAATGGGATCGGTCACGCAATCCATAGGCTTCTCCTGCAGTCTGGCTTTCAAGGACTCCTGTGGCGTCTCAGCACACAGTCCGCCCTCCCCGTTGTCAATGGGTTTGGAGCTCCACGGAGGAATGCTTGCATTGAGCTCGCTCCTTTCCAGTTGGGTACCAAGTTCTCAGTTCGAGCTGACAGTCATTGTATACACTAGCATCCGTATTCACGAATTGCAGTGCGTGCGATACGTCTCTCCATGAAAAGCTACCGCACCCATACCAGTTTACATCAATCTCGAGGCTCCGACGGGGCGAAAGCTCGTAGGTGCAAAACCGCTACGCTGCTGATACGTCTTTTAGCCGGGCGACGCGCTCGAATGCACAGGGGACTATTCTGAATAGCCCGGCGATGTCCCGATCCCCGCGGGGTGAGGCTCAACAGATAGTGGCTCCACTCACTACTGGAGATCATAGCTGGGGCCTGCAGGGATGTGGTAAGTCATGCTTGTTGCTCCTTACGTACAACTCGACGTTTTTGATCGCCCAAGATGTGATACTTCGATTGAGCTGCTTGATCTAACCAACACTGACCGTAGCTATCCTCACATCGTCGACATATTGACTCCTTTCCCAGGCTCAGTCCCAGACAAAAATCGCAGCGCGCAATGTAATCCTTCTAGCACTCCTTTCAGCAGCGGTCAATCTGAGCATCGCTCTACAGGTTTCTGACCCGGATCTCCCAAGAGCCCAGCATCCCTGTAGCCGGGCACGCAACCATGGGATATAAGGTGCACGGACCACCATTTGTTTCCCAGGTATTCCCCACATTGCACTTGTGTCACGGATTGCTGGCTAATGCTGAATGTCTTCGCCCGTCCCGAAACCCGGAGATGCTCCGATCTCCCCGTCTACTCCTAATGTACGCGGAGGACTGTGCTGAGGTGGCTGTCAACCGCAAGACATCATCGACGCGCTGTCAGATCACAGTGCTGACATCAAGCAATCATCCGTAGATAGACGTCAGTTGCACGGGGCTGCAGAAGTCAAACTGTTCTTATGTCGAGTCCGGTCTTCTTGTGGTCCGGGGATTGTCATGGACACTCCCCTGGAGCACAAGAGCGGTCCTCACAAAAGGTGACTGTGCGCCTCAGGCTCGTCGGCAGTGTCTCTTGCGTGTGTCTATTACCCTTCTCGATCCTCCGCTTCGAGGATGCGATTTTATCCGGCTTCATGAACTTGCATCAAGCTCACCAGAGAGAAACTCCCCTGTCCTGCTGAATCCAAGGCATCGAGCTTGTTGTCGGATACGTCTGAATCGAGACGGCATGTCATCGGCGCGCAAGCACCCTCCAGTGTGAGCAGGCGTAGGCAGCTGGTGTATAAATACCTCCTCAGCCATCTCCTTCTCTGAACCGCAACTTTCCACCAGCAAAGCCAAAAGCATTCGACTCAAAAATCAAACTCAGCCAGCCAGACAACAGGCCTTCACCACAAATACATCACCAACCCCATTCTCTAAAGCAACATCATGAAAATCTCCGCCACCGCCCTCGTCGCCCTCCTCTCCGGCACGACCGTCATGGCCTCCTGCCTCAAGGACGGCTACTGCGCCGGTGCCATCCGTGGCGCTCAGAGGTGTGATAATGACTCTGGCTGCACCTTTAAAAAGGTACGTGCTTCTGTTGGGAAAAGCCCCTTTCTCCTATCCTGCCTTACTTCGTTTGATGCTTTCTGTCCGCCTCTGTGGGGTTCTTGTCTCAGACTCATGATGATGGATATGACTGTCGAGTTACTGTGCTTGTACCGCGAGCTGACGCTTTGGCCTATTGGCGATGTAGTATGAGTGTGGCGGTTATGGGACGCCACAGTCCGGGTATATTTGGGTTGAGCTGAAGGATGGGAACGGGAACCCGATTGGATGCTAGGCTCGGAAAGGAGAGCCGGCTTCCGGGGTGAGGTACGAGTGGTTGGTGCTGGCTTGGTTCGTTGGTGAGCGGATTCGAGTAGTTGCGGGGGCACGTTGCGGCCTGTGATGTGCATTTGTTGGGGTCAATGCTGTTTTGTACTCAGTAGACTGTTGTTCGGAGTCGTTGTCAGTTCGTCGAAGCTGTGAATACTGGGACACTCCCCAGAAATGCAAAAAGCAATGAGAGTAGCAGCACCCAGAATCGAACTAGGATCTCCAAACGAGGATTTTACCCTGACGTGGCCCGTAGCCACAGCCCTGCCTCTCGATGTGTTTGCCATTGGTGCCATGCTGCTGAAAATTATCTGTTGAAGGTATTCTTCTGATTCAGTTCGCTGAGCAGATCTCGAGAGATGCGACTATATATAAATTTGTGAGAGCCAGTCACCCACGGCAGTAGGTATAGTGAATAATCCGTCGTAGCAGGTCAACACAACCTACTCTCAAAAGCGCAGAAAAAAGAGAAAGAAGACGTAGCAGCACCCAGAATCGAACTAGGATCTTCGCACGAGGGGACAGTGTCCAAGGAGAGGTGGCCGAAGCCACACCCTGACCACGATATTGATGTGTTTGCCGTTGACACCATGCTGCTGAAATGCTTGTGTTCACGGATGGTGTTCGAGCAGATTTTGCGGTCCACATGTATATGTAGTTTCGATGGAGTCACAATGGTGGTGGCGAACAGCTCTGCTGTAGCAGATTCGCAGAGACGTTCCTCGAGTCAGAGACGTTTCGGCAGCAGCGTGACTTCACAGTATGTCGACCAACACCGCCAACCTCGTGGGTAAGGAGCGGCCTGCGAGATGAAGTGAAATGAGCGGCCGGTCGTATTATAGATCAAGTTGCGAAGGTACTCAATATCACAGGTGGCTGTCTAGGTAAGAGCGAACGCGATGCGTTCGTTTAGACTTTCCGCTCCACCTAGATCTTGGCACAGGCAAAGTGCAGGAGAAATCCTGCACAGTTGACCTCTGGCCATCTCCAGGGACTGTTCGCGTGCTTCTACGCAGATCAAGAGAATTGTGCTGGCAACATATCGATGGTTACGAAGGCAAGGCAAGCGACAGGCGTAGGAGCTTACAAGGCTACCTGACACTGCTAGGCGATTTCCCTGCCAGCCCTTCCACGTTGGCAAGAAACTCTACCACATAGCAAATGCCTGCCTCCAAAGCTGGAGTCTTGCTTCCGCTACATGTATCCTGTTGGTTTGGCCCACTGTCGTCTCCGGACGTGTGTCAGTCGCCCTCCTCCCGGCAGGAGCGCATTTGCGAACTCCTAGACCACCGTGGGTTGTTCCCAGCGAGATCTTGTCTGCAATATGCACACCTCATTTCTCGAGTCGGTGCTCAATTTCGGGTCCCGCGAACATGCCTCACCATCACTGGTGGTCTTTCTCTATCTGCGTCCTCTTCACCTCTGTAGCTTTGCGCCTGCGGTTGGCAGCTACTGCTCACCTATCCCCGAGATAGTGGGACATTGCTGCTAATTGTCGTGTTTGGGACGCGTTCATGTTTACAGCACACCCTTTTAGATGCTCGGCGGCATGCTCGGTGGTTTAGACCATGTCCAGACGAGCTAGCCAGCATTATCGAATTTCTGTGATTTTGCTCGGGTCTTCTTTTTCTTCTTAGAAGGACCAGCTGACGAGGCATTCGAATTCGAGTTTGGGGCCGAGACCCTACTAGCAAGCGGGTTGAGGTTTGGATTTGAGCCTTTCCTGGTTGGCAAGGTCATGGTCGGCCACTGTGGCTGGTCCCGGTCTGGTGAGGCGGGCCTGCTGTTGTAGCCGCTGTTGTGGTAAGAGGGAGGGTACGAGCGATCGTCGGGTCGGTACGAATTGTAGGAGTCGTAAGCAGGTGGAGGGGGACCTCTTCGAGGTGGAGATGGTGGTCTGTTCTGATATCCAGAATCGAATCTTCGAGGCGACCGCTGTCTGTCAAGTCCTGGCCGGTAACGATCGCTGGCAGCATTCTTCGGTGATCGAGAACGGCGTGCGCCAAAAGAGTCCGTGGCGTACCACGATGACCGCCCTCGAGCATCGCCATTGTTTGGTAGGTCTCCAAATCGTGGCTGTTCGCGTGTCGGCCCGAACTGAAAATCGGGTACACGTCTTGTGGTGGCTCCAGGTGCCTTCACCGTTGGACGTATGAACTCTCCATCTTCGGACGATTCACCGCTGTACACAGCATGACGAACGTCAGACTGGCCCCGTATCTGCAACCCAGGCGGTCTCATATTTCTGTTGGCAGCATCGAACTCTAGTGTCTGCATACCTGTTTCGAGACTTCGGTTGACATACTGACCCGGCTTGAGGGATTTCAGGGACCATCTTGCAGCGGCAGCTCGGTCTGCCTCTGGACAATCTCCTACGAGGTGTGACTTCGAGGCGCAGATGCAGCATGAGACCCACAGACGCACCGGTCCTCCTGCTGTAGAACTCAGTTCTGACTTTGGGAAAAAGCGTTGATTGCAATCCGCTTCGACGTGAGACAGATTATTACATATATCGCAGGGCACAGTCGTAACCCTGAGGTCAGATATGCATTCAGCCAATTGGTGACCAGGCTGACGACATCTGGAGCAGCGAGCGACCTTTTGACATCTTTTGGAAGAGTGCCCATCTAGACTACAGTGCTCGCAATCATTCTCAGGGCACTGGTCGGACATGTGACCTTGCTCGAGGCATGTCAAGCACGTAACGGGGCGATTGAGGTCTATCTGGTCGCGTTCGAGGTGGAAGAGGGTATACCGGATCTGGTCCTCCAGCTCGTCGTTATCGAGATCTTCTAGCCTCAAACCAGATGACTGAGGTGGTGGCGGAGGTGGAGGCGCTTGAGACAGTGGAGGTGGCGGAGGAATGGCTGTGTTGACATGCTCGCCCTGAATTTGTGCCTGGCGACTCTGCAACATCTTTGGTTTGGCGGCGTCAATGTTGACAATCATGCCGCCATCCTCGTTATCCGACACTGAGGAAGATTCGTCCGAGGACGAGATCTCGATGGGTTCGTTGTTACTCGGTGAGTCTGTGGAGGTGTTGTTGTTGGGTACTTGTACTTGCGCTACAATCGTCGCAGTGTTGTCTACTGCAGTCTGACGCGGCGCAAAACCTGATGCTAAGCGGTTCTTCCCAAAACTTGAAGCCATGTTGGCAGATTGTGGGCTGTCTTGGGGCGTATCTTTTGCGGAAGGATCATCTACGTTAGTAGCGGCAGAGGGATCAAGATAAGCAGCAGACTCGGAGAGAGTGGCACCTGCTGACAGAGCCAACTTCGCCAGCCGCTTCTTCTCGCGTTTGCGGGCTCTCTTGCGCTTTGGTTTCAAAGGTGAGTTCGAGGCAGAGGATTTGGCACTGGCATGAGAACTTGCTTGCGCAGCGACATTTGCTGTGCGTGAGTCATCATTTGACCCGCCATCACTATCGCTCACCATGGCTACTCTCAAGTGACAGGTAGATAGTTCATAGTCAAGAACCTTCGAGGACGCATCAGAATATTGGAGTGCGAGTCCCCCTCGAAGTCATGTCATGTTTAAGTCGAGGATCCCAGCCCTAACCCTAAGCTCGTGTCATGCAGCTTGACGTGATGTCGGTTCAGGTTCCTGGGATGTGGCAGCCCGCCAGAAGTGTCTCACTCATTCACTCGGCAGACCTCAACATAGACCCCCATTAGATAGGCTGCACCATTGACATTAACGACCGTCCAGTGATACAATTGTCTCCGTCATATTCTTCATCCACCTTCGGAACCAGCATTCGCCTTCTTTTCTTCGCCGCCTGCAGGCTACCACATTCTACAGCCACGCGACCAGCTCGCAAATAGCTGCCACAGTGGGTTCGTCTCGGCCTGAATATAATCAGCAATTCGGTTTCATTGACAACCACCCAGCATCCTCTCTTTGACATCTCAAGAATCCATGTCCTCCGTCACCCTCCAGCGCACCATCTCTTTCCAAGCCGATACGAAAGACCCATCTTCTGAGTCCACCTCGTACGAGCCGGGAAACATGAGCACAACCAAGACTGGCCGACGGCGTCGTTCTAGCAGTATAATATACCAGGAGCCACCGGAGTCGCAGGAACAACTGGCAGATCAATCGGCGCTGCCGAATCTGAACTCACAATGGTCAATGCAAAAGGTAGGCTCCCCAGGCTCGCCTTCTCATGCAGAAGCTGACAACGAGACAGGTGCCTGGACAATACATCCAGTCCTGATCCTGTTACTGAAAGTCCTGTTCGATGTGATGCCCGGAATGACACAAGAAGTATCCTGGACGTTGACCAACATCACCTACATGGCTGGCTCATACCTCATGTTCCACTACGTCCGTGGCATCCCCTTCGAATTCAACGCGGGAGCCTATGATAACCTCAACATGTGGGAGCAGATCGACAATGGGGATCAATACACGCCAGCGAAGAAGTTTCTACTCTCAGTGCCCATTGTGTTATTCCTCCTCAGCACCCATTACACCCATTATGACTTGACTTACTTCACCGTCAACTTCATGGCATTGATGGCGGTCGTCATTCCGAAATTGCCACAGTTCCACAGAGTCCGGATCGGTATATTCTCACAGCCGGAAGATTGAGGGCGCAGGGTTCGACGGAGGAGCGCCTGGCAGGACGACTTGATTCTGCCAGGAAGAAGAACTTCGGCATGTGATTAGCCACATTACAACTTGAATACAATCTTTCAGCAACTTCTACGTCACTTTGCTTCATGAATTGCATGCTCGTCTGCCGCTCGTCAGATTCGATGAACGACCACCATGAATCGCGTTCCTTCTCCAGTCAAGCAGTTGTCAACCGGTCTGATCTAAGCTCCGAATAAGCCCGCACATATAAATGCTTGACATTATGATCTCCAGACCACCTGGACAGTAGACACTCAAGACCGCGTCTTCCGCCCAGAGTCGCTATCTGAAATCCCCTCGACAAGGACATCTTCATGCTATCACTACAGCGTCCATTCTTGTGGAGGCAATGGCGCTCGACTCAACTTCCCAACGAACAACCCTAGCATTTATCGCTGGCGCCTCCTTGGCACTACTCGCCGTGACTTATACTCCTCTGGCCGCACTGCTCAGCAAGAATGACCACCAAGACAGCAAAGGAAATCCATCTCGAAACGCCCCGCCTTCCAGCTCTCGTCCTCAAACCCAAGCACCACCACAGCCCGCCTCTTCCCTTGCCAACACAATAGGAAACACCCCCCTAACACTCCTCCCAACCCTCTCCCGCCTCACCCAGTGCTCAATCTACGCCAAACTCGAGCTCCTCAACCCCGGCGGCTCCCCGAAAGACCGCGTCGCTCGCTCCATCTTACACTCGCTGCAGCATCCTTCGTCCACTAACACCCCACCACTGGCGCCTGGGGACACGATCTACGAAGCACCGTCGGCTCAACTGGTATTTCGCTCGCTACACTCGCACGGAGCCTGGGTGTAGCTTGCCATATCTTCATGCCGAGCGACCAGAGCCGCGAGAAGAACGATTTGTTGGAGAAGTTGGGTGCGAGGGTCAGTAGGGTGACCCCAGCACCGATAGTGGATCGGAGGCACTTCGTGAATCTAGCGAGGAGGCGAGTGTGTGGCATACGAAAGCTTTCGAGGAGGGAGTCAGGGGAGAGGTCGAAATCTTCGCCGACATACCGGCACTTCTCAAGCGGCAAAGCGGCGAGGGCAACGATGACGACGCCGGCTCTACGAAACATGATCCCGACGCCAAGTCAGATTCAATCATAATCAACATAACCGGCCGCGCCCATTTCGCGAACCAATTCGAATCCCCAGCAAACTACCGCGCGCACTACCACACAACAGGTCCCGAGATATACACCCAGATGGATGGTCAAATCGACGCCTTCGTCGCTGGCGCGGGCACGGGTGGGACGATTTCTGGCGTTGGGTTGTACCTCAAGGAGAAGACCCACCGTCCGCCCAGAGTTGTCCTCGCCGACCCCACTGGCTCCGGGCTTTACAACAAGGTGAAGCACAATATCTTCTTTTCGCCCACCGAGCGCGAGGGGACGCGCCGACGCAGCCAAGTCGATACGATAATCGAAGGGATCGGTCTTACGCGGAGTACATTCAATTGGCAGGTCGGCGACGACGCAGGCGTTGTCGATGATGCAGTGCGTGTAACGGACGAGGAAGCGAGGAGGATGGCACGGTGGTTGTGTTGGAGGGAAGGGTGGTTTGTGGGGGGCAGCAGTGCTGTTAATTGTGAGTCAACGCCTTGCTCGCCTCTCTGTGCCTTTCTGGTTTGAGGAGGACTTTGTTGGTGCCGGTGATGGTATCGTCCGTAGCTACCTGACATTGTATGGCTACTGACTATCCTGGAAATACAGGCGTCGCAGCCCTCCGCACGGCCCTCGCCCTCGGTCCCGGCCATCGCATCGTAACCATCTTCTGCGACAGTGGGATGCGACATCTATCGAAATTCTGGGCTGGGATTGACCCGGCTGACTCCTCCGCGATTGGTGACGTTGGAGAGGCGAGCATGGCGGAGCTCGAGGAGATCTTGGCTGCTGAAACTGGTGGTGATTGATTCTGTTGAGTATGTCTCAGTGTATACTGAGGCGGGCTCTGACCGAACCGAATCGGGCCTACCAAGCTGGGGAGATCACAGAAACATGGCTCTGTGCCGCAAGTGCTAAGTGCTGCCAGCGCCCGATATGTCTGCTGCGGCGGCTGACGGTCTCACGATGGCCGACACGTCCAGTCCCGCAAAGACGACCGCCGTCTGTCCACCACGAGATTTCGGAGCAGCATTTGCGGCTTCTTCGTCGAGGAAAATGCTTGCGGACAAATTGGCGGTCTCAGCAGCACTACTGGCCATTGCTGGCCTCTCATCGACATCACTAGCACCAGTCTCAGCAGTTCCCGGACGTCCCTCGTCAGCATCCGGCTCACTAGGCCACCGATACCACTCCGGCCTGCAGTACCTTCCGCGCCGTTGCCGCCAGTGCCTATACATCGTGCTCTTCTGGCTGAACCACTTTCCACAGCCCCGGACCACCGTCTGACGCCCAGGACTCATTTGTCGGCACTGCACCTCGCCTCCCTTCTTCCTCCCACCTTCAAGCTCCTCGAAACCTTCCGCTTCGGGTCCAGCTACCCGTGTCCGCCTCCTGTTCTCAGGCTTCTTCATCCGATCAAAGCCCTCCTTCAGGCAGGCTCTCTCGGTGGCCTTCCAATGCCGCAGGACTGCATCACGCTGCGAAAAGATCCTGCCGCAGCCGCGCCATGCGCCGGTCTGAGGATTTTGCTGGCGGCATACGCGTTGGCTGATGGGTTCAGGAGGGTGTTTGCGCTTGGAGTTCTCGTAGAACTCAGCGAAGGTGGTAGGAGGTAGGGCGACGTCGAGGCTGCCAGGAGATTGGTCGAGGTGAAGGAGGTGTAAGGAGCGGGCGTGTGGAGGCTTGGTGAGCGGGGCAACGGTCTTCGGTTGTTGCTGGTGGTGGTGAGGGTGAGATTGTTGCGAGTGGCAGAATTCGTACAGCCACCACTCGGCAAGACGGTTGCCGATGTCGAATTGACGGAAGTGTGGGAGGCGGCGTTTGATGGTCTCCATGAGAGTGTGGTCGTTCAGGCTCAGCTGCCGTAGGAGCATCTCGTCCTCCTCGGTCCAGACTACTTCGGGTAGTATGCCTCGCCAGGAGGGACCGACCCGTGTACGGTAGCTGCGGTAGTGATCGGACATTCGCTCTCCGACGGCCTCCAGGCCGTGCCCGTGGACTTCGTGCATAATGACCAGACTTTTGAAATCCGCGACGTTGAAGTGGTACACGGCTTCGAAGGCGTCTGAGTCGGAGCCGGAGGTTTCTTCAGCGTGGTTCTCGGCGAAGAGCATGTCAAGCTCGTCTGCTTCTGAAGGAGTGCTGGAGATGCGGACGGGGCCGAAACGGTCGTTCAGGTCGACGTCATCGCCGAGTTCGTGAACAGAAGCTCTTTCGCTATCGTCGCGGGGGTGACTGCCGTCGCTGGGGTCCAGCGGCCCATCGTCGGCTTCGCAATCTGATGTGTTATCAAAATCTGGGAAAGGTGGGAGGTCGTCGCCAGCGTCGACAGGCTCTGGCGAACACCGCACCTCTTCTGGTGTGTGGTACTGCTCTTCTGTCTCCTCACCATTGGAAATAGTTTGGCGCGTCTGGCCCCAACGAGTCAGAGACTCTGAGACTGCCCTGACAGCCGAGGTCGCGGCGCTTATAGCTTGATCAAATGGTACAGGAGCGCGGGAATTATCTGCTAGCACGGCTTCTGACTCGCATAGCTGGCTCTTCTTCTTTATTCTGGTCGTGCGCTTTCCAGGTTTCGTGGCGGTCTCTTGTACGTCCAGAGCAGTCCTCGATTGAGAAGATGCTGGGCTCAGTGGCAGGACCTCTACTGTTGTCCTTTTCTGGGATCTCCGAGGGCGCAGAGATAAATGCGATCGCTCCTGCTGCTGATATCTTTTGTTCTTCCAATTGCGATCACGGTAATCTCGATCGCCGTTACGATCAAACGGATCAGCTGTCTCCTTGAAGGCTGGATACGGAGTCGCAGCAGGCGTTGAGGTGGGCAGCTCATCGGCATCCGTTTCAGCCCTTCGAAATGAAGAGCTTCCTCGGCGGCGGCGAGCAGAGGAGCCTTGGAAACGGAGCATGAGATCGGCGCCGTCGCTGTCAGGTGTCGTTCGCCCACTGATGTTAGGGACGAAAGGACTAAGACCCAGCTCCGGCTCATCGCTGTCTGGTATCTCCAAACTTCCTGCTCGACTTGCCAAGGGGGACACTGGGTCCATGTTGATGCGGCCGGGTTCGGCAGGTGACTGTTGTTCTTGTTCGAGCTCTTCTTCGCTGTCACTGTGCACGTGGCCAGCATCGGCAAACAAGTCGTCCTCGCTGTCGATGTCCCGCTCGACGCTGTCATAGACGACCCTAGCGTCTAGTTCGTCGTTTTCTCCACAACTGGATTCGGGCTCATGCTCGTTGGACCCGTCTTCGACGACGTCAAGCAGAGCCTTCACACTGTCTGTTGTGTGCACACCTGCACCAGACTCTTGCTCACTAGCAGCAGCCAGCATGTTGCGTAGATGTCCCATTGCCGCGCCAGTGCTATAGAACTGCTCTTTGCAGAATGGACAGGTCCCCCGATTAAGGAGACGTTTGCCGCGATCGAGGCTGATCTCAGCGACGCGTACCTCCACTTGGCCACCTGCACCAAAACCGTCTTGCAGAGGATCTTCTGATTCCGCTCGAATCACGCGCATGGTTCGCTCCTGGTGGAGCTCAAGTCTGCGATTGCCCTGCAGACCTAAGCCCCATATCGAAGTGCCTTGCCTTGGAGTTGCAGGACTTGTTGCGAGAAGTGCTGATTCGGCTTCCTGCTTGTCTTGCTGAATCGCGGAGTCCATCGCTTGCTCGATGTGAACCGGAATGCGCCAAGCTCTTTCGATATGCAGTTCTGCTTTGTCACGTTTCTCAACCAGGCTCAGTATCTCTTGCCCTACCCCTTCACCAAAGCGTGCTATAATAGCATCGTGATCGAGCTCCCCTAGATCGTTGAGGAGGTCTGCCCTCGTACGACCATCGTCCATCGGAGTCACAGAGCTCGCGACCTCATCATGCTCGAACAATGAATCTGGTGTTGACTCCCTTCCGTCGTCCGCATCAAACAACGAGTCCGCGTCGGACTCAGCAGCCGGGATGGGGTCCTGTATGCTCTGATCGAGAGGCCTAGTCGCAAATTCCACCGAAGTTTCGCGTAGATGTTCCGGATCAACATTCTCCTGATCATCATCGTTGTCAATGTCGCCCTCGTCGTCTGTTTCCGACTCAGCGTCGTCATCTGCCCCTTGGCCATTCTCGTCACTGTCGACTTCACCCGTGTCCCCAGCTCCGGCAAGATCGGGAGTCGTTACATCATTCTCGTCAACGTCTTCCTTACTCGCGGCGGCCTCGGCAATAGTTTCGATGCTTTCTATCACTTCTCCGGCGTTGCCATTCTCGAAGTATGCATTTCCCCGGTCTGGCGCGACGGTCATGGCACGAAGCATGGCTCGACCACTTGCGATGGGTCGAGATCTTCTGGGAGTGACAGCAGCCTTGACCGATCTCGGAGATTGCTCACCAACCGACTCGTCAGCTTCACTTCTAGTGTCGGCATCTTCGTCGAGTCCGTCCAGATGGCCATTGTTGACCAGAATCTCTCCGGTTGATAAGTCTACCTCGTCGCCAATGCCAGAGAAGTCGCGTTCGTACTTCTGAAAGATGGCCTCGAATCGGCTTTTGAGGAATCGATCATTGTGATGGCGAGCAGTGTCGAGATCAGCATTGGGCGTTTCATCTGCAAAAAGTGATAGTCGAGGCCGCTTCAGAGGTGGCTCCATGGCATGTCCGGCTGTCGTATAAGGCTGGTGGCCGATGTTGTCCATTTGTATCTCGAGCCTGATGAAGGCGGAGTTTCATGCATGCAACTACGATGAAAAGGGCAAGTACGCGCTCAATCAGCACGCGTTGTCACTGCCCCACGTAAGTCTTGGCACAAGATCATGCGTCATTTGAAACATCGAACTTCAATCGCAACTTCAGATTGTAGTTGAGAAACACCCGTCACAACCCAGCATTTCACCCAGAGCACTCCAATTGAGCAAGAGCGATGCTCGAATCGAGTGGAGTCGAGGATTTGTCGCCACGAAAGGTGTGCTGGCAGGATGTACTGCCAAAAATGCCGAACGCCGCTGAAGGTGGACAGTTCCTTAGATGATCTCAACCCAGCCGCGTTCGATCTCTTAGTCGGTGAGACTCCTCTTGTCTATCAGTGTGACCACTCGCTGACCACCGTCTAGGGGCGGCAGCAAAGTCACAGCAGAATGCGACCCCTACAGCAAAGCTGAACTATCCATCTGAGCGCAAAGCGCTCTATGATCGTGTGGCCCATCGAGCATCCTCACCGTTACACAAACGAACGATCCCAGCGCCTCAAGATGTCCATGACCATCCTTCGGTCGAAATTGCTGGGCGGCAAGCCCCTCCAGACATGTCTTTCATTGAGATCACGCAGTCACAAGTCGTCGATCACGAGAAGGCCTTGGTAGAGACCAACGGCACCAATCAAAGCGCTGCCGATGGACTAGGTGCAGTAGCCGATGGGGATTCCATGAATGCGAAGGCCATTAAGAGCGAGAAACTGTTCTCGATATTGTCTTCATACTCGGACATAGACCACCCAATCTGCACCGAGTGCACCTCAATCCTCCTTCAGGCATTCTCGGCACGCTTGGCCACTGCCACGCGAGAAAGGGACGCATATGCAGGGTTCCTGAAGTCTCTGCAACAGACCGCTGCTACCAATGACTCTGATGAGAAGGACAAAGTAGAGCAGGAGATCAGGGACCTCGAGGCCGAGGATGAGAAGACATATGCTGAACTACTGGAACTGGAAGTAGAAAAGGCAGCTCTAGAAGGGGAACTCGCAGATCTCGAGGAAGAAAGCCGACAACTGGAGCACGAGGAAGAAGCATTCTGGGCATCTCGAAATGCACATGAGAAAGAAGTGTACGATCTGACCACCGAACTGCAGTCACTCCAGCAGAAATATGCCCACGATCAACAACAGCTCGAGAAGCTCCAGCGTACAAATGTGTTCAATGACACATTCTGTATAGGCCATGACGGCTTGTTCGCGACCATCAATGGCCTCAGACTTGGACGGTTGCCGAATCAGACCGTGGAATGGGCTGAGATCAACGCAGCCTGGGGTCAGACCCTCCTTCTGCTTGCAACTGTGGCCGAAAGGCTGGGCTTCTCATTCAAAGGCTATCGTCTGAGACCTCTGGGCAGCACATCGCGGATAGAGAAGTTCGACTACTCCCAACAGGCCCCTACAAGCACGCAGGCCACTGCGCCAACAAACGACAGGTCTAAAGCACCTCCCGTGAAGGTGACACCTCTCGACCTCTTCAGCAGCGGTGAGACCGCCATTGGTAGAGTCTTCAACCACCGCAAATTTGACACAGGCATGGTGGCATTTCTCGACTGCTTAGCGCAGCTCGGGGACTATGTCAAGCATCTGCAAGCCGAAGCGGACGGTCGCCCTGCCGTCAGCGCTGCTAGGGGAGGCACTACTGGCTCTGCCGAGACGAAGCCAGTGCTGCCATATGACATCGAAGGCGACAAGATTGGCAATGAGGCCAAAGATGCCCCTATGGTATCTATCAAGCTCGGCGTCGGATTCCAGCAGGACGAGAGTTTCACCAGAGCTTGTAAATACGTCTTGACATGCTGCAAATTCTTGCTCGCATACTGTAGTAACAGAGAAAGCCAGAAGAGGTGACATTGGGCTGCATTGTTCTAGGGAGTTTCATAGAAGACCTTACCATACTAATTCACAGTCATGAGTCATGAAATCAAGCAAACGCCGCACTTGATGTTCTTGTTCCAGCGATCGAGTCTTGAGTCCATGCTACAGCCACGACTGCACGGCATACCATCACCGGCATGATCAAAGTACTTCTTTTCCCCGGTCTCGAGTGCAAATCAGCAGATTTAAACCACCGAAGTCCTCCTTGCGGGAGCGGCCGACATGCTAGAAGATTTGAAGATCGATTGTTTTGTCTACATCTATAATGCCCTCTGTCGTCTCCGAGATGAATGTCCATCATTCGTTACCTAGCAAGGCTCAGCTACCTTCTGGCTGCAGAAGTGGCTGTAAGAGAGCCCATGAACGCTGGCTCACAAACTGCCTCTTCGAGGGAAAGATACACCCTCGACAGCCGCATCGTCCACGAACCAGCTGACCTTCTGCCCGGCTCCCTTGTTGACGAGCCCACATGGTAGATTGCCACCTTCCTCAGTCTCGAAGATCTCCTTTAGAATTTTCTTCTTCCCTCCACCAGTAGCCACGAAAGCAATTTTCGTCGCGTGAGTCACCACAGGCAACGTCAGCGTTATCCTCCTCGGCGGCGGTTTCGGCGAATCTTCGATAGCCGCCACCCACGCATCCGTTTCCCTTAGCAGCGGATGCGATGGAAACAGCGAACAAGTATGCCCGTCCGGTCCACACCCAAGCAGAATCAGATCAAAAAGCGGCAGCTTGACCGAATCCTTCGACGCAAACGTCGCCTTCAGCGTATCCTGATAATCATCCGCAATCTCCTGCGTATCATCCAGCTTCCCGACATCGATCGGGTGCACTTCCGGCTTGCCCGCACTACTGGGGATCTTATCCAGCAGATCCTGCTTTAGCAGGCAGTAATTGCTGTCCTCGTGGTCGAGAGGCACGGCGCGCTCGTCCGCGAAGAAAATGTCCCATTTCGAGAATTGGACGGAGTCTTCGTCGCTGGTGGAGTCTGCGAGGAGGGCTTTGGAAAGTGTGGCGGGTAGGGAACCGCCGGATACCGCGACGCGGAAGGTGTCGCGGCTTTGGAGGGTGCTGTTCTGCACCGCAAGGATATACTTGCGCAGCGAGGGTGCTAGCGCATCTGTGCTCGCGAAGGAGTGCAGGTTGGGCTGGCCGGCCATGATTGCTGAGAATTGCCCGCGCTGGAGGCGTTTGGTAATTGCCTGGGGTACAAGAAGCTGGGTAGTGCTCTCTTTGGAGGCGGCGGTGGTGGCGGTGTGTACAATGTACTCTCTACGCGCACAGTGCCCAATCAGTGTCCCACTCGCGGGGACTTGCAGTAGACGTAGGGACTCCGCTATCAAGTGAGGTGCGGTGAGGTTGTTGCAGGATATCTCTTCCGAGAAAAAGGTACAGGCTCGGGACTTAGCTGACGTGCGCCGAGATCTGACGAAGGCAGGAGCGAGCCGCGGGGCCCTGCATGTTGCTCTTGACCATTGTCTTTCCTCCTAACGTCACGTAACTCGCTGATGCATTGATGACTGAGGTTTCTCGAGGTATAGTTTGGGGCACGTTTGTCTCTTACGCATCATTGTTACGAGTGCCGGTGCATGGGTCGCGATCAAAGTCGGGTTCGCAGCAGGCGATGAGCGTCCTTAGGGTTATGAAAATTCTCCCGAAGTACCTACTCGGGCAGGTACTGGGATATTGCACGCGGCAAGCACGTCCGGCTCCATCGCGATCGCAATTATCGCTCCATTATTGATATCCTCGATGAGCGAAAGCTACGCGTATACCGGGCCCGGTCTTGCCGTCGAACACGCTGTGTAGGTGGACCAAGGACACAGTGAATTAGTGCGATCTCGAGCGATCTTGAGACATGTCCCGCGGGTTCCGTCTATCTATGAAGATGCTCGCGACTTCTAACGCGTGGCCGATGAACCTGACCAGCGCTCTCTCACTCTCGAAGTCGCCTACTTGAACGAGAGACCTTCGGCCCTCCACGCTGAGGTGAGGTCCCCGCTCATCACCTCGTGGCCAGGCCAGGGTTCTCTCAATCACCGATGCACCATGCACTATGGACATTTAGTATTTACCATGACAATTCATCAATGTGGCTTGTTCTCAATGGTCTAGATGTTGCCACAATTCGGCTGTGCGGCTTGTTTATCAAGGCTCGATTCATTCTTTCCATGCTGAAAAAATGCTGAAACAGTGGCCGAGGATAAGTCATCAGCGATGAGAGGCAAGGGCGGCAGTGCTCAACCAATCGCTCGCGATCCGCGCCACAGAAGCGTGGCTTGAGAGCGCCGATCATTCGATGACGGTGCCAGAGCCCGATCGCGCTTGAGGAGCGTGCCCTCCAAGGGCCCAGGCCCCGAAACGCATCATTCACTGCACACGATCTGGTTTTTCTGTGTGCATCGATCTCATCGTCACTGCTTTGCTGATGTTTGCACCGCTGTCGCGGCGTGCCATCAGAACCGAAATGCTCGCCCATCCACTCGCTACGCGTCCTGCCCGCTTGGTTTCTACTGACTGTGCTTCGCTTTCTCATGTTATTGGGCCTGCCCGCTCGGCCAAGTTTCGTGATTCTTGTACACAGTGTCGGCAGCGCTTGGTGTCAATCATAATTGTCTTGCCCATATCCTGCTTTTCGAAATTCGCTGTGTTACTCTGAGTGCCACTACACATATACGTCGAAAGCCCTTCAAGCGGACCTCATCGACGACCTATACTCACGTGTACGCCATATCAGCCATCGACGACCTATACTCACGTGTACGCCATATCAGCCATCGACGCTAACACGTATCTCGACACAAACCGGAAGAATACCGGCGGCAGCAGCCCCAATGGCTTCTTCTCCATCCTTCATGCAGCTACAAACACATGCTGGCCGTGGAGCACATCCAATACCGATACGAAAGAGCAAAAGCCCAAGTGAGGAGAGCATCAAATCAGCCTCTTCGTCAAGCTCCAGCTCGCCATCACCAGACAATGCGTCCCCACGAAGACCCAGCTTCGATATTGTCCGGTGCTCAAGATGTCAACGATCACTCAGCATAAACGCCTCGGGTCCAGCAAACCAAAGCGTAGCCATCAGGTTCGCGACAAATGCGTACTATTGCAACCGATGCGCAAGTCACGTAGGGTTCGTCAAATGAGAGCCTGGCCAGACACGTGCAGATTCAACGACGCGAAGATGCATCTGGGAGGAGGTGATCCATACCGAAAACGAAAGGACTTTGCGCACGGTCGTCTCTGCGATAGATCAGAAATTTATGGCACCAAGTTTGACAGGCGACCCATTGTGGACGCCACTATGACACAAACATAATCGACGGTACAATGGACCCGCGAATGAGATTGGGCAGCTAGGTCGCCCGACGACGATGGCGCGCAAGCCCAACCATGAGAAGTCTACGGGGAAAAGAAACCTGGGAAGCCGGAGACGGTACATCTAGTCGCAGCATGCTGTGCAACACAAAAGACGAGAAGACAGGGTCTTGGTACCAGGGGTGGTCGCAGGAACACACATCGATCTACCACCCAGGGGTTGCGGGCAGATGTTGCGTTACTTCACGAGGAACGATTGTATAACGATATAACTTAGTATAATATGCGACATGAATGTACGACATCACAATATCAAGTCAAAGCAAAAGTGATTGATGAGATTATTTATTTTCCATAATCCTAAAAGAATTGCGTCTCCGGTTACTGTCAACACCGGGTGACTTGATACTTGCCCCGCTTTTGGTACATCGGGCGGCACCCACAGCGTCCAATCTTTTGCAGCTATGAGCGTTCGTGATCGTACACTAACCTGAATCCACAACTTAGGATGCTGTACTATTTGTTGTCTCCCGTCGAGCCCGCTGTAGAGCAGTACACTCGAGACTTCAGCTCGTAGGGATCAAGGGAGAACGGCAGCAACAATTTATCTCGTATCTCAGGAGATCTTCGTCCAATATGCAATCGCGATGCTTGCCTGAACGCCCCAACGGCGCTGCAAGCGAAGGACCTTAGACGCGAAACAATTGACCATGGCCCAGGGGTTTGCTACCTGCCTTCCCACAACGCGTTCACAGGCCGACGATCGATGAATCAACCAATGATGGATGCATGATACCATGCCGTGGTTCCTTGCCACCATTTTTGGACTGGGATCTGCGACACCGAGATCCGAGATTCATCGCTCGAGTCGCCAGAGCATCTACGCCCCAAGTATTGACAGGCGAAAGCGATCGACAAGGAATGCTTGTTGTTGTCCGTTGTTAACGAAGCTCCCCGGCGACCTTTAAGTCACATACAGTCAACATTCTCCGCTTCATGACCACAACCCGGTGTGGTCGAAGCAGATCTGCGTGGTACTTCTGGGACAATGATTGCCTTACTGGAAGCTCCAAATGCAATTCGACGACTTCCAGAAATACCTATAATTACGGCGTCGGTTTACTCCGTAAAGCACCACCCAATACGGGTTGATCGCTGGGCAGGGCGTGCATGAGGGTTGATGTGTAGGGTGCCGTCCGTCGCAGCATCGACTGTAGGTCCAGGTATTGGAAGGTTCTCCAGACTCGACCACAAGCTGTGCTTCACGCGTGCGCTAGAATCTAGCCGAGCCTCGAGCCCCAAGCCTCGAGGCGAACAAAACTTGCCTAGCTGCTCCTCATGCACATGCAGCCACTATATGCATATCATTACAAGGATTAAACCCTCTCAATTTTCGGATAGAGCAGATCTCTACTGACGTCTTCTAGGTCGCCACGGGACCAGCATCACCCTTATACCAAACCAGCCACTGCGATTGCAGCTATGAATCCTAACTCGCGGCGGTACTGCTGTCAAATTTACACCAATAGCCAGCATTATATTCTCCCGCGTTGCGCTAGCTCTCAGCCAGCACAGACTGAGCTGTTCATGCTAGCAGCGCGGCCATGCAGGTCTAGTCAGTGATCCCCAGCGCTGTCAGATGCGAAACCTACGCCGGGTCCATGCTTCTATAACGGCAGAGCTTCTCGTGGGCACAGCAACTATCAGCTTCTGCCACGGTCAAGTTTGACCTGCATTAAGTGCGGGGCCACAAACAGTGTCTATCATAGGCAAGTGGCTCATGGTGGCGCGCTAGCTGTCGATTTCTTTCCAGCAAGTTGATCCTACCGAACACTCTTTCTGCATTGCACGAGGAAACGGCAAATGCTAGATCCTGGACGTTGAGCTATGTCTCTATGTGCTTAGGCTTGTTCCTACGGCTGCCTGGTAGCGAGCCTCTCTCGAACTAGTCTCCTGAATACTTCTGTGGGGATTTAGATCGGGGCCACATCGAAACATGATGGCATCAAATGTCACAACAATCTGAGCGAGTGGCAAGCAGACACTCGTGCTCGGCTGATGGCCGAGGTACTCAGGCAGATTATAAGCATGTCTTCGATGCTCGAGGGCTCCCTTCCATCGGACTACGCAGTAGCCTTTAACAGCTTCCTGACGTTCACACTGATCAGCTCAGCAAACGTTCCACACGTTCCCACTCGCTAGACATCAGAGTTCGTCTTAGACTGAACTTTGCAAGCGATCCCCGAGAGTCAAAACACCCAGGTCCCCTACGCTGCTACGCACCATTCCGCCACTTATCGCTCTCGGAGGAAACAGCCACGTGCTTTAATACCCGCAGAGCCGCCCGATTCTCCGGCTTTCCCAACACGATACTCAGCAACACGGTGACTTACTTTGTGGTACACACTTAGCGGACCGCACTCCCGAGTCTCCGGTGTTCCCTGCCGGGCGATCAGAGCCAGAATTGAAAGGCTCTTTGGTTGCCTCTCGGGGAAGAGCAGCTGCAACGTCTCGATCGTTCATAAGCAAGACCGCAAACCTTTTCGGCGTCAGGCAGTGCCTTATTACCGCTATTGACTTTCCAGTATGACTTCGAATGCAAGATCTCGGCGACATAGCTCCACCACATCGAGGGGCGGTAGGCCCTCCAGCAGACGTGTGGATGATGAAATATACTACCTATGGGTCCATCCAGTACGAAGCTCTTCAGAGTCGACTCCAGCTATTAATGCTTTGCAGATACCAGACCAGTGTCATTGGCAGGAGCTAAAAGACATCGTCAAGCGTTACAGTAAGACCAGCCGAGTGCACAACTCAACGGTGTGTCCACCGGAAGAGACAACGGGTTATATACAGATCGTAGGTCGCGAACACGCGACTGGTGCTTGGAGTATGCAATCATTCCTCGATCCATAGATTTTCTTACTAATGAGCTGCTCAGGACAATTCTGCCTGCGAGGCTGGCAGAAGCTTCGAGGCAACACCGAGCAGGTTGTGTCAGTCCACGAAGTCTTTGTTACGGTCAAAGGACCACTGCTCTCGCAACCAGACCAGCATATGGACAGTGATCTGCTTGTGAAGTTGCCCATGGTCTGTGGGTTGACAAAAGGGCCTGGAAACATACCTGTGGACAACTCCATGTCGTTGAACCCGACGATGGCCTCACGGTTGGTGCCTGATTCCACTGTATCAAGCATGAAGCTGACAACATCAAGTGTACGGACGAGTCCAACAATGCCTCTCGCGCCGCCACACAGAACGGCACAAGGATCGTTCGCGATGGCGCCTTCAAGCCCTGACCGTGCACGAATGGCCCCCGGAGCATTCAACCTACCCCTACTTCATGCGAGACCAGGCAATACATATGCTCCCGGCCCTGTGCCATTGCCCGCAGTACAGAGTTTCTCATCGCATACGTCATCCACGAGCAGACGTCTTGATCGGCAACAAGCTAGCATGCGGTATTCGGGACATCCGAACTCCTTAAGCAGATCTGCGCAGCCGGTCGTCTCAACTCGGCACGCTGCGACCCCAAATATGAACAGACATCCACCATCTGCAGACGCTTCATCACGACATACACTCTCCTCCTTGACAAGCGGTCCAAGGCAGCCAACACAACCCTCCCGTCACGCCGCTGCTCCATCCCACAGCAGGCACAACTCTGCATCAAGTCACAATGCTTCCTCCTCGCCAAGGCCCAGCTCTGGTCCGCTGGTCGTGGACGGTGCCCGCACCTCTGCTCGCAGACGTACTTACCGTCGACACTCCAGGAGAAGTTGGGACTCGAGTGATGACGAGTCCGATGACGACAGCTCTGGATCGGGTTCAAGCGAGAGCAGTGAGAGCGAGTGCGTTGCTCGCAGAGCTGGTACGACTGCAGGTCGGGATCGTCATCGCTGAGTGGTAATTTGATAGTCAGCGCTTGCTCTACAGGGGCAGGATCTCAATCTTTATGTGGTCATCACGAAATCCAATTTGGTCTACAGAAGAGTTGGGATCGCTGCGAGTGATATCATGTGAGGCTGAGCTACAAAAGAGGTGTTCTTGGGTACAACCTTTGACATTTACATACCTCAATATGAGTGTCTATATACCGTTCCATGGTCACCATACATTCATTGCTTGCTTTGAATCACCTTTTCGGCCCTGCTCCTCTCCCAGTGATCCAGGCCACTCCATCGACCTCACTCGCACCGGCGGATTCGGAACACCTTTCGCCGCACAAAGCAAGGACACACGTAACCAGATCCCACGCACGAGAACCTCTCCCGACAACTCGGTATTCCCGACCTCTAGTGCGAAACTTTAACTCCACTATCACATCACTGACGTGCATATTCAACGTTTATGCTGCATATGCTTTCTTCGCTGGCGCTTCTATAAGGCTACCTGGCTGTCTAGGCACTACTATCATCCGGTGAGCTAAGAGCTCTGGCTTCAGCTGTCATCTCGAGCATCTTCACCGGTGAACCAGCAGAGGCTCTTCGCAATTTCTCAGGGCCTTGATGTCCGACTATCCGTACTTGACAGGTGAATATGGGGCATAATCCATCAATCATCTCATCATCATCTTGGAGCACCTAGACACTCCCGATCCTGCAGCCGGCGCTAAGGGATGAATCTCCCGTTCAGCGGCGATCGAGCTCGTTTGGGCACCTGCTGGAGCAGACAGCACATGAACTGTAAAGTCGACAGCGCACGAGGACACCGTCGTCAGGGCCGGATACTGTACCAGAGTATTTCGTCGCGACTCAGCGGCACCTGACATATGTTTGTTACAGAGAGATTCGCAGCAGATGCTTCACAGCCTTCGAGTTCTCGTATGCAGATGACCCTGCACTCATGCCCAAGGCGATCTGGATGATCACACCAGAGACCCTGGTGAGACTGCATCGTTTACGAAGTCCAACCCAAAATTGCATGATCCTCAGCCGCCCAAAGAAAGCACATCCCATTCCTACCGCTCGGTGGCGCTGGGCGGGGCCGACCACATCATCTTGTCACCTGAAGTATAACGTGCTTGCATTCGCGCAACATGCTACTCAGCCAATGTAGCCATGTCGGAAATACACCTCCTCTGCCCAACGCCTTGCTTCCAACATTACTTCTTTGCACCAGGATTGACCTCGGGGAGGGCATGACTATTGTCAAGCGAGCCACGCTTGTCAAAGGTCCACAGGTTCATCTGACGATCCTCGGCATGCACTACCTGCAGCTCCAACCCCTCGATCGAGACGATCGTTGCAGTACGACATGACAGCTGAAGATATGATCCGAAAAGCCAAAAAGACGTTCGAAGAAATAAGGTTCGTAAGCTCAGCATCGGGCCGTGGCAAGCGTGACTTTAGAAAGCGTTAGCGGCCGTTTGGGTTCCGGAAGGGCGGAACGGTCGGGGTTGGTTTTTCAGTATCCGCAGTAGCGTGATGGAAGGTTTGGGTTGTTTTATCGGATGCTGGTGTGACACGTGGCTAGCTGGGAAGAGTTGGGTCTGGTATGTGGCAGTAGAGGATTTGCTGTTGGTGCGGAGCGTGTTGATCCTTGGCAAGCAATACGTTCGATGTAGGGACTGCCGACGGCACTGTACGTCAACCTGAATGGGGAGCCAGTCCATTTCGTACGCAACGAAGAAACTTCAGCTCCCTCTGCACTGAGGCAAGGCAGTCGCTTAAGCGGTCGTGAGTGACTCATTGAGAAAGAACTGCGAGGCGGCCGAACCTCTTTTGGCTTTACTCCGGCAAAAGAAGAGGCCCAAGGAGGCATTGATCGACCGGTCCATTGTAGTGATACCATCGAAGAGCGTCTTGCTGGTTGAGGACTGCACACATTTCGACGCATAAGTGAAGCAAGACCGACTTCGGCGATATTTGCGGCGTCCGAAGAGCGCCTCTCACACCAGAACGTAGTCCCGGAAGCCCCTTCGCGGTTGCTCCCACTGGCCGATGTCCCAATCCTGGTCCCAGAGCCAGCTCGACAGTGTGGTCCAGGAATAGGAAACTGGTTTGTCTGCACTTGCTTCGGAGGCACTGACCCAGCGAGCATAACTGACGAATTGCCATGTATGCTCTGTCAGGCGACGAATAATACATGGGCTTTCGCTGCCACAAGGGACAACTATTGCGTCCCCAGCTTGTGCGCTGCCAGGCTCAGCAACCCGACGCGATTCGAGGATTAAGTCTTCCCGTAGGAACGCGCGACTGACAGACCAGAACCTAAGATCGCTTCCATACTTCACTTGGTACTCCTGACTTGAGGTGAGCCATTGCGATGGCGGCGGTTCGATCTTCAATGCTTGCGGACTGCTACAGAAACCAATCGGTAGAGCGCAGAGGCGAAGACGGCCGTCGGGTTTTAGATCTTGGTAGGTGAAGTTCTCGGCGTAAAGCAGGGGGTCTGGTTCGAGCAAGTTGATGTATAGCACTGATGGCTGCCCGCGAGAATCAGCAAGCTCGTTCCAAGAGGGTTGCCAGCTGCAAGTGCGATGTTGATCTGCTGATCTGAACCAATAAAGCAACCTATAATCGCCTTGCAGATTCATGACGAACTTGATCACAACTTGCTGTAGCTCCTCAAAGCTGATATCGTAGTCCGTTCGTAGCTTCATGAAGTTGGCGATATCCAACACATGAGTCCACTGGTTCTGTAGCCGCGGCGCGAATGAGTAGACAATATCTCTGCGATCGGTGCATTCGAACAGCTGATTGGAGAGCATGAGCTCGACAAAGCTGACAGTAAAGCGGAGCCTATCGTAGGCTGCTGTAGTCAACCGGACCCCTCTAGCTACTTGTGTGGACGAAGTGAAGTACTCCTCATGGTCTGTACTCAGCAGGACCACGCGCTTCCAGACCGCTGCCGTCAACCCAGGCGGAATGGGGGACGAGGCGGAGAATTTACGCACAATGTTTGACCCTGGAGAGCCTCTGAGCGGGTTTACTGTCTTGTGGTTGTACTGAAAGACGACTTTGTCAATGTTTACGATCTCTGCTCGTACCCAACAACGGCTGAAATAGGGTAGGTCGAAGATGAGGATCTCGTTCTCGTCCAGCCTGGCCGCAGTCTGTTCGTCAAACTCACCTAGCCAGCCTACGACTCTCTTCGCTTTGTCAAAAATGCGCCAGATTGCTTGTACCTGGATGGATTTCTCGGCCAAATTTGCTTGGTCAATGCACAGCGCATCGCACCAAAGGTACCTTGATTCACTTTGGAGTCTCAAGTACTTCAGCGCAGTAGACAAAGGCGGCGGTACGTATGTAGTAACACCGTTACAGATAACTGGAGCAGTGAGTTCCGGATAGCCCCATGTATAGCTGATCGCCTCGTACACTTGCTGCTTGTTGTCGTTGACAAGCCCGAGACCTTCAGCAGCTGTGACCACCGCAACCTGTAAGTGGCATTCAATGTCGTCACCAAATGCGCCAGGCAGCAACTCGATGAGTCGCGTCTCCCAGGGTTTCAGTGGCGTGTAGATGCTGGGTGCAAGGCTTGCTTTTGCCATTAGTTGCACCGCAGGCGCCGGCCCGGCAGCGTCATCTGTCGATACTGCCAGACTGAGCCTTCATCATATATCGTCACGAATCGAAATCAGTGTCTGCGTCACCATCCACGTGCTCTAGATGCGTGAAGACGAATGATCAGGTGCGGAGTGCTCGCAGGACTTGAATGGAATCACCCAGTCTAGTCACGTGAGCAGAGCATTCTCCACCCACTGGATAGTACTGGTCATGTACCTTGTTGGGTGAGTCGGCGTCCTTTCTATCATCAGCAGCCTACCCGGGGCGAGACCGTGACCCTTAGAGCTGAGGCTGGTCGCAGTCAGCGTGCCCGATCAGGAGTTTGCGAGCTCGATGCCCTACCACTGGGTTCGGGCAATTTCAGGCTATGGACATTGCCGGGCGTTCAGCCAGGACAATTTCATGGGACCATATAACCAGGAAGGCAGGCATCAAGAGGCGCGCATCATGACAACAAACGACCGTTGCCCATGGTCAACAAAGGCCCCAGGATGAATAACCAATTAGCCGTAGCGACAATCTCACTAGGATGGCACGAGTGTCATACCTTGGAAAGCAAGCTGGAGGCCATCAAGCAGTCGGGCATCCAGGGTATCGAGCTCTGCGACTACGATCTAACTCGATATGCATCACACCATCGGCTCGATCGCAAGAAAGCGGCCGAGCTAATTGGAGAATTGTGCAAAGACCTCAAGCTGACTGTAGTCGCCTACGCATCCTTCGAAAAGTTCGAGGGACAGCTAAAGCCCCTGAACGAGCGGCTCGAGAAAGCCCAAGAGTGGTGCGACATTGCGGCTCGACTAGGAATGGACATGATTCAGGTTTCGAGCAACACCGATCCTGAAGCAAATGGCGACGAGGCTGTCATCGTGTCCGACCTACGATCGCTCGCCGAGCTGGGACAATGCCATGAACCGCCGATACGCTTTGCATACGAAGCTCTCGCATTTGGCGTCCATGTCGCAGACTGGGAGGAGTCATTGAGGATTGTCAAACTCGTGGACCAGAAGAACTTTGGCCTATGTCTGGACACTTACCATGTCTTGGGACGTCTGTGGGCTGATCCCAGCTCCCACTCCGGAAAACGACCTGGCGGCGATGCAGCGATGAGAGATACCCTGCAGAGATTCAGGGACCTTTGTCCGCCTGAAAGGATCTTCTACATACAGCTCAGCGACGGCGAGTTTGCGAACCCACCAATTCTCCCGGGCCATGTGGCGTACGACAGAGACACAGAACTGCTGTTTTCGTGGTGTTTATACGGCCGGATATTTCCCCTGGAAAGGGAATACGGTGCATACCTACCCATGGAAGACATTTTGCGAACTTGGCTTGTCGAAAGCGGCTGGACGGGCTGGGTGAGCATGGAAGTGTTTCATCACAGCATGCGAGAGGAAACTGCTGGACCCACAAGCTGGACTGTTCGCGCTGTATTGTCTTGGGACAGAGTACAGAAGATGCTTGAGGCGTGACAGGTGGTATGCTGACCAGATAGTGGACTGGCCGGGCCAAAGTTCCCATCTGCATGGACCTCCTTTGATTTACATTCTTGTCGCAAAAGCACTTCACAGTGTCCGCGCCTCACTTTCACACCTTCGTATCAAAGTGCTCGATTCCGGTCTTTCCGCTTGACATGCCCGGCTCAGTCTTGACTTCGAGGTCATGCGTCAGCTCCTTGACAAGATTCCCTTTGTTGTCGAAATGCCTTTCCATCGTGAACGACAGTTTGATGGCGTCGCGGAGATTCCTTGACTCGTGAAAGATGAGATCCATCTCTTCGAGCGAGCGACCCTTCGACTCGGGGAGAAGAAAGTACATGAAGGGCACGCCAGCGGCATTGAATATGGCGAACATGAGATAAGTGCGCCAGCCAATGCTGAGGAATGTTAGTCCTCTGGCAAGTGGGTATTACGTGAGCAGAGTGGCACTTACTTATTGAAGCAGATCGGCGTGATCATGACGACCAAGAAGTTGACTATCCAGTTCGATGCCGTCGATAAAGCGTTGGCCTGCGCACGAACGGCGAGCGGCGTAATTTCCGCAGGCACCAGCCAGGAGAGCTGGGCATAGCCGAGGCCAAAGAATGTATTGAAGACGAAGAGAAAGGCCGCTGCTGCAATCCCGCGACCTTTGCCACCCTCGCTCATCAGAATGGCGAGGATTGCCATCGTCACAGCTTGGCCGCCTGCAACGAACATGAATACCGATCGTCGATTGAAGTGTTTGACCATGAGGATCGAGAATAACGAGGCGATGAAGTACTCGGTCCCGTTGCCGGCAGCAAGGAGTCTGGATACAAATGGAGACAGGCCGATCTCGTTCTGGTAGATGACTGCTGCGTAGTACTGCTATGATTAGCCTCGTTTGAGATGTCGGGCGGACCTTGTCAAGCTTACTGTGATGATGTTGATGCCAGTGAATTGGCTGAGGACCTGGATACCGACTGCAAGCAAAGTCCGTGTTCGAGTCTTCAGAGGACCTGGATGAACATTTCCTTGAGGCTGCTTCCGTTGTCAACGGAGCGAACGGCGCTGATCGCCTTGAGCTGATCCGCGACCAATGGATCCTCTTCCGGAAGGTCGTATAATGCACTGATGACTTGTGCGGCCTCGTCGCTGCGATCCTGACAGACAAGCCACCTGGGGCTCTCCGGCTGTCGCACCTGTTAGACTGAATATGATGAAGGAGGGGCCAGACCGGAGAATTGACATCTCACCCGGGCCAGGGTCATAGGCTATACGTACCATGACGAGAATAAATGCCAGAACGATGAAGGCAAAAATTAGTTGAAGCGCAACGGGAGCCCGCCACGCAGCTGAGCTCGGCTCAACGTAGGAAAAGCCGAAATCGATCCAGTAGCTCCTGTTCGGCCATTAGTGAATCTGTCTCGCACATCATCCCGAGAATGATAGGTGAATCGTCGCTATTCGAATGGGAATCTGGGCTGTTGGAAGCAGGCAACTTACAACGCGACGCCAGCGATGACCATCGAAGCTTCGAAGGCAATTACTGGTCCTCGTTGATGAGGCTTGGTGGTTTCTGCTTGCCATGCAGGAACTGTCGAACTACGCTCGGCATTAGTAAGTTGTCGCTGGCAGCGCCTGAGAGAAGTGCGCACGTATTGATGCCTGTGCCCATGCCACAGATAACACGGCCGACGATGAGCTGGGTCAGGCCAAAGGCCGAGAATTGAAGCACTGCACCGATGGAAACAATCGTGCAGCCGATCAAGATCGCAAGTCGGCGTCCAAAATAGTTGCCGAATCTCATGGCCAGCAGAGCGCCAGTAAAGCATCCGAGATTATAGCAGGCGATTGTTATACCTGTCGAGTCAGCAGCGTCATCAGTGGGAAAGGGACTCTTTACCCTGAATGGTCGAACGATGACTCTTCTCACCAGGTGTCATGTGCGCAGTGCATTCCGCCGTAGTACAGATCTCAGGGAACACCTGCGTGAAGGACGGTAGAGTGATGAGACCGCCCATCACACCTTGATCATACCCAAATAGCAGGAATTCGACACCTAGTGCAGCTGTCAGAGGCAGCGTGTATTGAGGAATCCGGAATCAGGACGATGGCCTCTCGCCAGATACAATCCCTTAAGAAGACGTACCTGCGATGATCATGACCACTGTGTTGAGCTTCGTGCCTCTCAGGCCGAGGAAGGGTTGTCTTGCCATGGCGAATGTTCGAGATTTTGGTGATGTGGCTAGCTGTCTGTTGAGTCGAGTAAAACCAGAACATCATCACGATGGGTAGCCCAGGATATATACACACACGTGTAAAATTAAGTTGGTATCGTGGGTGCTTCATCCTGTAGAAGCTCTGATTCCCCGGACCATAGATGGCATTGTTCTCCAGCATTTCTCCAGACATCTCTACCGCAGCTGCTGACGACGACGGCCCAGATCCATTCTCCACGTCTCCAGTGTCTGGGGGTCAATCCGCGATACGCTACTCTGAGCCGGTCGGAAACGAGTTCTTGGAAAGTCCTGGAAGAACTCATGATGTTGAGCTTTGCCGAAAATCGGGAAATCGATGTACCGAAGGTGGTACCTCGAGTTCAGTTTCGGGTAAGTCATGGACATGCCATCTTTCAGACCTCGAGCTGGCTCATTGAAGGTGTCTGCATGGTAAGCCTGCCTGCTCCGGTACAGGTACATCACAAAGGTACGAAACTACTTCTCATCTCTCAAGCAGACCTGGAGACTTCTGCCACTGTGGTCAAGAAGCTCGGAGTACCATGACACGGTCTCTCAAGGGGAGCAAGCTTTACATCGCTGGCGGGCCGGGCGGCAGCTCGATCGGCCCTGCAATACACAATCATATCGCGAAGTCCTTGAGCCTTTCCTGGACATGCGAGTTCCTCCGACTGAGTGACGTTCAAGATGTACTCGAGCTCTTCCATCGTGATGACTTTGCGGGAGGCATAGTAACGATGCCACACAAACGGACCATCATCCCGCTCCTCGACTCGGTCGATACCTATGTGCAAGAGATCGGAGCTTGCAATTTCGTCGTACGTCAGTCGGATGGCAAGCTACACGGTACGAATACAGATTGGTCAGGAATCAAGAATGCCATTATCGCCGAATCAACTCAAAGACCACCAGATGAGTTTGCAGCCATGATTTATGGGGCTGGAGGCGCGAGCAGAGGCGCCCTGTATGCCTTGTCACGTGGCCTTGGGTGTCGAACCGTCTACATTGTCAACAGAGATGATGGTGAGGTGGAAGAGCTGCTGGCCGATGTCGAGGGCCTGTATGGGTCTGCGTCTCAAAAGCCGCACATTGTGCATTTGAAGAGTGTCGAGGCTGCCGAAGCTCTCCGGTGTCCGACATACATTATTTCGACAGTTCCAGATTTCGCAGAAAAGACGCCAGAAGAGATTGTGTGTCGGCAGATACTTCAGCGTTTCTTGGAACGAGGAAGGGACCAAGGAGGTGTACTTTTGGAAATGTGCTACCACCCGCCTGTGACACGTAACCTTTCTGCAGCGCTGGCAGCATCCTGGAAAGTAATTCCTGCTTTCTGGTCGTATGCCATCAGTTTTCGGAGCAATGGGACCTTTGGACCGGCCGAGCGATCGATGACACAAGCGTGTTCAATCTGTGCGATCGGCTAGTCAAAGAGCGCGATGCTTCAAAGCTTGTGGCCGCAGTATAGACAGTCAGAGTATCTCTGAAGGGCATCAATGAGCAGGTCCCTGGGAACTGCGGGTATGTAGATATGATGGCAATGAGAACAAAACGCTCTACGATCATGTGTTGCATCCCCACGCGTCGACATCGAGGCTGAGAGACAGCCTCATTTAGGCAACTTCTCAGGCTCCAGTTCCAATGCGTCCGACGTGCTCCTGACATGTCAGCACCTGGCTCTTTGATCCTGTATCCGCTCAACGCAGCGAGCCCTTGCCACCGCAGCACTACGCGACTTCGCGACTTTGCCAATACCTGACCGTGCATTGTCAAGCGTACTGATGCAGTGGGCTCGTGACGCTTCAGGATGCGATGGAACAGTCGTGAACAGATGAAGGCCGCCATCAGACTTTACCCGAGTCCTTAGCCGGTCCCCACTAGGCCTGAGTTTACCCTGCAGCGACCTGACGGATCAGACAGGCACCTAACGGCGATTGTCCATCGAACGCGTAGGTAGCTATGAATGCAATGACTGCAGCAACGGACATCAGACGCGTCCTCGCCGTCCGTGAATAGATTGTAGTCTCAGAACTTGAGCTTGACACTTTCTTAGACGTGTAAAAGACAAGGCTCCTGTTCTGACGATTCCCGAGTTCAGCAACAGCGTCATGCATTCACGTCCAGGCACGATGGGCCCTGCAGGCCTCCTCCGGGACAAGGTCGCGCTGATCACTGGTGGTGGAAGCGGCTACGGGGAAGGCATCGTGAAGCTCTTCGCTGAGGAGGGTGCAAAAGTGCTCGTGGCAGACATCAACGGAGTGTCCGGTCAACGGTGAGTCTCAGCGTTGTCAGCGTGAGCATCCAGAAATTTCCTGCTCAACATCGATTTCACAGCGTAGTAAATGAGATCAAGGATCAGGGTCGTTATGCAGAGCTAGTAGTCATGGACGTCACAAAGCGTGGGGACTGGGACAGGGCGCTGGAAGCCGCGATCTCAAAATATGGCGGACTCGACATCCTTGTCAACAACGCTGGGTGGACTTATCGCAGGAAGAATACTCTCACTGTCACTGACGAGGAGTACGACAGTAAGTCGAGCACCCCTGACGCAGCACATGACTCTGAAAACAGCCTATAGGGGTATTCGACATAAATGTGAGAAGTATCTACCACGCCACGAACGCGATCATGCCTCATTTCCTACAAAAGAAGTCCGGTAATGTCGTCAACATCAGTTCCTGCATCACCGAAGATCCAACCACCGGACTCACCTGGTACGGTGCCAGCAAAGGAGCCGTGGACATGGTCACTCGTCATTTGGCCGCTGAATTCTCTCCTTTGGGGGTCCGGATCAACAGTGTATCGCCATCAATTGGCAACACCGCCCTGTTCAACGACTTCGTCGCAAACGACTCACCGGACGAAACACTCTTCTCGTCGCTCTACCCACCCCTGGGCAGACTCTGTACGCCGCTTGACATCGCCAAGGGCTGTCTGTACTTTGCGAGTGACTACTTCAACGACTTCCAAACGTAAGTGTCGAAAGCAATTGTGGCGCGACCCAGCTGACAGCGATCAGGGGCATAATCCTCCGCGTGGACGGTGGCAAATATGTAAGTGCCTTTGTCTTCGACTGTCCACTTGCTCACAATGCCCAGATCTAGGTAGATCTTCTTTCGACAGTACTGCAGCAGACGAGAAGGCGACCCTGGATGTGAAAAGGGGCGTTCAATGGGCAGACACCGGCCGTTTAGTGATCGAGAAGTGGGCCCAAGACATGACCACATCAAAAGTACTTATTTTCCCGAGTATTCTACTTCATTGGATCATCTGAACAGCACGCCTCCGTCCACCAAGATATCTGCACCGGTGATAAAGTCGCTCGCAGCACTTGCAAGGAAAATGACCACCCCTCGAAGATCCTCCGGCTGACCCCATCTCCCAGAAGATGTCCGATCAACGACATATTGGTGAAAGTCGGCGTCTTGCGACATATCTCGACACATTCCTGTCGCAATCCAACCTGGGCTGACTGAATTCACCTGGATGCCGTACCGAGCCCATTCGTTACTCATACCTCTGGTCATGCTTCTGACAAAGGCCTTGCTGCTAGAGTAAACGTTGACGCCCTCTTGCACGAGATCTGCAGCCATGCTGGCAATGTTAATCACTTTTCCTGGTCGACCGAGCGTGATCAACCGTTCTCCAAAGGCTTGACAGACCAGATATGCAGCTTTTATGTTGAGATCGATGACCTGCTCAGATGTTCAGTTTCATGCCGACGAGCGAATGATGTGAGTACCTACCCTATCGAGAGTTCCGACGCTGGTTTCAACAACAGTGGACTTGTGTGTGATGCCTGCTGCGTGGAAGAGGATGTCCGGCACAATTCCGGCATCCCAGATCTCCGTGAAGCACGTCTTGATCGACGATGCGTCCATAAGATTGCATTCGAAGTATCTGAATGTTTGTCCAGTGGCCTCGACGGCAATTCGAAGTGCATCAGCATTGATGTCCCTAGGAACCTGAATCGACACAATCGAAGCCCCAGCTTCGGCAAGTGCGACTGTCACCGGAAGTCCAATACCGCCAGTGGCTCCAGTGACGATAGCGATCTTGCCATGCAGGTTGAAGAGCTGTTGGGTTGGTACATGGATGCTGCCGTTAAGCTTGTCGTGTGTCATCTTTGCGGGCTCGTCCAAACGGCAACGGAGTAGATTAAAAGTCTAAATGTTCTCACCGATAGCGTATGCCGATGCTCGAGCGTTGACGACTGAGAGTAGCCATAGCCTGGACTTTTCTACCGTCGTCCTCATTCAAAAAGATGTATTGCTTCAATCGCGGCTGTACACCGGGAAGAATATCGACCGAAGACCTTACCCGTGTAACCCCACTCGTTCCGACGTCTTTCTCTGATTCACGTGCGAGCTGCTGCAGTGAGAGGCATATAGGCCGACGCGACTCAATGAAGGGTGTTGATCGCGCCACAGAAGATTTCAGTTGCGTACAAGTCCCTCGGCAATGACAAGCCCTTTGTACAGTCAATAGTTGACAATGACTTTTGAACCCACAGTAGCGTCGGTATCCCTAGGAAGTCCGGCTGTCCATTGTATCGAGAAGAGGCTTGTTGCAGCTGCCAGTCATGGCTTCAAGGGTATCGAAATAGTCGAGGCCGACATTCTCGAGCAATCCAAAGTGCTAGGTGGATGTGAAACCGATGAGGACCAGATGACAGCGGCACACTCCATACGAAAAATATGCGACAAGATCGGCCTCACTGTCCGGGTGCTGCAGCCCTTCTGGTTCTATGAAGGCTTGCTGGACCGTAGAGAGCACGCAGCCAAGATCGCGAAGCTGCATCTCTGGATGAAGTTGGCTGCTATTCTAGGAGCTGAGATTGTCCAGATTCCCACGAACTGGCTGACCGAGGGCACCACAGGCGATGTTGATGTGGTGACGGCAGATCTGCTGGAAATGGCAGAGATTGGTTTGCAGCAGTCCCCAATCATACGTTTTGCCCTTGAAGCCGTTGCTTGGGGAACATGGTTTGATACGTGGGAACAAGCCTGGGAACTCATCCAGCGAGTTGACAGGACGAACTTCGGCATGTGTCTGGACACGTACCACGTGGCAGCACGCGTCTTCGGCGATCCGACACATGTATCAGGACGCAATCGCAATGCTCACGAGGCGCTTGATGAATCCCTCGCGAGGATGGTTCGAGAGCTAGACGTCAGCAAGATCTTCTACGTCCAGCCGGGAGATGCTGAGAAGCTGAGCGCTCCGTTGATGCCAGGTCATCCTTACTACAATCCGGAGCAGAAAGCTCGGATGAGCTGGTCGCGAAACGCACGACTGTTTGCGTATGAGGAGGATCGTGGTGGTTGCCTACCTATCCCAAAGATCATTGACACGCTCGTTGTGAAAATGGGCTATCGTGGGCTCATAAGTGCCGAATTGTTTTCTCGGCATTTGCTTGATGCCAAATTTGATATACCCGAGGAGTATGCTGCTCGAGCAGAAGCCTCCTTCGCGGTGATGCTGAAGTCTTTCGAAGGCAGGGTAGATTTCTAGTTGTGACATACCAGAATTGGGAATTTGTCGTTCAGCGCTTTGCGAGTCACGATCGTAGCTACCCGAGCCCACGTTGCCGCTTTCCGCGGTTGCATACTGTCAACAGACAGTCAGCGAGGTTGCTGCGACCCACTTGAGCGGAAGTAAAGAAAAGTTGCTGCTGCGACGAGACAACTGTTTTAGGCCTTTCAGATGCCCACGCGCAGTCTGGCGCCGGATAAGACAATTCCCGCAGAGGAGCCACTTCGCGAATCCCCTGCCCAGACCGATATACTATAGAAACCAATGCTCTGCTTTCGGCGACCGTGTTTACGGTAGTAGGTTCACCCGTGCACAACGTGGAAGATCTATTCGAGGACAGCAAAACATCAAGCATGGCACCAGATCTGCACTCACTCCCCGCTGGGTCTCGCCCAACGGAGGCAGTACGCCACAATGGTCCAAACGAGCTGGTACTCGAGCGTTATAAGTTGCGAGAACTTGCAGAGGGTTGGCCTATGTACCGAGACGCTTGCGAATGGGAAAATCTGACCAATATATTCCATCCCGATGCTCATATATACACTACATGGACTGGCCGAACCCATCATCTCGACTTCATCAACGCCTCAAAGAAAGGCATGGATGCTGGTGCATTCATCATGCACCGGTGTCACGGTAGCAGCACAGACATCAACACGACCGCAACTCGAGCGGTGACGAAAATGAAGGCGACGATAACCCAACGTTTCGACCTCGACGGCGCTGAGGCCGATGCAGAGAGTGACTGCCGATTTTGCTTCTTCTGGACCAAGGTTGGCAATGATTGGAAAGCAATGTTCGTGAGGCATTGGTACGAAAAGGACAAATTGATTCCAGTGAACCCCTCGAAAGTGCCGGAGCTGGACGAGGAGAAGCTAGCGACGTATCCCTCTGGATATCGGTATTTGGCCTACTGTCAGGAAAAGACCATGGGTGTGAAGGTTCTGCTTGATATGCCAGGCCATAACAGAGAGTCTGGCGTGCCTGGTGGGAGCCAAGCTGCGGCGAAGAAGCACGATGAATTATACTGGGCTTGTAAGAGGTGGTTGGAAGGTGAGAACTTCGACATGTGATCAAGTTCGCGAGCCTAGTTTGATAGGATATTCAGTGGACTCAATCTCATCGGGAAACGTGATTTTGGCCTGTCGACGGATCTCATCGACCGCTTCCATCAATAGAATGCTCTCCTCCCAAGTGATTGTCGGACACTCGAGCTTGCCTGCAAGCCAGCAACGAGCTGATTCATCTGCTTCCCAGAACATTCCGTGGCCTGCCAGAGGTATCTCAAAGTTGTGCTCTTCGACCTTGCCCCGCTTTGGGATGATTTTGATACTTTGAGCCCGATGAGCGGGCCCCCAGACTTGAATCTCGCCTTCCAGCCCATAGATGTGGACAGTCGGGCCACCATCATTCGTTGCGTCTGTGAGAATCATGGATGATGTTGCAATGCCGTGAGCGACCTTTGACTTTGAGTTCGATGGCATATCAAACCGCATGAGCAGACTAGTCATCTGATCAGTCTGCGACTCTGCGTGAAACTCGACGAGGCTCGACAAATCGTATGGCTTCCGTCGCTCCGCCCTGTCTTGCGTTGCGTGCAGTGTCTGGAACAACCATGTGAGCGCATAGACGCCAATGTCCAGCAGAGCACCACCAGCCAGGTTCTTGTTCAAGTAGCGATGTGATGGATCCAGTGACTCAACGTCGGTGCCCGTGGAGTTGTTGACGTACACACGCACCACATCACCGATCCTCTTCTCTTGGATCAATCGCCGTACAGTGATGCTTAACGGAAAGAAACGAGTCCACACCGCCTCCATGAAGAAGACACCACGCTCTCTCGCGGTTTCGGTGAGTTTGCGAGCTTGTCTGGCGTTCATTGCCACAGGCTTCTCGCATACCATGGCTTTGCTGTGCTCCAGCGCTAGCATACAGTTCTGATAGTGGTGTGAGTGGGGTGTTGAAATGTAGATCAAGTCCACGTCGGGATCCTTCACTAGTTCTTCGTAAGAGCCGTAGGCTTTGCATTTGATGCTGTCGGATTGCCGTGGGGCAATTGTCTCACGTAGAAAGCGCTCAGCAGAAGCCAGAGACGAAGACGATGCAACGGCAGTGACAACATGGACCACGTCTTCTACGCCTCGCTTCTTGGGATCGATTAGAATATCTTTTGTGAATGTTTGCGCAATACTGCCTGTTGCCATAAGCCCCCAGCGCACGGATCGAGCTGAGGAGGTCGCCATTTCTGATCGTGAAGCTGCACAAAGTCACTCGTCGCCTGTGCAGAAGCCCGTGCGGTACCCCTGCAAACAGGTCCGGACGATGCAGCATATATGAGCCTCAAGACATGTGAGGCTGGTCACGATTGGCTCACGTCCACGGTGCAAGGGCTGCTCAGCTGCCCGCTACCCGCAGTGACCTGGGAATGATCTTTGCCGAGCGGTCATCATTGTTCAGGGTGAGTTTGGCCAACATCTCATTTTCGGAATGGCCAACGGGCGGTAATCACGTCGCATTAGAAGCGTGTCAGCCGCTGCTAACATCCGCACCTGGAGAGACTGAACGGGCACCTTCCACAGTAGCTGTAAGGAATCGAGTGGGAAAGAACGATCACATAAACTACGGTGGCTCACGAGAACCTAGGATGCTTCTTTGAAAATATGACGATGACATGATGCCTTCTTTTCAACTGTCGCCGTGGTTGACGAAGATCGACTTTTCCTGTGTCCAAGCAAGCAGTGACGCCGAGCCCTTCTGGCGACCAATTCCAGATGCCTTGAAGCCGCCAAAAGGTAGCTCGTAAGCACCGTACGGCGACGCTGTGTTCACACCTACGCTACCAGCCTCCAGGGCTCTTGCGACTCTCATCGCCTTGTTGATATCCCTCGTGAACACAGAAGCGTATAACCCGTCTGGTACAAGTCAGCTTCTAAAGATAGGTAAGCACAAAGGTTGCAGATACTCACACTCGGTTTCGTTGGCTCTTTTCACGGCATCCTCTTCGGTCTCAAACTCGTGGACGACCAGGACTGGACCAAATATCTCCTCAACATTAGCTCGGCTTCGATCGGGCAGGTCTGTCAAGATCGTGGGTGTGATAAAATTCTCCCCATGCTCGGTGGCCGATTTGCTCCTACTAACAACTTGCCGTCCTGCTTGGCGATCTCAAAGTATCGCAGGATGTTCTGCGCCTGTTTGGAGTCGGCCTGGGGCCCAATACCTGTGCCTTCAGCGCTCGGGTCGCCCTGAACGATGCTCTTGAAGCCATCTGACAGTCGCTTTCTGAAGTCCTCGGCAATCGACTTCTCGACATACGCTCTCGAAGAAGCTGTGCAGATTTGACCAGCGTCTATGGAACTTGTCAGTAGAGCTTGGTAAGGACGCAGACGGTCTCTTACTAGTCGTGATGGATGCGATAGCGCGTGCAGCAGCCTGTTCAAGATTCGCATCAGCGAATACGAGTAAGGGCGATTTGCCGCCGAGCTCAAGTGCAACGTCCTTCAGATTGGACTTCGCTGCTGCTTGCATCACAGCTCGTCCGGCATTCGTGGATCCGGTGAAACTGATCTTTCTGTGGCATAGTCAGTGAGTCAGTCGTCCACAAGCGCTCCATACCGTACCTTATTTGCATATGCGAAGACAGGAGCGCTCCGGTGTCTCCTGCTCCAGAGATGATATTCACGATGCCAGGAGGGAATCCTGCTTCAGCAGACAGTTTCCCGAGAAAGCTACCCTATATACCGGATCAGCCCATGACAGCGATTGGGCCGTCTTGACTTACGCTCAAAGGCGACTTCTCTGAGGTCTGGACGGTGGTCAGTAAGTGAAATCACGTTGGCACTTGGGTCACACCGTACCTTCAATATGACTGCATTGCCAGCTCCGGTCGAGGGACCTATTTCGTGGCATGCCTACTATCGGTCAGCGGTTTTGAATATCGACGACCGGCGTCTGCTTACCAGCATCGTTGGGAAGTTCCATGGCACTATCGCGGCCACCACTCCGAACGGTTGTCGTACCATCATGTTTAGATGATCCGCAGTATTCAAAGAAGTTTCGCCATGGGTCAATTCGACCAATCCAGAGAAGAAGTTGAGAATATTGCGTCCCTCTTCGACGTCATCAGCGGCTTGTGCCATGGGCTTGCCCATGCAGATCGAATCGAGCTACCGCGCACTTGTCAGCTGTTTTCAGAGACATATTCAAAGGTCGACACACTTCCTGCAGACGAAGCCGATTCTCATGGATCAGATCAGAGAACTTCCGCAGAACCCTGGCTCGCATATAGGCCGGAGTCGCTGCCCATGCTGGCTGTGCTTTCTGGGCCGCTTTGACAGCTTTCTCCACGTCTTCTGCACTAGCGCTTGGTATGTCGGCCAGCCACTTTCCGGTAGCAGGATTCTGTGCGTGTCAGGTCCGTGATCGAGAATGGTGTCAACAATCTCACGCTTAATGAATACGTGCTGCCATTCACGGGCTGGTACTGCCCATCAATCCAAAGTCTGGTTTCGTATTTGGACATGTTGGCAAGTCTCGATACAACGGTTGCACCCAATGATCTGGTACGCTTCAACGATCCATACACGATTCGAGCGCGGCGATATTCATGATTTCACTGTCGACGTGCATGATCGAACGTATATGCTGGACCTTTTGGGTGACCAGGGTCGGCACTGAACTTACCCGAGTTCTCGATGCATACATTTACGAATAACCGGCGATCCGCGAACGTCAATGTAGATCCAGCAAGCGGTCCGCTCTCATTATCATGTCTTACTGTCAGGATTCTCGACCAGCACGATACTGCTTATAAATGATGGGCTATCACAGTGCGCTGAGGACGGGACTCCCTTGGAAACGAATAGTCTGTACAAATGTCGCCTATGAAAGTCAGTGTAGCAGGCCTTGGCGCCATCGGATATGGCATGGCGATTAGTCTCATCAGGGCTGGATTCGACGTGACTAGCTACGACATCAATGAAGCCGTCCTGGAACGGTTCAAAGCTACTGGTAGGAGGACAGCATCTAGCATTCGAGCCTTGGCAGACGGGGCGGGAACCTTCATTTGTGTTGTCGCTACTGCCGAACAAGCACTTAGAGTAATCTTCGACAAAACCTCTGGGGCACTTTCAACCTTGCCTCATGGGAGCACAATCATACTGGCTATCACGGCTCGTCCCGATTTTGTAAGCGGCCTGCAAGAGCAGATCGAGGGATTTGGGCGAGACGATGTAACAATAATTGATTGTCCAGTCTCGGGAGGAGAGGCTCGTGCGAACTCTGGTACCTTGTCTCTGATGTATAGCGGCAAGAACGAAGCAGTTCTGTCAAAGTCCGAGAGCGTTCTACGGGCGATTGGAACCAACCTGTATGAAATTCCCGGCGGCCTCGGCGCGGCTTCACAGGTCAAATTCGTACATCAGATATTTGTTGGGGTGAATATTGTAGCAGCAGTGGAAATGAGTGCCTTAGCACGAAGCGCTGGAATGAACATTCGACAGGTACATGCGTCCGTAATGCATGGAGAGGCAGCAAGCTGGCTTTTCGACCAAAGGGTTTCGCATCTGCTTGACGCCAAGTCAGTGCCAGCTTCGTCCTTGCGCATCATCACCAAAGACATGGGCATGATCTCGGCATATTGTCGTGAGCACAGGATTGGTTTGCCCACCGCCATGATGGCGGACCAGCTGCTGAAAACTGCAGCCTTCAGAGCATGGGACCTCGGCGATGATACGTCTGTCATCAATCTGTACGGGTCCGCGACAGACTATGGGCGGATCGAGAAGGCACAGCTTTCACCGGAGGACATTGGCATCCTCCTCCTGGGCATCCACACAGCAGCCTCGATTGAGGTGTTGCGGTTTGCTCAACATTTCAAGATTGACGAAGCACTGCTTCTGAGCGTCGTCAAGGAAGCTGCCGGTGCAAACAAGGCATTCGACGCGGTTGTCCGTCGATTTCCGCTTAATGCGGCCAAAGAACAACGCTTCGCAGGAGAACAGCTACAAGCTCTCCAAGCTCAGATGGTCACCATCTTAGGGAGAGTATCTGAGCACAACTTTCCGCAGCCACTTTGCTCGGTCGCATGCCAGGTAGTTCAGCTGGCTGGGGACGGGCTTCACTGCTGAATCGATGAAGTGCCCATGCGATTGTACTCCGGGGTGGGTTTCAGCATTCATCCCAGGCAGCTCAGGTCGTGCCAGAGAGTGTTTCAAAATGTCTGTTCGCACATGTAATTGGCCGAGTAAGTGTTGGTCGTTGCCGGAATGTTTCCTGGGAGACTTTAGCCGGTAGGTGTATCTTAGGGACAGGCTGACACGAATGCTTCCTTAAACATGATCTTCTCTTTCGTTCTGTGCTAGTCGGAGTATACACTATATCACACTGGTCGGATCTTGACACCCATACACTTAGGCTAGCGTCGGTCGACGCAATGGGAGTCTATCATATAGGCAAGGTCATCCATCGAAACACACAGAAGCACATCTCACCAGCCATCGACAGTCTTATTCAAGCTCCTAGAATCGTACGACACCAAGGTTCTGGAGTACTGGGAAGCAGAGGTATCAAAGCTTGTCGGAGTTGTGCCAGGTTCGTATCTGTGTCTATCGACTACTATTGGGATAAGCAGTCCCAGCCGACGCAGCCTGGGGAACGATATATCTGACTCTTCTCAGGACTCCGATATGTCGACGTGAGCAGACCATTACCTGAGACGGCCGATCGCACGAAGGGCTACGACATCTCCTTGGTCGCTGTGCTTGACCAAGCCGCGGATGCTTTGGTTTATGCGCATCATCCAGCACATGAGAAGTTCGTGACCCTTGATATAACATAAATGGCATGACGTAGCGCATACTGCTCGGTTGACTGACTCGCAAGCCAGGATCATCCGCGAATGTCGACCAAAGCTCTTCGAAGACCTACTGACTTGTGACATGAGGTTCAAGGACAGATAGGCATTTATTATGCTGTGTGCCATCGGCCAAGAGCGGCATCGTACCGAGACGTGCTGATCCACGACAAATGACCACAGCAGGATGTCAAAACGTATATCCAAGAGATTTGTTGAACAGCTCTGTATCAAGTCTGTTTTCACGTATGTCAGTAGTGCATTTGAAGTTCGGCTTATGCTTACGTGGCTTGTTCATCCAAGGTGTCCATGTAATCCAGAAAAGGTGCATCGAGTGCCAGTTCGTAGTCATCGAAGGATGGGATGGAGTCAGATCCACCTGCCGGGGCGTTATTGCTGCGACTGGGGACTTTTTCCAGGTTGAGTGATGTGAACAGATCGTTTGGATGCTGCTGTATATCGCTAATGCAATGGAAGCTGCCAATTGGATTCGAGGGCAGTCCTTGTGATGGCACAGGCTGTTGAAAGTCGCAAATCGATGACAGGGAGGCCGCTGTGGTGTTCTGGTGGTGTATTTGGACTGGCTGCTCGATCGGCAGGTCAGCGCTGCCGCTTTGATCCATGTGTCGTAACACGAACGCGTCAAGGAGCCGGAGCACAGGATATCGCTGAGATGCGTGAGGGTCCTCGTCCAAATGTTTGCGATCTTGAGCGGTCAAGCGTGGTTGGTAGACACCGTGCTGGCGAGTGGAGTGCGCATCTCCTTCGCTCAATGACGCATGCCCTCCAGGTGCAGAGAGCATGGTGTAGATGATCCTCAAGCTTACGAATCCGGGAGGTTGCATGAGATGGTTTGCTGCAAGTGTTTGACCAAGGCCCGCCTCAGACGCTTGTTGCTCGACCTCCTGATTCCATCGATGCAACTCCTCCGCGTTCATCGTCCATATTGCATCAACAGATTGCAATTTCCGATGCAGATGCTGCAGTAAACCTACCTGAAGCCTGAGCAAGCTGAGCGAACGCGTCGGAATATCTGGACTTGTCGTGGGAACTGCATACGAGGTCGGACGCCACGGCTGCCATTCTTCTGCGCCGTCTCTCATCTTGCAGTCCTCCTCAATATGATCGAGAGTCATCATTGGCGTGGTCATCCTCGCGGCTGAAACAACGGTATCAAGTACAAAGCAACTAAGACGAACGTGGCTGAAGCCATCGTTGTCATCTGCCTCTGGCAGCACCTCATCCATCCAGCTAATTGCTGCTTTGATCAAGCGTCCGGCAGCCGTATATTCACATTTCAGGAACCGCAAAAGAGCCAGCAAAAGCGCGCAGCGGACGTGCCCGAGTTCAACAGCCTCGTTTGAATCTAGTGGAAGCATCGAAAGTGCATGTGCGTAAAACACTTGCTGCCGGCTTCGGACGTGCTCCTGTACATTGCCGTCATCGATCATGTGTTGGTATGCCACAGAGGCGTGAGCATACACTGCCCACAGAGCAGCCCTGTTCCCACTTCGTGCTGTGGTAGATTCGTCAACATACCGATAAGCTGTTCTTAAAAGTAGATGTCGGTCTAGGAGTGGAAGCCATGGTTGGAGGTGATCAAATGAAAGGCTGAGAAGCTGGCTTGAATAGTAAGGTGGCCGGCCTGCATCGTTTGTGCAGTGTACTTGTGGATCCTCCAGGGCGGGCCCTGATGCCTTATGTCGAGCGTGCGCATTAGATACGGCCAATGACCGAAGCCCCTGCTCGTGATCGTTTCGGTCGATGACGCGCCAATATGGTGTCTCAGACAACTGAAGATTCTCGATATCGGGTGGAAGTTCATCGCCTTCACTGCCGAGACTTTGCTCTTCGCAATGGTCCAAAAGCTCGTCAAGCCGACGAGAAACTGTACTTTGCTTCCATTTCTCAAGAACGATGGCAGCATTCGATGATGGCTCGGCCCTGTCAGCACTCGTCATCAAGTCCTGCCTTGAGAGCCGTCCGAGTAATTCATCCAAGGCGGGCTCTGACCCCTCGAGCTCGCAGAATGTGAGGCCTAGGAGCAGCTCGAGAGCACGGACATACCCTGAGCGCAGCCCTCGTCGTTTGGAGCCCGCCTCATAAGAGCATCGCCTCCCTTGCTGCCGACATGAAGCACACGCAGGCTGCTGTCCATCGCAACGCAGCTTCGCGTATCGGCAATTGGCGCATGCCCTCGAGATCCTTTGTCGTTTCACGGGTTTCCCGTCGCTGTCGCCGTTCGCTTTGCCTTGAGTCGCGACCGATTGCATGACATTTTGTGATCCTCCGTGGGCCGCCCCTCAAGTATGCTGCCCTCCACTTGAGCAGGAAGAGCCTGAGGCGAGAAATTTCGGCGGGTAAGAGTCGGCAAAGCTCATTCCCGAGCCTCAAAGTCAATTTCTACATGCTCTGGGCGGCCCCTATCATCCTTTGGAGACAATTCTGTGACTCTGGATGTTATTGCCGTCCTCTTTGTGATGAAGCGCAAGCTCATATTCCAGGACGAACCTGATATCGATCAACCAAGTAGTGGATGGTCATCCGATGCAAATGTTGGTGAGGTACGCAAGGGGCGGCATACGCCGTGGACGAGGCAGTACCAGCAGAATGCTTCGATCTTGTTCTTTGGACCTAGAGCGACAGGCAAGTCGAGTATAGCAGTGATCGCTGGAGCCCTCCTCGGGTGGAAAGTCGTGGACTGCGATCATGAATTCGTCACACAGACTGGAGCCACAAAACAGCAATATCGCGCCGAGCACGGGACAGAACAGTATAGAGCAAAGAAACTAGACCTTGTCCAACACCTTCTCGGGCGGGATCCAGAGCGTTGTGTATTTGTCTGTGGGACAGTCGCACCTCGAGAAGAGAAAGACTTCCTCGCTACGTACGCTAGTCAGCACCCTGTCGTTTATGTGGTCAGAGAACAAGCGCTCGTTCGACAATGTCTTGGCCTACCTGAGGACAGCCCGTTAGAAAGTGCGTTGGAGCAAATTCATCGTTACTTCCGGCAACATAGCAACTTCGAATTCTTCAACATTGACGAGAGGCAAGAGCCGGCATGGCAGAGCGTGCTTTCCAGATTTCTTCATGAGAAATCACTGGACGACTTCAGCGCTTCTAGGCCTCGGGTCCTTCGCAAGACACGACGCCACATTGCAAAGTTGTTGCACAATATCTACGGACCTGCGTTCGAGATCACGCAGCATGGTGATTCTCATATATCCGAGACCAGCCCAGAATTCAAGGAAGGATCATTTGTACTGCTGCTGGACCTCAATAACATCCGAGCCGAACCTGGAAGCCTTGACCTTGTCGATACCGATATTGATGCCGTACAATTGAACGTGGAAGCAACCCCAGAGAACTGGAAGCTACTCTTGACCACCGATACCTTGGCCTGGACGGTATCTCTTCTCCGACGGAAGTTCGACGTTCCGGTGATGATAAGTATCTGCTGTCCATCTGCTTCAAAGAATCTTTCGGCATCGGAGCTCCGTCATTATCGGCAACTTCTACTTCATGCTCTGCGACCTGCTCCAGAATTTTTAGCCTTAGATCTAAGCCTCGGCGACGATGTCGTACGAGATATAGTACGGTCCAGAGGTTACACCAAAGTCGTTGGATCTCTCCAGCATTGGCAAGATGATGAAGAGACAGTAGGCGCCAAAGACCTGGTGAAGGCATATCGTCGCGCCAGTGAGCTGGGCTGTGAGCTGGTCGTTCTGCGCGGCTCCTCGCGGTCTGATTGTGACAGCTTCAAGTGCCAGGAGGTCTATAAGAGCATCGCTCAGATAGATCTTTCGACACCTGCAGTCGTGATCGATCAGGGCAGTCATGGGCGCCTATCGCAGGTATTGAATCGCACCATGACCCCAGTCGTTGCGCATCCTCAGGAGAGAATGTTAGCCTTGACAAATAGTGCTTCTGCTGGCCTCACGACCGCCCAGCAACTCAGGATCATTCGGAAGATGCTGGTGCCAGAAATCAGATCGCGTTTCTACGTGTTTGGGGCAGAGGTCAGGGAGAGTCTTTCTCCTGCGATGCATAATGCCGCTTTCACAGCTTGTGGGCTGCCCTACACGTACGAAGTGCGTGAGACCGGCGACCTCAGTGTTCTGCAGCGAGTTGTCAATGAGCCGTCGTTTGGAGGCGCCAGTATCTCCTTGCCGTTCAAGTCACTCGTACTGCCACTGGCATCAAGACACAGCCCTGCAGTCGAACTGATTGGTGCTGCGAACACGTTGCTACCCTACTCAGAGCAGCGTGGCAAGCCTCAGCAGCGCGAAGGCGAATCATTTGGTGAGGCTGCGCCTGAGTTAGTGGCGGAAAATACCGACTGGATGGGTATTCACACATGTATTGCAAAGCACACAACACCAGCCAACCACATCACGGAGAATACATCGGCAATCGTCATCGGCGCTGGCGGCATTGCTCGAGCAACAATCTACGCGCTCATGAAACTTGGCGTTGGGCACATCTGTATACTCAATAGAACGATGGCCAATGCGATCAGGGTCAAGGAACACTTCGAGACTGTCTGCAGCGACCTAGACGATACCCTCTCAGAGCTGAGTGCAGATTCTGAGGCGTCAGCAAGCGTTCCTCGATTTCACGTGCTCAACGGATGGGATGCGCCGTGGCTGACCGATGTGCCACATCCCAGTATTGTCGTTTGTGCAATACCTGTCTTTGACACAGAGGCTTCCACAGAATACCCACCAGAAATACGACATGATTGGTTTGAGAACCGCACAGGAGGCTTGATCGCGGATCTCTCTTGGAAGCGTCGCAAGACGAAGCTCGGAGCACAATTAAGCTCAGGTAAACCTCGCGGATGGAAGTGTATCGATCCCATCGAGGTCTTGTATGAGCAAGGAGCCCAGCAATTTCCTTTCTTCGCGAAGTGCAAGGCACCGAGGAGGGCAATGCTCGAGGCATTTCTTAAGCAATATAAGATCACGTACGAAAACACATGAGCATTAGCAAGGTGGCCGGCATGCGCAATGGATGGTCATAGGCAGGCGACTAGGGAAGGAGTCTATCTTCGGCAGACCGGTAAACCTTTCAGGTGTGCGGCTCCTCTGTATGACGATGTTGTCCGCGTAGGATGCCTATGATGGAGGCCAGTCATGCTTGGAGACGCCCTGCGCGCCCCTAGTGCGGAGCACCTACCTTGAGCGTTGCCCAGAGACTCAGCCTTCGGTTTACAGGATGGATAGTAGACAGACCGGTCAACAATCCAGACTGTCACCGTCGCCAGGGTAGAAATGACGCCGGATGACGTGTTCACGGCCACGGAGAGGACCGGTTGGCCAGCTCGCCAAGACATTGCTGCCGAGCATGTTCACAGAGCTCCTGCTCTTACAAACACACTTAAGGCTCTATAACCTACCTTGTCCCCACCGCCTCAACACGACACCATACCGCCACAACACGTACGGGGCCACCAATCCCACGACTAACGCAACGCCAGCCAACAACGCATTCCCTCCACCGACACCCAGCTTCTTGAACAATCCCGGTCCAAACAGCGGAAAACTGAAGCCGGCCATGGTCCTCACAAACGCTGCAGCTCCTGTCGCACTCGCAGCATAGTTCACCCCTTCCTTCTCGTTCGTATATGCATCAACGACATACGCTTGCGCGCAGTTGAACGTCACTATGAGCCCAACGCAGAAGATTGCGGTGCCGATGTCGGGTACGGTCCAGTGGGTATGTGCTGCGGCGGAGAGACCGTAAATCAGCAGGCCGATGGGGATCAGGAGGCCGAATGGAAGGCATAGTGGGAGGCGGTGCTCCGGGATGCCGGTCGTCGGGTCGGACTGGGCGGTGTAGACGCGTCTGGGAGCGGCAAATGCGGGATTGGAAGCTGCGTTCGGTAATTGCTTGGGGGCATCTGCGTTCTCGCGGTCGATGGTGGCTTGCTCGGGATCTTCGATGGCTTTGGGGACCGTTGAGTACTGAGCAAGAGCCGCGTAAAAGGCATGGCGTAATGGCGTACAGGGATCAATGCCCCTCTGCTTGAGGTAGCGATACGTCTTGTCTTGCATTGGTCCTGAGATTTGGAGACCAACAACAAATCCGATCCCAAGACTGATATAGTGCAGGCTGGCGGTGCCGATGTCTTGACCATACTGGTCGCGAAAGACTTGTGGCAGGGTAGAGAACATCAAGTACATGATACCGTAGCCATAGGCGCGGTAGACTGCCATGGCTTGCAGAGCTGGCTGGGTCGTGAGCATGAGAAAAGGCCGACACATGGCTTTCCGGAAGATCTGGCCGAAGGTCTTGTCTGGCTGTTGCCATCTGGTGTGCAGCTTAGTGTTGCCAGTCTCCCTTGATAAGCCTTCGCAGACTTTGGCGAGGATGGCCGGATGGTAGGTTTCGCGTAGGAATAGGAAGGCCAGTATCTGAATGAGGGTATCTGCAATAGATGTGGACCAGAAAATCCACCGCCATGTCGTGTGTAAAGTGATGTAACCGCCGGCTATAGGTCCAATTGCAGGACCAAGGAAAGGGGCGAGCGAGTATAGAGCTATAGCACTTCCACGTTCGTCCTTAGCCCAGCAGTCGCTCAAGACACCACCTCCGATGGCTTGTGGGGCGCTTCCACCCAGGCCGCTCAGGAACCGGAAGGTCAGCATCTGCTCCTTGTTTTGTGCGAAGCCACACGCGGTGTTGAAGATGAGGTAGAGCATGTTGGCGGCTTGTAAAACCACAACGCGTCCGTAGATCTCCGACAAGGGGCCTAAGACAAATGGCCCAACGGCGTACGCTAGCAAAAATATCGACATGATGAGGACGTCTTCGACCTTGGATGTGATCTCGAATTCTTTGGCTATATCGGGCAGAGCAGGGGCGATCATTGTCGATGCGACTGGCGAGATGAACGTGAAAGAAGATACCAACACAGTGGCCACCCATTTGTTCTTCCTCGACCAATTCAAGGGGTTTCTCGGGTCATCCTTGCCGTCCCAAGTCACCAGATCGGGGTCGAGGGAGGACTGTGCTCTCTTCAGACTCTTGCGCGAGGGAAGATGGCCTAGACCGCGACCAACTGGAACGGGCTTCCGTGGTGGGACCGCTTGCCAACGAAGTCTTGAGCTTTGGCGTCTAATGGGTCGTGGCGGCACCCAATCATCATCCACGTCGCGTTCAAGCGGATCGAGCCCTTCCTTTTCGTTCTCCTGATCACTGTCGAGATCAGAGACTGCTGGTTCGTCCGAAGCTGAGTCAAAGTAGTCGAAGTTGGAATCGCGAAAATCTGTGCTGAGGCGTGAAAATTGTGGTCGCGGCAGTTCGTAGTTTGAGAAGCTGGCTATCCCGATAAGGCTCAGAGACCGATTCAGGGTGCGGCCAAGGGAGGATCTGCTCTTGAGTTGAAGGGCTCCCGGAGGAGAGGGCATGTCGAATGGAGCTGCCATGGCTCTCAGGGCGATAATGAGGATTCAGCAATCACTTCGAGGCAGAGGCTACTCCCCAAGTTTATACTTGTACAGCAGATGCATTGTCAGTCATGTTCGGCAGGACTCTGGTACTCAGAGCATCTGAACCCAAGACCTCGTCTGAAACCTATTATGAAGGCGCAGCTGTTGTTGTCCTCGCTCTCAGTCCAAGCAATTGTACACATTAGCACGATAGCATAAGATGAGGCTAGCGGGCTCGTCGCCTTGCTGAGCCACGCTCATGGACCATCTCCTTGAGATCAGATCGGGATTTGCCAAGACCAAGCATAGCCGCATCGCCAAGTTTTTCCCCATTCGGAGCCAATGGGAACAACTCCGCCGAGTAAGTCAAGAATTTTGAGCGGACTCCATCCTTGGTCCCTGACACTGTTGGTTCTTGACACTGGGAGACGGTGTCTTATCATCAATGCGGCCGAGCTGCTGGTGTGCCCAGAAGATGTAGACCCCACCACATGGCAGCAGGCGTTTGGTCCAGGTTCGACAAGATTCATGCCATGTTCCGAGCAAAGAGTGTTTCCCATAGTCTTCCCGAATCCCCCCGGGTCACCCCTCTGGAAGTCAGACTCACCGTAATGATGTTGGTGAACACAAGAAAGGGCTTGAACAAATGGCCTTATGTCGACAATCGCGCTGTCAGACCGAGCGTGTGTTTGAAGTTCTCCAACTTCACAGCCAAGGAACGAGCCAGTGCTTGTACTCTGATTCTTGATTCGAGTATTGACTTCGAAGCTGCGCCACCAATCCTCTTGTCCTCAATGTTGGCGGAGGTCTCTTGCTCGATCCTGAAAAGTAGTGCTGGTCATGTTGTCGGCTTTCGAGTGCGGACATACCCGGCACGGAGTCGCGCCCAGGGACAGTGCATCTTAGAATAGTGTATCTGATCTTCGCCTCTGAAATCGTCCACCGAAAATAGCAGGTTGGCACACGACACAAGGCAGATCCGGGCCTGTTGCCTCAAACGCGATCCGGCACGAGAGCTATTCCAGTCTCGAGTGCTTTTGACCGGTTCTAAGCCCCCATCATGTATAGCCAGCGCAGTCTGAGTTATATCTGGATGCACTTGAGATCTTGCCATGGGGGCAGCGCTTGCAGTGCATGTTCGCATCACAGCTCAAGGTATTAAAGCAGAGCCAGAGTCCAGAACAAACGCAGATCTGATCACATCCCAGCAGCCATCCACCGTCGACACTCGTTGAAACAACATCTCCATCGTTGAACTCTGTTCCTTAATACAAGGCCTACGCATCATAGTCGCGTCGTTACAACATGGCCTCCATCATCAAAGTTGTGCCCGCAATGAACATTGTGATCGCTCCTTCCGGCTTCAAGGAGTCTTTGGATCCAGTCCAGGCTGCAGAATGCATAGAAAAGGGCATCTTGAAGGTCGCCCCTAATTCGAAGATATTGAAGATGCCGCTCGTTGATGGCGGTGAAGGGTTCGTGCATGGCCTCGTTAGTGCAACAAAAGGCCGAGTCATAAACATCACAGTCACCGGCCCACTTGGCCTCCCGATACCGTCGTACTTCGGCTTCCGCGGAGACAGGCCTGCCACTGCCATCATAGAGATGGCTGCCGCTGCTGGTCTCAGTCTGGTCCCTCGAGACCAACGCGATCCAACCAGAACCACCTCGTTTGGAGTAGGAGAGTTGATACTGGCCGCGATCGAGGCAGGCGCGACGAAGATCTTGGTGGGCTGCGGCGACTCTGGAGTCTGTGATGCAGGCATCGGCATGTTGCAGGCCCTAGGTGTCCGATACCTAGACGGCAACGGGCAAGCACTACCTCAAGCAAGTGGCATCGAAGGTCTGGAGCGGTTGTCCGTCATTGACACCTCCACCTTGAACCCATTACTGAGCCGAGTCAAGATAGACGTGGCTTGCAACTGGCACAATGTATTGTGTGGACCAAAAGGAGTCTCGCGGGTATTTGGTCCTCAGAAGGGAGCAACAGATGCACAAGTCGAGGCCATGTCAATAGCCATGGAGCGATGCGCAGAGGCAATGAGCCGAATCCTTGGTCGAGACATTTCTCTAGAGCCTGGTACGGGTGCTTCCGGCGGTCTCGGAGCTGGTTTACTACTGACTGGAGCCACCCTGCACCCAAGATACGACATTGTTATGCGGTTCTTCGACATTGACAGAGCGATGAAAGCAGCAGACCTAGTTATCACCGCTGAAGGGGGTATAGATGAGCAGACACCACGTGGAAAGATCCCAGCAGAAGTCGCATCGCGGGCCAAGAGCTTGAACTTACCTGTCATTGCGCTGGCAGGCACGATTGGAGCCGGTGCGGAAGCGAACTACCACTGTGGAATCGATGCCTTCGCCAGTATCATGCAGGGACCAACAACCCTTGATGTCGCAATTGCTCAAGCGAAAGAGTTACTCACAGACGCTGCTGAAAGCTCAATGAGAATGGTCTTAGTGGGTCAGAGAATTCGGAAAACATCAGAAACCCTAGTAGAGCCACCGTGCCGCTCAAAAGCAACAAACTAGAGGGGAAAATAGTCTCATTGAGGCGAGCTCACACAATCGAATTGTGCTGCGTTTGAAGTGACGTGGGAGGACGACAAATTCTTCTGGCAACGAGAAAGGAGGGTGGAAGTAAGGAGCGAGGGAAAGGAAAATACTCCAATTTACTCAAGTCGAGCAATCCGCGAGGCTGAATCCAAGCCTCGTCGCTCCTACTGCAGGTGGGCTTACACAAGACCGGATGTTTGCCTTCGCAGCAGAAGGTCTTGGCTTAGTGGATTGTGTCATGCAAAATCAAATGGCTAAGTATTCAATTCGACATCTGAGTCGAAAGCCACGAGTTTTAAGGCGTGAACGGCGTCTCTTTATCGCGTCGAACCCGCGGAAACCTGCCATGCTGACTGAGATCTGTTATCTCGTCCTCCTCAATGGCTGCTGAACCTCAACTGATAACAACATGGACCTAATTCAGATGCACGTTTCGACCGTTGTCGATCTCGCACGCGCGCATCAGATCTGCATGGCATATCAAGCTTCACATCCAAGCATCCGGTTCTCGGATTAAGAATCCGTTTATCTGCCAGCCGCCTTGCGATGCTGATCCTCCGCAATTTCTCATGCATCTCCGCCGCTGCAAATAGGTGGTAGGTGAATGAGCGCGGTAAGATGTGAACATGTTATTATCAGTCGCGTTTGCGCCTCTGCTATCATTTCCCAGTATGCCATTCAAGCTGCAAGCCACAACATGGACGCATTCACAGCAGCGCAAACGACCGAGCTGGTCTCGAGGATCGGTACGAAAAAGGCCACCATGCGTCTCGACAAGCTCTTCATAAATTCGTTCATGACAGGCCCACTGCTCGGATTTGTGAGCTACATGTTCGGCGTCAGTCACTAGGCTAACATTGCAGGGCTGCGCCATCGTTTTGTCCGTCAATGCCTCGCCATGGTACCAGGAAAACGCTCCTGGCCTCATCAGACTTTGGGGCGCCCTTCTTTTCCCGATTGGTCTCGTGATGATCGTTCTGACCGGCGCGGACCTATTCACGTCGAACGTCATGTTCATGACAACTGCTCTACTACATCGTCGCGTCGGCATCGTTGATCTGTTGAGAAACTGGTTTGTGTCGTTCTTTGGCAATCTGGCGGGTAGCCTCTTTTCTGTAAGGGCAACGCATACGGCGAAACAGTGCGCTGACTGAAGCAGATGGCAATCATCTTCGGCTGTAAGGACAACGCATACCGCGACACAGTGCGCTGACTGAAGCAGATGGCAACGTTTACTCGACGCCGGGATACAAGAATGCTGTCTTTACGTTTGCGGAGGAAAAGTGTGTCACTCCAGAGTGGCATCACATATTCTTGCGAGCAATCGGTGCGAATTGGCTCGTGTGCATGGCCGTCTACCTTTCAATCTCATCTAGAGAGATTGTCTCAAAAATAATTGCTATTTGGTGGCCGACTGCAACTTTCGTGGCTCTCGCGCTCGATCATGGTAAGAGATACTCCATCTGAATCCGAACGTGCTAATTCTTCAGTGATTGCAAACATGTTCTTCATTCCAACAGCGATCTTTTACGGCGCACCTGGCATCACCGTCTCTTTCTACATCTGGAAGTCACTCATACCCACGCTACTTGGCAACATTGTAGGGGGAGGAATCATGGTAGCGCTTCCATACTGGTATCTTTACCTGTTCCAAGAGGAGACCACCATCGAATTCGACACTGGCGGTATGGGTACGGCGGTCAACGAAAACGCTGGACCTACATCAAACTCACATTCGAGGCGCATACTGCATGGACGAGAAGTCCATCATTCGGACCCAGCATTGCAACTACCCCAGCCTGGCGCGGACATTCGGTCCGGCGTGTCGAGGGAACTGAGTGAGGAGAAGTATGGCAAGAAGCCGGACGGACAAACGAATGGGATCTCAAATGGAGTCTGAGCCGAATGTTGGTAACTGTAAGATGTATCCGGTGGCGGACAGGAGAAAGTGATGGCGTGGCGATGAGGCCCTGCATGAGATGGCCGACGAGTCACGGGCGGGTGGCATCGACATGAATAACTGAATGGAACGATCGACTACTTGAGGTACAGAACTTGTGGAGCATACCTTGCAGGTAATCTGAAGGTGTTTTCATCACCTAGTTACGAAAGCGATGTCAATAGGAACGTCCAATTGAACGTTGGAGGAGGATGAACTCATCGATAGTAATAATTAATTGTACAGTCTACAGCGAAGTTACACGAGAGAGACCATGCGGAATCTCGCAGAATCTTACACTCTCCATCGAATTTCTGCCTTTAATCCCTGGTGCTGTCCTTATCAACGCCAATGCTCGCTCGCTCGAAGACGACTGCTATCATATTTCCAATACTGCTTAGTAATGATGATGCGAACTGTGTGTGTACGTCCGCACCATGTTATTGTGCCTCGTCTGAGAAGCTCTGCTTCGAGTTCTGCTCAGCGTCCTTGTCCTCGTTGCCGAAACATTAGCATCATCGACTGTGCTTGTAGTGGAAAGCGAACGCGATCTCTGCGCTTCCAGATCACCACCTTCTTCCATACTCTTGCGAGTCGACTCGGTTCTTTCTTTCTCATCATCCTCTTCAGCTGCCTCATGTTGCCGATCAGCCTTCATTTGCTGCATGATCTGGTGTGCTTGAGCTGCGTACTTGCACTTCATTCTGATCCGTTCGCCCATCTTGTAGAAGACGAATGGGAAGGGCAGGCACGCTAGCGCGAGAAAAGCCGGGATTGTTGAAGCCCAGTGGATGCCGAGCCTGGAATACATCTGTGATGTAAAAAGAGGGAATGCAGCGCCGAACAACGAACGGAGCACAGAGTTCGCTGCAAGGACCGATGCCGCGTAAATCGTGTAGCTGTCGATGAGGTAGTTCATACATGACAGAAAGACGAGCACCATGCCGAAACCGAAAGGTGCCGTGAGAATGATCGAGACAATCCAGTGGATGGATGGATAGTTGGTCCAGGCAAATCCAAACATTCCAATTGGAAGGGCCACGGCTCCGACCATGCCAGGTGGCAGTCTAGACTCTGGAGGTGCTTCGCCATTGTGCTCCCGCTCCACCTTTTCATACCGCTTGTTGTCCCATATGCTGTAGCTGACGCCGATAAGCATGCCGACGGCGACTCCCAGGAATGCAAGACCTCCAATACCTTGGCTCCAACCACGGTTTTGCTGATATACAATCGGGAAAGCGCCAAACAGCATGTAAAGCGTGCCGTAGAGAATTGCCATGTAGATCGAAATCAGCATGACGATGGGTTCGAGGAACAACAGCTGCCACGGACGCGCCAATGCCTTCTTGAAAGCATCCTTGACAGTCGTGCGACCTTGTTGCTTCTCCATGATTGAGATGTAGACGTGACCTGTGCGCTTGCTGAGTTCCGCTGCTCGGCGACGTAGGATGACTGGCGCGTATGTCTCAGGCACAAAGAACGATCCGAAGATCCAGAGTACGCCAGTGAAAATGGCCATGACACCTTCGACCCACCTCCATCCGACGTTTTCACCAGTAAAGCCGCCAACGATCGGTCCAATGACGGGACCCAAGAAAGGCGCGGCAGCGAAGATGGAGGTGCCCAGTCCACGTTGGCTGGCTGTGAACATATCTGCAATGACGCCACCAGCGTTGGTCAGAGGCGAAGCGCCAAACGTGCCAGCGAAGAAACGCATGACGATGAGACTGGCAATGGAGTTTGCGCCTGCTGCTCCGGCGTTGAAAGCCGTGAGAACAGCATATGTGCCGCAGAAGAGGACTTGGCGGCCATACAGCTCGCTCAACGGCGCCCAGAGAAGAGGGCCGATTGCGAAGCCCAAGACGAATAGCGACACTCCAAGGGTGACGACTTCTTGACTGCACCCAAACTCCTCGAGAATCTGAGTCGTTGATCCAGTATAGGCGGAAGAGACAAACGCAACAGCCAAGGTGGCGATGGCGACCGTCATCGTAATCGCCCATTTCTTGGAGTCTGGCCAGTTCATGGGATCTCGTGGATCATTTTCGAGGAACTCGACGAGGAAAGGATCTTTCTCCGTGCCGGCGCCATCGTAGTCGTGATGCTCAACTTCTGGTGTGACCAGGCTCTGCGAAAACACCAATTTCCAATGAGACACTTTGGTGTGAGTCCCTTCCGGATGAGCTACATCAGACGGCTTCTCGTCTGCCATCGTTGATGTCGAGGTGTGCAATGTACGGTCACTATTGCTTTGGGTAGTGGTCGACTTCTTCGTAGGGCTCGCAGGGACTTTTGAGTATATGTACTTTGTTGCCTTTCCCTTCACTTTCCGCCCACTCTATCTCGGTCTATCGGCACCACATGTCTTTGTCCATCCCCTTCCACAAAAAATTCTGTCAAAACAATGCGAAAGTGGTGACGGTGACGGCGACCGAAGCTTGGTCCGGAAGTCTGTTATTGACGTCAGTGGATCTGGCAGGGTTCATTTTCAGCTGCTATAGGCTGGGAGTGCCCGCGAGATGGTGGATGCCGAGGTACTGCGAGGCATTTTTGGAGCCCAAAGATTGTGCACAAGCACAAGGCAGTTAAGCTAAGCATTAAATGCGATCTTCGGGTATCGGCAGACAAAGCCCTGAGGTTTTCTTCCAGCAGACTCGTTGATTCGTTTCGTTTGGTGTGTCCATGGCGATAAGCATGCAGCTTGTGGTTGAGGCTCTGCCGGCGATTAAGTTAGGCGTGGTTTGTGGGGCTTTTCTGCTGGGACATTAGCTGGATCTGTATATCTCGCCGTGATCGCGTGTTGCTGCAACACGATGTTCGTGCCCACATGCACACGTGTGGGATACGCTGCGCCATGACCGCAACGTCCTCTTCTGCACCGTTTGTCAGGCAAGCCTGGCGCTACAGTCCCGCATGGATTTGTCGCAAATGGACAGTATCGCATTTTGAATCGCGTCAGAAATGCGCTGACAGTTTCAGCGCCACGTGCTGTCGTGCCTAGCGACCCGTGCGCTGGCATGATGAAGGACGTGGATCGTGTTGCCTTACGTCTCATGTTCTTCTGCACATCGTCAATGGGAAACCTCCATCACATCACTGAGTCATGTTCTCCCATATTGGAAGTCTTTATGGTCCTGTACGTTGCAGTTTTGACGAGCCATGGTAGAGAAAGAGATGCCTTCGAGCTCCAAACTTCTGCGTCTGGACGAAGGCGTCTATCGTGTGGCAGAAAAGTCGTGGTGCACTAGGGAATCTAGCATGGCAGGTAATGTATCTTATGGTATTTGGCGCCCAGAAGCTTTCCTTCCTCCCTAGGCCCCCCATTCAATGACATGTCTTGTGCGCTGGCCGAGCCTAACTGGACAGGGCAGTTTCCTCGGGACTTCACTCAGGCCTCAGGCATGCCATCCATGGATCTAGCATACAGGAACGAGCTTGGCTCGATACACGGTCTACACCAACTTTGGGTGTTGTAGCGATACTCGAGCAATCACCACTTGAGTTGGGTGTCTTGAAAGCTGCCGATCTGAGACAGCTACCAACCAGCCCACTCATCTTAGTACGCTTCGTCGTGGTCTGAGCAGTTTGAAACATCTCCACGATGCAGTTCAACAGCGAGAACATATTTCAGTGGATTGGCATTCTCACAATTCTAGTTTTCAGCTTCCAGTTCTTGTCCTTTCTGAATTACCACCTCCGCCCATCGAGACTGTCGAAATACCTTAAACAGGACGGCCAAGCATCCTGGGCCGTAGTCACTGGTGGAGGAGGCGGGATTGGCTATGGGTTCAGCCGTGAGCTGTGCCTCCAAGGCTTCAACGTGATCATCATCGGTCACCTACGAGACGAACTTGAAGAAGCGCGCACACAACTGAGTAAACTCAATCCTTCCGCTGAGATCAAACTCATCGTCCTCGACGCCACAACTGCGACCTACAACGCGACCCAGAAAGCCATCACTTCCATCCTCTCCTTGAACATCACTATCCTGGTCAACAACGTCGGTGGTGTTGGAGCTATCTTCAAAGAGCATTTCAAAGACCTCAAACGCTACACCGGCCCCGAAATCGACTCCGTCCTGTACATGAACAACCGTTTCCTGACTTACCTCACCCGATTGCTCCTGCCCACTCTGATTCGCTCCCAACCCTCAACCATCATCAACCTCAGCTCCGGCGCCTGGCTCGGCTCACCCTACCAAGTCCTCTACGGCGCGAGCAAAGCTTACGTCAATGCATTCAGTCGCGGTCTGGACATCGAACTGCGCGCCGAGGGCCATCGAGACCTGCAAGTGATGGCGATTGTGCTTGGCAATGTACGGAGCAAATCTAATGTCGTCGACACGTCGTGGAGTGTGCCGTTGGCGGATGATATGGCGAGATATGCATTGCAGAAGGTTGGGCGCGGGAGGTCGATTTGTGTGCCATATTGGAGACATGGGGTGCTGATTTGGGTGCTGGAAAGTTTGCTGCCGAAGTTTGTTGCTGAAACGGTACTCACGGGCGTGTATACGGATTTGAAGAAGATGTATCTGGAGAAGGGGGCGTCTGTGAAGGAGGAATGAGCATGCCATACAAAAATTGCCGAGCCTGTTGTTGATGGCAATCTGCTTCGGTACATGAAGCTACAGTAGTGGCAGCGAAGAATTGCCGACGCAGAGCATTCGTGATTATCGACCCTTAGCTGGCAAGTCTCGAACTTTGCCTTGGTGTCAGGAGGACCCTATGCTCGCTCGAGTATATGTCATTGAATGAAGTCGAGCTACTAAGATTATGTAATTGACTTGCTTTTTCTGATGCCTTACGACAAGTGTTTGCCCCGTTGCCGCCCCTTCGCAGAAGACGCATACCCAGCAACCCGGCACACTAAGGCGTTACCGCAGCACTTAGTTCGGACTAGGAAACGCTGGCGAGTCAAGAACGCGCTGCACCTCTCCATCGCATTGACCTACGTCAACTGTGCGCGTCATGTTCTCGTATGCAAAGGTCATGGCGGTCTGGTTCTGGAGCACCCATTTGTACTCAACGGTTGTGGAAGCGTTGAACCAAACAGGCGTGTTCCACCAGGGGTAGTCTGCCGTAATGTTGCCAGGCCTCAGTACCTCGATGGGAGGGTCGAGACTAAGTGAGCCTCCAAGCAACTCGTTGTCACCAACAATGTAGATGTTAGTTCCTGGTTTTGTTGAATAGTTGCAGATGAAAAGCACCTCCTTCATGCACAGCGGCATGGAGATGTTTGGCGCAAGGTCAGCATAGGCCGGAACATAGCTGTAAGTTGCGTTGTAAGAAGAAGCCGAGCAATTAGAGGTGACGTTGCTGGCGTAGTCGGAGGTGGCACCCCAGGAAGGTGGATACTTCCCTGCGCGTCGTTCGGCCGCCGTAACGAAGGCTGCGAACGACCATGTCAAGGCAATGGCAGAGGTGGGCTCGCCGGTAGTCTTGTTGATCTGCTCGTTAAGCGTGCCGTTTGCTGGTGTGTACTTCTCCACGACCTGGACGAATCCGTCGGCATACCTGAACATAATCAGCAAAATGGTTTGATTTAGCTGGCGCCATACATACTTGATCATGGCGTTGGTATAATTGGCAAGAGTGGCACTGTCCGAGTAGTTGCCGACCTTGGCGTCCGGATAAATATCCTGGAAGAAAGCGAGAGATGTATTGTCGACAGTGATTGTGCCGTTCTTTCGGAATTGCGCGGCGGCGTCATATAGTACTTCTGCACAGACCAAAGTCGTGATGTACCTTGCTGATAATTAGGGCTGAATCGACCACGACACCGACTGCCACTCACCATGGATTGCCACCATAGTAGGTATCCTCAGGGTATCTGCCCACTGCTACAGCGCTAGGAGCAGTGGCATTGTCGTTGATAGGATAGAGGTTGCGGAACGAGTCGACCACCACTTTGTGGGTCGCGAGAACGCGTGAGTTGCATGGCTGCATGGAAGTGGCATCGCACGTGGCGTTGATGTCAAAGGCGTGTATGGAGCCCAGCAGTGGATCTGTCCCGATCTGTGATCTGTTGACTTGGTTCGCGTTGATGTTTGCTAGTAGGTAATTGCCTGTCTCATTCCAGAAGTTGTTCTTGAGGAAGCAGGCAATCTCGGGAGCTTGCTCGCATGGCTTGCATGTCTGATTAAGACGCTCGGCCCACACGGAGCCTGAAATCAATGCACGATACTGGGCAGTAGTGGAGAAGAATGAGTTTCCGTTGACTTCCTCCCAGGGATCGTAAGAACTGGTATTCCAGTACTGGCCGACGTAGTTGAGATCCGCCAGTATCAGCGGCCAGTAGTACTGTGCCACAAGCCTGGGCGCGTTCGGATTGCGCTGATAGATGGCTTCAGCAATCTCCATGAAGGTCGTGGCCCGGAAAGCTGATCAAACCAGTCAGCCAAATCGATCTTGTAGGTTAATCCGCAACGCAGGGCACTCCAGACACGGAAACGACTCACCAGGGCCATCATTCTGCGGTCTGCACCACGTCAGCACTGCTAGTCGAACACGGTAACAACGTACCTGCCCCACGCATCGTTGAATCTAGTCAAATTGCTGTAGAATTTCGGCTCTCCCAGGCCTTCCCCAGCTGGCCAGAACGTGCCCGATGGGTTCGTCACAGTCTGAAGAAAGGCTTGTGCTGCTGTGTAGTACTCGGCTGCCACTTGCAGACTGTTGTTACCGACCTTCTCAGTGCCGAAGATCAGCTCGTCCGTGATCATGAGGTACGTCAACGCCGAGTCTCGAGTCCAAGTATAGAAGTAGTTGGGGTTGACGGTGCTAGGTGACGCCAGAACAGCGCCAGGACTGGGACCATCGCCAACGATTGAATTGTTCATGCCTCCAATATTTTGGATAGCTCCGGCAAGCGATATGTTGTACTGTGCCGCGATGTAGTTGTCCAGGGTCGCATTCTGACCATACTGAGCATATGCTGTGGCCAAGAGGCCAAAGACCACAGTGAGACGTAGCATGGCTGTGATTCACACAGAGGTACTGGAGTTCATGGAGGGATGGTGTCAAGACGGGTATTCAAGGTGTGCGCTTTTTGAGCTTCGAGCTGGTACCTACCTCTACTATGGAGCTCACAAGCTGCATAACGTAACAGCAGATCCGGCGGAACTTTGATGGGCCTAGCGGTTTGTGGCAACTTTTGCCAGCAAGCTCGTCCCAGTCTGAGCACTGTTTCGCTTGCGGAGCGCACAGAAGTCACACATTGATGGAAGAAAGTTTGCTGACGTTGATGTCATCGGTTCTGGTGCACACCCAAAATGCGGGGTGAGCCGAAATGGTAGGGCGCTTAAGCTGGGGTGATCGAGTGAGCTCAGCCCAGTACCTTGACTCGGTCGCTCGAATGCTCGCTGTATTGTCGGAGCGATGGTCAAGGCTTCTAGTAATAATGGCAGAATCGACGACATGGGCTCTTCCGGGAGCAAAGGCACACGGTAGATCGCAGCTGCGGGATTATTTCCATGTCTACCACCACCAAATATCTGCGCGCCATCAATCCACCTTCATCCCAACATCATCGTCCATACCCTCCCACAGGACTTTTCCCTTGAGCACGGCCCTGATGTTCGCAATTGCCACGCAAAACCAGCCTATCACCAAGATCAGTGTCATCGCACTTGTGACGGCTTTGACCCCTTCGCTTTCCAAGGCCTTTCCGATATTGATACTCGCAAGCACCAGTCCAGCGTTCGGGAAGACGAATCCCCACCATTGCAACGTAAATCCCATCTTCTGCTTGCTGCATGCCCCCGCAATGATTGCCACAGTTGTGAGGGCAAAGAACCAGAAGCCAAGCAGCCACAACCAACAACCAGCCAGAATCAAGGTAATGCGAATGACATCCGGCACCGCTAGAGTATCGACGCTGAGCCAGTGCGCTGGAATGACAGTCGCTGCTTGATCGGCTAGATTGAGTAGGGCCGCCGATGTGTAGGCCACTGGTCCGACTGAGATGTACATGCCTGGCCGGGAGCTCGGTTCCGGCAAACTGCTCGTCATCAAGCGCTGGACGTAGATCGAATACATGAAAATTGCCACCGTGAATCCCAGGCCCTGCAGCGCGATCGCAGATACCCAGACGACAAGAGCGACTGTCGTGTCCTGAGATTTAGTGATTACTGCTGCCAATGGTCCGATGACAAGAAACGGATAGACCGGAAACACCCAAGCTGGCATAGCGCTGTCGACTGGTAGACGTTCCGCAACAAACAGCGTTGCGTATTGGAAAACGGCGACGCACAGCGCGCAACCTGAATATATCCAATAGAGAATCCGCATAGCCGTCCTTAGCCACTGGCCCGTCATAGGTACACCATAGGTCTGCGTCAGATTCAAAAGCAGCGCAATCGTGACCCAGTAAGCACCGAGGAACAGGGCCTCCTTCGGATGATGCAAAGAGCGTAGGAAGACTTTCGGACGTCGAATGAATCGATACGCGATACAGAAATTGAAAAGAACAAATAACACAAGATCCAGGATGAAGTAGATCTTAGCGATCACATCGAGGCCAGTGAATCGAAAGGGAGTGCTAAGGTGTATCTGTGTCAGTCTTGAAGCCAGGCCTGAGGTTAGGAACAGAAGACTGACTTTGCCAGCACGACCGCGACCGCCCCAGTGGCCATGGTTGCAGACTATCGCACCTGTTAGACTGAATGTGTGTCTGGACATCAGAGCCAGGAGAATAATATCTCGCCCAGTTCAAGTTGATAGGTGTCTTCAACGTACAAACCACGACCCTGCCGGTGTTGGTTAGCCCGAGCCAGGAATTATGGCATTGCGAGAGAAAATGGAGAGGAGATGGCCTTGAGGACAGACAGTGGTCAAGAGGCCGCCAGGGGAACTTCACAGATGGCGGCGTCTCGCCCAGGACTATCAACTTGATCTGACGCATAGTCCAAAACGAGTATTCCCAACGCGGAATCGAGATTCTCTCCTTGTCGGACGATGGTTTTGGCCTACGAAAAACGGACAGACTTACACGTAAAATGCTCGAGTCGCTCCTTCATGGTCGCTCTATGTGGAGCGCCATCGCTGTCTGGTACTCGATGCTTCTCGTTATCGACATGTTCGCGGCTCGGTGCCACATCGCTGTCGTTTGCAGCTGAATCCTGGTCGCGTGACTCGGTCTCGTATCTGCTGTCGACCATCTTATTGGTCAAGTAGCGCAGAGGGTCTAGGATTCATGAGCTGACTCCGAGATGTGTTCAGACAAGTAGATCTGGTGGTCGAAAGTGCGTCGTGATTGAAAGGCCACGATCAACAGTGAAGTTCAAGTCGCGAATGTTGTCCTGTGCTGTCGAATTTCAAGCCGCACGCACGGACCTTTCTATTTCATTGGTTGCGTCATCCATTATTTACGACCTCTCGTGAGGGTTGACTTCTGGCGTCGAAGCTTAACGGCATTCGAAAACAACTTTTGGTATCGATGCCCAGCAGTGCCGCGTGTCCGGATTTCGTTTCCGCATAAAACTCAATCGGATAGACGGACAGATCTTGGCATGGAGGCTATGCGTCCTCTTTGGCAGAAGTTTTGACGCTCTCCGCCCTTCTGCATCCAATGCTGACCTTACAGTTGTGTCGACCAGATGGTTGGAGTCCTGAATACAATGCAAGGCAGCACATGGCGATGCCTCTTCCGCCTGATTTGACGGCAACAAAACGATCATTCTCAGCACATCGTCCATTTGCTTGAAGGCTTGAGCAAACATGCTCCCGTCGGCTTGTGCAGTCGCTGTCTCGAAATCACTATACAACTGGTGTGAGTGCTTTTCACTGCTTCATAATCGAGTCGCGCACAGCATCTGCCCCACGGCGAGCAGGGAAGAGGCTCGATCAGTCGATCATTTCGACGATCGCTCTGTGACTTTGACAGTGTCACCAATCCTCAGTATCGCACCCGCAGGTCCAGCAAAAGCGTATTGACCAAATACTGGCTTGTGAGGAAAACGCGTATTGATGCGCCGATCACTCGCCAGCAAGCCGTAGAGCTGTCGCCTTCGCTCGACCATCTGTCCTGTGTCTGGGTCGGCATTGAGACTCAGACATCGCACACAATTGAATATGCATTTAATGGTGACAACGTGACTGCCATTTGAGGCTGTTGCAACTGACAGCGTGGACCAGTTGTCCTCGTCGTAGGCTGGCAAGCTGTTGTGAACATCAATGTGAATATTCGGGCGCAGGCGTTGAATGACGTCTTCTTCCCGATACTCTGGAGGAAGGCGCAACAACGCATCTCGCTCTGATGCCGTCGACGTGACGAGCAAGGGAGCAGCGTCGGCAAAGCGAATTCGCTGAGGTCGAAGACCCTCTTCCAACGCGAGGGTCAAAGCATCACCCTGCTTGCCAACGTACGCTGCGCCTGGAATCTCGCGTCGACCCGTACCACCGATGAACAGAAGACGAACATCAGCATTGAGACGCGTAGAGAAAAAAGAGGCGACCTCATCTCCGACATCAACGCCTATTGCTGTTGTTCCAAACACGCTCACCTGGTATGACTTTGCACCAAGCAAGGAAATTGGGGACGGGGATAGAGGTACATCGATCGAAGCCTTAGGAGCATCATCGCCTTTGTAGCGTATCGTGAGGTTCATCCACGACTCGTCGATCTCTGGATGAAACAGCGCCAACTTGAATACCCTCTTAATCGTGAGGAACTTCGCAAATGGCAAGTCTCCATTTGGATCTGCAGGAGTCGCAGCATCGGGCGTGTAGACGAGAATGAAAGACCGATCGAAGCGTAGCCCTTCGTTTGTCAATTCTACTGCCTTGACCTCTACAGGTCGTAGTGACTTGACAGGGCTGTTCCGAGCATCTTGGTTAGCCTTGTCTCAGGAAGTGATGATGAAATGGAAGATTGGATAGGCGACGCGGCAGTCATTTCTCGGGAGCACTTCGTGTGCTTGCTCAAGCCATTGCTCGTGTCATTGCTCAGGTCCCGATACAGGTTTGTCAGGGGACTCACTAGAGGAACAGTCGTTGTATGGTGAGTGGCGACATGGTCGAATATAAATGCTATAGGGCTGCCGTAAACACTGTCACATGATCAGAATACAGGCGGCTCTCGACTCCTCGAGGATGTGTCAGTCCGTGCAGTAGACAAAGCCGCATGTCACTGCATCACAGCCGTCTATGGAAGAAGAGTGGTCAGTGCAACAAACCGAAAGGGAATGAATACGTAGGATAATCTCGACCTGCCGTCGACGTGCCTAAGAAAGTGCGGACAAACGTTGATCCCGCGCCCGGATGCAACGCTACTCCGGCAGTCACAAGCGACGCTTAGAACCTTAGGGAAACGTGCGGCGAGAGGTTACTAATCGCCTCCTCTTAACAGGTTTCGTTATTCGTCTCAGTTCAGACGTGTTCCACAAACACCACGATTGTCGATGGTTGCTAAACAGCCAGAACCGGTCATCAGAATCCATCATCATCGGCGCGAGGGATTGCTCGAAACGTCTGCCAGGTCCTTAGCCACTTCAGGCCTGCACGCTCGTTGCGAAGGCTATGCCGCTCTAAGCCGGATATCTGAACCAGCGCCAACAGCCCCGCTTTGTGGTTTTAATGGAGGCCTACGCTGAACGACCATGTCAAGCATGCCGACAGAAGAGAGTGAAATGTGACAAACTTCTGTCAGGATGCCAACGATGTATCGACGCGGGCGGACATTGCCCAGGATACAAGACGGCTCGCAAGTTTCTCGACGAAAGCGACAAAGTCCGCAAAAAGTTCGTCAAACGAGAGGAGGAAAGACAACACATTGGTCTCCAGTCGCCAGCACTCTCGACCATATCGCCCGACCCTCCGGTGAGGCAGAGAAGCTCCTCAAGTATTCACTCGCGCCCGACTAGTGTTCCTCATACACGATCACCACCACCTCAACAGCCTCTTCCGTTCATGACCAATCCTCACCATTTCGCGCGCAGTGATTCTCCAGCTTTGCAATCCCAGCGCGGATCTCAAGATGTCGCCCCCCTCGTATCAGGATTTGCCAACGCCTTTCCATCTGGGACACCACTCAGCAGTGCTGAGAACACACCGGACTTTCGACATGCCAGTCGGCAAGCAGATATCATCGCACCGAGTACGATCAGTTACTCTGATGCAGGCTACTCAGATGTTGCCATGGACTTCTCGAATTCGGACTTCTTTGACTTGGATATAGAAACATACTACGCGAACGGCAACAATGCATGCGGCTTCATTCCTGGGTTGCCAGTGATAATGAGCGAGGCTGAAGATCTGGAAATGGATGAACTCGATCACCACTCACTTGCTTCAACTGCGCCTGATCCTATAGTAGCAAGCCAAGGCAGAATAGTGACGAGAGAACGCCGAAGCCATAGCGGAAAGGAAGGACGAGATGGCGATACTCATACGACTCTTCGTTGATGTTATGGCGCCGTGGATGGATTTGTTTGATTTCGATGCTTATTTTACAAGGATTATTCCCCTTAAAGCCTCGAACAACGCGATGCTACAAGCCGCCCTCGCTGCAGTGGCGTCCAAACAGCTTGCACGATATGGAATGTCTTCATCAATCGACAAATCCAGATATGCATTGGTACTGAGCTCCAAGTATCGCGATATCACTCCAAATGAGTGGTTCTACAAAGCAGCTAGCTACTATGACCGAGGCATCTCATGCCTGCGCGGATTCCTTCGCAGGTATTCTGTGCACGATGATCCAACGGCGCTACTCAGTCCGCCTGCATCAACATTATCAGATTCGCCTGGATTTCCGCCTCGGCCAATACGCCGACTGAGCAGCCGGAGTAGTATTGGAGGCGTGTCAGCTGATAGTGATCTCCAAGACCTCCTTTCGGCTATTTCTGTGTTCTCGTTGTACGAATCCTTCGACAATTCGACAGTCGGTGCGTCGCAGCATCTCAACGGCTTTCAGAGCTTGGTACAAGGGCGAAGAGGAACGTCCAGCATGACTGTTTTCGCGACAAGGACTGGTGGCAGAGCTGCGTTCTGGAACTTTGCTCTAGAAGACTTGCTCTCTGCATATGCAAATGGCCGACCAACAAGATTGCATCCGATGGATCTGGATCTCTGGGTTGCTGCTGGCCTACCGTTGGTCAGACGTCAAACGGATCCGTCCGGCGAAGGAAGTGGCACTCTTTCACTTCAGCTCGATGCTATCTTCAATACCGGACGCGACGATATTATAGCTTGTACGCTAATATGGGTTGCGAACAGAGTGGTCAACTTCATCACCCAGAGTGCTGGGCACTCTATTGGCGACACAGTCTTCCGTCATTGGACAGAACTACGGACCCTGCTCGAAGTGTGGCACAATCGTCTGCCTGTAACGTTCCATCCTTATGCTACTGTCGAGACACGGCACATCACTGATTCTCGACACGGAAGTCAGCAGAACAAACACTTTTTCAGTGTTCCTATGGCGGCAGGTGCTCTACAGCTGTATCATTTCGTGCAGATTCTACTCATTCTACACAGGCCGTCCGAGTCAGATGGTCAGCAGACGCAAGGGCAACGAATGCGGTTGTTGAGGAAAGCTGCCGAAGAATCTGAACATCACAGCCGACATATATGTGGTATTGCGCTCGGGAGTCCTCCAGGCGCTGTGCAAAGGCTCATGATTCAGCCTTTACATCTCAGTGGGAGCTGCTTCGATGAGGAAATCGATCGAAAGCTCGTGCTCGAGCTGCTCGAGATCGTCGAAGAGCAGACGGGCGCAAGCACGAAGAGAGTCAGGGCGGACCTGCTGCAGCAATGGGGATGGTCTGCTGAGAATAAGGACATGATGAATTAACGAATGTTGCTACTTGCGCCCTGGGGCACAAATGTAGCCATTTCAGGGCATGACGCGGTCAGCACGCGTAAGATATTACATTCAATCCGCGGAGACGCCATACCTATAGGCTACGGAACTTGTTCGACTAGCGAGAAGACGAGCACATGCAGCCCATTCCTGGCAGCAGCCGACCCATAGCCGCTCCCAACATTCGGGAAGTTGCAAGGATGGAGACAAAACCTAGCACGGATATCGTTTCCATAGCGCAAAAAATCTTCGCTCCGAAAATCCCCAGATGGACTAGTGTCGCTAATGTTGTCCCAAGAGAGACCTGAGCAGCGAAGAGGCTCAATGATCACCATGGTTTGCATGCCGGAAGGTTTACCAATTTGATCTCCCGATAACTCTTTTCACGTCAGAAAGCACGCAACAGGGGAGAATCGCGAAGGCGCCGCCCAACATACTAATAATGCTTCGGATCGTCCATTCCTACTCTTGCCATTCTCAACATCGCCAAGTATCTTGTTGGTCCTGACAGGTCGTCGTCGCTACATGCAATGGAGGTTTCAGTCACGGCAGCCAACGACATCCTTGAAGCCAGCGATGGTCTGCCATTGTACAGAGAGTTCAGCCAAGGCCCGGTCCTTGCTATCAGCATATCCATACCAACAAAGGGTCGACGAGCGAATTTCGATGTGGCTCAGGTCAGACTTCAAAGCGCTATCAGAAGTCGTGTAGGCTCGCAAGTGTCTATCAAAAAGGTGCGGCCACCCATCGATGTTGTGTAGCGTTCACTGACAGGCCCAAGACCCTCAACTTGGTCGAATACGTTCCCTGGTCTCATTTTACCCCGGTTCATGCTACGTCGACTGCGACCACCACGAGTTACAGTGCCAAGGTCTCCTTTGATGTATCTGGCAAGCCTCACAAACAGAGCGTTATGCTTCCATCAACGAGCCTTGACGGGTCGACATATGTTACGCAGCATACTGCACTCAATGATCGTCACCTCGTGCGAGGCACATGTGAGACGTATTCTTGGGTCAATGTCGACTTCGTCCAGAACGGGATTTCGGTCTATCAAACCAAAGAACCAGTAGAGCTTGAAGTCAAGCCACAGCATATGACAATCGCATCACCAAAGACCATTCGCGGTGGCGCTGCTGCGATGTGCCGAACCGTTGTCTCTGGGCTTCGTTCGCGGTGGGCTGCGAGCCCTGCTGCAGTGACTGCAGAGGTGTCTCTACCATCAGACGAGGAACTACACTTGGTGGACAACAAGAACCCCGCAACGAACAAGACTTACACATCGGTCGAATTGCCTTTGCACGTGGCGTTCAGCGGACTGTCTGCCCCTGTGGTCGAGGCGATCTCCCAGTCCGGCGGGGTCAGGTGCGATGTAGAAACCAAGTGGTACAGCACACGCTCTTTCAACACTTCGGCACAGGCCTCAGCGGGTCATACAGAACCCAACCGAACAGTGATCGCGAGCCAGCTTATCTCGACACAGGGCTCGGCGGTCATATTTCCACCCCTAGCGCGGCCAAGCAATGGCGCCAGCGCAGAAGAAAAGCTTTCGACAATGAGCTTGCTTCATCTCGTTCTGCCGAAATCGGCGTCACTACCGAGCGTGCAGACCGATCTGCTAAAAGTCGAGTACGAGTTGGAATTGAAGTATACGTTTCAATTGGACGGATACAAATCGCCGCTGTTCCTGAAAGGAAAGGCGAAAGTCGACTGTTGTTTGTCGTCGTGATGTGGATGGCAGACAGTTTTCCACGAAATCTGCTGATACTGAGCGTTCAAGCGGGCCATAGAATGATACCATGCGATTCTCGCCATTCGCAACTCAAGTCTACTCTAATCGGCGCGGCGCTGTTAATGCTGTAGGGCGTCCTCTGGTATACTTTCCCCCGATATGGTTACCTTTACTGCGCTGTCCTTGTGACAAGTAACATACCACACCTACTGAGCAACATAACCCCCGTCAACACTCAGATTCACTCCGGTCACCCACTGCGCATCTGCGCTTGCCAAGAACACCGCTGGCCCAGCAAGATCCTCTGGCACGCCCGCGCCTCCGAAGGGGTGCAATGCGTCGATCGCGGCTTCCGGGCCAAGATTGTTGGTCGTGTCTGCGAAGATGCCTGTTCGGACGACTGTGTGTTTGCTGTCAGCTGGTGATGTATAGGAGGGCGCTTAGGAGGAGATAGGAGAACGCACAGCCTGGATTCAGAGCATTCACATGAATCCTGTCCGCCGCATAATCCAGCGCCAGACTCCTCGTCAAATTTGCCACCGCGCCTTTTGACGCCGCATAGCTCGCTGTTGCGTGTCAGCTTTCCATTCCACTCGCCCGCCCATCAGAAGTACAGAGCAAGGAGAACAGCTTACGAGCCATGCGACTTCCCACCAGCCCAAAAATCGAGCTGACATTAATGATCCACCCAAGATGGTTCCCCGGCTGGTGGCACTCCTGTTTCAGCATCTGGCCCACAACAGCGCGACAGCCGAGCCAGACGGACTTGAGGTTGACGGCGATGGTCTGGTCGAAGGCTTCCTCCGGGAGGTCGTGCAGTTTCATGGGGCTGTGGCGGGATTCCCAGGATATGCCGGCGTTGTTTATCAGGCTGCAGGGGTTGTTAGTTGGGTTGCTTGGTCCATCAAGCGATGAGAGTGCCGCAGAAGGCACCATACATGTCAATCCGTCCCCACCTTCCCACAACCTCCTTTACCAACACGTCCCACTCCTCTGCCTTGGTGACATCAATCTTCACGAACATCGCCCTCTCTCCTTTCTCCCCACCCTGCCCAGCGGCATCGCCGTTCACCTGTCCGCCTTTGCCTGCCCCGACGAAGCGATTCAAAGCTTCGTGCGTAGGCACCTCCCTCTCGGCCAGAATGTCGGCCCGGACACCGCTGCCATCCGCTCTGGGCTTGAAGTCAGCGCGCGCAGCGGGTGAGAGATCGGCACAGACGACGCGGGCGCCCTCGCGGATGTAGGCGAAGGCAATGGCGCGGCCGAGGCCGGAGGAGGAGCCTGTTATAATGGCGACTTTGTCTTGAAGGCGTCCGACCATTTTTGCTTGAATTTGGTGGCGAAGGAAAGTGTCTTCAGAGCTCGCTGGGTCGCGACAAGTCCGGTGGTATGCTTTTTATCCTGCTTGCGTACAGAACGCTGTTTGAGGTGTGAAGGCCTGTTCCCCAGCACAATTACCCAGCTCGCTGATCTATACACCCACCCTCCTAGCTAAACACCACGGGGCCTAAGATACAGAGCAACGCGCCAAATCACCGAGTGTCACGAGGTATACTGACACAAAGCGAGTACAGTAGTCATGAAGTCAACTCCACGTAGCACAAGTAGCAAGAGTGCCACGAAGTATATTGGTTGCCTCGGCGCGTCAAATAACCCCGCGTGGGTTGTGTGCCACTCGCTCGGCTGTGCAGTAATTACATGCATGCCTCGTTCAGTGGTGCATACTGTCTGGGCAGGTGCAAGGCTCGTAAGGCAGTCGCTGTGGAGGAAGCTGACTGGTCCCGGTTGTGTAAAGTGCAAAAGCCGGCGGAGGAGCTGTGCGAGGGAGGCGAGAGTCGGCCCGCGGTCGGCTGCCACGCGAGGGGACCAACCAGGTGTTCACGTTCTGAGGCTCTGATGACTGACTCAGATCTTAGCAAAGCCGTCAGGCGTCAAGTTGAAGCGTGGTAGATAGATGCGGAAGAATGGATAGCGGTCAGAGTGGACGAAGGAGGAATCCGAAGAACACTGTATCCACAATTGTAGTTCGACGTCTGCTATGCTATTTCCTTGCGCACCCAGCTCTCTTAGCCGATCTCCATGAAACACGCTCCGCGCCCAACATCCATCTCCTCCGAGCAAGTGAGCTCAGAAGAAAGCGATAGTCCGAATCTCCACACTCTCCCGCATCGGCGCATCCTTCGCACTCGTCGGATCCTCAAACGCCGTATGCCCCACGAATCTCGCCTTGCTCTCGTCGCTCTCGTACGTCTTCAGCAGGATACACTGATCCGGCCGCATCTTGGGAAAGTAGTACCACTTATGCCGATCCGCATGGCGCATAACATAGTTCTCGCCTGTACGGTCATTATACCGTAGATACAGCTTGAAGAAGTCGGACGCTGGCGCTGAGTTGACGTCACACATCGCTAGAGGTCGCTCCTCGACCACGTTGAGGGGCTTCCAGACGTTGATGAAAGCGACGCGGCGGGACAGAAGATCCTCAGCCTCGTCCGGCAGGAGCTGACGGACACGCAGGGGTCCAGATTCGGCGGTATAGTCGCAGTGTACGAGCATGACGGGGCTTCGCTGCGAGGTATTGGACTGGTCAGTAAGCTTCTTAGCATTATTCGCCGCGGTGCGAATCGTGTGATCAAAGACGAGGATGCGTTTGGCGCCTGTCTCACGTTTCAAGAACTCCACAATCTCAGGGTAGAAGTTCTTCTGGACAGCCTCGCCGTCCTCCCAGTTGGAGTGTGAAGACTTGAAGTCTTTGACGGCGAAGCCGTTGACGTCCTCGTGGAAATCTTTGGCTTTAGACCAGCCGTCGTGGAAAGTCATTTCGTGCGGGTCATCGCCTGGCTCGTGGATGCCTTCGGCATTGGGGCTTTCGTAGAAGTAGATTTCGGTGAGCTTGTCGCCGAGGTCTTTGGTGTAGTTGATCGTGGCACGGACGCTGCCGTTGGAGTGGCCATTAGTGGCACCGTTGGTACCGTTAGTTTGCCTGGGAGCTGAGATCAGTACTGTGAGAAGATATTGGGTTCAAGGATTAATGGTATGACATTGCTATGTACAGCCTTTCGACCAACCAGCCATCTCACTACGTTCAGACCGAAGAGCTTATCTGTTTCTCGTCAGGTCTGGCGGTAGGAGACGGAAGTGGACAACGCTGTACAGAGCGCAAATGACCAACTTATGATCAAGGAATGACGGTGGCAGACTTACGCGCGACTGGGCATGAGAGCATTCTCAACAGCCTTTTGTCGATTGCTCCAAGCTGGGATCTTCTCGACCTCTTTGATCCATCTCTGGATGTTGGGGAACTTCTCGAAACCTGATTTCTGGAACTCGTGCATGTGCATGGGCGCCGCAACGGCGATATCAGCGATGGTGACGTTGTCGCCGCAGATGAACTTGCTCTTGGCCAGACGCTCGTCCAGGGTGCGGGCAGCCGTCTCGAACTTGGGCTTCTCCTCATCCAGGACTTTCTGGTCTGGCTGACCCTTGAACAATTCCGGCACGACGACGTTCTGGACGACATATGTGTAGTTGACACCGAACCATGTCGCAGCTTCCCATAGCAGCCATCGGTTCACATCGGCCCGCTTCTTGAGATCTTTTGGGTAGAAAGACTCATCCTTGGCGTGATCTGCGGCGTATTGGAGAATTGAGTTCGACTCAGTCAAGACAAGATCACCATCGGTGGCCGCTGGGATGGTGGCCATGGGGTTGATCTTGGTAAACTCGGGTGCTTTTTGCTCGCCCTTGAAGAAGTCGACATGTTTTGTCTCATACCGTATGCCCATCAAGTCGAGGCCCGACAACACCTTGCGGCAGTTGATGGTGATGGGGTCAAGGTAGACTGTGAGCACCATGTTGGCGGTTCGCGCTTGAGTCGTATGTCAGTCTCAGCGAGGGTGTGTAATATAGTCTGTCGAGTCGACTTGAAGTCAGAAGAGGGATCATGTGCTGACGCCAACCCCAGATATATGGTCAGGCAGTTAAAAAAGATACCGCGATGCGGGGTCAGCCACCGGTCGTATCGACATCATTGCTTCGAGTTTCTGGTGACCGAGATCGTGAAGCTTGTGTTCGAGACCTACCTTCGCGCCCGATGGGCCACTGGGACGAGGAGCTGCAGGGCCGACGTCGCTATGCTTAAAGTTTGAGGATCACGGGGCGAGCTTTGGTACACCTGTCAACCTCAAATCGAGGGGTTGTAGCGTAGCTCCCCCCGCCCGGATTCACCCTCGGGCGAGAAGAATTCAAATCCTACAGATCGGCCAGCGTGAAGCGGGAGCCGAAGTTTGGTCAGCATGAAGAACTCCAAGTCTTTTTGCGCTCGCGAATGGCCGCAGTCGTTGTATCCTAGGAGCAATGACAGACTCGCTGTTCTCAATTAGTCTGATAATACCTTGACTCAGGCGGCCCAGTGATCACGGACACGACCCTACGATCCTGCGAGTCTGCAAGTGCGGGCTTAGAGTACAAGGGGCAAGTACGCGACGATGCGACGGTGGAAGCAACCTCAGATAGGTAAGATCTCGCCCGAGTGAGGTTGATGGTACATGAGAGTGCAAGGATGCGAAGCGATCTGGAATGCAGGTGGGTCAACGCCTGGCGAATGCCAGGCTGAATTGTAGCCTCGTCAGTCCAATCGACGTCTCCAGTTCTTCTTTCTACGGTACAACAGCACTTCGGACACCTACGGCATCGAATCACCAATTATTTACACCCTCTTTCCACCTTCACCATGGGGTCAGCCTCTGAGCAAGTCCTTGTGCGGGATCCCGCACTATTGTAAGCCCTTTGCAGCCGCGTCTGTCCAGCCAGAATCCAAGCTAATACCATCAGTTATTGGATCCTCCTACCCATCACCGTTGTGATGATACTGACCGGCATCCTACGGCACTACGCCTCCACTCTCTTACAGTCGCCGCCCAAGCCAGCAGCCACTCCAGCCGAGTCCCGCGAGCGCCTAGCACTCACCTTAGGACCGATGCTGCGGGCCAACTGTCCAGCGTTGTCCAAAGCCTCTTTCGAGCACCGCAAAGAGCATCTTATCGACAACTACAAGAAAGGAGCGTACTTGAAAGACGGACCAGGAGGCAAATCCGCAGCACCAAATCCAATGTCCGATCCCGCGGCCATGGACGGCATGATGAACATGATGAAGGGCAATATGGCAATGATGATTCCGCAGACACTGATTATGAGCTGGATCAACGCTTTCTTCGCAGGCTTCGTCATCCTTCGCCTGCCATTCCCGCTCACGATCCGTTTCAAGAGCATGCTGCAGTCCGGCGTCATGACTCGGGATCTGGACGTGCGGTGGGTTAGTTCCCTAAGCTGGTACTTCCTGTGCCTGTTCGGCTTGCAGGGCGTCTTTGTATTTCTTCTGGGCAACGAGGGTGCGGCAGGCATGATGGCGCAGCAGATGGCCGGTATGCAGCCTATGGGCGGTGCAGCGGCGGGAGGCAATCCGTTCCAGCCAGGCCAGGATCCGGACAAGATGTACAAAGCTGAGGCGGAGAATTTGGAGGTGGCGGAGTGGTGGGGAGTCTTGGATGGAGCAGAAGACCGTTTGCTGAGGGCAAACGCTGCTTAATACTGGAATAACTATCGATCCCAATCTGCACCCTCAACTCTGTTCAACAGCCGTCTGTTTGATAGCCAGGTGACCCAAGTCACGCGCCTGCCCCGTATGAGTTTTACTGCGAACGACGCGTCTTCTTCAGACGCTCCTGCAACAACAAGCATGGAAGGCGATCACGCCTTTCGACAACTCCGCCAGGTTGCTCCTTCCTCACCATGCACCTGCCATTCCTTGATAGTGGCAAGTACTTCAGCGAGGAAGCCACGTTGGGTCTCCGACTCAATAAATGCGAGTTGTGCACAGGCCAGAAAATGAAGCTCTGCTTCTTCCTTCTCTCGATCTCTCGGGAGTCTTTCGACTCGTATAGGCGGTCTTTCGTACGTACTCT